AACCTTTATTTAAGTCGTAAACAATTAGAGCCTTTATTTTATGAACTTTTCAATACAAAAACGTATAATATTTTTTAATTAGGAAAATTTCTTGAAATATAAAAGGTAATTATTTAATTTTAACAAATATTTATATGATGATGTGGAATTATATTATTGGTTGTATAAAATCTGGAAACTTTCTTAATTTTGAAGATGGTTATGTGGACCAATAAAATCGCTTCTTAAAATCATATGTGGACGCCTCCAATAGTTTATAACCTCAACTTTTATATAGTATAGACTAAGACTTTCAGCCGCGCACGCGCGGGTCTGTATCTTAAATCGGTTTAAAATATATTCTTAAAGAATTTTTTTTTTTAAAACTGACAATTAAAATTTAATAATATTTCAATACCAAAATTCTCTGAAAAAAAAAGTTTTTAGATATATAATATCGTGTTGAGATCAAATCTTGACATACAAAAATATTGTTTAGATCATATCCCGGTAACAAAAATGTTTGTATATGTCTAATGACCAAAACTTACTTGAAGATATTCAAATCATTATAATAGGACAAAATTTATTAGTATATATATATTATGTAAAATGTAATGTTAATTTATGAACTATTGTGACGTGTTAATCATTTTCTAAACAGAAATATATTTTTAAATATGTATAGTGAAATTCTTAAAATTAGATGTCAACAGTATTTGTATGTAACACGATGTTTATTTAAAATAACTTCAATTCGTTATGTTAGAACTTAAAATGCTATAAACAACATATAATTTATTTTTCAGTACATTTAACTTACCGTGTTATTAGTTTATAAACTTTGATCATAATAGTATATATTTAGCTTTTATATAATATAAATTATGTATATTCTTTTTTATGGCTTAAAGAAAATCTTAAATCATTGTTTGTTCAATGTTGATTTTTTGTTAGTAATTTTGTCACGTTTTTTATGCGTTATGGTATACATTTCTTTTTAGAAGTAGTTTTATATTAATGTTTACTTGAATATTTCCGCCTTAAATCTGTTTATAAATACATTCTTGTTCAAAAAATTTGTTAGTTACATATTTGTTTAGAAATTGCAAAATTCAGTTAGTGTTTATTTAATTGCAAAAATGGTTATTAACTCACCTCATATCATGTTTCTAATCAAATCGAGTAATCATATTTGGCAAGTTTATACTACACCAAAAATGAAATATTTCCTCTTGAATTTGATGGCAAAAGCTTTGTCTTGACCGATCAAACTCTGGCTGCTCATGGAATTGATACACCTCATGCAATCATTGTGATCATCAAAGAAACAGTCTCCATATCTTCTTCATATGTCTTTCTACAGTATGAGTCTTGGATCAAGCTGCTTCTCAATAAACTTATGGCAAACTCACACATTTTTCAGAACTCTTTGAAGATGTAGAAAAACTGATTATTCTACCCTAATAGGTTTATTGCCTATATCTCTTTATCCTTATATATTTTGCCATTTTTGGAAGGTTTGTTATTTTCTCTTATTTGAAAATCGTTATTTACATGGAGATGAAATCTTCTTAAAGGATGTGAAGGATGCCAGACATCAACCTTTCCCTCTCCGTCTGACTCCATTATCCTCCCGAATATGAACTCTTATTTTGTTGATGTAGGGTGGAATGCTTTCTCGAAAATTTGTTGTATATGTTGCACTATTAAATCTCCTTGAATCTTCTGCTCCATAGTAATCCAAACAAACTATTTACTTTTTCGACCATTTTTTGAAGCTACGATGAACTAAATATTATATAGTATGCTATTGTTTTCTTGATTTTTTGTTTTAGCTCCCAAAGCTTGATCTCTCTCATCACCTAAAAAAACTGCAAATGAACTCATATGTCTTCTATACGACATTACATATTTTGTTTCTATCTCCATTTTTTTATTCATAGATTATGTAATGTTGAGATCGACTCTTTTGCAATGTTGGCTTTGTTTGCTTAGAACAATTCTTCAGTTATTATGGTGTAACCTACTCTTTATTTGTAAAAAATTAAGTTTGTTGTATATGTTGCACTATTAAATCTCCCTTGAAATCTTCTGCTCCATAGTAATCCAAACAAACTATTTACTTTTTCCACCATTTTTTTGAAGTTACGATGAACTAAATATTATATAGTATGCTATTGTTTTCTTGATTTTTTGTTTTAACTCCCAAAGCTTGATCTATCTCATCACCTAAAAAACTGCAAATGAACTTTTATGTCTTCTATACGACATTATGCATTTTTGTTTCTATCTCCATTTTTTTATTCATAGATTATATAATGTTGAGATCGACTCTTTTGCAATGTTGACTTTGTTTGTTTAGAACAATACTTCAGTTATTATGATGTAACCTACTCTTTATTTGTAAAAACTTAAGTTTGGTCAAAGATAGTTCACCTTAAGGTTTATTTAATTCTTTATAACTAATATTTTAGTTATACAAATGTTTTTTATATAATTTTAAAATTTTAGTAAATTATATTTTTTAACTATAATTTTTAAAAAAATTAATTTAATTATTTGGATTGTGGAGTTTCTAATTTAAACCGGTTCTATTAATTAATTAATTTTCTTGAAACATAAAAGAAGTTAACTAATTTTAAAAATATAGCTATTTTAGATGAAGATATAGATTAATATTATTGGCTGTTTAAAATTTGAAAAATGAGATGATGATATAGATTAATACTATTGGTTGTTTAAAATTGGGAAAAAAAAATAATTATATAAATGTTGTGGACCAATAAGATGCGGTTTTATAATCTTATGTGGACACTCTTAAATGTGTTTAGCCTCAAATTTTATATTAAAAATACATTTATTAAAAAAATATTAATTTAATCACTTTAGACTTGGGAGTTTCTAATTTAAACAGATTATACTAATTAATATTCTTGAAACATAAGAAAGAAATTAACTAATTTAACAAATATAACTAATTTTATATGATGATATAGATTGATACTATTAGTTGTTTAAAATTTGGAAAATTTCTTAATTTTATATGATTATGTGGAATGATACTATTAGTAGTTTAAAATTTGGAAACTTTCTTAATCTTGAAAATATTTATATGGACTAATAAATTTTTATTTTATAATCCTATGTGTACGTATTTATAGCCTCAACTTTTATATAGTATAGATTGGACACAAAAAAAGCTCGCTAAAAGGGTATTTTGTAAGTTAATATTCGGATGTATTATTCAGCTTGCAATTGTTTAGAAATTTCCCAAATCAAAATGAGGAAACGACTGATGTTAAATATTAAACACAGTATGAAAGTTAGAAGGAAAGATCAAACAGTAAAGAAATGTAATATTTATAAAATAGTCTCTTGCGGACCTACGTAACTCATTGTATTTGACTATTTGTAAATGTATAACTAACGCGCGTCAAGTGCGTGATGTGAAGATTTCACAAGAAATTGTCTCACGTTGTCTGGTTCAAGGTTTTATATTATAAGCCTTTTGTGGATGTATAAATTGAGGAGGAAAATAAACTTATTTGATGAAAGATCAGTTCCGCATAATCGGAATTAAAATTTTATATTGTTTTTTTTTTTTTTTTGGGTCAAAATAAAATTTTATATTGTATGTTGTGAAAAGAATGTTCATATGAACCCTATATTTTAACCAATTTAGAAAATACTACTACTTTAATTGAAAAAGGATATGAGTATGTAAATCAGTATATGTAGTGCGCGTGGGCTATACGTTGTGTCTCATTTTCCGTTAGATAAAAAGTAAAGTGTAGACTTGTGTGAATAACTGAATATTTAGGATTCGTCTTAAGCAGTTGCATACATTGATACATAGATACGTGTGTATCATATCATTCTAGATAAGCGAAAAGTATAGGGGAAAATTTTAAAACTACATTTTTTGAGGTGCAAATTTTCAAAAATACATCTTTATGGTGCCAATTTTCAAAAGTACACTTTTTTCATTTAGTAAAAGAACTCCAAACCCTAAAATATAAATCCAAAACCCTAAAATCTAATATTGAACCCTTAAATCTAAACCCTAAACCCCAGAATCTAAACCCTAATATATGATTAGTGAACCCAAACATATATATTAAAATTGGGAAAAAGTGTATTTTTGAAAATTTCCACACTATAGGTGTAGTTTTGAAAATTTGCACCTCAATAGATGTATTTCATAAAATTTCTCAAAAGTAATAATAAATTATTATAGCTGGATTTTTTGTTGGTCAACATGTTCTAGTTGAATTGAGTTTTTGTTTGGGAAACTTAATGGAAAATAGCAGTAGATGACAATAAAAAAACACATAATTAAGGAAATGACCATTACTTGGATATGGCTAGAATATATCATATATTTTCTATAATAATACCAAAATAACCCTACATGAGAAAAGAGAAAACAATAAGATTTTCTTGTATTCTCCAACTCCTTCTCTCACGAAATCTTTACCTTCTTTTTAAACTATTTTTCTGCTTCAACTACATCTAAGTTGTTCTATGATTTTTTGGTGTAAACAAAGAGAATCCTTCTTCCCTAATTCGTCTTTTAGATGGCCTCCGATTATTTCCATAAAGAATTGTATATAGTTGTGGTGGTGGCAAAGACAAACCCAGCTCATCACTTGATGCTTTAAGAAAGATACTCGAGTGGAACCTTTGTGTCATCGTTACTAAATCATCCTCAAAACTCTTCATCACCGAGTCAAAATCTTATCATTAGAAATTTCATCAAAAACATAATAGTCTGTTTTTAAATTTTTACAAACAAATAGAAATTCAATAATATCAACAAATAGAAATTCAATAATATCAATTTCTGTAGAAAAGGACAAAATCGTCCAAAATTAATTCTCATTGCTATTGACTTAATTTCCTATTTATGATGACTATAAACTTAATATTAATCTCCTTTTCATTGTATATCCTTCTATCACAAACAAAAATAATTCTCTGTTCGATTTGTCTTCTGTCTCTTCTTCAAACCTCAGAAAATGGAGTTATTCACAAAAGGAAACGGCGTCAAGTTACGGAGCCACCTGGACAAGTTTTTGGTCGCCGACGATGACCAAGAAACCATCCGTCAAAGCCGTAAAGGAGATTCACGGCGTGCCGTGTGGACCGTGGAGACCGTCGTCGATAAACCGAATCTGATCAGACTAAGAAGCTGCCACGGCACGTACTTAACGGCGAGCAATAAACCGTTACTGCTTGGTATGACCGGTGAGAAGGTGACTCAAACGCCGTCGTCAAACAAACCGATGGATTGGCAAACCCAGTGGGAACCGGAGCGAGATGGGTTTTCCGTGAAGCTGAAATCTTGGTGCGGGAAATGGATGAGAGCTAACGGCGGAACGCCGCCGTGGAGAAACTCCGTTACTCACGACGAGCCTCACACGTTGAAGACCAAGAACTGGTTGATTTGGGATGTTATCACTGTTGATGGTTCTGATCTTGAGAACATGTCTGATGGAGATGAGAGCTCTGTTTCTTCTCCGGTCTCTTCACATCTTTCCGGGTCGCCCGCTTCTGCCGGGTCTATGAAAAGTAATGGTCGGTTCGCTTCTCTTGGTTTAACTATGTCTCCGAGGTGGTTCCCACAACCGCTAAGTTTGATTAAGTCTTTAATTATCAGTTTTAAAATTTAAGTCACAATGTGCATTGACTGTTTTTTCCTCCCTTAATAGTTTCGCAATTACAATTAAGTGTACTATAGAAGTTAATTATTGTTAGCAGAACTTAGACAATTTTGTTTATCTAAAAATTGGTTGACATGTATTATTACAAAGAAACAACAGATGAGGATTAAGTGCCGTAATAATATTTATTTATTTCTAAAAAAGTAGAAACTTTATGGACATGTACACTATCATTCTGGTCTTGCTTGTGAGGCAATTAGGACTAGACATTTATTCTCTAATTATTCGCTTGAATCCTCTTTTCTTGTCCATACGTTTTATGGTCTAAGGATACATTTTGGGCACAAAAGGGCCATTTAATTTTCTCTTTTCTTTTATTTTGGTTAGAAAAATTTGGTTGTTACTACTAAGTACATAATGGAGCATCTGAATTCTGAAACATTATGAATGATTTGGAAGATATTTTAACTGAAAACTGTTCCAATAAATCCCTAATATACTAAAGTATAAGTCACTTCACCAATGGTAAAGCGACATGTGGCAAGTTTAGAGGGAAAAAAACGCTAATCAGTTTAATTTAATTATGTGTAAAAAACAAATCGGGTTATTAAATCAAACAACAAGAATATCATAAATGACCTTGCAAAAGAACACGATCTCAATAACTTCTTTTTGGCAAACATCCCTAATTTTACGTTCCTTAACTCACCACTTTCAGGATCGTGTTGAAAAACAAACTGTAAATCATGATCTTCCATGAATCTAAATCATCTCCTGTAAAAGTATGTCTTTTTATAAGTTTCAATTTTTTTCATCCCTTTTTTTTCTCTCTCTGTTTTCCCGTCATCGTCTCATTCAAGACCTGATCAGTACACTTTCAAACCGAGAGTAATTTTCATACTTTCATACAAACTGTTGAAAAGGTAATCATCTCATTATTGATTTTACTGTTTTCTGTCTATTTTGCCTTTGTTAGAAATCTGAGTTTCGATTTTACTGAGTTGACAGGGAGACAAGATTCAATGAGTGGGATAGACAAGATTCAGAAACCAATTCAAGGAAGGCGAATTTCGTGATATCATGAGTGGGATAGACAGGATTCAAGCTTTTGGGGTACGTACCCAGAACATGTATAGATAGGATTCAAGCTTTTATTTCTGGGTTTTTCATCCATACGTTTTCTCTCTCATCTCTTCAAAGTCACAATTCTGATTCAAATTCGATATCACCAAAGATATCTCAATTCATAATACGTTTTCTCAGAGTCATCATCTCTGAGTGTTGTTTCTGGTCTTCGAATTTGGTTATCCCTATATCTCTTTGAGAAAATTTATGAAATACACCTCTTGAGGTGCAAATTTTCAAAACTACACCTATAGTGTGGAAATTTTAAAAAATACACCTTTTCCCAATTTTAATATATATGTTTGGGTTCACTAATCATATATTATGGTTTAGATTTTGGGGTTTAGGGTTTAGATTTAAGGGTTCAATGTTAGATTTTAGGGTTTTGGATTTATATTTTAGGGTTTGGAGTTCTTTTACTAAATGAAAAAGTGTACTTTTGAAAATTGGCACCATAGAGGTGTATTTTTGAAAATTACACCTCAAGAGGTGTAGTTTTGAAATTTCCCCCATCACTTTTCTAATAGAGCCAAAATTATTATTTACATGTATCTTTCTGTTTCAATGTATTATACTCATTTCGTGTTTGTATTATCTAATTACTGTCTGATTCCTTCATCTTTTCTCAGGTTAATAATACCACTTGAGAGTATACTCTTGTGTCTAAGCTCAAATGAATGGAAAATTAGAGCTTATGAGTCTTGAATTTGAGTTGTAAACTTACAGAAAAGGTATCGTTGCTTCAGCTCTTCCTCCCCTTTTTAGCTTGCTTTGAGACTTGAAATTGATCTACAAACGTTTTGCTTTGTTTCCAGGTTATCAAAGGTATTGTGGGATGGTTGTGGGAAATCAATGTAGTTTATGCATCGTTCCTAAGAGAGCACAGTTCGACAGTTATGTATGTTTATGTATGTTTTACACAGTTAGACTCAGTTCCTAGCAGTTGATAATGTAGTTTATGCATCGTTCCATAATTTTGCTTTGGTTGGTTTCAGATTGCAAAGATGCCCGCTTTTAATGCAGAAGGCAAGTACGATCTAATCGAGTTTGCAGTAGGCATAGTAAAGAAAGAATCGGTTATAAACGGGAAAAGCATAGTGGCTGGAGATGTTCTTATTGGCCTCCCTTCTAGCGGTATTCATTCTAATGGTTTCTCTTTAGTAAGTTATTGATAATATCATAATATGACATCAGGAAGAATGTAGTCTATTGTTATGTCACCTGAATGAGTAAAGCTTAAAGACCACAATTGTTGCAGGTAGTCTTTTACTGAAAGATGAGCTTCCAGGCGGATCATATACTCTTGGTGAAGCTTTAATGGCACACACTGTCATTTACGTGAACCAGGTTGGTTTGTTTTTGTTCTTTGTCAGCCAAAAAGTCCATCACATCTTCTTTAGGCAATTCCATGACTTTTTCTTTCTTTATCTGCAGGTATTTGGCTTTATCAGCAAAGCAGGTGTTAAGGGTTTTTTAGCTCATATAGTCATATAACTGATGGAGGTTCCACAGACAACATTCCCCGAGTTTTCACAGGTAACTCGAGAAGCAGCTCGGAGTACTTGGAGAAGATGAGAATGGAGATTATGTTGTGTATCGCATTGGAGAGATAATTGTGAAGGCGTTAGCTATCACTTGAACATGTCTGTATGACTATTACAAATGTGTTTTTTAATAGGAACTCAACGTGTTGTATTTTTCAGTTGGTGTGTGTGTGAGAGAGAGAGATTAGGACCTCTTTGTTTCTAATGTTTTTATTGATTTTTGTTTTTCCTACTGTTTCCCATTTAGGGGTTTATAATGCAAGTGATATCATTTTATTTTTCTCTTTCGCCTAACTATACAATATGTAACACTTAACAAAATAAAAAATAGTAGTTAGTTAGTTATAGAATTTTAGGGAATCATTACATCATTGATAAAGAAAAGGGGAAATTTCAAAACTACACCTCTTGATATGCCAATTTTCAAAAATACACCTTTTGAGGTGCAAATTTTCAAAACTACATTTTTTTCATTTAGTAAAAGAACTCTAAACCCTAAAATATAAATCTAAAACCCTAAAATCTAAAATTGAACCCTTAAATCTAAATCCTAAACCCCAAAATCTAAAATCTAACATTGAACCCTTAAATCTAAATCCTAAACCCCAAAATCTAAACCATAATATAGAATTAGTGAACCCAAACATATATATTAAAATTGGGGAAAGGTGTATTTTTGAAAATTTTCATACTATAGATGTAGTTTTGAAAATTTGCACCTCAAAAGGTGTATTTCATAAAATTTCTCTAAAGAAAACATATTTTTCTAGGCCTTTATTAAAACGTTAAGTTATATATAAAAACTACATTTTGTAGCTTTTTAGTTATCACGTAGTTTGTGAAAAGAAAATTTTATGAAAAATTGTTTCAGATTAACAAATAAAAATTGACGCACGGGTAGAAACACTAGTAGTTTCATAAAACGAATCTAAGTAAACTAAAGTAAAATAAATGTAACAGCTATTGGATTTATTTACAACTAATGAAATTCATTTTATGTATACCCAGTATTAATTTCCACGTCAACATATGAGTTGATGCAAATCAACATCACAGCGAAAATCCTAATTGGTAATTTTGAATTCAATTTTCATTTCGCCCCCTAAATCTCAGAAAATCTGACCATCCTTCTCAACGGCGGTGTTCTCTCAGAGACGACGATCTCCTCCACAATTCGCCATGGCTGCTAATGATATTGCTACTTCAGAAACCACTGAAGGACCCGTCTTGGCTATCATCAACAGGCGTCACCGTGCTCTCCATAAGAAACAGAAGCGAATCACTCAGATGGAAGAATCGATCTCTCAGGGGAAAACACTAAACAAGGAGCAAGAGGAAGTCCTCCGCTCGAAACCAGCCGTCCTCGTCCTCATCGAAGAGCTCAACAAGCTCCGTGATCCTCTCTCCACCGCCGTCTCAGAAGAAATCAGCCTCGCGACTCAGAATTTGGTGGAGATTTTGTATTTTGGTTCGCTCTTGGATGTGAAGTGTCAAAGCGATCTGGATTCCGATTCCATTTCCAAACTCCGGAGCTTGATAATGTCCCGCGTCGATTCGAGCCTATCTCACAAGGACGCATTGGATTGTTGCATCGACCACGCCAAGTTGTGGCTTGCTAAATCGGATAAGCCAATTGAATCAAACAGCAACGTCTCATGTAAGAATACAGATTATTTTCATGTTACGTCTCTGTGTTTTTTGGTTTCTCTACTTACGATCTATGTTTCAGATGGCGCTCTAAGAGAGCAATTGAAGAAATTCATGGCTTCGGATTACTTCACTACTAGGCTGGACTGCGAGCAAAAGGTACTCCTCTTAGGGAATTTTGGTAAAATCATATTTCAGGCATAATTCATGGCTTTGTCCTCCTTTTGATGGACTGAGATCGTGTTTCATTAGGAGACAACGGTGTCTTACACTTCGAATGTGATTCTTATGTTCCCTGTTGCTTATTTGATCTCTGGTTGCTCATTTGATTCTTATGTTCCTTGTCGCTCATTCGCAGGAAGTAGATGAAAATTGCAAACAAGATTCAGTTGCTACTGGTCATACCGTATCCACATGCAGTAAAACTGCATCCATCATAAGTACATCTCTGTTTACTAATAACCTCGAAATAGTTAGATTCTTTTAGGTCATTTCTACAAGTTAGTTTACTGATTGTTTTTTTTTTTTTTATGTTTTTTTCTCTCTTTCAGGTGAGGAATTGAAATTTTTTTATTGAACTCACTTACATGGGCAAACTTTTTGACGATTCACCTCTCTATGAGGTGAATAGGAGTTTGGTTTCCAATTATTTGGATCAAAAAGCTTACAGTCGTGGAACAGAAGAAGAGATGTCCATCAAAGAGCAGGAGATGAATATTATCTCAGGTGTTGCAGTTCACAGCAGTTCAAGGCCTGTTTACTCAGAACATTCTCACAAAAGGACACTTGAAGAATGCTACAACATTGCAAAGAAGTATGTGGACAAATCTGAGGATGAGATAACATTGCTGGACTATTCATGTAAGTTACTCATAAATCTATTCATGTAAATCTATCTATTCATCACGTTTGTTGACATTCATAACGTTGGTTGACATTCTATCTGTTCATGTAAATCTCAGATGAGATTGATAAACTGGAAGATCATAAAATCATAGGTCCAGTTAAGAGAAGAAAGATGAACACGGGTTATACGTTTGCTCAAGTCAATGAATTGGTGAAGAATGCCATGGCCTCCAAATCTTTGATGACTTCTCGCCCAAATTGGCAACCGGTATGGTCCTTTGTAAACCGAAATTCAGTGTTTTGATTTTTTGTATTGTTGCTTACCTTATATTATTGTTTTCCTTTTTTGCTCATATATTGTTTTCCTTTTCTTTCAGAAATTTTCCATGGAGGATTATGCTATTGCCAAAACCGTAATCCTCCATGATATAGAAAACTGTCAATACCCCAAAAATTGTGATCCTCTGCTGATTACGAAGTTTGCTGAATATGCAAAGATGGCTTTGGTACAAGCTGGATTTACAGGACCAATTCATGATTTCTATGGAGTGGGAGATGTGGATATGGTATTTGGTCCTCCTTGGAGTGAGAAGAGGAGAGCTATTGAATCTTCAGGCATCATACTCATCGATGTTCCCAAGAGATTCAACTCAGATGGAACTCCTGTAAAGGATTTGGCTGACAAGGAGCTCATGAATAGGATGTTCAATTGGGTGTGTCACAACCTGATCCCAGCAAACATTGTGTTGGCTTCGAGTGATAAAGACTATCTTCGAGCCTTGCATACTTTGGAAAACAATGGTGGAATCAATCCAGTTGTTGTCCATGGACCTGATCAGTCAACTGCAGAGGAGATGAGGAATCGAACCAGTATTGCCTTCTACTGGGATTCGTTCTACAGAGGAGGAGCTCCTTACAGGAAGAAGACTGCGTAGATTGGAGTTTATGATCTTCATGTGTCTGTTGTTACTGGTGGATTGTGATTATTGGATCTTTATGTGTCTGTTGTTACTGGTGGACTGGATCTTCATGTGGTTATTGGATCTTCATTTGTCTGTTGTTACTGGTGGATTGTGATTATTGAATGAATATGTCCTAGCTTCTCGGATTGTGATTATTGAAGGAATCTACGCTTTGAGTGAAAAGTTGCAACCTTTATTGGATCTTCATGTGTCTGTTGTTACTGGTGGAGTTCACTTTTACCTTGTTAAACAGGTTCTTCGTGATAGACAACGTGCAGGCCAACAACCAGAGGAGATAATCCATCAGATGTATGGAACAGTTTGTTCTCAATTATTTTATATCTTGCTTCTTGGCTGTTATTGGTTTAGTGAACTGTTTATATAGCAACTTCACTGTTTATGTAGGTGTACCCGATGTTCAAAGCTTTCATTGAGCCCAACATACATCCTGAAGGTTTGAAAAATGAACAGTTCATGTTATAATAGTCAATGCTCTGTAATCTCAGTTTTCAGGTATTCATTGTCTGCGTTTGGTAAACTGAAGATCTTTTGCTGTTGATTTGTTGTAGTCAAGAAAGGATGTATCTGTTGTTCAGGTCAAGGCACTTCTTTGTGAAAGAGATACAGAGACTAAAGAGGAGACCTATCTTCTTCCTCAGGGTGAAGATCGAGAGTCTTGCCAATCATATTTGAGGATGCTGAATAAAGATGGAAAGTACAGCCTCATGTTTGAGGTTTGTCCCTTCAGAGTTTTCTTTCCATGTTTCATCAATATTACTTTTCAGAAATTCTGACAACTTTCTAAGTCTGCAATGTTAAGACTGCGTAAAATTATGAGGTGATTAACTATGGTCCCAGATTTGATGCTCAGGAATGGGTTACGGATACTCCTTTCGTCATATCCCCAAGGATTACTTTTGAAGTGAGCGTTCTTCTGCTTGGTGGGTTTATGGCGTTGGGATACACAATGGCAACTATACTTGAAAGGAACAGCCATGTATTTGCTACCAACTGAAAGGATAAGGTGGTTGTGAAAGTCGATTGGCTTGACCAACTGAATCGTTACTACATGCAGGTTTGTCTATCAAAACTCATTCACCACCATTTGCTTGTCAATCAGGCGTCTCTTCAACCAGGTCAGTGGTTTAATCGTTTGAGTTACTTTCGGAGACATTGCTCCTTTGTGTTTCTGGTTATTCGGCTCTGTTAAACTGGATATTGTCTAGCTAGATTTTTGCCAAATGAAACCATAAATCCCCTCGTTGAAATGAATGTTTGGACATTTGAAAGGTTTCTTATTGACAAGGATGAACAAGTGAGCATATCCTCGTTTTGTTCTAGTAGATGAATAAAAGATGAAAATCATCATCCTTTTGTCCAGGGTTACTGCTAACAAAGACAGAGACCTCTCATTGGGATTGAGCCAAATATCCTTTTCGTATCATATATTTGTTTACCCTTTGTTTTTCTTGTAAAGTTGTTAAATTACTGTTACCTAGCTGCCGTAATTCATCAAAAAACATTGGCGAGAGAATGAGGAGGCTTTTGAATATCCTCTTTTCTCAAGGTACCCTCACTAAGTCACTATCTATCCTGTTTTGCTGTTTGGATTTCCTGCTGTCCTAGTTTACATAAATTGAGGAAATTCTTTTGGTTTTGCTCTTAGGCTCTTATTCGAGGACTACTTTTGGGCTCGCTTGATGACTCTCATAGAAAAATCTGTACGGCCATTAGCATGGACATATCGTCAATTGCCACATATGATTGGCCTGAGCCTTTACCCTCTCTCTTGACGTTGCATAGCGATCAAAACAGCATTAAAGGAGGTATATTTGCTTTCCTGTCGGTTGGCTCTAGAATCATATTCTTTTTAACCTCCCAATTCCGTACGCTTTCATGAGAACAGGCAAGAGGCTGAATATATTGCCAACTTCAACAGTTGATGGAGCTTTGAGGTGTTTGGCTTTTCTCTCTGGTGACTTGGATGACAAAGAGGGGCCTACTCTGGTACCTGTGTTGTTTCCTTGCTTGCATGCAGTCGTATCCTCTCCTCAGGTGTGTATCCTAATATTTATACGATCAGTCTTGTGTTGAATTACGTTTTTGGCATGCCAGGTGTCTAAAATACAAAATTTAGTGGGGAGTCTCTTATGAAGCTCACTCCTCAGGTTTTGTAGAGCTCTGACAAGTATATGCGAGGAAAAGCCCTTTCAGTTCTTTATTCTTGTATATCTGTTCTTGGAGCAGTGAGTGGTGTGTACAGGGTACATATTTCTTTAATAATCTCATTCTATACATAAATTTTCCATGAAATTTATCTATCAGTTAACATATATCAGGTGTTTGTATTCATATAGAAATTACGACTTTGGTACTTAAAGGTCTGGATGAATCAGTTTTTACTTATCTTGGAACATCCTGTGCAACGTGAGGATCCTGATGGTTCGTCTCATCTTGTGATTGTTGTACATTGTAAGAACGCTTTTGTTATATAACAACTCCATCAGTCTGTTTCTTTGTATTGTGGTAGCTGTTAATCGCATTACCTTGGTTATTTCTTCTGATACGACAGGGAATCCTCAGAGGAGCTTAGGATCTGTAAGCTTCTCTAAGAGCACTTTAAACAACACCAAGAGTAGAACAAAATCCAGCGTGGCGAGCAAATCTTCAATTCCTAAGCCGTCTCTTAAGCAAGCTAGAAGAAATGTGGTAAAGCTATGCTCCCCTCTGGAAACTAAGATAGCTATTATATTATGCGCTAGAAATCTGCAGCTAAAGATTTTATTTTCCATAGTCTTCAATTGAGAGTTAAATATTGCATTTTCTTGAACTCTAGATCAGCCTAACATCAGAAGTTCCTTCCAGAATTCTGTTGTTGGAAAGTCTTAAGATGGCCCTATGACTTCATCACATATGGCTATGCTTGGTCATGCATCAATTTTCGCCGACTCTGATGTAATTACTATGGACACCACGTTAGGTCAAAGTTGTCTGCAGTTTCACGCTGGGAAAGCCATCTGGTTTAAGAGCGCCGTCTCCTTCAATTGGCTATTTCAGTCAGGTATGTTATTAAAATATACCGAACGCTGTCATAACTATGGTTTGTTCTCGTAATATCTCATACATGATATTCCTGATTTTTGCAGTCGGATTCTCAACCTTGGCATTGTACAGGAGACAAACATAGTCAGCCTTCTAGGTCTGATGTTTGTTCAGCATCTCGTATTTCTTTGATCCCTCCTATCTTCAACAAACCCCAAGTCAGGATTAGAAAGATTGGCAGTTGAGGTTCAGCGGCAAGTTTGTCTGCTTAATCTGAATTCCTCAAACCTTCACAAGAAAGGGTGAAAAGTAGACTTGAAAAACACTCTGAGAAATGGAATCCGAAGGCGTCATGTTCACTGAGTTCTCAGATAAAGGAAAGACTGCAGCATCCATGCATCATTCAAGGTGATGCTGTAAAATTAGCGTGCAAAATTCCAGACTTGCTGGTCACTGTGCTTTACCGCCGAAACATGGTCCAGTTTTCAAAGATTCCATGGAATCTCCGGTGGCAGGGTCCTTGTACCGATGAGTCGACACTGTTTAATAACTGTTCACAGTCGAAAGTCAGCAATCCTGGGGAAGAAGATATTTGATGGTTAGTCATTCTACTGAGAATGTAGTAAAGCATCCTGAGGTTGTAAATTCCTCCACTGCAGACCCACTTTTCCTTGGGGGATTTTGCTTCAGCTAAAAGTGATGTAGTTGATCTATCAATCTCAGCAAATCAGTTAGGCTTTTTTTGTTTCTTCGGGGCCAGATTGTGTTCAATCTCTTTAGGAAAATGCAACGTTGACCTCTCTTCTGTGTGATCTCAACGTGGTGTGTGGTGGTCAAGCTGCATTAGAAAGGGAGAAGAAAACCGAAGTAAGCGATTGCACTGAGACGTGTGAGGCTGATTTCACTGGTCCATATTCAGGTTGCAAAGAGTGGTTTAAAGGAATCCGAAGACTATTAGTCCTGATACGCAGATCGACTACTTACTGCTTCTCCTGATGTTGTTCAACTGGAACTACTAATGCCTTCCCCTTCTGAAGTTAGGATGGAGAATAAACCTCTGTGATCATCTCATAAACCCTTCGCTGAGAGACTAGCATCTGAAGAACAGAAGCAATACAAAAGGCTGGCTGTGTAATGAAACAGACTGATCAACTTGGAACATCAGATGATTGTTCTCCAGCAAAAGATGCATCTGCCGCTGTTTTTTCAGCCTGAGGAAACTTTGGAGCTGAGGATAACTCAGAGCTAGAAGACATGGATCTCTGTCACTGTCACAGTCACAGACATTCTTAATCAAGAATATCCGGAAGTAGACACTATCCATACTGCATCGGAGCAGTGTGGAAAAATCAGTTCCTCGGCTTCTATGTTTGTAGATCCCAGAGTCCAAATGAGTGGAGACACAGTTTTCCAGAATCTCTGAAGGCATGTCGAAAGAGGATTTATTTTCTGGACAGATACTGAAAAGAATTGCAACACTAATCAAGAACTTGGCCCGATGTACAAGTTGTAAAGAGACCTCCTGATTCTGTAGCATTTTCAAGCAGAGAGCAAGAATCAGGAACTCAAATACCCATGGATGAGGGTTTCTCAGTCCAAGACGATATGCAGCCTAATGAGTTCAATTTGTTGAGCGACAACACTTTGACATCAGAAAGCAATGGAGACGGTGCTTCTGAAAGTAGTAGCAGTTGTACGTGTTCGTCACAAGGCATACCACTGTTAGTGATTTAACCCAGTCTCCACTAGCGAGCTTTTTCTATTCTTCCGGGTTTATGTTAAGAATTGAATGATAATTCACTGTTTCAACAGGGATGCTAAGCTTGAGAAGAAACCTGATCCTATTATTGTAAAGCCTCCAAATGCTGATCCATTTTCTGACGAGTGGTTAGCTGCAATTGAGGCTGCTGGAGAGGTATAAACATTCATGAAACCATGATGATTAACTGAAAATCCGTTTGCTTTTTTATTGCATATGAGATAGAAATTATATGGCAACACCTCAGCAGATCGCTTATGTTACATTTGCAGGAGATTTTAACACTGAAGAGTGGACGTCTACAAATATTCACCAACCGACAAATCTTCTCCTGAACGAAGTCCATGGTCTCCGGTATAATCCTCTCTCCCCCTTTCATTACCATTTTTTTTCCAGTCAATCTGCATTTGAAATGTTTGGACTTGATTGAGTTTGGATGATTTTCGGCTAGTGTGACAGACTGACAGATAACAACACTAGGAGGAATTCACCTCTTATTTGTTCTTTAATTTTCACCAATTGGTCGAATAGCGCCACTGCAAGCTTCATATCATATCTTGAAACTATTTTGAGGAATTTCATCTTTTGTGATGATCAGGTCAAGAAGAAGGACCATTGGACTGTGAAAACTAGGTTTCTTCTACCTTAACCATTCCTTTCTTTATTTTTCACCCTTTTATCACTAAATATTTGTTGAACACACTCGCCTTTTTTGTATACTTAAAGAAATAATGTAGAAGAAAACTTATTGTTTTGTTTCGATCTTGTTTATGCATGAATGGCTTCCATAAGGGCTATTTTTTCTCACACCTTTTTTTGTATTGTGGTTGGGTAATTTTGGTAATAATTATTATGTAACAAGGACTGGTTTATGCATATGTGATATGTGTAGCCATTATTTCCCAGGAGATCACCTATCTCTAGATATTTTGGGAAATTATATGATACATGGTTGATATTGTGAATAACTAACTCGTTTCGTAAAATATGACTTTGCAATTCGTCCTAAACAATGTAGTAAATGGGAAGAGAGAAGACGGGGTAGAAAGATAAATAAATATTTGGACTTGTTAAGAAATACAAACACGAGTGGAGGAGAGTAAAATACAAAAGACAAGACCGACCATTCGTTTCCAACATAATCAAAATCCTACCCAATTAAACTCGTTCACCAGCCTATCTTTTTCATCACTGGGGAGAGGGCCTCCTCCAGCTGCTAGGCTTCCCCAATACCAATGTAAAGGTCCAACATGAACTATCGGTCCACCTCCACCGTCAGGCTGTGCTAAGAAAATGTTGACGCTTCCGAAATTCGTACGGTTGAGAGTACGGATGAAGCCGATGTCTCGTGACTTGTCTCCCACGATCAGAAGAGCATTTAAAAACGAACCGGAGAGTAGATATGTTAACATGTCCTCTTGAATCGACCCAAGTCTCTTGTCCTGCGATCCTGCTTCAGTTACGTTCTTTGGCATGATATCAGCGGAGAAAAACTCCCATCTCTTTCCCCGTCGTGTTCCCATAAGCCATCATTGAAACCGGACCAACACAACCAGCGTTTTTAGGGCACTTTTTATGTTACTCGCAACCTCTTCAAGACTTGACCCATCAGGGATCTTGCAATCCTCTATGTCCCAGTACACGTTTACCTTGTTTTCTGCAAAAAGAAAAAGAAACAATCGTCAGAATTTGGGATCCGCTGATTCAATTTACTATGAAAGATAATGAAATTCAATCAGATCTACTAAATTTTTCAATCATCCTAAGCAACCCAGCAACAAAAAGGTGTAAAACAGAGTTAGAGATGGAATATCTTTACTGGCGAACAGTTTGCGGTATGCCGTATCCATGGATGGTTTTGACGGATTGATCGAGATACTCAAAGATCTTTTTTTTTGTTTTTCTGTGTCTGTGCGTATCAGATATGCTTTGCGACAAAGGATGGCGTCCTTTTATAGCCGCGGATTATCGCATTGAAGCCCAATTTCCATTTTATTAAAGTCCAATTTCCTTTTTACAAATTGAACTTTAAATGGAAATATCGTATTCAGGAGAAAATCTTTCGTTTTGAACTGAGAATCCAAAATTATGGAAATATATATTTCGAATTGATTATAATGTTTTATGATCTCAATGACATATCGACAAATATCAACTGCTCAAATTAATTGGAGCAGTTTGAACTTTGAAGTTTTTTTTTTTTTTTTTTTTTGATAACCAGTTTGAAGTTTTTGTTGTGGCCGAGAACTAAAAAACAATGCATGATATAGAGACGAGAATTCACATATACCTCCACAATGAACCAATTGCAAGCCCCACAATGACAAGGCCATGAGTAAGCTACAAGAATTGATAAACATAGTAATCTCTAGGAATCTTAGCTCAGTGAGGCATATCTTGGTCAACTGGATAAAACTCGGAAAATGGGGAAAAGAAACCTCAATGGCCAGAGAATTGCTGAGAAAGTAAACGAGGCCAGTGACAGCAGCGGACATTACTTTTCTTTACTGTTTGATCTTTCCTTCCAACTTTCAAACTCTGTTTCCAATTTAACAAACACTACAAGCATTTTGTTGATGAACGTGGATACCGACGTTCAAAAATCAGACTTCAAAGACCATACTCCGAATCAAAAGACTCCAAAACGGTGAACGTGGATACCGACGATTTCGGTTTACTATGACTAAAAGACGCAAAACCGCAAAAAAAAAAAAAAAAAAAAAAAAAGACAAGTCAAACTTGACATTGTCATTGACTTAAAAGACTCCAAACAGCTGAACTTGGATGCCGATTGAACTAACTCGGGTTCCTCCTCAACTACTGATGATCCGAACTTCATGTAAGGCTCATTTCCAGTGGAGAACTCTCTCCAATAATAAGAGGTCTTAGATCGGTTGAACACTTCCTCACTAGTAGACTCATCCTCACGGTGAACGATTATTAAGATAATCACGATTATCGGAGACAAGTACAAGATTAGCAGTTACACTGTTATGGCTTAACCAAGAAAACATTGGTACATAATCTCGTAGAGTCTGATACGGAGATGAGCACTATCAGCAGAGATGAGCACTAGGTTAGCATGCACACAGTAATGGGCTAAGAAAGAGAACATTTGGTAGATTAGCTCTTTGTCAGATAGGTCCTTGTCGTCTTTGCAAACTGTCCCATCATCGTTCCACTTCCTTGGCATGTCAATCAAAGTTACCCCGACGACTCAATTGCCATCCATTTCTTATTACCATGCGCACTAAAGACATGGTTTAAATCCCCAATGCCATAAAACTTCTCTATGAGACCACTAAAACCACATTTCTTCAACGCTTCACCGGCCTTTTCCGGGTCATGAAAGATGTAATTCCTTGCTAACGAGTAGTCATCCATGGTGAAAGTAGAGAATTATGTTGTGGTGTGCACAGTCTTTGTACATTGTACATTGTAATCATCTTTAAGTGAATTTCTAAATGCTGAAGTTGATGTTTTTTTGTTTGGTTGGTGTGAAGGATATCATACTGTATCCACCCACCATAAGTACAACTCTATCTATTTCTAAGAATAACCTCAATATACTTTATCCTCCATAAGCTGATTGTGAATAATTGCAAGACTTCATTGATTATATGGGAAAAATATTCGATGACTCACATCTCTATGAGGTGAACAAAATTCTGTAACAATATTATCATTTATAAACAACAATAATTTGTGAGAAAACAAGTTTTAGACCACATGAAACTTTATGTAGAATGCAAAACACACTACATATCTTAACGAGAATTATCGAGGCGGAGATAATTGCTTCAAGACCTCAAGTCCCCGGTCAATACCACTTTCTCTTTTGTAATGTTTTTTTGAAAGTTTTGTCTCTTGACTTATAACTTATCACCAGGCTCGTGTTATTTTAACAGAACATCCGATATGCACAATGTAAAAGTCAACGTTAGACATTCTATCTAAATTTTGTGGTTTGACCAAGAACAATTTGACAATCTAGTAAGATCTTCTCTTAACTTTTTATTTGTCCATTTATGATAATATTGTTACAAAATTTACCAAATGAACACTAATAGATCTTGTGGAGACAGAAATGCTTTTCAATTTCAACATGGCAACATGTCTAGACATTAGGGACTTCTATGTGAATTTTGATCCAATATATCTCATTTCTGCATCACTAATTAATATTATTAATTTCTAGTTATATATTGCTTTTAAATCTTGTATGTTGTGATTCATAACTTCCTTAAAGACTTGTTATAGTTAGTACATGCATGATGCATCACCTGAGAACATTTGAAATTTCATGAGTTCTAAGGAAAACATATATTTTTGGTGTAGGAAGAACAAATTAAGACCGTTTCTTTTAAACCCTGATGTCGGTCAACAATTGTATTTAGAAGAAAAAAAACATAAAACAAAAACTCAACTAGAACACGTTGACCAACAAAAAATCCAACTATAATAATTTATTATACTTTTCGCTTATCTAGAATGATATGATACACACGTATCTATGTATCAGTGTATGCAACTGCTTAGAAATAAGACGAATCCTAAATATTCACACAAGTCTACACTTGACTTTTTTGTCTCAAGCGAAATGATACATAACATATAGCCCACGCGCACTAGATAGTCTACATTTACATACTCATCATCTCAGCTCCTTTTCAATTAAAGTAGTATTGTTTTCTTAATTGGTTAAATTATATCACATGAACATTCTTTTCACAACGTACAATATAAAATTACAATTTCAATTCTGGTGAACTGATCTTTCATTAATATTACATGCTCATGATGCCATGATGGATCAAATAAGTTTATTTTCCTCCACAATTTATACGTCCACCAAAATGCTTATAATATAAAACCATTGAACCACACAAGGTGAGACAATTTCTTGTGAAATCTTCACCTCACGCACTTGACGCGCGTTAGGGAAACATTTACAAATACAATGAGTTACGTAGGTGGAACCTTCCGCAAGAGACTATTTTATAAATATTACATTTCTTTACTGTTTGATCTTTCCTTCCAACTTTCATACTCTGTTCAATATTTAACATTAGTCGTTTCCTCATTTTGATCTGCGAAATTTCTAAATAATTGCAAGCTGAATAATACCTCCGGATATTAACTTACAAAATACCCTTTTAGCCAGCCTTTTTTATGTCACATTTAGATTATAATATTTCTATATAATCCAAAAAACACTCCCCCCATTATATCTCCTTTTCATTGTATATCCTTCTATCACAAACAAAAATAATTCTCTGTTCGATTTGCCTTCTGTCTCTTCTTCAAACCTCAAAAATGGAGTTATTCACAAAAGGAAACGGCGTCAAGTTACGGAGCCACCTGGACAAGTTTTTGGTCGCCGACGATGACCAAGAAACCATCCGTCAAAGCCGTAAAGGAGATTCACGGCGTGCCGTGTGGACCGTGGAGACCGTCGTCGATAAACCGAATCTGATAAGACTAAGGAGCTGCCACGGCACGTACTTAACGGCGAGCAATAAACCGTTACTGCTTGGTATGACCGGTGAGAAGGTGACTCAAACGCCGTCGTCAAACAAACCTATGGATTGGCAAACCCAGTGGGAACCGGAGAGAGATGGGTTTTCCGTGAAGCTGAAATCTTGGTGCGGGAAATGGATGAGAGCTAACGGAGGAACGCCGCCGTGGAGAAACTCCGTTACTCACGACGAGCCTCATACGTTGAAGACCAAGAACTGGTTGATTTGGGATGTGATCACTGTTGATGGTTCTGATCTTGAGAACATGTCTGATGGAGATGAGAGCTCTGTTTCTTCTCCGGTCTCTTCACATCTTTCCGGGTCAGCACCCGGGTCGCCCGCCTCTGCCGGGTCTATGAAGAGCATCGGTCGGTTCGCTTCTCTTGGTTTAACTATGTCTCCGAGGTGGTCCCCAAAACCGGTAAGTTTGACTAAGTCTTTAATTATCAGTTTTAAGTTACAATGTGCATTAATTTTGTTTTTCTGGAGTAGTATTAATTAAGAGTACTATATAAAGTAATTATTGTTAGCAGAATTTTGTTTATCTGAAAATTGGTTGTCATGAAGTACATGGCAAAAAGGATGAGGATGAATTGCAGTATTAATATTTAAAATTTAGAAAAAAATATGCACATATATGATTCTTTTCTCCACTAACATATAATGCTCCACAAGCACAAAACATCGTTCCACCAACCTAATAGCACCAAAACATCATATATTCTTACTGTATTTTTATAATTTATTCAATGTTTAGTTTACTTAGAGAGTTAGAGCAACTTCTTATTTTATAATTTACTGTAGAAACTACAACAAGTTGAAAATGTGACACTTGAAATCCAACTAAAGTTACAATGATTGTCTTGAAAGGAGATTTTCTTGTAGTAAAACTTCTAACATGTAAGTGACAGTAAAAAATCATACAGAAGTTAGACATATCAATAGGCTTGCTGGTTAAGAAAGAAAATTATACCTTTTCCTTTTAACCAACAACAAAAACTTATACCTAATGGCTTTAGATAAATAAATACAATTCCAACTAACACAACTACACAAGACACGTGGGAAAAAAGTAAGGTAAAAATGGTAGTGTTAGTTATGATTTCTTAGTGATGGAGCATCGCTGATGGGTCCATTTGAATTGAAAGGAAACAACAAGGAGAGTCCCACACACATGAATTTCCTCTCTTGGTCTTTCTTGCGGGCAATTAGAACTAGACATTTATTCTCTAAATATTCGCTTGAATCCTCTTTTTTCTACTCCATTCTTTTATGGTATAAGGACACTATTACATTTTGGGCAGAAAAGGGCCATATAAGTTTCTCTTTTCTTAGATTTTGGTTAGAAATTTTTGTTAATAATTATTTTAGTAACTACCAAGTTCATAATGGAGCATCTGAATCAAACAGTATGAGTGATTGGAAGGTATTTTAACTGAAAACTGTTTCAATAAATAGTTTCATACAATGAATCTAAGTGAAGTAAAGTAACATAATTATAACAGAAGGTAACCACCAATAGTTCTTTTCAAATTTAACAACAATTCTAAAAGTTAAATATAGTAGCAATTTTATAATCTTGGAAAACAAAACAAAGTTTACAAGCTAATCCTAATTTGGTCTTGAAATTATGTAATAAAATACACACGAATTGGTTGGAGTCTTGGGATTATCATAGTCGACTAATCTAAATCGAAAGACGTTATGCTAATCTAAATCGAAAGACGCGTTACATACATTACATTTACAAGTAACATTGCCCTTGTACAGTGTACTAGTTTGAACCACAAGTTAAAAAGCCCTATCAGAAAAATGGAAAACATTTAAATTTTTAGGACTCATATCATAATATGCTGACGTGGAACGCGGTAAATCCAGTCAGCGAAATTTGACTTTTCCAGATTTTTAATTTTGCATCATTCCGTGTTTGTGTCCGCGTTACCGTAAAGGTCGATTTAGACCAGTCAAGTGAGATCCACACATAATTTTATAAATACACAGACAATGTCTCACTGACTTTACCCATTCTCATTTATTTTACAGAAGACGAGTAGTAGCTTCAACCAAAAGGAAACAGTATCAGCAATGGAGTTTTTCCAGAAGGCGAAAGCTGTTCGAATGCGTAACAGCCACAACAAGTATCTAATAGCAGACGACGACGAAGAGACGGTGACTCAAGACAGAAACGGATCGGCCAAAAACGCTAGATGGATCGTGGAGCCGGTTCGTGATTCTTACCACTTCATCCGTCTTAAAAGCTGTTACGGCAAATACCTAACCGCTTCGAACGAGCGGTTCTTGCTCGGAGCGACGGGGAAGAAAGTGGTTCAGTTAAACCCGAGCCGGCTCGATTCGTTTGTCGAGTGGGAACCGGTTAGAGAAGGATCGAAAATCAAGCTCAGGACGAGAACCGGTAAATATCTCCGAGCCAATGGAGGACTTCCTCCGTATAGAAACTCTGTTACGCACGACAGTCCTCATTTGTCGGCTACTCAGGATTCGATCTCGTGGGAGGTTGATGTCGTCGAGATTTTGATTAATCCTCAATCCGCGGCGGAAGCAGAGACTCCGTCGGCACCGAAAGCGCCGCCGCCGCATAGGAGGCCGACGAATTCGCCGTTGTCGGTTTCGCATTCGAGGACTTCGTCTTCTCTTTCAGAGAGATCCGATCCAGATGTGAGTACTTTTTCCTATTTTCGTAATTTACCAAAACACCCTTCAAATTTGTTTGAATTTACCGTCGTTAACATTTTGTTTTGATTTTTTTGACCAGTCGTCGGTTGAGTACCAGTCTCCGCCGAAATCTGATGGTGGGAGAACAATCTATTACCACATCGCGGACGAGGAAGGACACGTGGAGGACGAGACTACCGTTGGATATGCTTTCACGTTTAAAGGAAACAGCGTGGCACAACTCACGGAGACACTGCGAGAGGAAACGTGTTTGGAGGACGCTGTGGTGTGCACTCGCAGTCCCTTAAACGGCAAGCTGTTTCCGCTTCGTTTGCAACTCCCGCCTAACAACGGAACATTGCATGTCGTTGTACTGCCGTCCAGTGCTAGCCTCTAGAGACGTGAGTATTCTCATCTTTTAACTTTTTCTTTAGATAAATGAGACTAGAGTTACTAAACATTTGGCTTGTTTTGTTTGTTAAATTCATCAGTGGCACAAGATTGGGAGGATGCATTGCAAAAATAATTGATCGAGTTATGCCATTGAGAGACGTTTGAAATGAGTGATTGGGTTACTTGGTTGGTGAAGCATATGATATGAACCTTACAAGAAGATAAAAAGAGTTGGTAGTTGGTACAAGACTCGTGGTCACGGAGATAAAAAAAGGTGTCACACTTGAGCCTTGCATAATCTTTAGTAAGCGTTTTGATTATAGAAAATACTTATAGATTCTTTTGGGGGATATAGTACAAGTTGTTTGTTTGTTTTTTGTTTTTGTAAATAAGCGATTTCTTTGTAAAAACGAACAACTGGATTTTTAGGGGTTCATTTGTGTGAGCATATACATTCGCCAGAAACTAATATTATTATTTCTCTTATATCTATATCATGTCATAAACCAGTAACGGAAAAAAATAAGTCAAGTTGTATCTTGAAAACTTGAGTATATGCAAATGCAACCAGCAAGGCAAGTGGCGAAAAGGTTAGGTGGAAATAGATGTCATGTTACTCTATCCATATCAACCGAGTCTCAATTGATCTATGACAACTTGCCATTTTTCGAAGAGATCTCCAACACATAGACATAGTCACATAGACTCCAAAAATACAGTTGTGTGCACCTATGCATGAAGTCATTTGAGAACATGATTGACTTGAAAAAAATAGTATATATCACGCAATACAACAAGGAATGCTAGCACTGGAAAGCTCGAGAAAACAAGCAAATGTCATTCACCCAAGCAAGTGGCGAAAAAAGTTAAGGTGGAAGTAGATATCATGTTACTCTATCCATATCAACCGAGACCGAGTCTCCATATTGATCTATGACAACTTGCCATTTCTCGAAGAGATCTCCAACATAGTCACATAGACTCCAAAAATACAGTTGTGTGCACCTATGCATGAAGTCATTTGAGAACATGATTGACTTGGGAAAATAGCATATATCACACAATACAACAAGGAATGCTAGCACTGAACTGTACAAACTTTTGGAATGTTTAAAGAAGTATGTGAGAGAATTTGATCAAGCAAAATGTTGATCAGCAGCATTGCACTAGGCATTTATAAGGGGGATCGATAGTGAATGAAGTTTTGAAGATACTATTTATTTAACAACAGAAAATCTTATTTCCCAATTCATTTACCAAAACTTTTTATGATTTTTAAATCAAATATCTTCATTTCTATTTTTTTTTTTTCAAAAGTAAGAGTAAAAACAGATTTCTCATGTTTTTGTTTTTTTTTTGTTAACGGGTCTTCATTTCTCATGTTTTTCATTAACTTGGAAAATATATATTCCTAAACAATATTTGCAAAAGTCCTTTTTTATAAAAGAAGAAAAAGGAAAGAAAGAGGAAATGAGAGTTTCTTATCATTTACAAGCAATCATAAATTGACAAATAATATATTCGTTCAGGAAAATCTAATCCACAAAAAAATACTAGTTTGGAAGAAAATCTACCCAAATAGTTAGGAAATTTGATTCGACCCCTCGTATTTATATTTAAGAATTATCATAATCTCTCCCGAACATTCCTGGATCTATCTTTCTAATTTCCTTTATATATAAATGTAAATCAACATAACACAGCTGAAAAAATCAGACGCTTCAACTTATCCTATATCTCAGAAAACCCTAACCATCCTCCTCTTTCTCTCTTCCTCCGCCACCGCCGCCGCTTTTCAACGGTGGTGTATTATCTCAACCGGTCATTTCGATCTCCCAACACAAAATCGTCGCCATGGCTGCTCCTGCTACTTCAGAAACCAGTGAAGGACCGGTCCTGGCTTTCATCAACAAGCGTCTCCGTGCCCTCCGCAAAAAACAAAACCGAATCACTCAGATGGAAGAATCGATCTCTCAGGGGAAAACCCTAAACAAGGAGCAGGAGGAAGTCCTCCGCTCGAAACCAGCCGTCCTCATCCTCATCGAAGAGCTCGACAAGCTCCGTGCTCCTCTCTCCGCCGCCGTCTCAGAAGAAATCAGCCTCGCCACTAAGCACATCCGAGCTTCACCCGATCAATCCACCGCCGTTGCCGCCGAGGAAAACGATGTCGCAGCTGAGCCTCCTCGGGAAGCCAGCAGCACAGACGGCGGCTCCAAGCTCGAGCTCGAGGATTTGGTGAACATTTTGTATTTCGGTTCGCTGTTCGATGTGAAGTCGCAGAACGAGTTCACTTCGACAATGTTGACGAGGACGCACGAGAGAGGATGCTGCTTGACTTACGATTACGTGACCGACGACGCGACGGATCTGCTCGGCGATCGCGATTTGGATTCGATTTCCAAGCTCTGGAGCTTGATGATCTCTCGCCCTGTGGATTCGAGCCTGTCTCACAAGAACGCGTTGGAGCGTTGCATTGAGCACGCCAAGTTGTGGCTCTCTAACTCGGATCAGCTAATTGAATCCAACTGCGACGTCTCGTGTAAGTTGAAATTCTGAAATCTGTTTACATCTCTGTGTTTTTTGGTTGGTTTTCTCTACTTAGTGAGTGAGATTTTTATGGTTTCAGATGCTGGTTTGAGAGAGAAGTTGAAGAAGATAATGGCTTCTGATTACTTCACTACTACCCCGGAGATGAAAGCTCCCATTGAAGTGGCGGCTGCTGCTGGAAACTACGCTTCAATTGAATCTGCAGCTGGGCACTACCAGCAAAAGGTATTCACTTCTTTTTGAATTTGAGAGTTTTATCTTTCGCAGAGTCTGTGTTTTGAATTTGAGAGGGAACTCTCAGTTCTCAATGGGTACTATGAAATTCATAGATTTCCTGAATTCTTGTTCTGTGAAACTTGTATAAGACTGCATTGTTGCTTGGTCACCATTTGTGTATAGGTAAAAGTTCACTGCGTTGTGGGATGCAAAGCTCTAACTTGATCTGAAGGAGGAGATTAATTATACCCTTTCTTTAGGAGAGAAATTTTGTCTAGGCTGGTGCTACGATGCAACATAAGAGTTAGATATGGCATATGAGATCTTTAGCAAGCTTAAGTTGTTTTGGATAGGAATCAGATAAGAAAGTACAATGTGAAATTTCAATATGCCCTGTTACTTATGTGATTGTTCACTGTTCTCTTGGTTTTTTCTGGAACTCTGTTCCTGGTTAAAATAAGCTTTGTGGTAGTCATACTATATGAGTTTGCTATATATCTTGAGTGTTTCACTAAGTGATTGATCTCTTTTAGTCTGTGGGATTCATCAATCATCATCATTCATGTTCTCTGTTTCGCAGGAAGAAGATGCATCAAACGGCAAAGAACAAGAATCAGTTGGTAATGATCAGTCTCTACAGGATGAGCAACAAAAGGTAAACCTAGTGAAAACGTGGAGCTCTAACTATCCACTAAGTGAATCTTCTCAAGTCTGAATTCTGATGATGCTTCTCTTTATTTGTTGTTGGTGTGAAGGATCGGTCAGTGACAGCGGAAGGAGAGGTGGTACAGGGACAAGAGGAACAAGGCTACACTCAGGTGGGAGGAGAGAACGCTAGAAGAGGAGACTCTGAGCAACAGTATGTGCCGCGTGGTTCTTACCAGAACCAGAGAGGCCGCCGAGGTGTTCGAAGAGGCTACTCCAATGGCCGGGGAGGTCGAGGAGGTGGTGGTTATCCGAATGGTAATGGTAATTCCGGTGGAAACGGTTACCCAAGAAGCTACTACAGCAACAGAGGAAGGGGACGTGGCGGTGGTAATGGTGGTGGAGGAAATGGCCATTCATACAACAACAACCACCAAGACTCTGCTGCTCCTGTTGCTTCTTAGATTTTTAGCCTCTGGCTTTTGGGTGCGTCTCTTTCATATTCTCCCGTTTCTGGTACAACTTATATAAAGCCTAATCTCTTGTTTAAAACGTTTGACAATTGCTCGGTTTTTGTTTTTATGAATCCTTCTTATCTTTGGCTATCAATTTTTACTGTCTCTTAACAAATGAGCAGTAGTTCTTTTTTTTCCCCTTGAGAGCCATTTCTGATAATCAAATATAGCTTTATTACAATCCAAACAGCACATAATAATAAAGCTAATAACGCTACTTAGCTTGTAGTTTAGTCATGTAAGTGGTGGTTTTTAGTTCTAGACCACCAAAGATTTTTCTTCTTCCTCCAAATCTTCTATTTGTGAACCGGTCTTGTACTGGTAACTCCGGGCACAGTACCAGAAATAGAGAAGGTTAACCACACCCAAACCGGCAATCAAATAGTAGACGTAATCTAGTCTCCCTTTATCAAGATCATTGTTCAGCCAGTCCGGCGAGACTGTGAACTTATGCACGGTGGCCACCAGCAGACTGCTCAGATAACTAGCTGCGGCGAAGGAGAGTGGGAACAGCGAATTCGCGATGCTCCTCATGTGATCCGGGAACTGACTGTTGAAGAACTCGATCTGTCCGATGAAGTTAAACGACTCGCAAAGTCCTGCTAAGATCAGCTGCAGGGCCAGCCAAAACACCGACGTCTGCTTCATTTCGACAGCCCGTGTCCTTCTCGCTCTTTCCACGAATCCTGCGGTGAACATAGTGAGGATGGCGAAGAAGATCCCTATCCCCATACGTTGAAGGAGACTGATCCTGTACTTGTGCCTTCGCCATAAGGACGGGATTACGATGCGGTCGTAGATAGGCACCCAAATGCCTATTGTCATGAAAGAGATTACGGATATGGAACCGGGCGGGACTTCAAAGTGCGGACCCATGTGTCTGTCCATTTTCGTAGCTTGAGGGATTATGAAGGCTGTTTGTGTGGTCATTGCAACGAGCAAGATTATTCCAGCAGACCAAACCGGAACTACTCTGATCAAACACTTTAACTCTTCAACTTCTTGAATGCTACATAGCCTCCACTTGTTTGCCTGAACTCCATCGGATTTCAGATCACAATCTTCGATCACCGCCGCTTTGTTGAGGAACCTAAAATGTAACCAATACATTTTCACTTAATAATATTTTCATAAAAAAAAAAATCAAGACTGAATCTTTCAAGAAGTGTAATACTTGTACTGGTTGGTGAGAGGTAACTTGGATAACACGCCAGGTTTAACCGGCGGGTCATAATACTCCACTGTCCCGTCATCCTCCATCGGAAGCTTGAGGTTCCGTTTCTTATGAGCGGCGACGATGACTCGAGCGATACTAGAGAACACACTCCCTTGCGGTTTGACACGCACGTAAAACCTCATACCGATAAAGAACATAACGATCGAGCAAGCCATTAAACCGGTGGGAATGCCAAAACCGACGACCCAGCTGAAGTTGTCCTGTATGTAGACAAAGACGGTATGCGCAAAGATGAGGACGACGGAGAAAGTTAAGTAGTACCAGTTGAAGTAACTGGCCATTCCTTCAAGGCCTTTCTCTGTTCTTTGGTCAAACTGGTCAGCTCCGAATGGGATGCTGCATGGTCGGATTCCTCCGCTGCCAACGGTGAGAAAGGCGAGGCCGAGCAAGAGAGTTCCGAGCTGGAGTTTGTTTGGACCGACGCAAGTCTCCGGATGTTGTTGGATGTTGCACGGTGGTGGGTGGAGTTGGTGCACCCATGATGTGAGTGTCACAGTCATTAGTCCCTGTTTTTAGATTTATCATAAAATAGATCGAGTCCTTCTTCATGGAAAACACATTGAGCATGAATGAAATTTAATTTATAGGAGCTTTAATTATAGCATAGTTATCTAGACAAAAGTTTATAATTATCTGTTACAGTTCAATTGCGTTACGGAAGCTCTTTAAAATGGAAGTGTAAATTCATCAAATGGTAATTGCTAAAGGAAAAAAGTTGTCTTGCTAAATTTGAAAAAGATGAAAAAAACAAAATGGCATATATGCTGCTTTTGTCTAGCCTAGTGATATTGATATTGATAGACCGTCTGAATTTGTCTGCATTATGTATGAAAACAATGAGTGAACAAAAATTCAGTAAGAAGTGGAAATTTCAATCTTATCATACAATAATGCAAAGTATAATTGGGACATCTCAAAACCAAATTATAAACTAATCTACGAAGTGAATAGCTACTAAGTGATAGTGACCAAAGAGAACAAATATGTATTACCTAAACCAAAGTAACTAGACTGTCATCACTTTGGTTCGGTTGTTCAACAGTCCATTTCAAGCTTATTACCAAAGTCATTCTTTATGTAATTGTAGAATAAAGGATAGAGAGAGTGAGGAACGTACAAAAAGGGAGAAGAAGGAGGCGAAAGCGATGGTCTTGAAGCGGCCAATGTAGGCGTCGGAGATTATGGCGCCGAAGAGTGTAGCGAAATTGGTGAAACCTAACCACACGTTCAAAATGATTGTAGCTTCCACTAGCTCCAAGTGGAGCACTCTGGTTAAATACGCCATGAAATTCGCCCCAATTCCCATCGTTCCAAGTCTCTCCAGCGTCTCATTTGCTTAATTGTTATATCAAAAAGTGAAAATTAATCTCACCAAATACAAAACCATGTATATCCTTTTACACAAAAGATAAAATAAAATACAATACCAATTATAAGTAGTTCCCAAATAATGTTTTTGAGCCAATAGTTTCGTTTACTTAAGTTGAAAGTTGGAACTACCGTTAAATACAAATTAGTGCATGTCTGGAAAGAATATATGTATTTTGCAGTAGCATTTGTCTCAAAGAAAACAGAAATATGTAAAATATAAGACAAAAATGATCTACGGTTACACTAAAAATCAATTGAAAAGTATGAATGAGAGACGTGTACAATGGATGAAGAGATTCTTATCCATTTAATAACTTGTTTTTTGTTAAACGATCCATTTAATAACTTACCAAGTTTTTTTCTTCTTTGTTTGGATAAAGAATATATAGTTTACCATGTTGAGATTTTTCAAAAGAAAACTTGGAAAATAAATTATTGGAAGAAACGAGAAAAGAACATACCAAGGATGAACGAGACGGCTGTCCAGCCTCCACGTTTTTTCTCCGGCGAACTTTTCCGATCCTCCGGCTTTTCAACTACTTCCATCTCTGGTGATGACCACAATGATCTGAAGAGAAAGAAGGAAAATACAATCGGTCATCAGAATGTTATTAACCTTGTGAACAGGCTTTAAAGTTTACAATATACAGAATATTTTGAATTTGCTTTTTTGAGTAGAATATAGTGTGAGAAACACTAATACATTCTGACTAAGGCACTTACTCAGTAACTGGAAGATGAAATGAAGATGATGAGGATTATATTATTTGTAGAGATATACAGGTTGAGAGAGAGGGAGAGAGAAGAAAATAAATTTCTTTCTTTCTAACGCTTTTTTAATTTAGACTGCCTACGGGAACAATGCATGGTGTGTGTGTATATATATATATATATATCTTTTTTTGTTGTTCTTCTTATTAGTGGTGTGTATCTCGTTTTATTTTCAAATTTTGTTTCCAATGAGATTTTGCCATGTGTGATGAAGTGATATGCCAGTTCAGAAAAAGGCTAAATATAGTAGATGTAAAATGCTAATTCAAATGGAAACGTCAAAACTTCACAAAAAAACAATTTCCAGTTAGATTTTACAAGTCAGTAATAGATACATATTTTTTGAAAAAAGAAAACGAAAATCAAGTATAGTAGAAAATATTGTAAAATAGAAAAAATAGTTTCCCCCCCCCCCCCCCCCTTTTTTATGACTCATACTTCCATTCACTTGAACATGATACGGTATACATCCTCATGAATCATGAAGAACATTAGTTGTCAATTGTTATACATTCATGAATGTAAAAATGATAGATAAAAATTGACAGTCTTGTTATACGTTATTGGATGGTGAAAATGCCAGCTTGCTCTATTTTGATCATGTAAATAGGGAAAAGAATCAGGCTGCTGATGTCTTAGCTAAAAAAGTTCATACTTTTCCTGTTTCATTATGTAATTTTTCTATTCCGCCTTCTTTCCTTCTTGAATATTTGTATTTCCCATTTACGATTAAAACAAAAAAACGACAGTCTTGTTAAATTGATCTTTAGCTACTACATTTGCTGTGCCAACCAAACGAGAGAAAAAGTATTACAGTAGAAACTCTATAAATTAATAATGTCGGGCACATAATATTTTATTAATTTAACGAAATATTAATTTATCGAGAGATTATTGGATCAAAAACTTAATTTAGGACCACACAATTTTATTGATTTATCGAGTTATTAATTTATCGAGTATTAATTTATAGAGTTTCTACTGTAATACTTTTTCTACCGACAAATTCTTTGATTGATAAGTCTATTATCGGTTCAATAAAAATAGTGATATGAATCAATAATAAAACTTTATGGTACTTTTTGATATAATTCTCAAAATTTTAAATATGATTACCTTTAAAAATATATGTAAAATTTTATTAAAGTTTACAAAAAAAAATTCTTTAGTAAAAAAAGATTTGATTGTCTTAAATATAAATATTATTATCATAAAACGAAAATTTAGTAAACCCGTAAATATGTTGGTGGTGTTGGATCGTCGCCTGTCCTCTAGACTGGGCCAAGATAAGCCCAATACTTAATATACAAGAAAAAGATAATATAAATACATTATTTTCAGCCGACTTCAACGTTGTTGGTTCGAATAATGTAGAATCGCAATCGGATGAACATAAGACAGTGACACAAAAGTGGTCGCTGAGAATCGTGACAAAATCGCGTTTTATAGAACAAATGATGATTATGTTTCTCCCTAAAATAGAAGAAACCAACAAAATTAGCCAAATGAGAGAGAGAGAATCTAAAAGAAACTAAAACGAAAGATACCTCAACTTCATCTGTGGAATTCGATTAACGTCCGAATAAAGCATACTCCTTTAATTTTTTTCAGATTGGAAAGCTTCGGTTTTTGTGCGGTCACTTTCTTCTTCCTCTCTGAGATTTTTCTTCTTAACCAAATCATTCGGTCTGGAGTACGTGTCACATATTCCCAGAGGCTTTGTTCTTGATGATGGCCACTTGATAAAAGGGCACCAAGTGTTCGACGAAATGCTCCAACCATGGTCTCTATCAACTCAGGCCCCATTTCATCTCTTGTTTATCGGAATTCGCTGATTGATTCCTCCGATTCCCTTTTGCCTCTTTCTTGTTTCTGTACGAATTATTCGACCAAGACTTGCATACGTTTCGCGTCGCTGAATCTTTTAGCTGCTAGAAAAGGTTGTGGGCCTGTTCTAGGGTTTCTCGAGGCCAATCCGAGGAAGAAAGGTTGTTGCTTTCGGTTTAGTGGGGTTTTGAGGATGTGCAATAATCGGAATCCGGGTTGGGAAAGCGAGGAGAGTAAGGATCTGGAAACGGAGATTTTGGAGTTCATGGAGAATTCTGAGAAACCTGGGATGTTTCCGAGCAAGAAGGATTTGATCCGTTGTGGAAGATTTGATCTTGTGGAGAGAATCGTAAATCAAGGTGGTTGGCTTTCCATGGGATGGGATTCTGATGAACAAGAAGAAGCAAAAGTGAACCAGAACGTCATGCTACGAGATTTGCCTATCGAGAAACAGCTTCGTAATCGCAATTCTCAAGCAATTGATGCTTTTGATCTTGCCTCAAGTCCTTCATCTTTAAGAGAGTGAGTCTTCTAATTTACAGTTCTTCTAATTCTATGCCATTTTGAATGTTAACGTTGGTTCTGTTTCTATCAGAGAAGTTGATGATGGGAATGAGAGTGGAATCGAAGGCATTTTGACCAGATTGGAGAAAGAAAGGAATTCGAGTTTAGGGATTAGCTTGAGTGGGAAAGGGGAAAGCAATGGTGCCATGAATGATAATACCTCCCCAAATGGTTTAGTTCCTCGGTCTTCGATGATTGTGGTATGTTAATTTTGTCTACAAAATTTGCTGTTCGTTGTACACAAACTTTGCTTACGTCCTGAGTTGTTTGCCTACATTTTTTCAAAAGAAGACAGCTAGTGAATTTCTTGAAGCCAAGCCAGTTTCAGGAACAAGAGGCTTAAGCGAATTGCCTACATCAGAAACATGGAGGACTTGGAGTATGAGGAGAGCTGGATTTACTGATGAAGATTTTGAAGGTATGGAGTGACTTCAGTCTTCTTCCACATACAGACTCAATAAAAGAAAAATCTAAAAGCCATAAAATGTATATTGTACAGCTGCTGAAATTTCTTCCAGTGGTTTGGATGGTGTGAAGAAGGATAATACGAATAAGGATTCTGGTGATGGCGCAAATGAAAAAGATACAACTTCATCTTCCCCAGAAGATATAAACACATCTCATATCAAAAGCCGTCTTCAGAATCTCCAGTCAGAACTTTCTTCTGTTCTTCACTCCCTTAGATCTAATCCTGATGAAGTTGTGACAAGTAAGGTAACATATGTTTTCATTTCTAGAACCTCTCTCTTTAATTGATCTCTCAGTAGCAACTCTGTTAGTGATTTTCATTTGGCATATTTCTGGATTATGATTTCATTTAGGATAGTGAGACAAATTCTGGAAACTTGGAGAACGTTTACGATGATTGGGAGTACAAAGAGAACGAGATCATACATGCACAGAGTAAATTACGGTCTACAAGGGCAAAGCTGGCAGTTCTTGAAGGAAAGATGGCTATGGCGATAATGTATGATTAGCTCATTTGGTAATGTGCAAATAGATAGGAGGGAGCTTACACTATCGTTTCTCACACTAGTTTTAACTTTTTCTTCTAGAGACGCACAGAGGATTGTAAGGGAGAAACAGAGAAAAATAGATCATGCCAGCAGAGCTTTACGGTTGCTCCGGACTGCATCCATAGTATGGCCTAATTCAGCCTCAGAAGTTCTACTAACTGGTTCGTTTGACGGTTGGTCTACTCAGGTTAGTTCACATCGATCTGTTAAATGAAATCAGAGTGCTTTGCAGCTGCTGAAATTGTTTTGTGATATTGCAACTTGCAAGCAGAGGAAAATGAAGAAAGCAGAGAACGGAGTCTTCTCTTTAACGCTGAAGCTGTATCCCGGAAAATATGAGGTTAGATGAGTATCTGCAACTAACATTTCTTCTTTCATGAGCAAAAAACAAAATCTTGACTTTGCTACATTTTCCTCACAGGTAAAGTTTATAGTTGATGGCCAGTGGAAAGTTGATCCGCTACGACCTATTGTGACTTGCAATGGATATGAAAACAATGTGCTCATCATCTCTTGACTTCAAAGGCAGCAACTTATGAGAACTAATCCCACCATCGATGGAGCATGAGCTGAATGAATCAGTAGGGTTTTAGTTTCTTTTGGAATTTCATTTTCATGTAGGGTAAAGTAGCCAAGGAAGATGTAGAGCTAGTTTTTGTTTATCTTGACAAAACAAGAAAGAAAGAAAGATGTGTATATCTCAAATTTTCCAACATTGTATTTGTACTTGATACAATAGAAGCACTATGTTCCTCTGACAAGACTCAGTTTAAACAATTGACTTCTTGCATTGTACAATTTTACACACATAAGATGTTATACATACATCCATGTCTATGATGAGGTTGGTGAAGAAGAAAGCCCTTGTTTTCGCTTTACTGTATAAGTAAATCCACTTCCACAATATACTTTAATCTCTTCCGTATGCAGATCTTTACTTCCTTGGCTCACCAGTTGAGGATTGGTCTCATCATTGGTGTTTCCAAGACCTAGCTGACCATGTTCACCCCATCCCCATGTATTAACGTCTCCGCTCTCTGCAAGACATATCCAAAGGTTGTTTCGTTAAATATCCAGAACAAGTCTGATGAAGAGAAACAGAATCGCACCCTCCCCTTTTTACCTGTTACAGCAGCAGAGTGCTCTGCTCCTGCTGCAATTTGCAAAACTTTAACTCCATCAAAACCTGAAACTTTCTCCAAGAGGGCTTCACATGAATCTGCTTGCCGTTGTTGTTTCTCAGATTGGTCATTAAGGGTGTTACCAAGCTTGAAAACCTCGCCATCAGCTGTTTAAACAAGTCCACAGACAGAAGAATGAGTTCAGTGAGCTAATGGAAGATATATTAACCAATGCATCCAATGAGAAAATTACCGGTTAGTAGTAAAGCATGATTCCATCCTAAAGCAACTTCTCTGAAAGTTAGAGATGAAGGCAAACACTGAGGGGTTTGAATATCAGGGCCGCCGCAGAATCCTCTTCCCCAACTGAATAAATGTCCATCAGCTGGTGAAGCACATCGGAAAATGGGTTAACAAAAAGATACACATGATTCGATCAACCAATGAAACAGAACAATTAGAGTTTTAAGGGTTAAACCAGATATAGCTGCACTGTGGTCTCCGTTAGCTGATATACGAACAACCTCAACATCTTCTAATCCAGAGACAAGACATGGCAGATTTACTGACTTTGTTCTGTCGGATGAGAAACCTAATTGTCCGCGCTTTCCAGATCCGAAAGCACACACTTGATTCTCTAGAGAAACACAAGATAAATCTCAAATGGAGAAAAACCAAACTTTTTTCTTGCAAACAGGTGAATGATGATGTATGAGATGTTACCTGCGAACAAGACAAGTGAGTGGCGCATCCCACAAGCTACCATCTTCACACTCTTATTAACAAAGTAAGAGACTTTAGCTGGAGAGGTTTGTGACATGTTATCACCATGACCAAGCTGACCAAACGACCCGTTTCCACATGTGAAAAGACAACCGGAATCTGCAATCAGACACAACACAAAAGGGAGATCAATCTATTTGTCCTAAAGCAGTTACAGAACTTTAATTTAAAAGTTTACCTGAAACGAAACCAGAGTGACTCCATCCAGCTGCAGCTTGAGTTATAACATAGTCGTCGAAGAAAGACACTGGTTTTGGCAATAAAGTGTTGAGAATATCTCCATGTCCTAATTGACCAGAGCTTCCTCTTCCCCATGACAAGACCTTACCACCTGCAAAAGCATTACTTATAGATGTTTGACCCGAAGACAAAAAAGTAGTCAAATCACACATTGAGTTAACGGATACCAGAAGTCAAAGCGATGACGTGAGCGCCGCCACAGGCGAGCGTCGATATGGAAGCAAGTGACGTCAGCGAGAGGAGCTGAGGGAGATGCTCGTCTTCCAGCTTGGCAGTCCCCAATTGGCCGTCCGTACCTGCGCCCCAGCTCCATACTTGCTCTACTTCTTCTTCTTCATCAGCCATTTATTGATCGCCTGTCACTGATTCCGGTGGAATCTGGACTTCGTTAACTGCGTTGGCTGAAACGATGCCGTAGAGAGGTTACTAGGGTTTTTGTAAAAGGAATCGAACGAACGAAGAAGACGGAGACTTTTGGCTCATTGACTCTGGTGATAATTCCTCATGTCGTCACTCGTCACCACACCACAAAGCGTTTTGGTTTATACTTTATAACGATTTTAACTGTGCGGATCGGTTTTTGTGATTATTAACCGGAACCGTCCACAAACAAGTCGTAGCTTTTGACCGGATTCAAAACTTTCTGGCGATTATGTTCAACGGTTTATGGATTTCGAGTTAAATCTTGTAGCGATTTATGAATGCTTTCTTGTTATCTAAACATTCAACCAAACTCAACTCATTCACAATATTTGATTATAATTTTAAAGAAAGTAATCGCCAAAACTGTAAAAGAAATAGAAGATAAAATTCCTATTTTTGACTAGAGAGATTGTCTTAAAGGATATCATCGTAGGCTAAAATCTCTCTGTGTTTGAATTCCGTTCTCGCCACCGGAGATAGATTTCCGCCGCTCTCTCCGTCCAAATTACTGCTTCTCGGATTGACAATGGCTGATGCTAGCCTATTTCTTCTCCCATGTTTTCTTAGAGGCATCTCAGGTCGGAGAAGCTTCGATGATAAAGACGGCGACGTTTTATCCTTTCCGTCTCCCACCGTCACACCTTCCCTCCACTTCACCAATGGATCCGTCTCCCAAACCACTTGCAACTGTAACACAAGCAACCCAATAATCAGGTTTGACACTAAAAGGAAAATTAGGTCAAATCGATGAGTGAGTGAGAGAGTTACCTTTTTGGAATCGATGGAGATACCGAAAGAAGGCTCGAGACTACCGGCAATGGCGGCTTCTGCTGACTCGGCGCTGCGATACGAAACGGTGCCAACCCCGTCTTTGTCGATTCGGATTCGGGAGAGCGAGCCGTAGATCTCGAATCGGGATTTCAGCTCAAGTACTGAACAGTTGGCGGGAAGTCCGAGAACGACCAGCACCGGTGGAGGCGGTGGTTTGCTGGTCGGTTTGTCGATGATCTCATCGTTTTCTGATGACGGAGGCGCCCACGGTCGCCGGCGTTTCGAAATTCGCGCCGGTGTGTGGCGGTAAGGGTAGGAGGAATTGTCTCTCTTGCGGTTCATTCTTGCGAATTGCGATGATTCTTCCCAAAACAAAATAAAAATAAAAATTTTATTTCTCCTTCTTCGAGAGAAATATATTCTTTTATGGGCTAAAGTTAATGGGCCTAACATTGGCATAAGGCCTATATATTAACTTTGACTTCCAAATCTAAAGTCTCGACGACTGTCCAAAATTTACTTTAGTTTGCATTCAGTTTAACTTGACTTTAGTGCTTGAGAGAGAAAAGACCTACGTTGCATGGAAACATGGAAACGGAAACGCAGAAGCGAAATGTTTCCGAAACGGAAAACATGGATTTTTGAAAATTATAAATTTGGAAACGTTTTGAAAACGTATATATATAAATAATATATATAAAAAATATATTAAATATTCAATAGTTTAACTAAAGATAAATATTATAATGTCTAATGTCAAAATATTAAAAATATTTTATGTTATTATTATTATACACTTCATAAATCAAAATTATCGAGGGAAAATTTTGAAATAATCAAACTCAATATATAATGATAATACTAATTCTCATCTAATGACTAATGAATCAAATTAATTAATTATTTATCTAAAATAATTAAAACAATTCATTAATATGTAATTATTTTATTATTGCATTTTCAAAAACAAGCAGTAAATGTTTTTTAATTTGGGAAACGCAAGTTTCCAAAATAGAAATGCGAGTTTTCAACAAGTTTCCAAATCGCAAATTTTAGGAAACGTGGAAAAACGAGTTTCCGACAAGTTTCCAAGAGTTTTCGTTTTGGAAACGTTTCCGAAACGGGAAACACGACTCGGACAGAGTTTCCATGCAACATAGAAAAAGACAGGTCGGTGGAACCTACAAGACTTTAGTTTAGCTTTCCACTCATGTTATCCACGTGTTGCTAAGATGGACTGAATCCGAGACTAGAAGTCTAGAACTATATTTAATGCAGAGAAAATCTATCTGCAGGGAGTTTGTCTTACGGTCCCCACACTGAGGTGGAAATATCTGGAACTGAGTTATCTGATCCGCACACGTGGAGTTCTCACATCTTGTTTCAGTTTTAGATATCGATCTCCATTTGGTGGATGGGTTGGATAAGAGTTTTGTCTATTTCAATTTCTTTTTTTTGGTCAAAGTTTTATAATTCAATTTCACAACCGAATATGTATTATTATCAATTGTTTGTCTATGGTATTATCATATCAATATAGTGTCAGTCCTTTTAAAGATGAATCAGTTCTCCTTTCTAATATTTTGCAAAATCATTGAGTAATTAGAGACGTAGCATACGATTTGTTACGACAGATGTAGATTTATATTCTCTTGTATGCAAATTACAGCGACATAGTATGATTGTTTTTTTCACACGAGTTCTTTTGTTTTCACTATGTATCATCTTTTGTCTTTTCTTTTTCTCATCTTGTACTTTCAAATGGTATCTCTTTTGGAGAAGATGAATAAAAGAAAAGGTTTAAAAAAAATAAAATTACAGCGACATATACATTTTGACAGCAACACCTTTTTAACTTCTCTAGCCAATGGAAAAGTTAGTCTTGTTCAGTTTTATAGAAATTCCTACATATTAGTTTGACATAACTTGCAATGCCATAAAAGGATTTTACATAACTTATAAGACAGCTGATATTTTATTTATAAGATTTTTTAGAACCATCCATGCAAATGTAACAACTTCATTGTTCTCCGATTATGAAACCTAAGATGAAGAAAAAAAAAAGTAAAAAGAGAAGATAGCTTGAAGTCCACGGAAGGTAAACCTATATTATCACAACCTTAGATTTGAAGCGGTCAAGGTTGGATCGTAATAAAATCCGAGAATCGCAAGCTCTGGGAAACTGTACTGATTCCATAAGCCTTCTTCTTCTTCATTGTACTGCGTATAATCGCTTTTTGCGGAACTACCTTCTTCCCCAAGCTTCTCGGCTTCCTGATTCTCAAGACTCTCTTGCATTTTCAGCTTCTCTTTGAGAAGAGCAACCTGTTTGAATATTTCATCAAAATATTGAACATGGTCTCTACACAATTGGCATGCTAATTTAGCAATAAATGTACCTTGGTCTTGAGGGCTTCGTTTTGTAGAAAGAGAATGTCTGAATCATTCTTGAGCTTAGCATAGCTATCTTGAAGAGTTTTACAGTCGTTCTCCAGCTGTTTGGTCTTAAATCTAACCCTCCTGTTTTGGAACCAGACAGCGACTTGGCTCGGCTGCAGCCCTAGCTTCTCGGCCAGCCAGAGTTTCCTGTCTGGTTCGAGTCTTTTATCTTCTTCAAAACTCTCCTCTAGTAAACGCAATTGGATTGGTGTTAGCTTCCGTTTCTTGGTTATCATCTCTTGCTTCTTGTAGCTCTCGCAGACGTCCTCTTCTTCCACATTGTTAGTCCCTGTGTTGCTCATTGAGCTAGATCCTGAATGAAGGAGAATGTGTTACCAAAATCAAAATGAGGATTAATTCTTCAATTTATTACTTCTTTTCATAATATTTTAAACCGAAAAGTCAGTCTTTTTAATCTGAGTGGCTACAATTTGGGAAAGGAGATTCGTCAAAGGTGAAAACTTTCAGGGAAAGAAAAAAATGCATTTAAGAAAAACCACAAAACAAAAACTAAAATCCAGAGTGGTGGAACAGAGGATACCACAAAAGGGAGAGTGAGAGCTCGGAGGAAAGCAAGAAGGAACCGTATTGCTATGGTTTTGGTTCTGGTTTTGAAACCAAAAGAAAACTTCTGAATCAGTGTTTGAGTTTTCCATATATGTAACTGTTATAAATGAAAATGCTGAGTCGATTACTGCAAGTCTGCATATGTTGAAGCTTTTTATAAAGAATGAATTATGGAAAGACGCAACATAGAAGTTACAAGGAAGAAAAAACGATTCCTTTTGCTGTTTTAAGTGTTTGGTAAGAAGAGGGAGACAAAGGTGCTGTTTTGCCATAAGAGGGAATTAATTTGTGGTTTATAATTAGCTGAGCTCAAGCAATTGGCGATTGATTTACATTTCCAATCGATGTTTCTTTTGAAAAAAAGTGGGGAAGAAATATACTTTTACAAAACCAAGTGCAACTTGTTATGCAACTTTACTCTTTCTAATATGTTTAGTGGATAAAAAAATACCAGAGAAACTTACATATGTCGAGTGTCCGAAACTTCTTAGTGGTTAAACATGAATCATGATGATTAATTAAAAAATAAAACGTTGAATAAAACGGATCTAGTGTAAATGAGTTCGCAAGTTGGATTGGATATGCTTTCTAATCACCTTTGTTGTCCATTTGTATTGCAAGTGGATACAAGATTTCCTTATGTGATACAAACAATCATTATGTACTACACTTGACCAAAAGAAGAAATTTTTAAAGTGACCCAAGCTTTTCTACTATTCCCATCAACATCAGATTCTTTTGGTTTGGTTTCTTGAAATTGTGAATGTCCAGTGCTGTAATAAAGTATTCACTTTCTTCTGGTTATTCACTATAAGGCTATAACTTTAGTACTGTTTTTTTTTTTGTGTCTAGAAAATTGTTTATAGTGTTTGCCTTAGCTTTCGAGTATGTCATTAGGTGACGTGAGCAAATACAAATATAATTTTGTTTATGGATTGGGTTAAAACCTATTTTGGCCACGTTTGTGACGTGACATAATTTCGAGGTTATATACTGATAACACACATGAGAAATACATAAACGCATAGTTTGCATGTTTTACTCCAAGAACACATGCTTATCGTGAGAATGGGCACACTTTATAACAAATATCTAAGTTAGGGGTAATTCAATAAATTATATACTAATTATTAAAGAGAAAACAAAAATAAAAACATGTCACACGGTGTAAGAGATGGAAGAAATCGTACGCCTAATCCATCGTCACTACCGACCTAGCTAGGTAAATATTTTACTCTTCTTCTTTAAAAGTTGAATTTCCTTTTGTTATCTGGATGCGCGACGTGGTTATAATATATAAGATTTTTATAAAATATAGGATTGCGACATGTGTCACTTTTAATGTTATATCTGTTAAAATCGTAACACATGTCTTTGGAAGAAGGAAATTTTTATTTTTAAAGGAAAATTTTAATATCTTATAATAAAAACGAAATTTTATATAATAAAATGAAAATAATGTAATTTTTTTTATTAGTATATAGAATAGGTATATCAACTAAATATCCTAAAATTCTATGAAATATGTTATATAAATTCCTATTTAAAAAATCATATTAGTACATTTAATAGATATGTAAACTAAATATACTAAAACTGTATAAAAAAAGTTGGATGCGACGTGATTGCAACACATAGGAAATTTATAAATTATAGGATTGCGACATGTGTTATCTATACTATTAAAGGAGAAGCACAAAATAAGAATTCAACCTTACAAAAGAGTCTATCCCCGTTTCCAAACAGAAAAAAACCCGAAATTAACACTTGAATTAAGAAAATCACCCGACCCATCTATGAAAAACAACACGCGGATCCTTCAAATTCTAACTTAAATCAAACCGAAGAAACACTTCAATTTTCGGGTGTAAAAAATCCAAATAACCGGAGGCGAATCAAAAACCGGGTGTTAATGACTTGGGTTCGTTAGGGAATCAATGAACGAAAAATCTGCAAAAGAATTCCAAAAATATCGTTAATTAATTGTGCATTGAATATGCAGAATCAACAATATCACTAACAAAATTGGAAAATTCAAATTTTAGAGTCTTTCACGGAAAATCTCAACTTAATTTACAAATTCGTGCCATTAATTCTTATGTTCAAAGAGATATGATTAGATACTCTTAAATTTCGGAATAGTTATAGGAAACTACCAAGTTTAAGCTTTCATCAAATCAAATCTTTAACCTAATCGTTTTAGTATAAATAGACCTCCCTTTAGAGCCTACAAAAAAAAAACCAAGCAGGGCATAAAACTATCTTTGAATAAATTTTAATGGCGGCTCATTTTTGTTTAACATACCTTGATGCCTTTCTTTTCAGGTGGACGAATCCAATTTAAGCTTCTTCATCTTTGGAAGCAATACACGAATCCAAATCCAAGTCAAGCTTCTTCATGTTTGGAAGCAATACACGGCAGAGGCTGGACATACATTGGAGATGATTCTGACAGACAAAAATGTAAGATTAGGTTATAAGAATCTAAAGGAATACATGCTAAATCTCTTTATAAACTATATTCTGTTAAAGATGGTTATTGTGTGTTCCAAACTAACAACTAACAATGTGTTTTTGTTTTTTGTTTGATTGTGACTAGAATCTGATGAGTAGCTGAAGAAAATATGAAGCTTTACTATATGAATTGAGTTGACATGATTGTCACGAAGCAAGGTTTGCAAATTTTTAATCACCATTGACCCGTGAATACTAAAATATACTAATATTTATTAGATGCTACTCCTTCTCATTTCACATACCTTAATGTTGAGAATCCAAGTTAATTGTCTTCATTCTTGGAAGAAATACAAGTGTGGGTCAGGTACAACATTGGAGCTGATCCTAGCAGAAGAGAGGTAAGTAAACGTCATCATTTGTGGGTTAATATATGCTTACAATTTCTAATATAAGAATCAAGTATGTTTTGTAGGCTGTGAAAATATATGCTTCATCATTCATGTAACAAAACATACCTTACCTGTTTTGAAAGGAAACTTCCTGTTGGCGAGTGGGCATAGAGACAATACAGACCAACTCACCATGTTAACAAGATACCGTTGTCTGATTTCAAAGTTCACAATAAGAAAGTAACACTTGGCAAAGGCAAAGAGAAACAAACGAAGACTGCATAATGACTCATGATTAATGATAATGAACTAAGAGAGAATATTCATCCTACTAAGTACTAAGATATCGAGAAATTTTCAGACCAAAAAAAGTTTAGCAAAAGAACATATGAGAAAATCAGTACTATTAAAAACGAAACACTTAAAACACATCGAGATCAGTACTATTATAATAGGAATTGTCAGACAATTTCTCTCCATAAGCATCATCAAGATCAATACCGAAGACATCAAACATCAAGATTTAAGACATAGCCAAGTATTAAGTAACAAAGAAAAAAATACAGAAATTTGAAGAATTGCTTAGTTCGGACCCAAGGAAATCACTATTATAAATGAAACACTTAAACACATCAAGATCACTGAAATAGCGTAAGCAGCAAAAAAAAAAATCAAACTCGCCTATTTAAGTTTGAAATCACGACTTGGCGATGGTGTAAATTACAAATTCTCAACAACTTAATTGGAACTATGCTTTTGTCAGATGTCAGACATCATAACTGTCCAAGTACAAAGAGAAAAGAGAAGCGGAAGTTAAGAGATTGTTCTAATCTTGATGTTTGATGTCTTCGGTATTGATCTAAGTTAATCCTCATATTTTTACTTTAGCTTTTATGGTAAGCTCGATTTTAGTAACTAATGTTTTGATGTTCAATCATTAGGGAGTATGCTGGAGAAGCTCTGTCCCATATCAAGTAGCACGCCTTTGACCTCCAAAATTGTTATACTGGAGTCAATTTGTGACATTAGCTATGATTTACAAAATTTCAGAGCATGGAAGAATAAAGTCTTACTGGAAAGAAACAATAATGGCTTCAGTATATCACTTCAAGAATTCTCTGGACGACGATAACGATACCCAAACACCTCAGATTGAATGACCTCTAAAGTAGTAACAACAAAGTAGGTTTCTCTGCAACCAAGAATTCTTGGGTTCTAGAAATATTTGAAACCTTTATAAGTTTGATAAAGTAGGAACCATTTCAATTTTCTATCAAATATGAAAGATTCAGTATGGATTAATTGAAAAATTATGCATAACATTTCAGGAACTTGATGAGAGTTGGTTTATATGCAATCACTAGAGCTGCATCATATTAACACCCTTAAGACAAAGATTTTTAGGGATAAATCTGGAGGGATCAAAGACTAAATAGTTAACTATGTGAAGATTATGCAGACCAAATTTTTAAGGAATGCAAGCAAGCTGATGATCAAACACATGATCTCAAATGTTTCTTTCGATGAGGTACTTTTATTGACTAAATAAAATGTCAAACGTCTGCAAGATATTCTTTCGATGACTGGAAAATTTAATAAAGCTACTATTTATAATGTCATAAGTTTCTTTTGTCAAGAGTAGCAGTTGGCAATTTTAAGCTTACACAGTTTTCTGTCACCAAGAGTCTTAACATCCAGCAATACATCCACTCTTTAATAGCAAGAATGTATCACACAAACAAACACAGAAAATTTATTTTCAGAAAAGATAAAGAAAATGGTTTTTTATTTTCGAAGCATCAATCACATTATGAACACATAAATAGCTAACTAAAAACTACAACCAGTGAGAGAAAAACACACACCAACAACCTAAACCATCTTAACTAGGTGAGTAAATAAATCAATGCAGAATCAAATTTATAACATACCTTTCGCTCCATGAGAAGAATCAGAGGTTGCGCTACATGGTGCGAAACCCAGACGAATCATGACTCTATTGCCGAGGTCCTTGGCAACATAAGGTACCTCCGACGGAGAAGAAACTGAGAGCCGCCTGTTGCTCAAACATGAAAGAGATCGACGGAGGCTTTCAATTGTATGATTTTTGACTGCTCATCGGGAATCATTTGGAATTCAGGTGATTTAGACAAGCAATTGAAAAAACCTTGATCGGAAGAGAGTGATCTTGGTAAGAATCGACAATGAGATGGAATATCACACAGAGTTTCCGTTCTGATTAGGGGGAATTGGGAAAGTCACCGACAAAGTTATGTCGTTGTTGGCTGAAAAAAAAATTAAAATTAAAAAACAAGAACAAATATCGAAACCAGTAGTATCCCAAAAACCACAATTGGGCTCCGGTCACAAATTAACAAATGGGCTCCCATTAAATCAATAATCTTTGCTCTAGACTACAAAGCGAATTTTAAATCATTTTGTACAAAAAAAATCAATTATGAAATTCAAATATAATGTTTCTTCTAATCTCATGAACAAATTTACAAATGAAGAGAAAATAAGAAGATTGAATCTACAAATTAACAACAATATTGTTTTCTTGACCCAAATCGCCAAATTTTCTTTTTCTAAAATGAGCTCTACACTAACACCAAAATATAATGTTGATGGAGACTGTTTAGTTCTCTTTAATCAAAAAACATTAAAACAACATTCAGTTTTAAAAATTTAATATTCACAAACTAAAAGGTTAGTAACATCACGGGTAAGAACCAATATTTTTTTAGTTCCAGATCTTTTCGGAGAGACAAAAATAAAGAACGAATTTGAGCAATGAAAGTTTATAATCTTGACTTTAACATGTTTAATGGACAAATTTACAAATGATAGTAAAAAAGAAGATTGGATTTACATAAATTTTTGTTTGATATGATATCAAATTGAGAAGATATTATTTTAAGTAGTCAAAGAGATTTACTACTATCAATTTATTACAATTTTTTTTCTTTTTAATTGTACAGAACTACATATTAAATTATTTGATGAAAAAATTATTGTTTATTAAGGATTATAGAAAAACAAAATTGTTTATTACATATGTACAAAACATACAGCTATGCTGAAATTTATGGTTACGGGTGAAGAACATGTTTTTCGTTCTAAAATGGAGAAAATTTTACGGGTCATAACATGTTTTCCGTTTTTAAGTGGAGAAAATTTACGGTTACAGGTGGAAACATGTTTTATTTTATTGATATTTAAGATTTTCTGCAAAATTTAAAATTTTGTGCAAAGACAGAGGTAAAACTATTCTCAATGACACCTAGATATCAAATCGATTTGGGATTTGATTACTCTCATTCACTCATGTTGCGTGACTTTTTGTTTTGCGCAAGATATTAAACAAACGGACTGGATCTGACAAAGACCCACTTATTTTATAGATAGAAACCACGCGAAATGGGTTTATCCGTTTTAGGCTCATACCTGAAAAGAATTAGTGCAACCCAAATATTTACCACTTAATTTATCATTTCTTTCTTATTATTGATTCAATAATTAATTTAATCCCAAGTTAAAATTAATAATGAATAATTGTATAACTCAATAAAACAAAAATCTTCAATAACTATAACATCCCGTGCTTTTCAAGCACGGGTCAAGATCTAGTATCCATTCAGATCATGACACATGTCTTCGGAAAAAGGAAATTTTTATTTTAAAGGGAAAATTTTAATATCTTATAATAAAAACGAAATTTTATATAATAAAATGAAAATAATGTAATAAAAAATTCCTATTAGTATATGGAATAGGTATGTAAACTAAATATCCTAAAATTGTATGGAATAGTTATATAAACTCCTATTTAAAAAAATCCTATTAGTACATGTAATAGGTATGTAAACTAAATATCCTAAAACTGTATGAAATTGGTTACATGAACCCCCTATAAAAAGAGAGCTATTGTAGTCTCTTTTTCTCATTCACAAACTCATCAAAGCAAATTCAGAAAATCTCTTTGATTCTCTTTCTCTAATTTCAAAATCATGTCTTTGAAAGTTCAAGAGAACAGTGGAGATTATTTGACTCTAGGTCAATTGGATCGAAAATTAAAATTATTAAAAAACATTACATCTATTATGAGAAGTAAAGAAAAAACATAATTCTATTACGAAAAGGAAAAAAAAACGAAAATCAGAAAAACATGAAGAAATAATTAAAAAATGTTACATCCAATAAGAAAAGGAATAAAAAACATATTCCCATTACGAAAAAAAAAAATATATAACAAGCTATATTTTTTAAGTTTCTTTCTCATTAAGAAATAAAATTCATGTCTTTAAAAGTTAAAGATATCAATGAAGAATACTTAACTTTAGATCGATACATGTGTCTAATATTTGATGAAGTGATGACATGTGTCAACACAAGAAAATTGGAAAAATGTAGTAACATAAATAAATAAACTAACAAAATAATATTAAAACAACTAACTAATAATGAAAATGAAAATTTATAATGGTCAGAGGCAAAAACGAAATTGAAAAAGAAACAATATAAATAGAAAACTAACAAAATAATTATTAAGGAACTAAATAATATTAAAAAAGAAAATTTTATAATGGACTGATCTTCTAATATTAAATAGTTTAATTTTCCATGTTTTGTTAGGTAAAAAAATATTAAAAATAAAGATTTCATCATGGAATAATCAAAGTTTCATAAAATAATGAGTCGATTAGATTTAGACACATGTAAATCTTTCTATTTCATATCATGAATTCAAAATAAAAATGTAAAAGACTACATATCTTTATTTAGAGATTTGTTATCGGGTTTTTAATATTATTTTCTTATTTTTAAAATTGATCAAATTTTGTTTAATATTCTTCCGTGATTTAAAAAAATAAAAATAAATAAACCCGCGTATACGCGGGCCTAATTCATAATCGTTTAGTTTAGTCATCCTATATAAAAATGGATCATCTTTGAATTGAACAATAAACCTCGACCCTCTGTCTTCTTGATCCTCTGTTCGTAATTTTCTTTTGATTCTCGATTAACCAGTTTTTGTGTGTCAAGAAGATCCAATGTACACGTGGGTGATAAAGGATTTCAAGTCTCTAACACCGAATGATATCTCCGGAATTCGAAAGCGGTGGCTGCAGATGGTGTGTAGTGCTCCATCCCAATGTGGACAATTGCATCAGTATGTCTTTGCTTGTTAGTGGTTGTGAAGATTTGCCTCCTGGATGGAAGATAAACGCAAAGTTTTTGCTTTCTATAAAATGTGGATACGAACGTAGCACTTTAGATAGTGTGGCAAGGTATTTTGATTCGGAGGGTCCTTCGTGGGGTTTGTCAAACTGGTTTCACCGTAGCCAACTTGATGGATTCCTTGATCCTCGCGGCGATCTCAAGGTTGACGCTCGCGTAGAGGTTCTCCACAAATCTGATCCAATGTTCACGTTTGTGATAAAGGAGTCAAGTCTGTGCTAGACCGGAGAAGGATTAAGTCTTCCGAATTCGAAAGCGGTGGCTGCAGATGGTGTGTAGTGGTCTTTCCCAATGGGTACAAAGGGCATGAGAGCATGACTATGTGTGTGGCTGTTGGTGGTAGTTATAAAAATATGCCTCCTGGATGGAAGATACACGCAAAGCTTTGGCTTTCTATAGAAAGTCGATCCGAACGATCCCAACGTAGAGCAATAACTGGGGCTGAAAGATGTTTTGATTCGGAGAGTCTTGCGTATGGTCTGCCAAACTGTGAACTGAGTGATGGTTTTCTTGATCGTCACGGTGATCTCAAGATTGAAGCTCACGTAGAGGTTCTCCACAAATCTTGTGTGTAGGAGAGAAATAATTTGTTTTTGTTTTTGGTTTGCTAGCTTTTATCTATAAACTTAAAAGCTTTTGCCATTTTAAATAAAAAGGTTACTTGTACGTCAAATCATTGCTGCAAATGCTAACTTTTGGTCCTCTCAAAGTATAGGGTTAAACGAAAGTCTCAATTTTACTACCTTGCCGAGTCTGTGCCTATAAAGTCCATCTTTGGAGATCACCAAAGCCCTGCTTTATCCACGCAGAAGCTACACTTGTTAACAGATCACAAGAGCCTAGAGTATCCAACAGCATTGATAAACCTCAAACCGGACATTGCTCGGCTTCTGATAAGTCCCTTGAAGGAGTTGTTGGGTTGACCATGGTGAAAACAACAAGGTAAAGACTTCTTGGTCCTGAACCTGAAACCATAATAATAAGAGCTTCACTGTCAACAAACAGCAAGAGCTGCAGAGATGAAAAACTCCGAATGTATCAACAGCTTCATACCAAAAACGCCGGAGAGGAATCCTGGAGAGCCTGTGCTGAGTAAAAGTGAAATGATAAGCAAGAAACTAATTGTAGCTGCAAACAACATCAGAATGCAAGGAAAGACTCGTATGTCGTCTTTACTATCATCATATGTTTTCAGAAGCAAGACTCGCATAAAGAGATCTCTAGATTGCAAGACATACCTGATACTGAGGATAAAAAGCTACATTGCACAAGAAGTTGAAAGAACCCCTTCAACGTCTGACTCATTGGGCTTGATAACTCGTTAAGTTGAAAGAATCCAATAATTATATAGCCCATAGCAATTCTTTTATTATTGTGGGAATGCCACATGATAATTAATTCCTAAATTGCACACCCAAATCTTTATTATATTATTAATTGAGAAGTACATTCTGATGTTTGGATATAAAAATAAGAGAAATATCTATTTAGATAAAAGAATAAATGGAAAAAAAGTTGTTTGTATATAAGAATAAGAGAAAATTTTATTTGGATAGAAGAATAAATGGAAAAAAATTGTTTGGATACAAGAATAATAACTTAAAACAAACCGATGGTTTAGAAAACTTCCGTTTTCCAGCTCTTAAAAAAATCTGCAAAAAAGAAAAATTAACATAATTTATCAATAATACCAAATCAATAGAATATGTTCGAATGATATTTGCAAAATCTCCAATAATGAAATAGAAATATGTCTAATTTAAATAAAATTGTGGATTTATGTTCAGGTTTTTTTTGAAAATTTATGTTCGGTTTGGGTTCGAGTTTTTTTGGGTTTAGTTCAGGGTTTTCGGGATTTTTTGGATTTCGGGTTTAGACATATTAAAAAGTTTGGGTTTTTAAAAAAATTTATTAGGGTTTTTAGTTCGGGTTTCGGGTGAAAAAGTTTTGAGTTTTTTTTTATTCCGTTCAGGGTTTTCAGGATTTTTTGGATTTCGGGTTTTCGGGTCTAGACATATTAAAAAAGTTTGGGTTTTTAAAAAATTTGATTAGGGTTTCTGGGTCGGGCTCAGGTTTAGGATTTAAATTTTCTTCACAAAACCGCAACTTCACAAAACCGCAACGTCACACCGCGCGTTTGCGCGGGTCCTTTACTAGTCTTATATATAATTAGGGAGTTGCTCTCTCCATATAGAGTGTCCACATCAGCACAAAAAATTCATTAAATTGTTTTTAAGATATTTAATATATGACTTTTCATATTTCTTTGCATATATTTATATTTTAAATATAAATAAAACTAAGAAAAATACACAACTAAATTACTTAATTAATATAAAATATGTGATAACTTGATGTTAAAATTTATCAAAAAGTTTGAATATAAGTAAAAATATATGTAACTTGAAATGGTATATATTTACCTTTTTATTAAAAGAATTTATCCTATTTCAAAATGTTATAATGTGTTTACAAGTTAAAAAGTTGAATATAAATTAATTAAGATAATAAAAAGCCAATGAGAAATTAGAGTTAGAGTTTATTTAAAAAAAAATAGAAGTCGAGTTTTTATATGTAAATTTAATTGCAGTGAAAAACATGAAAATTTTAAGGATTGTGATATGTTTGTCTCAAAATATAATTAATATTTACAAAACTAACATAATAGAAAATAATCAATGGTTATGAGGCTCATATGCTACCACAACAAAGTAGATATGTAAAAAAGTATATATATTATTTTTTTCATCTTATTTCGGGTCCAAATGCTATTTTACATTATGCTTACAAATTTTAACGTTGAGTCCAATGCATATGCATGTTTATAGTCTAACAGAAGTAAACAAACATAATATTTATAACATGCTAAAATTTTAGAAATAGAAAACTCGAGATAAAGTGGGAGTGTTAACATCCTAATAAAATAAAATAAAAGACAAATTGTTCATATTTTTAATGTTAGTGATTGGGTTAACTCAAAACATAAACAAAAAAATGAAAGTTAATACAAAACCATCATAATTCAAATCAACAAGTATAGATAAAACTAAACAGAAAACTATCGCAAACAATCCCGTGCTTGTGCGGAGCTTCAAACAAACTAGTCATAGTTAGAAGCTTGTTTCGGTCTAGTCAGATTATTATCTTATATTTATATAGTCATAATTGCTAATTGGGTAGAAATTTGGAATCATTTGCCAATGAATGTAATGCTCGACATTTGGCTATTTTGCAAAGCCAACAATACAAAGAAATTGAGCTGGCATGGATAAGAATCAATAGGTCTTTGCACTGACAGGTTTTTAGATTTTTATCCTTTTTTTGGTGTGAAGTGATTTATATCCCTTTGGTCAATTTGAATCCCTTTTTTGTAACCTTTTGAGTGGATGGATTTGATTCCCTCATCACATTTAAGTTTTTTCTCAACTTTTTGGATTTGGCTGAATCCACCTCTATGAACAGGGAAAGCAACTTAAAGCTAAACTTCCTTTTAAAATGAACTTAAACCTACAAATGTGTTGGTTATGTCGTGTCGTCTAGATTCAGTTAACAGGCTAGAAAAATTACACCAAAACAAAACTTTAGTCTAATTGTGTATCTATATGCATTAAACAAAAGTCACCAAACTATAAAACTACTTAAAAAAAATCTAAATATATTAAAACAAAAGTCACGTCATCCCTATTTTCTTGGACTTATTTATCAAATATTTAATTACAACAGTATAACGCAACATTAGTATTTCTATCCTATCTTCTTTGACTCACATACCACATTGTTATTTCCATCTTCTATTACATACTAACTATATTACTAGTAATTAGATATTAGGGAATGTGAGTCATAGAGATTAGTTTAACCAAGAGGATTATTCCAAGTCATCATCAACTTGAATAGTATTAATTCTTCCACCAGATTTGTTACCTCAATGATCTTAGAATAAATATTAGGACCCCGAAATCTAATTTAGGGGAAAGAAAAGAGAAGACAGATCAAAATCTTGCGATTAGCTTTCTCCTGACCCACGTAATACTGCAAATCCCTTCGCCTCTGTCTCTTTAGATTCCGAAAATACCCTTCTTTTTTTCACTTATATATCAAAGATCTCATCTGTTTCTTCCCCTCAAAGTTTGAAAGATATAGAGAAAGTGGTGGGTTCTTCAAGCATATAACATTGTTCTCTTTCTAAATAATATTTTCTAATGTTTCATTCTGTTTTGCTGATGTTAATCTATTTTTTAAGAAACAGAATCTCTTTCTAAAAGTCTAGTTTCCAAAAGCAGGAAATAGAAATGCAAGGAGGTGTCTCCAAATGGGAAGGCTACGCCGACTGGAGGAACAGAGCCGCCGTGAAAGGCCGTCATGGCGGCATGTTAGCCGCTTCTTTCGTCTTAGGTCAGCCTCAAAATTCCAAATTTACTCTTTATCTCTCATTTTCCTAAACCTTTAAATCTCGTCTCGATGGATATCGTGGGAATCACGTGACTGATTTCTTTTCTTTGTGCGTGTGTGTGTTGTGAAGCGGTGGAGGTACTGGAGAATCTAGCCTTTTTAGCGAACGCGAGCAACTTGGTCATATATCTGACGAAATTCATGCACTTGCCGCTGTCGAGAGCGGTGAGTGAAGTGAGTGCTTTCATGGCCACATCCTTCCTCTTCGCTCTCGTCGGTGGCTTTCTCTCCGACGCCTTCTTCTCCACTTTTACCATCTTCCTCATCTCCGCCTCCATCGAGTTTCTGGTACTTAGCTCCATAGTTCATTTTTTTTTTCAAGTGACAATTAGCCAACTAGCTATAAAACCCGTTCACACTCTAAATTCATCGATTATTCATACATACTTTTATATATACAAGCCCGTTCACACTATATATCCATTCAGAAAAATAAAAAAAATACTATTCCTAGAAGTTTTTTTTGGGTGTAATTGTAAATGTTAATTAATAACAAAAAAATGAAAAAGTTGACCACCTTTGGTTGCAAAATCTAACGGACGTTGCGTGTGCATGGCTTTGGAATGTAAATCATGTAATATGATACAATGAGCATATCTATTGGCAGAGTTTGTGTATAGGGCCCACCGTTAAACCTTGGCGGTCCCCGTCATACTTGTACTTGTGCATGTTTGATGTCTAGGGCCGATCCAATTAAAGATTGAGAGGGGATATTTATGACATGAGCTGTATAGTTTGCCACATTTGTTATTAAATTTTTTTGACGAAAGACAAACATGCAAACAAGTGTACTGCAAAAGTAGACTTGTATCTGAAACCATCACCATCACCATAATGTGGTTAGTACATATTTATTTGTTGTTTACTGGTTTTTTATTTACTCATGTTTAGCTGGTTTAGGTCATAGATAAACGGCTAGTTTGTTTTTGTTTTTTGTTTTAATTGTTTTTTCAGTTTTGAGTTTCAGTCTTGGGAGTATTAACACACTAAACACATATCATTGTCACGCTTTTAACACATTCCTTTAAAATAAGTTTTTGAATGTTATTTACTTTTTTTTTTTCACATAATTTGTTTAACTCTTTAAATTACCTAGCATTGATGAAAATCAACTATTTGCCGTGTTTATTGGAGTATATATAATTTATTAATGGGGTTGATTACGTACAGGGACTAATCCTGCTCACAATCCAAGCCCGTAGTCCGTCTTTAAAGCCACCGCCGTGCGTGAGCTCCGCCGCGTCACCATGCGAAGCCGTCACTGGTTCGAAGGCGACGCTTCTGTTCTTGGGGCTGTACGTAGTTGCATTTGGAATCGGAGGAATAAAAGGGTCACTGCCTTCACATGGAGCAGAGCAATTCGATGACAGCACGCCCAACGGTCGAAAACAGAGATCTACATTCTTCAACTACTTTGTGTTCTGTCTCGCAACTGGAGGACTCGTGGCTGTGACGTTCGTTGCCTGGCTTGAAGACAATGTAGGTTGGGAATGGGGATTTGGTGCGTCCACAGTTTCCATCTTTCTCTCCATTCTTTTATTTCTATCGGGTTCCAGGTTTTATAAGAACAAAGACCCTCGTGGAAGTCCTCTCACCATAATCTTTAAGGTAACATGTCACTGGCAAGAAATGTTTTTTTTTTTTATTTATTTTTCAATGAAATCATATTGTTTTGCCCTAACTTGATCTATACTTTACAGGTTCTTCTAGCTGCTTGCGTAGTTGGTTGCTCGCGTAAAAGTTCGAGTGATAACGATGCTGTGAACAACTCTGTGACCCCAACTAATCACCTTGTTACCAAAGAAGATCAATTAGATGAAGAAGGAGAAAAGAGGACTTCTCAGTCACTAACCAATAGCTTGAGATTTCTAAACAGAGCGGTAGAAGGCAAAACGGTCCAAAGATTGCTCGAATGTTCGGTCCATGAAGTCGAAGACGTGAAGGTTGTGCTCAAAGTGCTTCCCATATTCATATGCACTATCATGCTCAATACCTGCTTAGCTCAGCTCAGTACCTACTCTGTCAAGCAAGCCCAGACGATGAACAGAAAAATCGGAAACTTAACCGTCCCTGCAGCTTCTTTACCGGTTTTTCCAATCGTGTTCATGATGATTCTTGCTCCAGTCTACGACCATCTGATCATCCCATTCGCTAGAAGAGTAACCAAATCAGAAATGGGTATCAGCCATTTGCAAAGAATCGGTGTTGGCTTACTTCTTTCGATACTAGGAACGGCAGTGGCTGCTCTAGTAGAGATAAAGCGAAAGCGAGTGGTAGCAGAAGCTGGATTGCTTGACTCACAAGAAACAGTACCGATTAGTTTCCTATGGGTCGCGTTTCAGTATCTGTTCCTAGGATCAGCTGATCTGTTCACACTAGCTGGACTCCTAGAGTTTTTCTTCACGGAAGCACCTTCTTCTATGAGATCATTGGCCACATCGCTCTCATGGGGCTCTTTGGCTTTGGGGTATTACCAAAGCTCGGCGATAGTTCCGATTGTGAACAGTGTGAGCCAGATTGGAGGAAACAGTCCATGGCTTGGTGAGAACATAAACTGTAACAGGCTAGACTTGTACTACTGGCTTCTTTGTGGTCTGAGTGTTGTCAACTTCTTGCAGTATCTCTTCTTTGCAATGCGTTACAAGTACGTATCAACTGGTTCCAGAAAGTGATCTGGATAGACTTTAAAATTTATGTTTGAATGTTTATGTTTATGATTTCTGAGAGGGTCCTAGAATTGTTGAGAAGAAGTATAACATCTTTTAAAGTTTTTTTATTTTTATTTTTTTGAACTTAATATCTTTTAAAGTTTATCTCTGTTTAATTAATAACAAGGCTCCACGCTTGCTATGCCCGCTTAAGATTGGTTTAAGTATTTTGATGAAAATTATACTTTGATATTTAAATATTATAAACAGCATTTTGTGAAGAAAAAATAATGTCCTATCAGAAATAATCGCATGGTAAAATCGGATTTTTCCGCTGAAACAGTCGTCTAAAACTTGAGTGTGTAAAATGTGAATGAGATCACAAAGATGTCGATAAAACAAATAAAATATTTAGCACGGAGTATACGTGTTGAGAATGGGTTTATTTCGGGCTTTTTGGCCCAAACCTAAAACGTCACTAGCAAGAAAAAAAAGGAAGTTTGAAAAACCCCTTTTTAAAGGTTTTTGTCAATCTTCAAGAATGATAACGAACCTAATTGTCTCAGCCTTTCCTAGATAAGTAGATTATTCTGGATTTGCTTTGAGTTAACTAGTCGGCATCTAATCGTTGCTTTGAGTTAACTAGCAACCCTAGTTAGTTTCATAGGCACAGTTTTGCACACTGATTTATTCCTAATCCTTAGGAAACATGTATCTCTTAGGTGGGCTTATAAAGCTTGAGATGGAGCAAGTAAGCGAAATCTTGCGGAACAATAGGATGGAAGATATTAATTGGCTTCTCTCTCTCTCTGAATCTGAACTGGTAAATGTTCATGCTCTAGTCAGCAAAAACAAAACCTTCATTGATGTATTGATGATTACTTATTTCTCCATTGAACTTGTTTTGCAGGACTTTCTCACCAGCTTAAAGAAGCTAGCCATTCAACGTGCTAACATAAGTGGTCATGAAGAACTAGCTGAGATATTCGATCTTAAGATGCTTCGAGCTCTTGGTATGTCTTGTCTTTTAAGATTTTTTATTTTAAATAGTATTCAACAATTAATCATGAGATATTGTTATTTGTCTATTAGAGAAATCACGCTTAGCTTTATGATGCTTCCCATCACAGGGCTTGTGCTAATGGAGTATGTGAGAGAAAGGGTACAAGATGATACTACCATTGTTGCCTCAAGTCTTGTTAATCATCAGCATATGATTTTGGATAACTGCAATATCTTGAAACCTCACGTCGATGATTCTATAGACATTGAGAAAATTCTTACTGAGATGTGCAGCAACAAGTCAAGAAGGAAGTTTCAGCAACACGTCAACAAGTCAATATAATGTTAATATTTTTTTTTTGTAAATTCTAATTATATAATTTTATATTAATTCCTGGAAAAAATTGAGCCAAAAATTGAGCCAAACATTGACAAGAGCCAAATATTAAATGAGTTTCTCAATATCTCCAATTTTGAGAGACTCTTGTCCTTTCGATTACGCAAACGCCAAGCGATTATTTGATAAATATGGGACAATACTCGTTTAATCGTCACACCACAAGAGAAAAACAGCATACATATCTCAGTATCTCACACATTAAAATATTACATAAAAAACTGAAATAAATAATTTGATAAATATAGGAAAACTATATTGTCCTCACTCCTCCTCACTCTCACTCCTCACTCCTCACATATGGGCCAATACTCTTTTAATCGTCACACCACAAGAGAAAAACAACACAAATATCTTACATTTAAATATATTACATAAAACTGAAATACACAAATTTGGACATACTTGGCCAAACAAAGATCACAAGCCTGATTTTACACTGGAGCTGTGAAACGGGTGCTTTCCATTATGTTGTCGGCGCTATTGACCTCAAAGGCATCACGTCTATGAAATTCTTTGATCTGTATAGAAGATGAAAAATGCTGAACAATAAAAGAATTACGAATAATGTGAATCGCTTATTTCGTATGTAAGTGTCTTCTCACTACCTCATGGCACGGCACATCTTTGAACTGTGGAAGAACCAGACGCTGAGTGAACTCGATGTATGAAGCCGGGATCGTTTCAGTTACGCCGTCTGCGAATTCAACCGGAAGCCTTTCCGAGAAGGTCGAGATTTGTAAAAGTAGACCATCTTCACTCACTGTAATGTAATTTCATTATTTAGAGTTAAATAATTTTTTATAGAATGAAGCCATATTCTCACGAGGGGAAAAAAAAACCTTTGAGAATTCCTCCGTCAGTGTTGAGTTTGAATCCCTTTTCTTCAAGATACTGTTTGATGCATTTGATGTCACTGAAACTGTGTTTGAATCGATGAACCGCAAAAGCAAGATGGTTCATTGTGTAGCCGTGCATAAGCGTCCATGCCGCAAACTCGTTTTCTCTTTACCAATTCAATCATGCATATACAATTTAAAAAGAATTTAGCTCTAACCGTCAAAAGTGTTAACTAAAGATATTTAATTATTGATTAGAAAGTTATATATATCATATATAAAAGGTTATAATAAGCTATACTCTGCAAGTTGCTTGAAGTCGGTCCATGTAGGCTTCTCCCATATTAAAGACCCCAAAGTACTTGAAAGAACCGCTTGCTTACCACCTTCTGGTTTTAAATACTTCTTTATTATTTCCTAAGTAAACCATTACATAGGAGTTCGGACCACATCAGTGATAAAATTAGATATCTCAAAACTCATAATAATACACAACATTATGCTTGTGATCTTAATATATACCTGTGACTCAAGGCTTAGTTCCTCCACAAGAACCTCAGCTATAACGATTCTTGGCAAAGGACCATTCCCTAGACCTTGACCGTCATTAGGGACGTCAACATCCGGAGGAGAAAACCAAAGGACTCGTGATTTCTTTTTTGGAAAATCAAGATCGCCTCCAACTTTATATCCATAATCCATGAAAAAACTCGACAAGGAATTTATTCCATAACCATCGACCTAAAAACCATACCCCCAAAAAATTGAAAAATAAAATAAATCAATCTACAAAATTAGTTTACCAAATCTTTGGAGGGTAAAATTAGTACCTTAAATGTCCTGAAAGTGAAGTGATCGTAGCATATCTTTTCGTTGTCAAGAGACTGAACCATTTCCCATATCGTATTCGCTGTCGGATTCTTCTTCAAATACGTTTTCAGTATACTTTCAAGCACATTCCGGAGAAATGTTTCACTTCCTCCCTGTTGCATCGAGATTATAAATGTCTTATTATACTTTTTTTTTCGCTTTTACTATATTAATCAAAGTTAGAGAAAGAACCTTGAAAGATGAAGCGTGCGGCAAGTCAAGAGAACCCATGCAGAGAAAATCCTCAATCTTATTAAATTAGAAACACTACTTTGCTTGGTTACTCTTATTATATCTTATTGCATATTGGTATCTGAATTTTATAGAAAAAGAGTAGGAAATCGATCAGGATATTTCGTCAAAAAAAAACGACAAGGATTTCTGAATTATTACTAGGGGACAAAAAGTTAAAGTGGATTTTATTGAGCTGGTGGGTCAAAACCACTGACCGAATTATCTCTACCAGAGAAAGAAAAAGAAACATTTTTCGTAGTAGACAATAGACACGATGTATTTTAATCGAATCCTAAGTACCACAACGACGTCGTATTGTCTTTCACTTTTTACGCTGGAACTCCAATAAATATATGTTGCTACCTTTTGGTTACTTTAACAAGTACAACCTTTCGTCTTTTCATTTCTTTAAAAAACTCTTAAAAAGAGTAATACCATAAAATACCCATCAATATTCAAAAATTAACTGACACATTTATGTACTGTTTGGCCTCATATGTTTATTGCTAAAATTATGTTTCTCTTTATTTTTTTTGCAAAGCTGCGGCGGCGACGGCGGATAAATCACGAAGAAATTGATGAGATAGAAAAAAAAAAAGAGAAAAGGAGAAGGAGAAACAGAAGATGAGCCGAGGGTTAGAGATTTCTCTCTCTTTTCTTATTATCGAAGTGACGGCGCCAAGCTGAAGCATCACTCCCCATGTGTCGAATTTAGCCTCGCCGCGAAGGAGATCGAGAGCATGTTGGTCATCGTCTCCGATTTGAAGGATTCCTTATTGAGGAGGACTCCGATTGAGTAGACGGCGACCGGCATTAGGGCTTTGAGCATCTGGATAAAGGAGACGAAGAGGTAAATGTAAGTGGAGTTGGAGAGTCAGAGGTAGATGGAGTACAAGGCACCGATCGGGACGACAGGAATAAACCTCACGGGACACTGAAACTAGCTCGACGAATTTGAAGACCTTGATAAGGAGGACGGTGAGGGAGGAGCAAAAGGCCATGTGGATCATGGTGAGAGTGATCGGGAATGGCCAATTGTACATCTTCTTGTCGAGGATGTACGACGATGATGGTGAAGCTGAGGAAGATCCATGGTGGAGGAGGAGGAGGACGAAAGGAGGTGGTGCGCAGGATAGCGTCGGCGAAGGGGGTGGCGTATCTGCGATAATAATATCGAGGTGAAAATAATAAGCTAATTCTCTTATTAGCAAGTTAACTAGTTAAGAGTTAGCAAGTTAATTATCTTATTTTATATTTCATATTTCCTAAATTTTGACAACTTGATTAGCTTGATAATTTTTGATATGATAACTATGTTAACATAAAAATTAATGTGTAAATTAACAGGTTTATATTTTTGTAGCATGATAATTTGATTAACACAGTATTATTTTGAAATGATAACTATGTTAACATGAAAATTAATGTGTAAGTTAACAGATTTTTTTTTTTTTAGCATGATAATTTGATTAAAATATGCTAATTCGCAAAATGTTAATTGAGTTAACAAGATAATTCTCTTAGTTTATATATTAACTTGATTAGCTCGATAATATTTGATATGATAATTATGTTAATTTTAATATCGATTGAATAGTAGTTCTGAATAAAATATGAACAGTATTTTTGAGGTGAGACAAATAGTGTTTCCGATTTGCTATATCAGAAAATAAGTTTTTATGGCAATGGCATTTTCTGTAATTATAAAAAATAAAAAGGTCAAATTTGGTTTAATTTTTGTTCTCTCTCCACCAAAAACTAATTTACAACTATGTATTGGTACTTACTTAATTTTGAAAGTATTTACTCATATCACTTAATTAAAAAAATACTAAAAAGATAATGATAGGACCACCTCCATCCGTGGATCATTTAAGCAGTTTTAAAAAGGGGTTTTAACATTAAAAATTATTAAAACAAAGAAGGAAGCAAAATTTTGTGAAGACTTGGGTCTTAGTGTGATACCTAAGCTCAAAACCTCATTTTAAGGATTTGAGGGTAGTTTGCTCCAACAATGAATCCTCAAAAAAATCTTTAACTGTTGTTTAATTTGCAATATAGTCCTTAATATTAACAAACATTACTAATGATAATAAAAATTCATAAATAAATTTAAAACACATTTGATATATAATTATTTATTATACTATTAGACAACACACCATATTTCACAATAATAGTGATATAATAATAAAAATTACATAATAATAATGTAAAATATATTTTGGTACTATTTGTAAAATATGTAATATTTATGTGTTATGTAATTTGCTTTAATTTGTGTTAAGTTTCTTTAATCTATTTTTTATTTTTGTGTAAACTTTTTAAATGTATTTTCTTTTGAGTGAACTTTGGTTTTTAGGTAACATTTATTCTATTTTATTTTTATATGTTTAATTTTGTTCAAACTAAAGTTTAGTATAACTAATTGTGAAAAACCATAAATATAAGGACCAAATAGAAAGAGAAAATAAGTTTTGAGGTTTTGAATAGTGAAACCTCAAATTTAAGGTTTCACTATTCAAAACCTCAAAATTTGAGGATTTGAGGACTTGTTGGAGATTCCCTAATAACCAGTTCTATATTATAGAACCCACCACGTGGTCATATCTATACTATTAAAGGAGAGGCACAAAATAAGGATTCAACCTTACAAAAGAGCCTATCCCTATTTCCAAACACTCCTAAACCCGGAATTAACACTTAAATCAAACCGGAACAGTATTTACAAATGTATTATTGATTTCACGATTTTCCTAAACCGGCGAATATGTCGAAGATCAAATCAGGATATTCTCCGAGAAGGAAGTATACCATTATTCACGGTGCAATCAAACCCTGTTATTACGGTGGAGGATCTCGAATATGAAATATTTTCGAATATGTTGCATTACCTTTCTGAAATATCCTTCAAAATCGTAATATAATCTTAACTTGAGAAGCACGGACAATCTTATGTCAATAATTCCACAATCGAAACTACCTTGATTATACGGAATCCCCAACTTCCTAAAATCTCCAAAAAATATTTTCCTAGAAACCCTACCATCACAAACCTAAACTAACACTATAAATAAGGATACTCAGTACACCAGAAAATCATCACAGAGATTCACTATTTTCCTAGAAACCCTACCTAGAAAAGCAAAAATACGACTATGACTTGTGGTCAAATGTTCACCAAGCTCAATGATCTAAAACCATTCAAGTCCACTTGGAGGGTTCGTGTGAAAGTGTTACATTCCTGGAGACAATTCCCTGGCATGTCAGGAGAGACGCTGGACTTAATCCTGGCTGATGAGCATGTAAGTATCAGATCCAGTAATTATTTTAAACTAGATAACATCGTCATGATTGTAACATATTTAGTGTGTTTACCGTAGGGTTGTAAGATGCATGCTGGAGTCAAGAAGAGGGATATAGGCAGGCTATCTAAAGATCTGAAGGTCGGTGAATGGAGAGTCGTTGAGAATCTTGAAGTAAGGGAAGCGACTGGTCAATTCCGTCCTACAGGCAGTAAATGGAAAATGTCGTTTACTATGAACACCGTAGTAAGCAGACTGTTAAATCAGACAACCAGTTCCTAACGTTGGTACCTATTCGAGCTGTAGTTGATGGAGGGTTGAACCACTGCATCCTCATTGGTAAGCCAAAAAAATTAACAAATTTCTTTTCTGATATAGATGTTTTTGGTATGAAAGAGATCAACAACCTTTTTGGAATTATCCTTTTTCGCAGATGTCATGGGCCAGGTTCTCAATGTCAAGGATATGAAAGTTGTACCTGTCGCTGGAAAAGAGAAGAGGAAGCTTGAGTTTGTTCTTAGAGACACTGAGTAAGTTCTTGATTTGACCGTGAATAAACGTTACAATGATTTAAGTAATTGGTCTAATTCATCATCTATATTTGTTTGCTTAATTAATGCAGTGATCAAAGAATAAACGGATGCCTATGGGAATCATACGCTGACCAACTGTATGAGGCATGCAAGCAATCCAATGGACAAACCTTGATATGCTTGATCAGATTTGCAAAGATTGGAACCTATCAAGGCAAGCTTTTCATACAAAACTAAACGATATTTATTATTTTCATGTGTAACATACCATTAAACATAGACGCAACATCATTTAAAGTCAAACTCAATTCTCATGTATAGGATAATTGCATATCACAAATGGTTACGATGCGTCTAAGCTGATTATCAATCCCAAATGTCCTGAAGCCGATCATTTTCGTGCTATGTAAGTAAATAAAACACATAGTCTTGATTAGTGTTCATCGATGACTAATCTTTGTACTAACCTTTTAATTGGATCTGTTGCGCAGGCTACCTTCTGATGGTCTAGCTATTACTATCACTGAGGAGGATGAAGAGGAACTGCACCTTCAGAGGAAGCAGAAGGACGAGGAATGGTTAAGTATGGATCTTAACTCGATTTACGAAGTCAAGAGTTCCTCGGAGGTAAATTTATATCTCAGTGTGAAGACAAATATTATTAGCGATGCCTTATAAACTTGACTTACTTGGGAAGGGTTTCAATATTAGGTTGAGAAATTTAGAATTTCTGCCAAGGTAACTGCCATCGATTCCGATTGGGGATGGTACTACTTTGGTTGCGGTAAATGTCAACACCGAGTCTTCAAAGACTTGAAGAAGGAGAACTCCACCAGACCACGACCACAGGTTCCCATCTGGTACTGTGACAACTACAAAACTAACGTGAAATCGGTCTCACCAAAGTAAGTCTGCATAAATGACTAATTACTTAAACTATTTAAATTTATGATTTTGTCCATTGGATTCTTAACTAGATATTTTGATAATATGATAATCAATAGATTCAAGCTACACCTGCTGATTGAAGATGATTCTGATAAGACGAAGGTTATGTTACTTGACTCTGTCGCAGAGGGACTAGTTACCAAGTCAGCCACCTTCCTACTAAATGGTTCTACAGATGAGGTAAACGAAACTGACATAAACATTAAAGATTTTTGTATAGTCTTGTGAAACATTTAACTAATGTTGTCATGTTGATCAATACAGATTCAGGACCCAGAACTCTTACCTGATTCTATTAAAGATTTGGTTGGAAGCACTTTTGAGTTTCTGGTTGGTGTAGAGAAGGAACACATCATATATGGGAACGACATCTACAAGGCGCACAAAGTTAAAAAGGGACTTCTTATCGTTCATGATGACTCCCTAATGAGCAGATTACTAGGGATGACAGTCTCTGTCCCATTGAAGAAGAAGGCGAGGTATGTGTGATGATAAGTTTGTAGGAAATAACAATGTTGGTATATATAATGAATGTTTATATAAAAAACTTACCATGAACCGGTTTCTTTGATTCAGCAATCAGTTGTAAAGAGCAACGGTTCAACTCCATCTCCTAAGCGAGCGGGCGAAGACGTCGGAGGAGTACACGAGCTTTCATCAACATCAAAGAAGCCCTGCACAAAGGTTATCAACCTTGATGAAAAGATCACGGAGAAGAGTGATGGTGCGGAAGAAGCAAGCATTTAGATGGATTGTGGTTTTGAGTCACGAATAATCAGAGAACATGTTTTCTCTGCGTTTTCCAGTTTTTTTAAGTTACATTTTTAAAGATGTGTTTTTCCTTCCAAAGATGTTGGTTTATTTCCAGTTTTTTTTAAGATGTCTTTCTTCTTTTCAATTTGTTGAAATCAATCTTTGAACTATTCATCATTTTTTTTTACAATTACGAACACTCACGATTACTTAGGCAAACATTGAACGTTTTACAAACATCCATAATCAACTTCCAAACATGTACTTATGATACACGTACCTAATTTTCCAAGTATGATGTACCAACGATTATCCCAAACAACTTTTCTCCAAAGTAGCATGAAACATCTTATGCCCCTGTGGACATGAATTGATATCTATATCATCTTCCTGAAAATTTACATTAATTTCAACAATAACGGTTGCTAAATAATAGACATACATTTACAAATCAAACTACTTCCCGTTAATTATGAAAGAATGAAAATCACTTTCAGTAATAATATAAAAGTTGAGGAAACACAAAAATGGGGAATATCGAATATCCTCCATTAAAATCTATACTAATAATATAGATAACTATTTTACCGAGATCTTTTACAATATCAATCTAAGTGAGACACCGAATCTAGCTATTATTGAAAATGGTTTTGGAGGTAAAATCATTTTCAGTAATGGAGGTAAAATGATTTTCAGTAATTAAAAATGGAATTCCGGTGGAGGGAATTTCAACAAATTTAAACTCCCGCCCTATGACAAACATGGAGCTAATCTCAGTACCTTAATTATCTAAATCTAAAAAGTTCCATCCCACAATTAACTAGATGCATCAAGCATATTAGGTTCATGATCTAATATATCATTCGAATTCATCAAACAATCATTCGGAAGGTACTACTATCTATATTGTACACTGTGTTTGACGAAAACTCTTTGTAAAATTCAATCATGTTCATATAGGCAGGTTCAACAACGGGATGAAAAAAAAGGAAGACCATGTTGTTGTCGATAACTGTTCTAGCAGACAACCAAGGAAGCGGAGAAGCACATCAAACAATAATCAGAACTGTGATCCAATCGAAAAAGTTCGTATATCACCTACTACCTCTCTAATATAGTTTTCCATGAGAACTGACATTTTCTAAAATCTGTTAAATGATTTCCAGGTGACGAGCATTAAGAAAACCAGAGTGGAGGTTGCAAAGGATATGAAAACAAATACTACGAAAAACATTAGAAAACGAAAGCCACCAACTGAAAACACAATGATTCATATGAAAAAAACTATCGTAGCATCTACAACTCAAGCTTGTGTACCACTAAGTTCAATTTCCCGCACCATTTTTAATGATGTTAAGAACATCTCCTCAATGTCTGTCGGGAAAACAATTCCCTCTTCTACACAACACAATGGTTCTCCATTGTTTACAAGATCTACATTCCAAGGTAACAATGTTTTAATCTTAATCTAGCTAAAACTAATTGTTCAGAATTTACCTCTTTTTCTCGCAAAGTGCTGTTTACAATCTCGATTCACTGACTGGGGTTTCCTATCTATTCAGAGGAGAATAAAACTCCAACGAGTGCTGTTCCACTCATAAGCCAAAGGAGAACCACACGTCCTCGGAAGTTAATGGCAGATCTTTCAAAACTGCCAACAATCGAGAAACAAACAAAAGTGAGAAGAGCCCCAAGCAAACCTAGACAGAATATAGCGAGGGATGATGATGATATCATTGATGAAGATAGACCACATAACTATCCTGATTTGTTGGTTTCTTCTGAAGGTCAGCTCTTTTGTACTATTAAAGGTGGATTAAAGAAAAGAATTGTTAATAATATTAAGAAAAACTAATGAGATACATTTATTTTGTAGACGACGAGGGAAAGTATGACCATATATTTCAGTGTAGTAGCCCGGAGACTACAGACGACGAACATTGTGATGATCAGATTAGTTGTTCACAAGACTCACCTTCAATAGGTGATGTAATTGAACCACAGCTTGCGAATGTATTCCCAGAGGAATCACGGAATCCATCTCCACAGATTGAAGCACCGATAGAACCAAAGGAGAAAAAAAAAAACAAGAGTCAGAACCGTGAAAACTAAGGAACCTCTAAAACTTGGTGAGTTCCCCACTCATGTATATTTATTTGTTCCCAGTTCAATTGTTTTCACTCATATGTTAATATTATGTGAAATTGTCATAACAGAATACAATGATGAAGGAGATATACATACCGGTGCTCTCATTGCGATGCTAAGTTTTGGTATGGGGAACGAATTTGCCGTAAAAGAAGGTCAAAGAATCCAATATTCACGCTTTGCTGTCAGCAGGGTCAAGTAAAGTTGCCTCTCCTAAGGGAACTTCCTCCTCCCATTAAAAGACTGCATTTCGGAAACGATGAGCTGAGCAAGCATTACCAGAAACACATCAGGCCATATAGCATGTTATTTTCCGGGGTGACGACCTATTTCCCCACCAGAAGTAGGGGGTCGCACCAGATGCAGCCCAAAGTATGACCTCGTTCCACAACCACACGACATAAACTTTAAGAAGCCACAACCACATGAGATAAACTTTGAGAAGCCAGAACCACACGAACCCAAGTTTAAATAGCCGTAGCACCACGGAGCTCTGGTTTAGCTAGTTTACTGTTCCGAAAACATGGTTTACTGTTTCCGAATATTGTTTAACCGAACTAAACCCATTTTATCCGATTTCCTTTCTAACGCATATTCAGTCGTACCGGCATGGCCCCACTGATTTGTTTTCGATCGGAGCATCAAGCAGCGCAACCCGGTTCGACCAATTAGAATTGCCTCCCAGAATCTATAATTATCTCAAAAAGTCCAATATACATACATTATTGGACCTTTTGAAATACCCGATTAAAACAATTTTAGACCCAATTTCATCTTCTAAACCAAATTAACTCGAAAAATCCCCAATTCACAAATTCTGAGAACCCTAGAATTTGAAATCGAGAGAGAGAGTTCGAAATCCGTTTGAATCTCGATAGTGTGATAGATAATTCGAGTTTAGCATGGCTTTAGCTCCTCCAAATGGTGGAGAGAGACTGGAATTTGACGATGAAGAAGTCGAGCGAGAGGAGTTTCAACTCGAGGAACTATTGCGCGAATTTCAAAACGAGCCGTCGATTCAGCACCGCCAGTTGCCTGAGACTGATGACGAAGCAGAAGATGATGGCGAAGCTAGAGCTGAAGCAGGCGGTGAAGGTCGAGAGAGAATGGTCACGAGAATTAGTCGTGGTGATGGGTCTTTGTACAAAGACCAGACTTTCTTCAACGGTGTAGCTTTCAAAGAGAGTGTCCTCGACTACGCCCTTAAAACAAGGTGGAATATCAGCCAATACAGGTACGATAAGGATAAGATTGGATTTGAATGTGCTGGTAGAGGTTTGAACGATTCAGAGTGTATGTGGCAAATTTATGCCTCGATTCTTCCAAAAGATAAAATTTGGAGAGTTAGGAAGTTTGTAGAGACGCATACATGTCAAAAGACTGGACAAGTTGAGTTGGTTAAAGTCCCTGTGATAGCTAGGTTGTTTAAGGAGAAGATTCGTAGAGAACCTGAATACTACATGCCTATGAAGATTGAAGAATTGGTTATGTCAGAATGGGGAATTGTTGTGTCTAGGCCTCAATGTCAAGCTGGTAGGAACAAAGCTTTGAAGTGGATTAGTAGTGAATATGATCAGCAGTTTGCAAGACTAAAAGATTATGCAGCCGAGATAGTAGATTCAAATCCGGGTTCGTCTGTGGAAGTTTGCACAACTCGGAATGATAAAGGTGAAGATGTGTTCTCGAGATTCTATGTTTGCTTTGACGTGCTCAGAAAAACATGGAAGGATAGTTGTAGGCCACTAATAGGACTTGATGGTTGCTTCCTTAAAGAGAGAATCAAGGGACAGCTATTGGTTGCTTTAGGTCGAGATGCAGACAATGCCATTTATCCAATAGCCTGGGGTGTTGTAGAGGTGGAAAACAATGAGAACTGGCAGTGGTTTGTGCAGAAGCTGAAGGTTGATTTGGATCTAAAAGATGGTGACGGGTTCATTGCTGTTTCAGACCGCCATAAGGTAATTTAGCTTTTGTTAAGTCTGATTTTAGATTTACATGCATATCTCTTTTTTGCTTTGTTTGTAACTAACTTTTACGGTTTTGTTTTGTTTTGTCAGGGATTAGTAAGAGCTATTAAGATTGAGTTACCAAAGATGGAGCATCGTAAGTGTGTAAGACACATCTACGGGAATCTGAAGAAGAAACATAAGAGCAAAAAGCAGATGAAGTCACACATATGGAGGCTAGCTTGGAGTTACAATGAAGCCAAGTTCCAGGTGAACTTGGACAGGTTAAGATGCTATGATACAGAGGTTTACAATGATGTTATGGCTTCAAGTCCAAGGAGTTGGTGCAGGCTTTTTACAAGCTAGGCAATTACTGTGAAGACGTTGAAAACAACTCGACAGAGTCTTTTAATGCCTCAATAAACAAGGCCAGAGAGAAGCCATTCATCCCTATGCTTGAAGCAATAGCAAGGCTTGCCATGGCACGTATTGCCGTAAGGTCGAGAATATCTCATGACCATACAGGTAATCCACATAATCCTCATTGTCTTTGATTGATTGTTATGTTTTTAGTGTAGTGATAACATAATCCACTTTAATTGTCAGGAAAATGTACACCATATGTGATTGAAAAGCTAGCAAAGCAGCTTGTAGATAAAGATAAGAAAGATGGAGCCAAGAAGTGTGTTGTGACTAAAAGTGTTAAAGGGTTTATTCTTCAATGCTGAATGGACAAACTCACCGTGTAAGCTTGGAGAATAGGACATGTTCTTGCAGGAAGTGGGACATAACTGGAATACCATGTAAGCATGCTCATGGTGTGATGTTGAAGCTGAAGATTGACCCTGAAGACTATGTCTGTTATGGTTCCGGACACCTATGTGGAGAAGAAACTACACTGACGGACTTATTCCAGTTAGGGGTTCGAGGTTTTGGCCAGCAACAGATGCTCCGGATGTACATGTACCTCCTCCTAAAGAGAAACCAGCTGAAGAAGAAACCGGGACTGAAGCAGCAACAGAACCAGGAAAAGAAGCAGGGAAGAAGAAGCTCACCAAGGCTGACAAGACAAGAAAAAAAGGTGTTAATGAGTCTCCAACTAAGAAGCAACGAAAGGAGAAGCAAAGGATTATGCATTGTGGAGTTTGTGGTGAGGCTAATCACAACGCTAGGCATCACAAGGCGAATTCTTCACAGGTTTGTCTTCTCTTGTTGCTGTTTAAAGTCTTTTGTTCCTTACAAACATGTTTTTAGACTTACATGGAGATCTCTGTTTTGCTTTGTAGACATTGTTGTTGGAGGGTCCTCAAAGTCACGTTGAATCCTCTCAAGGAACCCTTACTCAAGATTGAGTTGACATCTACTTTTGGTATTTGGACTTAGATGTGTCGGATTTGTAATGACATCTACACTTGGTTTTGGTTTATGACATCTACACTTGGTTTTGGTTTTGGTTTATGACATGAGAGGTCTCGGATATGTAGGATTATGTGACATTGGCTTTTGGTTTTCTTTTTAAGACTCTTGGATTATGTTATGGTAAGCTTTTGGACATCTTGTTGTTTACTCATGTTAATGTTATGTTAAGCTTTTGGAAATGTTATTGTTAGTATTGCACACAAAACATAAGCAACAATGCTTGTTAAAATAGACAAATTCAAAGCATTAATTCAAAGAATACATATCAAGTCCACAATCTTCTTAACAACCATACTTTCAATGCATACAAGATCATACTTCTAAAAACTTTTCAACCTAATTGCTTACTAAACCCAACCATCACCATACACAAAGCAATTACACCAATCATCATTTTCTTTGAAGTAGATGATGCTTCAATCAATGTCTCTTCTACTCTCTCAAATATCTCCTTCTCAAGCTTCATTTGCACATTCTCAAACACAATCCTCTCAAACTCTGTCCTCTCTGCTGCAATTGCTTCAAGCTTTTCCTCAAGTCTTACATTTTTTGTTTTCAATGCTCTATCTCCTCTAAGTGAGCCTCATCAACCCACTTGAACATGTGGTTATCATTCGCAAGCTACATCCATTGACAATAATACTTATCACAATCAACATTCAATAAAACAATGAATCAGAAGCAAGAATTATGGTGGATTTACCTTCCTAGCCACAGCATAGCCACAACGATAGTAACGCCGGTAAGGATTGTTGTTGGATTTGGAAATCAATTCCATGATTTGTTCCCCACACGGACAGGTTTTTGGCACCCCATAAAATCTGCCTCTTGAACGATGGATTGACGATCCACTAGAAGCTCCAGAGGCGTTACTCATGGCTTAAGATCTGCAGGTAAACCCAAAGACAAAAGAAATTAAGAACAAAGAAGAAGAACTCGAGTATAAGAAAAGGGGGAAGAAGATGAGATCCGAAATCGATATCCTAACCCTAAACAACTGAGAAGATTATCCGAAATCAACACACTAACAGTTAATTTCAGAAATTAGTGTTCAGCAGGATCGATTCGAGATTTTTTGCAAAATTCGATTTTAGGGTTCTTCAGTTTCTGGGTTTCTGATTTGGGATTTTTCGACCGTTGTTGAGTCGGGTTATAACACGACAGATTTTTCGACCGTTGTTGAGTCGGGTTAAAACGTGGACTAACGGGTCTGATTTTTTGAGATTCGGGTTTCTGTTTGGTTTACTACCGGTTTTGGATGGTTTCATATCCGGGTTCAGACATTAAACCATCGCACTTGGGTTCGTGTGGTTCTGGCTTCTCAAAGTTTATCTCATGTGGTTGTGGCTTCTTAAAGTTTATGTCGTGTGGTTGTGGAACGAGGTCATACTTTGGGCTGCATCTGGTGCGACCCCTCTACTTCTGGTGGGGAAATAGGTCGTCATCCCTTATTTTCCATGACTTCACTCGGTGGCAAGGTAGATCATTCAGTCAAGAAGGGTAGGGGTCCTCAGATGTTCCAGCTACACGGAGAGAATTGCCATTTAATGGGTAGTATGCTTCCACAACCTGGAGATCACGCTAAATTCTATCAGATACATCGTTGATATGGAAAACGAAATTGAAAACAGGTTTTCTTTCCTCAGGTGATTTTTCGTAATTTTCTTTGGTCGTTACAGTATAACAAAACTTATGATTGAAGAAAGATGCAGACGGGAATTTGATTACCTTTTCCATGTTTTTATTTCAGCAAGTCTAAAAATGCACAAGAAACGAGTAAGAAGAACAGACTCAGGAAGGAGATCATTGAGACGTTTGTGAAGGTTTTAGATGAAGTTAATCCCTACGTGAAGAAGTTTAGGACTGCGAGAGAGAGATTCAATATGGATCCTGACCAGAGTTTTCATATGAGGATCATAAGTGATCGTCTAACTGATGGGAGGACTTACAATAGACCAACTGCTTCAGAGGTAGCTGCCATCATCCCCGGAGATTTCAATTTCGATATGGGTAAGAATCGTGATATTGTTCTGGAAAAACAATCGGGGAAGTTGAGACGTATAAGCGAGATACATCCAGCCTATATCCCACTACAGTATCCTACTGTATGGCCACATGGTGAAGACGGGTTCAGACTTGGAATACAGAAAGCAGATTCTGTTGCCACCAAAAAAACCAAGAAGAAAAACATCAGTATTAGACAATTCTTTGCTTTTCGCCTATTTGACAGAACTAATGAGGCAGAAAACCTACTATACTCAAGAAGGTTGTTCCAGCAGTACTTGGTCGATACTTACACCATGGTTAAAGCAAACAGACTATCCTTCCTGAGGCACAACCAATCCAGTTTGAGGTCAGACAGTTACGATTCTATCAAGCAAGCTGAACAGGCTGGTGTCATTGATATGGAGGACCAAGGCAACAAGTTCTATCTTCCTGCTACTTTCACAAGAGGACCAAGATATATGCGAGAGTTATATTTTGATGCAATGGCAATTTGCAGACATTATGGTTTCCCCGATTTGTTCATTACATTTACATGTAATCCTAAGTGGCCAGAACTCAATAGAGAGCTTGATGGCACGAATCTCAGACCTACATATAGACCTGAACTTATCTCCAGGCTTTATCATACGAAACTAACCTCGATGATGGAAGACTTGACTCAGAAGGGGCTTATGGGAATCATTGTTGCTTGTGAGTTGTTCCAAACTTTTTTTTTATATAGTCAGGTCTAAATTTACCAATTTGATAATAGGTAATTGATAAACATATTTTATTGGAAAATATATGACTCATTGATTTTGACTGTGCAGCTATGTTTACTATAGAATTTCAAAAAAAGTCTGCCTCATGCTCACATTCTGCTATTTATGGATCAAAAGTTTAAGATTCCAACTACGGATGATATTGATAAGATTATATCTGCTGAGATACCTGATCAGTTAGAAGAGCCTGAGCTATATGAGGTTATCAAAGATATGATGATTCACGGTCCTTGTGGTCATGTAAACATGAACTCACCATGTATGGTTGATGGAATCTGTTCGAAGTCGTTTCCGAAAGCTTAAGCAGAGAAGACCACGATAAGCAGAGATGGGTTTCCGATTTACAGAAGACGCGATCAGCCAAATGTTTTTGTCGAGAAGAATGGTTTCAAATGCGACAACCGTTATGTCATTCCTTATAACAAAGCTCTGTCTATCCTCTACAAGGCGCACATTAATGTCGAGTGGTGCAATCAGTCAGGGGCTATAAAGTACTTATTCAAGTACATAAACAAAGGATCAGATCGTGTGGCTGTTGTAGTTGAGTCACCGGAGCAGGCTAAACTTAACGAGGAAAGAAGACAAAACAACCAGACCGGAGGACCTGATAATGGAGCAAACCAGTCATTACCAAATTCTGGAAGCAATGGGAAAGTTGAGAAGGTTAACAAGATAAAGGACTATTTCGACTGCCGGTATGAATGAGAACCTCTTTTGTTTTTACTCTGTTATTTCGTGGACTAATTATATGTTAAATTATATTATATGCTAAGAATGTGTTCCTGTTTTGTGGCTGAACCCTGCTGTGAAGGTATATGTCATCTTCGGAAGCTGTATGGAGGACATTGGGTTTTAAAATACATCATAGGTCTGTCGCTGTTGAGAAACTCACTTTTCACCTGGAAGGCAAACAAATGGTCATTTACAAGGGCAAAGACAAAATGGAGAGGGTTGTGACACGTAAGCTAATCGAGAAGACGATGATGCTGGCTTGGTTTCAGCTAAATTTAGTAAACACGAAGGCGAGGACCCTAACTTATGTTCAGATTCCAGAGTTCTTTGTGTATCTCCCTAGCGAGAAGCGTTTTAAGGAAAGGCAGTCAGGTTTTGCTATTGGAAGAATTAACTATGCACCAAGGAAGATTGAGGATGCGTACTATTGTAGAGTTTTGTTAAATGTTGTAAGAGGTGTGACATCTTTTAACGACATCAAGACATACAATGGTGTCCTTTATCCGTTGTACAAGGATGCGTGTTACGCAAGGGGTTTGCTAGAGGATGACCAAGAGTACATAGATGATATTCTGAGAAGAAGCTTCACGTGTTCTCTAACACATCTTAGGCAACTTTTTGTGATAATGCTCAATTCCGACAGTCTAACTTCTCCAGAGAAGGTTTGGAATAGTACATGGGAGGCTCTTTCTGAGGACTTCGAGTTTGAGAGAAGACGTGAACTTAATAGACCAGGTATTCCGAAAATACTTTAAAAGAAATTTGTAGCTCCTTTCCTGGACATTCTTACCAACACCCTTCTAAACAGGGATCTAATATGTTTTTTGGCTATCAGATTATATACTGAGCAGTGAAGACCGTCGAGAAATGTGTCTTCAGGAGATTGTGAATATTTTAAAAAGGAATGGTGGTGAATTTTCCCGGTTTAAGACTATGCCAAAGCCACAAACAATTGTCGCAAAAGAGGAGAATGTTTTGATCTCTGACGAGAATAGCTACAACCGTGAAGAATAGAAAGCAAATCACGACAGAGACCTCGCAAAGCTCACTGACGAACAGAAGAGAGTTTACGATGAGATTCTTGGTGCTGTCTTTGCAAAAGCTGGTGGTGTTTTTTTCCTATATGGTTTTGGTGGTACAGGGAAAACGTTTCTATGGAAGATATTGTCATCTGCAGTTAGATGCCGTGGAGAGATAGTCCTCAACGTTGCTTCAAGCGGTATAGCAAGTCTTTTGTTACAAGGAGGCAGGACGGCTCATTCAAGGTTTGGAATACCACTAAATCCTGATGAGTTCTCTACTTGCACTATGGAAAAGGGTTCTGATCTTGCTAATTTGGTAAGGGAATCATCTCTGATGATATGGGATGAAGCTCCTATGATGAGCAAGCACTGCTTTGAGTCTTTGGATCGTAGTTTAGGTGATATTATCGGTAAGAAGCATGGGAAGCCTTTCGGAGGCAAAGTTATGGTTTTTGGAGGAGACTTTAGGCAGGTTCTTCCAGTAATACCAGGAGCAGGCAGGGCACAAATTGTCTGTTCATCTCTTAATTCATCATATCTCTGGGAGCATTGCAAAGTTTTAAAACTCACTAAGAATATGCGACTACTTTCGGAAAATCTTAGTCCAGAAGAAGCGAATGATCTTAGGAGGTTTTCAGAGTGGATTCTGGCTGTTGGCGATGGAAGAATTTCAGAACCTAACGATGGAGAAGCTGAAATTGATATTCCTGATGAATTTCTAATAACAGATGCCGATGAGCCTATCAAAGCTATAAGCAGGGAAATATATGGAGATGCTTCGTCTCTACAGAACAATATTGATCCTCAATTTTTCCAGGGAAGAGCTATACTCTGTCCCACAAACGAAGATGTTAACATGATAAACGAGCACATGCTCGACAAGTTGAATGGTTAGCAGGATTAGTTACTTGATTTTTTTAAAGTCAATTCTCTATGTCTATATAGTTAGATTGGTTTGAATTAACGAGAGAATAAAATTTCTTTTCAGGTGAAGAAAGAATTTATCTAAGCTCCGATACTATAGATCCTTCAGACACAGCTTCCATCAATGACGAGGCTCTAAGCACTGAATTCCTAAACAGCATAAGAGTGGCTGGGTTACCTAATCACAGTTTGCGATTGAAGATCGGCTGTCCTGTAATGTTGCTAAGGAATATTGATCCTATAGGAGGCCTAATGAATGGAACAAGGCTCCAAATAACTCAACTAGCTGATTTCATGGTTGAAGCTAAAGTTATAACCGGAGATAAGGTTGGTCGTAAAGTTGTTATTCTTAGACTATTGATTACACCATCAGACACGACTCTTCCTTTTAAGATGAGGAGAAGACAACTCCCGCTAGCAGTTGCTTTTGCAATCACAATAAACAAGAGCCAAGGACAATCTCTTTCACAGGTTGGTATTTTCTTGCCCAGACCGGTTTTTTCTCATGGACAGCTGTATGTTGCCATCTCCAGGGTAACCTCCAAGAGCGGTTTGAAGATTTTGATCGTAGATAAAGATGGGAAGCCTAAGAGGAAAACAACAAATGTTGTTTTCAAAGAGGTTTTCAAGAACCTCTAAAAAATTCTAAGTTTTTCAATTTTTAATATATTTCAGTTAAGATAATGTTGGAGAAGATGGTATTATCTTTTTTACAGTTTAAAAACATATAGTCGGTTTATTTTTGGTGAAAACATTTCATTTATAAACCTAAGATTATATTATTCAGAAAGCATGAATCGGAGTACCTATTAACTAACACAAACATATCTTAGTATTTTCATATTCAATATTATTATTTTTTAATGTTATCACCTATTAGGCTTATCAGTGAATGATGTCATCGTTGAACATATATATTCTAACCCCGGCCCATTAGAACTCAGAAATCCATTCCATTATGTTGTGGACCTAAAGCAACTATTGGTCTTAATATCAACAATTACCTTGATCCGTGGTGGACGTTATCTGTGAGGTGAAGTGAATGTTTCCGAAATCTGATTTTTAACCTGCCAATAACAACAAAAAGTACACAAATTGTTAATCCAAAAACCAAAAAATGCAGATAAATTCCAAAGTTAGAGAGATTATCAAAATTTGTATGGATATGTCACACCTTGCAATATTGGGACAGAAGACCTAAGTGTTTTCAACACCATCTATAAGGTTTTAAAAAAATATATATATATATATTTAATGCTTCAGAATTGTCACCTCTTAGATCAGAGGTAAAGCTGCAAGATTATTTTATCACGCAAAGTGATCAACTATAAAGGAGCTTTGGGAAAAGATTTGTACTGTGTTTTCATTTCAAAACGGTAAAAAAAAGCATTCAATGTCCAAGATGATATCAGAATCTTTAATTTAGAAGGAGAATATTTTATTTATCTACACTATTATATGAATTAAATATTCGTAGATCATATCCCTATAAGTAAAGGAAAACTCCATTTCTGGCTGGAAAGAGAATCAAACCAAAACTTAAAAAAATGGGAACTATTTCAAAAATTTCAGATCTTTCTCTTTTCAGAAATGATTGGACAATAAGGGTTAAAGTGTTGAAAAAGTGGAGCGAGATGAAAGATGGAGGTGGTGACATATTGCGGTTTTTGTTGGTGGATGATCATGTAAGTTTTGAAAATTTTAAAGTTGCATAACTCGGTTTAATATTTTACTCAGAATGTTTTGCTTCGACTTCACAACTTTTTTTAATTGATAGAGTGGAAAAATACCTGCAGAGGTAAGCCAGGACGATGGTCTGTACGAACATTTTGATTATTTGTTGCATGAGGAACAGTGGAAAATCATCACTGGGTTCACCGTCCAGTTGTCACCTCCTGGTTTTCGATTTGCACAGAATCACCATAGCATCACTTTCACAGAGAATACGGATCTACAAAGTTCAGGAGGTATTATTAGAGATCATTACATGAATTTCAAGGACTACATAGGCGTAATGAATGGAGTCTATAACTCAGAATTATCCACTTGGTAAGTTTTCAAAATAATACAACATGTTTTGTTCATATATTATGGATATTTGTTGCATTTGCATCTGTGAATGTGCATATATTAATATATATACTGTCTAACTATGCTCTGAAATCTACGTAGACCTTATTGGCTATCTGGATGGTGTTAGTGGCTTAAAAAATTGTTAAAGACCACACACTCACGCTAGGTAATGACAAGAAAACTTGGAGAGTTAAGTTCTGGATCAAGAATTTAGGGTAAGTATGTTTTTTAATGTTCTGTTTTTTTAATAACCACATGAGGAGAATGTTTTACTTGAATGTGTTTTTTATATTATGTATTGTTAGTGGTGACACCTTGGAATGCAAAGCATATGGAGTCTTGGCGATCCAACTTTACGACAAATGGTGGAGGCACGGTGGAAACGAAACCTTCATCACAATGAGTGACTTGAAACTTTACACGGACAGAAGTATATATCAAAACTCTAACCATTTCCTATTTGAAGAATCAAAACATGGTTTATAACATCTATACTATTAGAGACATTCATCGGTAACTAAGTTTACATGTTATAGGAACAAACGAGATCAAGATCAAGGATGTTGGTGGATTATCTAGATTTCAGTTCAATGCTCCTTACCAGGACGTTTATGAATTCAGCTCTGCATAGTAAGCTACAAATCTTTTACTATTATTTAGCCTATGGTAATTATGAAACTCCAGTGGTTAAGTAACTAAACATCAAATGCAGTTTTGGAAGCAGTGATGGCTCGGTCGATGAGTTGATTGATCTCTCTCCCTGAAAAACCAGTTTCACTTTGTTTGGAACTAAGCTGTTATTATTTTGGAATGTTATCTACTCTTCTAGAGCCCTATGATCTACAAATTTCGCTTTTATCTACTGCTTATTTAAGGAACAAATGCTGGTTTATAAAAGACCATTTCTTAGTATGTTTCCTTTTTCTTAAAAACTTAGAGTTAATGTTTTGTAATGCAAAAAATATATCTTCTCCGCAAATTCATTGAATCTTTTATTTTTTGAAGAACGTTAGGTCGAAAAAAAAAAGGACAATAATTTTTTCCTAAAACAATTTTCACCCAAAGAAAACAAAAAAGTAATTCAACACATAATCATATCTAAACTGTAGATATCGATATATACTGTTACGAGAGAAGTGTTAAATCAAACCTGTATTTAATACTTTCCGGAACGAACCAATCCGAATATGCAATCATGATTCTTTCGCCGGATACGTAAAAACCGCAAATCACGGAACACGCCGTCTCTGAAAAGTTGAAGATATTCTATGAATAAAGAAAGGAAAGTAGTAAATCCATCGAATATCCACTTCAATCAGTAAATAAATGAAACGATGCAAAGAAGACGCAACCCTAAGACGGAACAATATATAAGGACGATCGTCAAACCACTTAACATCACAACTCACCAACAACCAAAACTCAAAACAGAAAACAACTTCCATGGCAAACATTGTGAAACTCTCCAAGGTTACACCTAATCGATCCGATTGGAGTTGTTAGAGTGAGAGTTGAAAAGATGTGGTGGACACTAACTTTGGAGTCTGGTGAAGGGCTAAGCTTCCTTTTTGTCGATGATGAGGTTTGTGCATGAATATTTTTAAACTGTTTAACAATCATAAATTTTATATTCGAAGATATCCTAATGTTTCAATTATTTGTTTTTGTCCGAGTCAGGGCACAAGGATGCATGCTTTCGTGGATAACTTTTATCATGGGAAGAAATTTAAGGGTCTCCTTCAGGAAGGACAGTGGAAGATGATAACTGGTTTCAAAGTTCTTATTGTTGAGAAAGAGATACGTATGACTAAAGAGAGGAAAGAGATTGCTCTCACCATAGAAACCCAAGTTGATGATGCAGAACCATTCCATGGTTTTATTCCACTAGATTTGATTCCATTTCAGGATGTCCAGAACGGAATGGTTCACGGTGGAACTTCTTACACCAGAGGTTAGTATTTTAATTGGAATTGATTTTGAAGGGCCAAACTTGCCATATAAATAATGCAAACAAATCTCACTCATCTTTTTATTTTTGATATTGTTTTTTCGTAGATTTCCTAGGTGTGATTGATAGTGTGCAAGATCTAGGCGTCATAGAGGATGACTCTATTCCTAGAAACAGGCATAACAACGATCCTAAGACTACCACCATGATTAACTTTGTTCTCCAAGACAACGAGTAAGAATATGCGAAAGATTTACTTAATGTTTTTGAACATGTGTACTCCTTATATGTTTAGATGCTTCGGATTAACCAATAATCATTCTTTTACAGTGGCTATCATCTTATGTGTTTTTAAGACAAATCTAAAGTTCCACACAATTTGATCTACTTGTGAAAAAAAACAGAACATCCTAGAACAACCAACTCAATCAAACATCCTGCATATTTATAGACGTCTGCACATAGTAAACTATAAAATAAAAAATATCCTAAAACCGCAAGAGATTTCATGATGATGCGATGTTTACCTTAAATACTTTGGATCCATTCCGGAAGCAATTTAGCAGTCCAACGGATAGACTTCGATCATCACTCACCGGAGAAAACATAACATAAACAAACAGTGGGATTATGAATTTTGATTTTACATAAATCGATCAACTACACCAAGATTATGAATATGTGCATACAATTTTACCAATCAAGATCCGTTAGAATAAGAATTACACACCTCCACGAGCTGCCGGAAAGGGAATTTTATTCCCCATTACCCCCTTTCGGAGTCGACGGATTTCCGTTCATAATCTCATACTGATGCCGACGATGATAAGAGCGACAACTGGAATCAGACATAATCAGACATAACAATTAGGGTTTCGTTTACTAAAAATTCCCCCAATTCAATTTTGAAACACATTCAATTGAAGTTCGGGCGAATTCGGGTTTCGAAACACAAAACGAATTCGTTTCGATTAATCATTTGTCACCGTTTCATAGGCTTTGTTGTCGAAGGCCCATTACAATGAAACAAACTGACCCATTGTAACGAAAGAATTTCGTAGCCCAAAAAGATATAACAATATATTCAGCCTCATAATTATTAAGTTAATTACTTTAATAAACTCAACAAAAATTGCAACAACCCGTGCTTCCCAAGCACGGGTCATGATCTAGTAATAGATTAAAGGTTTGACAAAAATAACTTTTGAAATATTTATTTTTACTACTTAACAACCCAATGGAGGGTTTTACCGATGGACAAACTAAAACTTAAAATAGCACACAAAGTTTGTTAACACTCTTTGATTGAAATATATATTTAAAAAATGCTTAAATCCACAAATTGTGGTTTTAGCGATGGAGATGCCCACATCGCCTCATGTTGTTATCGATTTATTCACTTTACTGTTAAAATATTATGATTGTGCTCATGTAATAAATCTTCTCGTTATCCACCGACTGAACAAGTTCCCATATTGTCTTCGCGGTCGGGTTCTTCTTCAAATACGTCTTCAATATATTCTCAAACACATTCCGAAGAAATTTTTCGCAGCTTTCGCTTCCCCAGTTACATCGAAATTATATATTCCATCTATTTATAATATAAGGGTTTTAGAGTTATTTTTGTTGTTTCATAATATAAAGAGTTTTCAAGTTCTTATGCAAAACTAAATGTGTTTTTGTTACTTTTGATTATTTATATTATGTAGAATATTTTTTCATTGGTTGAAATGTTTTGAAATTGATTATCAAATATATTTTATTGTAAAAAGTACAAAAATTAAATGAACTCTTAATCTTTGTGCAAAAACCTAAAACCCATTATATTATGAAACAGAGAGAATATATATTATTGTATATTAACTTTCTTTGTTTTTTCTTCAAAAAATAAATTAATTTTGAGAAAGAATTAACCTTGAACGATGAAGTGTACGGCAAGTTGAAGGAAGCCATGTAGAAAAATCTTTGAGTTGTGTCTGAGAAACTAACCCAGTGTGAGCCTTGGTTGGTTTTTCTTATATATGCATGTCTTTTCTTATTAAACAAATACGACGGAGTCACTATTCTTAATGTTTCTTTTGTTTTGTACGTATAATATACAGATTAGGTTACCTAAGCCGGATGTCGCTCTTCATGATTTATATTTTATTTTTTCTGACGTAGATTCACAATTATTGCCCACGGCTTGATTAAATGAGCATGTGCCAAGGTGGGAGTAGATGATATGAATTCGTTCGACAAACAAATCTTATAGCTGATTCTGCACTACTTACTTTTTATTATTGATTCTATACATTTTTCAAAACGTGAAAAAAATACAACAAACTAATTAGAGATAGTGACATGTGCCGAATAATATGCCGGAATCGACAAACAAAACAATTCTTAAAATGTTGAGAAGCGTTTTGGAGATCATAACAGTAAATGGGATTTGCACACATATAAAAAAAAAAAAACAGTAAATGGGTAAAAGCACTTGGTAGAGCAAAACAAATATTTTTAATAATACCGTTTCAGTAACCAAATTCACCAAGTCTCAAAAAAAGAAACAAAAGTCTTTAACCCAAACACCAAATTTTAAGGGGATCATAGTTAGATGCCGGAAGAATAACATTTTAGCCAAAACACCTTTTTGACATAAGTTACATTTATATTTTACAAGATTAGGTGCCAACCTGAATACAGTAGATGCCGGAAGCGAATAGATAAAAAAACATGAACTAATAAAAACCATCTACCAAATAATAAACAACATGGTTTACTAACAAAATCATATATAAACTACAAACTCCCATACCCGCAACTGCAAATTTAACCCTGTCAGACTCTTGATTATGTACACATGAACATGTCTATGCCTTTTAGGTTTCAAAGCATATTGGGATATTTATTTTTGGACCGTCCTAGACTCCAGTGGTTTGTGCTAGTCACTGTGTCATCATCCAGAAGAAGCATACAACAAAAGAAGGCTAGATACAAAAGTGAAGAAAAACAGGAGGTCTTAACATTAAGAGAATATATTGCAACTTGCATCACAAGGTATATAGAACGTAACTATATTAGGTAGGTTTTGGTTTGATATTTAAACTTGCATCACAAGGTATATAGAACGTAACTACATTAGGTAGGTTTTGGTTTGATATTTATTTGAATGAGTGGGTTTCTATTGGATGATCTGAATGTCTAAATAATATCGAGTTTATAACAAAATACACTAAATATCCATTCATACAATTATATTTGACAAAATGGAAAACATCACATATATCATACTACAAACTACACCTCACACTTCATGTTTTCCTTATATATCGGTTATCTATATGCATATAAATTTAACTTTTATCACTTCTCCTTCTGGCACTTCAGCATCCACCTAAGCATCCCACAATTTAACTATCACAACACTTGATTAACAAATGTATGAATGAAAAGCAAAAAAAAAACAGAAAAAGAAGAGCAAATAGAAAAATTAATGAATGAGAGAAAGATAGACACCCTTGAAAATTTAGAATTATATGCATAACATTCACCACACAAACAAATACATAAATATATCTTACATTGATATATTGATAGACACAAACACACAAATTAACAAAAGCAAACACTTGAAGATACAATATAACAAAACAAAGAAAAAATTACATAACATTATGTAAAGATTGTTAAACACCCAGCATGTAGCGCCGACCAAACTCTAGTAGGTAACATAAAGTTCTGTCACATCACAAGAGAAGAACAACATTAAGATATCACACACAAATGGTCTAAATAACATACGAACATATAAAGATACACACATTAGACAATAAACATGGTGAGTTGAACAAGACAAGTCTGGTTCTAGACTTGTGCATTGAAACGGGTGCTTTCCATTACGTGGTTGGCAGCATCAAGTTCAAAGGCATCGCGTCTATGATATTCTTTGATCTACATAACAACAGACGAAAAAAAAAGGATGCTGAATAATAAAAGAATGCAATTAGTGCATGCATGTCGTTTCTTGCTTTTTTATTTTTATTTTTCTTTCCATTACCTCATCATGCGGCATATCTTTGAACTCTGGAAGAATTAGACGTTGAGTGAACTCAATGTAAGAAGCCGGAATTGTTTCAGTTACTCCATCTGCAAATTCAACCGCAAGCTTTTCCGAGAAGGACGAGATTTGTAAAAGTAGACCATCTTCACTCACTGAAACATATATATCCATGCACATTCATTCCAGTGAAACAATTAAGAAATAAAAACATTCCACTGAAAATGTTATGAGGGGGGAATAAGAAAAGGAAACCTTTGAGAATCTCTCCGTCAGTGTTGAGTTTGAATCCTTTTTCTTCAAGATACTCTTTGACGCATTTGATTTCACTAAAACGGTGTTTGAATCGATGAACCGCAAAAGCAAGATGGTTCATTGTGTAGCCGTGGATAAGCGTCCATGCCGCAAGTTCGCTTTCTCTTCAACGTTCATAAATACAATTCAACATTAGATTAGCTCTAACGACGGAAATGTATTCATTAATGATAATGTGATTATTGGTTACTTTGCAAGTTGCTTGAAGTCGGTCCATGTAGGCTTCTCCCATATTAAAGACCCCAAAGTACTTGAAAGAACCGCTTGCTTACCACCTTCTGGTTTCAAATACTTCCTTATTATCCCCTAATATATTTAAGGGTAACCATTAATTAATAAGGACCAGAAAAGTATAATATATATAAATCAAATTGTATATGCTAATGGACTTATAGACTCATAATACCAACATCATGATTGTGATATTATATTACCTGTGATTCAAGGCTTAGTTCGTCCACAATAATCTCAGCTATAACAAGCCGTGGCAAAGGGCCGTTGGCTAGACCGTGACCGTCATTAGGGACATGAACATCAGGAGGAGAAAACCAGAGAACGCGTAAGTTCTTCTTTGGAAAATCAAGTCCGCCTCCAATTGTATATCCGTAATCCATGAAGAAACTCGACAAGGACTCGATTCCGTAGCCATCTACCTATAAACATATTTTTGGGCCTATATTATGGACAACATACAAAAAAAAAAAAAAAAAAAAAAAAAAAAAAAATCCCCGAAGTGAAAGTGAAGTGGTCGTAACATATCCTCTCGTTACACAACTAGTTACACCAAACCTTGAAGTAGTGAAATTCTTACCTTAAATGTCCTGAAAGTGAAGTGGTCGTAACAGATCTTCTCGTTGTCCACCGACTGAACAAGTTCCCATATCGTCTTTGCGGTTGGATTCTTCCTCAAATACGTTTTCAGTATATTCTCAAACACATTCCTAAGAAACGTTTCGCTTCCTCCCTGTTACATGGAAATTTGCATTGTTCCTAAATCCTATGATATAATATGAAAGTGTATTGTATTATTTTTTCTCTTCTTCAATAAAAAATCAAAGTAGAGAAATTAAGAACCTCGAACGATGAAGCGTTAGGCAAGCCAAGAGAACCCATGTGGGAAAGATCCTTGAGCTGTGTATGAGAAACACAAGTTTGCTTGATTTTTCTGATCTCTTATCGTTAATTGGTACTGACTCTGTTTCAATATATAAGGCGTTTAAGAGTTTATTTTTTGTTTTATATTATAAGGGATTTTCAGTTTTCTGTGTAAAATTAAATGTGTTTTTGTTACTTTTTTTTTTATAAATTGTGCAGATTATTTTTCTTATTGGTTGAAATGTTTTGAAAATGATAAAAAAACATGTTTTATCTTGAATACCTAAAACATTAAATGAGTTATTAATCTACGTGTAAAAATCTTAAACCTCTTATATATTGAAATAGAGGGAGTAAATAATTACCTAGAAAAGAGTGAAGGATCACAGTGTATCACTAGTGGGGTGGGTGGAAACACACTACAAGAGATTGGTCAAGTGGCGTGAACAATAGATCCAGAAGCGTTTTTTTTTTTCCAATTAAAAAATGCCTTTTCCATAAATAATCTACAAACCACGTATGTACAGTAGCGGATCTCGGGAAATTTCTCTTCCTGATTACAACATAATCATGCATGCATTAACGTGATAATTAATTAATTCGTTTTTTATATAATAAAAATCAAAATTAGAGAAAGAACCTTGAGCGATGAAGCGTGAGATAAGTCGAGAGAAGCAATGGAAGAAGAAGATTCTTGAGTTGTGTATAAATAACACAGCTGACAGCTTTGCTTCATATAGAGTTCTTATTTAATATCGTAACGTGTAACTAATTGATGACTCGAAAGAGTATGGAATCACTATGATTACTAGTGGACAATAGCTAAAATACAGGTTATTTATTTTGGGGAAATATAATATATCAAATCAAATCATTTAGCAGATCACCATATTCCCACTTCACAAACGATAATGTTGTATTTTAACAGAGACTGAAATCACGCGATTAGACAAACGATAATAATGTATTTTAATAGAAACTGAAATCACGAGATTTCTAATCGAATCCTATGTGTGGCGAAAGAAGAAAAATGAGAAAAAGAAACATATTTTTTCTTTCTCATTTCTCTCTGGCCAATCATATTCTGCCACTTAAAATGCTAATTGAATGATTCTAGGTGATTTTGCTGTTATTGTGTATGCAAGGGAATTTTCTTGTCTAGGCATGTATGTAACAGTAAAATAACACGTACGCATAGATGATTGCTTTTGATCGCTATCACCCAAATCATTTAAAATACCTACTCCAATACACCCCCCCCCCCCCCCCCTAAGAAATGGGTGTAAGAATCCGACGTTGGGCATGCTCTAATTCAACTTTCACTTTTCGCCTTAATTCGCTTTTTTTAAGTAAAAACATTTCTGTCTTAAATCCATATTTTTAGGTCAACAAATATAGAAAGAGTTTCAACTGATATCATTGAAGGTTATAATTGTTTCATTTTTTTGTAACCAAGCACTATACAAGAAGTAATATATGCATGTATGTCACATTTTCTCAATTTCAGTGATTACTTGTGTTCGGTAAACATGAAATAGAAGAAGAAAAAGAGATTTTAAAAACTTGAAAAAGTGATTTTGTATTGGATTTGAAGGTCCACATAAAACCCAAGTTTAGAAAAACATGCACTACATAACATTAACAAAAGTTACTTTATTTGAAAAATAATTAAACCAACCACCCCATCACACTTTATTATAAATAACAACACCACAAGAGAATAATAACAACATAAAGATCTCGCACACAAATGGTTCAAACAACATACGAGCATTAAAAGATACACACATTGCACATAGTGATTCGAACAAGACAAGTCTGGTTCTACACTTGTGCTGTGAAACGGGTGCTTTCCATTACGTGGTAGGCGCTTGCCTGCTCTAAGCCCTCGCGTCTATGACATTCTTTGATCTGCATGACAAACCGAAATGGAAAATTAATGACAGTAATAATAAGACAATCCAATTTAGTAATGGTAATCTTTTATTACCTCATCATGCGGCATATCTTCAAACTGTGGAAGAACTAGACGTTGAACGAACTCAATGTATGAAGCCGGGACGGTTTCAGTTACTCCATCTGCAAATTCAACCGCAAGTTTCTCCGACATGGACGATACTTGTAACAGTAGAGCATCTTCACTCACTGAAAATATATTTTCATTCCAATGGTTATAGCATTATAAAGTATTTTCATTAATTATATAGAGGAATAAAGTAAAAGTTAACCTTTGATAACTCCTCCGTCCTGGTTGAGTTCGAATCCCTTTTCTTCAAAATACTCTTTGACGCATTTGATGTCGCTGAAACGGTGTTTGAGTCTATGAACCGCAAAAGCAAGATGGTTCATCGTGTAGCCGTAGACAAGCGTCCATGCCGCAAATTCGCTTTCTCTTCATTAATGTATGTTTTATACACAATTCAACATTAAATTAGCTCTAAGCATCAAATGGTTAAAAGTACTACTACTACTACATGATTATGAAAGTTATAACATATACTTGGCGAGATGATCGAAGTCGGTGGATGTTGGCTTGTCCCAAATCAAAGAACCCAAAGTACTTGAAAGAACCGCTTGCTTACCACCTTGTGGTTTCAAATACTTCCTTATTATCTCCTAATTAAGACCAGCAAAAGAAGAACATAGATATGTTATAGACTCACAAGGACAACATTATATATGTTTGTGGTCATAATTAATTCATACCTGTGACTCGGGGGTTAGTTCGTCCACAAGAAGCTCAGCAAAAACAAGCCGTGGCAAAGGGCCGTTGCCTAGACCGTAACCCTCACCGGGGACGTCAATATCCGGAGGAGAAAGCCAGAGAACATGGACTTTCTTCTTTGGAAAGTCAAGTCTGCCTCCAACTGTGTATCCATAATCCAAGAAGAAATTCGCCAAGGAATCTATTCCGTAACCATCAACCTAAACCCACCAAAAATAAATAAACAAAAAAGTCAATTCACACAATGAGAGCTAAGGTAATCTTAGAGCATTATAAAGCTATTTATCGTAGACTCACTTAACCCCCTACATCATAAACTAATTTCTCAAGATATATGTTTTCATGTGTAAAATACCTTAGGAGATCAAGTTAGGATCTAGGTCATGGCGAAGCCTAGACACAATAAGTTTGACCAAATCTTGAAGAGTAAAAAATTCGTACCTTAAATGTCCTGAAAAAGAAGTGGTCGTAGGAGATTTTTTCGTTGTCGTCTACCGAGTTCACAAGTTCCCATATCGTCTTCGCCATCGGATTCTTCCTCAAATACGTTTTTAGTATACTTTCAAGCACATCGCGGAGAAATGTTTCACTTCCTCCCTGATTACAAAAGTATCATGTATTATGGTGATGATTAATAATTTGTTTGTATTTATTTTTGTAAATAAACTCTCCTATGACCACTTCCTTTTTAGGACATTTAAGGTAAGAGAAAGAACCTTGAAAGATGAAGCGTGAGGCAAGTCAAGAGAGCCCATGGTGGAAGATCTTTGCTTGAGCTGTGTATGAGAAACAAAGCTTTGCTTGATTGTTCTTATATCTTATCCTAATTGTAATTTATTATTACCTAGAACAGAGTGTGGGTGCAGTGTATATCACTATGAATCTATGATTACTAGCGGACAATAATTAAATTAAATTTTATTGAGCTAGTGGTATCAGGGCGCAAAATGAGATCGTGTAGTCAAACCAAACCAAATTATTTGGTGAATAATTGGTGGCCGGTTCTTTTTTAATTGTATATATACTCTTTTGATAAGATTTGTGCATAGAGAAATCCAGCAAAACACGAGATTCACATGCACCATGACAAAGACGTCGTAGTTGTCTTTCCCTTTAGCCATCTTGGTTTTGTTTTTGTCCGAAATATCTGTTGCTACCTTTGTTGAATATTTTTCCCTTACAACTTCGTGGAAACAACTCACCTCTCAGTGCTATAGTTAAAGATATAAACACATCGAACGGACGGATTCTTGTAGAGGGAATTACAAGTCATTTTTAGGTTCTCACATGGCAGCTAGCTCCAAATGACTACTAAGAACAGAGTGACTTTTAGAATCTGGTGGTTCGCTCTCCTTACTTTAGACATTAGAACCATAGGCTCATAACCTGGCTGATGATATAATATGTTATGGTTCCTTGTACAAAATTTCTCATCGAAAGTAAATAACTAAGTCTTTGAAACCATATTTCTATCTTAACTTCGCTTGTATTGCCCAACTTACATATACTATATATATAACATAACCCCCAAGTCCCCAACATCAACTTTATTTTAATGGCTTCAAAGCGCCAAAGGTGGACACACACAGTACATGTCCATGTCAATAAACAAGCATCCAAGTTCAAGGAATTACCTTTAATGTGCAAACCAAAATATCACAAGACCCAAAGTGTGGACGTCTGGGGGAAACAAAAACAAACCAAGCCAAGGAATAAACTATAAGAGAGCTTTCTTACGGCTCACGAGACCTTTTGTATTAGTTAAGAGTTTGTATATATACATCCCGCAAGCCAACCGCCATCAGGAAACTTCCTTATCAACACCGCGCCGAAGCAGCCCTGCATTCCACAACTCCTCTGTCACGCGCCGCTATATATATAAAAAAAGAAAACTCACAAGAGAGAGCAACAGAACAAGATTGTTTTGGGAAAGTGATCAAACCTTGATAACAATGGCCTCGACTTCTCACTGAACTTATTCATATCAATTCTTTTCATTGTAGTTCCTCCCTGTGTGCCATCGCTTTCAAACAATTCTTCAGCAAAGTTTTTCAGCCCCTGAAAAAAATTTGAACCTAATCTTGTCAATCAGAAAATGAAGTAGTTTCCCTTTTAACTTGTTGGAATAATGTGAATAAGTACCTTGGCTGCAATCAAATTACGAGCCTTCTGGTTCACTGGAAGTTGAAGCTGTTCCTGTAAGATTGAAAAATTTGCATCCAAAAGTTAAATTACAAAAGAAGATGCAGGGGATAATATCACACTAACACAGAGAAGCAGGGGATCAATTAGAATGTAAGAGAAACCCTACCATTTCAGGCAGTTTTGTGCTCTTGCCTCCAAAATAGTTATACAAGTTTAGCATGAAAACATTTGTCACATCCTGCCACCAGAAACAGAAACAGAATCAGCACTGAGTAACTAAAGAGACAATGATTATGATTAGATTTTCAGGCTAATGATGAAAAGGTTGAAGATAGAAGATAAATGTACCTGCTTGTATTCCAGCGTGTCCAACTTCCCATCCTGCAACAAAAGGTTAAATGCCAAAATAATCAGGAGAGATACTAAAAGGAATGAAATGCTCGAAAGGAAAAAATTCTGATTCCTGATCTGATGATCTCAAAGACTAAATAATTGACGGTTGTAATCATTTTAGATCACGATGGATGCAGCAACGCGCAGGCCAATGAGTTAGTAAGAGCTCATATACGCCTTCAAAACATGAAACTAAGACTCACCAGTCCAGTAATCAAATTATGCAATGACTGCAAATCCATCTCAAGTAAGCTGATATCCTCACGAGCCAAGGTGACCTGTTCAGCATAACCAAAACCATCATTTCGTTGGTCCAAGACTGTTCAACATATTTCAGATACATAACAATCATTCTAGTCACAGAAACTAAACAAAAAGGTACATATAACAATCATCATTCATACCTTGTTAATGATTTCCTTGGAGAGATCAATCTGCTTCTCTACCTTATCATCCACATTCTGAATCTTCTGCGTCAAATGCCTTTTCGCAGCCTGAAAATTCAAACGATTAACATCCAAATTTACCCCTGCAGCTTAATATATCACCAGAAACGCCATAAGTGAAAGCAAAAAAAAAAACTCACCGCGAGGGTCACCGAAACTTGCTCCAGATTCTTTGTCAAGTTAGCCACAGCAGTAGCCATGTTGGCCTTTGTCACATACATAAGGTCAGTGAACGAGAGTCCCTAACCAGTGAACAAGTACAAACATTTCTTAGCTCTCTTGAATTGCTTACAACAATGAAATCTACTTTGACAAAATCAGTCTAAAACAAACAGCAGAAATCACAAGAAAAAAAGATAATCTTACCTTCCACCACATATAACCATATCCTAAAGCTCCCAATGCCGCAGCAGGAACAGCAATGGCTTGTAAGCTTGCTGCCACACATAATAAAAAACAAAAGAGACTGATGAACAAGAAGATTTCTCCAACAATAAGCACACATTTCAGAAGAAGTACAGTTCCTAATCTTTACATACCACCAGAAACTCCATTCATGACAGTTATATTCCGCGACGAAGCTAGCTGCCGAATCTCCATAGCCAAACGGCGAACCTTCAAATTCGAGCCCCAATTGATTAGAAATTTCTCACCACCATTTCTAAATCCAATTGAAGAATAGCAAGTACCTGGGCAGCTATAGCATCAGAGGCATCATAATCTCCCTCAGATCCATCTCCAGATTTCTCCATGCCCTTCACCAGAGACTATCGAAAGAACAAATCGTGCCAAGCCAATAAGTCAAAATTTTCAAGGAGGAGAGCACAAAATCAATAAATGACCAAGTACCTGCAATTCTCCCAACACATCGGATAATTTTCCGTTCTTCATCATGATCGTACCAGTGTAACCTTTAAATTCAACCAATCGGAAAAAACGAATCAGGATACAGAGATCCCTATTTAGCAGTCGCGAAGAACGCAACAGTAAAAGCAAACGAGCGAGTTACATACCTGCTCCGGCTAAGAGCAAGATCCTGGATAAGCCAACTCCGGCCTGCATCGCCATAGCTCCGATCCTCCGATTGTTTACACCGCCGCCGACTTGTCAAATCGAATTTTAATTTTAGATAATTGCTGCTTCCTTTTTTTCTTCTTTCTGCGAAATACATTTGAGTGCTGCTTACAAGTTCAAACGACGTCGTCTCGAAGGTCAAATTCAACCGCCTCAAGTCACGGTAAAAACGGTATTGCCGTGTCACGTGGTGACACATCTTTAGGTAATGTGAGTGGGGACGACGACAATTCGTTTTTTACCGCGAGTTGAGGAAAATCTCGAACCAATTTTTTTTTTGGAAAAACCGAAACCTTAACCAGTTACGTGATGGAGCAGAGAATAGATGGTCTTTCCAATTATTTGGGTGAAATTTGTGTGTTCTATTTGTTGTTGGAGAAAATATAAATATACGTTTGTCTGTTGCGTTCTACTAGCTAAACAATGGCTTGATTCCGTAACTAAGTTTGTATGTGAAATACATTTCAGTTTTTGGCATTACGTCTTTGTGAGATCGTTGCACATAATACCGGTGAACTCTTTGTGTGCGTCTGATTTTTTTGGCTTCTACGCCTTTGATTCAAATGGATCTCTTTAAAATAAGATAGTTAGAGCATCTCTTTAAAATAAGCCTTTTCATCAAACTCTAGTCATTTATTCAAACTCTACAAATATTTTACAACTCTTCACTAACTCTTTTCAGCTTTTTTACATTCAGCTACCATCGTTGACAGAGTGGAGATGATCCCTTGAAGTTTTCTTCAGTAGCACAACACTTGAAGAAGCACCATTCCTGGAACACATTCTTCACTTTCGACTATCTCGAGGGACAAAAAACCTAACCAGCATACATCTTACAATAAGCATTACCACAGACACAACAGAATAGCCTTTGCCAGGTTCATTAATGTACATATACAATAGCCTTACAAGCATACTTGTGCCAGGTTCATTAATGTACACAGTGGCGAATGTAGAAAAAAAATCAAGTGGGTTCAATGGGAATCGAACCCAAGTTATGAGGTGTCAATAGGCTACTTTTACCATATTTGCTAGAGTATTTATTGTGTTTTCATGTATATTTAATAATTTTATACCGATTATACGGTGACACCGTATCGTCCTTACTAGGTTCGCCACTGAATGTACATATACAATAGCCTTACAAGCATATCCAAATAACCAAAAACAGCCAATCCGAACTGAAGAAGATGGTATAAAATCTGCAATCCATATTCAATAACTAAACAGGAAATCAAAGACCGCCCAAAGATAGATTAAGAATTTATGTTGAACAGTATTCAGCAAACTTATTAACTATGAGAGTGAATGCAACCAAGATGATAACATTAGAGTAACATAACCATATTCTGCAGATATGATCTGACTTTTCACACCGCATCCCTCATCTGAATCAGGTGTACATATGCAATAAAATAGCTGGAGAACGCAAGGAAAAACCACATTCAACTAAGAAGCATTGAACTAGGACCACAAACTGTCTAGTCCTAAGACAAATACACCCCAGTTTCGATTACTTTTACCATTATACGATCATTCTGTTCTGGAAAAAAAAAAGTTTAAACAGATGATTACCTTTTGGTTTTGGTCATTAGAGGCTCATTGACAGGTTGGTGATTCTCTTGTGAGGATACACATGCAAGAAGCACATAGAGCAACGGGTAAGTGATTCTCTTCCTAGTTTGCACTGATGGTTCATATGCAAGACGCATATTAGAGAGCACAAGTGATGCCCCAATATAATTCTCCAATACTCTTTGTTGTATGCAAGAAGCATGTGAAAATATGCAAGTAGCATATGAATGTATGCAAGCAGCATATAATTGGTATGCAAGAAGAATATGATACGATGCAAGCAGCATTTAATACGTATGAAAAAAGCATAAGACAGAGCGAGATACTCTTTGAGGTATGCAAGAAGCATAAGAAAGAGCGAGATACTCTTTGTGTGTGGTATGCAAGCAGCATATAATAGGTATGCAAGCAGCATATAATTGATATGCAAGAAGCATATGATACGATGCAAGCAGCATATAATAAGTATGCAAGAAGCATATGATACGATGCAAGCAGCATATGATAAGGTTTGCAAGAAGCATATGAAAGAGCAGATAAAAAAAAGAGAGAAACGAATTTGTTTAGACCTGCCAAGCAAGCGTACCTGTCATGGCAAAGGTCACAATACAAATCCCCACTCTGTTTTCTTTTCAGACATCTCTTTTTCTGAGTAAGATGCAAGAAGCATATGATATGCAAGCAGCATAAGAAAGAGCAAGATACTCTATGTGGTATGCAAGCAGCATATAATACATATGCAAGCAGCATAAGGAAGAGCAAAGGTACTCTATGTGGTATGCAAGCAGCATATAATAGGTATGCAAGAAGCATATGATATGCAAGCAGCATATGAAAGAGTGAGATACTCTGTGTGTGATATGCAAGAAGCATATTATAAGGTATGCAAGAAGCATATGATATGCAAGGCATATTATAAGGTATGCAAGAAGCATATGATATGCAAGCAGCATACGAAAGAGTGAGATACTCTGTGTGTGATATGCAAGAAGCATATTATAAGGTATGCAAGAAGCATATGAAAGAGCAGATAAAGAAAAGAGAGAAACGAATTTGTTTAGACCTGCCAAGCAAGCGCACCTGTCATGGCAAAGGTCGTATACAAAACATCTCTCTCTTTTTCTCTCTTTTTCTCTCTCAGTTTGAAAGCCAAAACAAAATGTGCGAGAGTTTAATCTAAAGAGACAGATAACGCAATAAGACCATACCCTGACCAATGTCGTTCTTTAGCCATCAGGATCAACGAGAATTGATCCGATACGTTTCTCTCCCTGCTCGCTCTGCTTTGTTCCTAGAGGAATACGAATCCGAAGAGTAAGTCTCCATCAAAGACATCGATTCCAGTAATCCAATCAAGCAGGAAATATAAGTAGCAGACCCGAAACATTCAGAAACAGAATCAAAGAATTCGAGAAACCCTAGGCGAAGACGAGAACGTACCTCGATGAGCAGCCGCAAAACTCGTCTGATTGCAAATCGGCGCTACGGATCAACGCCAGCCGCCGAATCGAGATGAGTCAAACCTAAACCCTAACGAAAAATATCGTCCAGGCAAAGAGATTCGAACAAACAATTAAACAAGGAAACGAAGAATCTCAGGTAAAACAAATCGGAATTTAGAACGAAACTCACATATAAAAGGCAGAAGCAATCGGCGGCAGGAGATTTGGGTATCGACCCCTTTTTATGTAACCCGGAATCCGAGTCGGTTTAGGAATTCGGATCTGTTATTGATAGATCCTACGGTTGTCAATTGCTAACATCTTAAGCAATCAACGGTCCCGATGAAACGTGTGACCAATTTTCGGTTGATATGTTCGCGCGTGTGACCAATTTTCCACGTGTCTTATCCGCTTAATAAAACGGTTGTTTTGAAACGAGGAAAGAAAATTCAGCACCAAAAGGGTTTCTTGTAGTGTACGTCAGAGAGAGAACCAGAATAAGAAGCCGAGTTACATTGTTGTGCCTGTCTTAAAAAAGCATTTTTTTTTTTTTTTTGAAATCAAACTCTTCTCGGTAAAGTCGAGGAAGAACTCGAATGTAATCATCCGATGGCGGCTTGACGATCCATTGTCCTCTGTAATTTTAATATCATTGTTGCATTTGTGTGAAACTTATGAGTACTTCTTGAGATTCTGAGAGAGAAAAGTAAACGTTGGAAATGTTCCAAATATCAATGTTTCGAATTAGGCAGATAAAAATTGTATCAGAAATGCTTATTCCTGGATAAGGTCGAAATAAAAATAGTTCAGGAAATTTGACTTTTGGAAATACATAATCCAGATAACTTTTTTCAAAGGCTTCACCAGGAATGCAAAGAACAGGCAAGTTCATTAACAAAGGTGAAGTAAACTACAAACAAGTATGAGATACGTACCTTAACCTTACACATAGCTGAATTCTTTAATTTCAAAACTTTTGGCATAAGGATCCCAATTACAAAAGAAACAAAATGAGATGTGAGCTTCTTTACTGTCATTAGAGAAGTTCCAAATCGTGAGCCCTTCTCTCACTTCTTTTGATTTGATAAAATTTTGCCAACTCCTTGCAGTGCACATGGAACTATATGACATTCACATTCATTTGTATTATATCATCATTATCGTCCAGGAACACAAAACCATGCAGAGAAATGTCAATGGAATTAATTTTCCAAGAGAACAGAAGAGTTTATGACATGAACCCAAAGCAGTACCAAGTAAGCTCCGCAACATCAATCATGAGCACAAAAAAAGTGTTTACTGAAATATAATGTACCATACATGACAAGTTTTAGTAAACTCCAAGAGATATGATCATATCACATTTAATTTATCTTCACTCCAATGAAGAGAAGGCCAGAAGACTGAAGAACTAGAGATGATAATTCTTTGTTGTTAAAGCACAAAATCTGAATAACATCTTTTGAGGGCAAAAACAGCATAAAACTAAGATAAAGCAACATGCTAGAAAAAGTTAATAATGTAATTTTTAACAAAGAAATAGAGCACCCTGCTGCAACACTTTGACAATCAATCTTAAATCCATAACAAAGCAAGTCATCGAAAAGATCACAAAGTGCACAACCTATCTCTCTAACAGCGGTCATCACTTCCTTGAAACAGGGATATTAGCTCGGCATCATACACATCCATAAGCTTCTTAGCTTGAGCATAGTAAGGTTCCTTCTCCTAACAAAACATAAAAAACCTCAATGTTAAAGCAAGATACATTTGAGATACCCTAAATCAGAAATGAGAAATTGCGAAATACTTACAGATTCCGTCATCAGTTCCCACTCTTGGACCTTTTTGCCGATCACGACAGCAGCAGGGGTGCTGTCGACTTTCTTGTAAGTCTCACTGAACTCGTTGCTTCAGATCCATAACCAAATTTACAAATTATTAAGTAATATTTCTTAAACACAAAATGATTCATATACGTTTTAAAGACTACTAAACACAGAAAATTGGAGACATGAGGCAGCACTTACAAGAAGGCTAAGAAGCCAGAAGATGCTTCACATGCTTCTTCCTCACTTTCATCATCTGTCTCGTCAGCTTCATCATACCCAATTGGTATTTGGTCCTGAAAACACAACAACAGTTAATTAGTATATGAACATAAATATTAAAAACGTCTTTCCAGATAACCAATTACCATCATCTCGGCAACGTAGGCTATAGTGACTTTCTCATGCTCAGCCATCCGCTCGGCAGCCAAAGAAACGTAAGGAGACTTCTCCTATTATCATAAAACATGAATGTTAAAAATATCACATTTGAGATCTTGAAGATATCTCTGAAAACAAGAAATGCTTACCGATTCGAGCATCGAATCCCACTTCGAAAGGTATTTGTCCATCTGTTAAAAATGGAAAAAAAAAACTAAATACAAAGCCACGATACAACCAATAATTCAAGTTTATGGCAATAGATAATATAAACACTCACGCTAGTAACACGTTCCTTATTGACAGCGAACTCTTTCTCCCTTCATATGAATTATAAAGTTCAAGATCCATAAGTGCGAGTCTCAAAACATGTAACCACAAGAAAGTTTGTATGCTTACATGAAAACTCCGAAGGGGGACAGAAATTGATATGTGTCAGATACATCAATTGGTTCGTCAGACTCACAAAGTTCAGACTTCTTTTGACCTTCTTGTTGCTTGTCATTCTTGTTGTGCACAACCTTGCGCTTCTCAGCCTCACTAGCTAAAGGAGCCTTTTCCTGAATTATTGTTAAAGCCATGTATAAGACTTACATAACATTTGAGATCATAAGACAATTTCAAAGAAAGTACCTCGTTTGAAAGAGACAGAGCTTGAATCTTGTCAGATACATCAATTGGCTTGACAGACTTCTTTTTACATTCCTCCTACAACATATATCATCGTTAGTTCAAATAACTAACAATCATTATATAGCTATTCGATAAAATAGACTATATTTACCTGATTTTTTTTGTAGGCTTCCATGTCCTTCTTGTACACAATAATCCGCTTCTCAGCGTCGCTAGCGTAAGGAGACCTTTCCTGAACATGACGTTTATCATAAGACAAGCTCAGAGAATGTTTTATTTGCAAAAAAAAATCGATTGAAAGGGAGAGGTACGGGTGTCTAGTACGCCCTTAACACCGTTTTTGTCCATCATCAGTACAACTATGAAGATTATGGCTAAGGTAAGAGAGAAAAAAACGATCTCACAACAGTAAAATCAAGGATCAGCAAACAGATACTGGACAGAGAGAGAGAGAGACAGAGAGAAATTCAAAAGAGCAAGACCTGTTTTGAGAGAAGAAGCCGCTATTTTGTAATAGACGGGCAAGGATTTCTCTGGTTGGTTTAGGACTTTAGGGTTTAGCTAATTTAATGGTTTTTGACTTTTTTTCATTTATTTTATTTTGAAAAGTAATCACGGAAAATCGGAAATAACCCATTTTATTTTATTTATAAAGCTACCTATAAAGTCGTCATTTTTTTGAGTCGTCTAGTGAGGCACTTAAGCTTGTTATCAACATTATATGGATCAGCGAACTGTTCTTTTGTGTCAGGCAAAAGCACAAGGCACTTGCCCTGCCAAGTGATAGCACTAAGTGATAGAGAGTACTATCTTTTGGTGGAATCAGACCTCGTTAAATAATGAGTTTGTGGTTATCGAAGCTTAGAGGTAAGATGATAACATGTTTTGATGCAAATGAGGATAAATGGAAACATTGGCTGGTTATGGGATCTAAACATTGGCTGGTTTGGCTTATAGAGACATCCAAGGAAAGGTACGGGGAATACTCATGGTCATTTATATGGATCAGTCTCAAAGAAATCCGTGCAGATTGGTGTAACAGAGAAAGAGAGACCATAAAGAAGAGTTTTGAAGGGCTTATCAAGCATGAGAAGAACTACAAGTTGTTGTTTATTGGTTCTGTGAAGAACGTAGCCAGATTCTGTGGGTACATCTAATCAGGGAAGCGAAAGCTTTTCAAGAATTGGTGGTTTAAGTATAGGCTCTATACAAGGTTTCGTTCTGGAACACTCTCTGTTGCTCATGTCGTTGATGGTTTACATGGCACTGCAACTGCTGCTACTGTTCTGCAATTATGCCTTCTTCTCAAGACATAAGCAAACTGTTTTAAGGGTGTTATTGATCTCTGTTGCAGTGAGATTAATGAAGTCGGACAATACACTTACTCTTAGTAATGTGTCGTGCATCGCCATGATTTACATTATGAGCATAAGTTATGGCTCTGAGTGGCTCACTGGTTTGATTAAGAAGCTGGAAATAACATCTGAACAATGCTATAGATTCTGTCCCACCAGGATGTTAAGGAGCTCCTCTGCCATTCAAATAAAGATCCAAGCCAAGGACTTTATATCTTCAAGACTTCAGCGAGGATTATGTTCCAACAACCTTCTTCTATCCCAGTTCAGCCACAATACCTGCAGAAGGTAGGCAACGCTAAAAGACTTGAAGCCATCCCTGATAAGAAGATAGTTCAAGGAAACAACACAGTTGTAATCACGGTTCTTAATCAGTGGAAAGAACATCCTCCAGACCAAGATATCATGAGGCATCCTCCAGATCAGTTTTACTCAAGCTTTAGCAAACACTTATATACATTGGTATCACTTTTTCAATTTTCTAAGTTTGCTTCTGTTTCTTCCCCAAAAGGTTTGTGTCTAATTTTGTTGATAGTTTCTTTCAAGTATATTGTTTCGTGGATGATCTTCTCGTTCTGCTTCTTGTATTCACCGCTTCAGAAAATCTACTAATTAACAAGTGTTTTAATTTCATTTGTAGTTCAGGAATTTCTCTACGCATCAAGGATGACCAAAGAAGCATTATCTCTACTAGTTTTTTTCTCCTCTTGTATATATATCTTTCAGATAGATATTAAATTGGTTGGTTGAGTGCAGGGACTGAATACATCAAACATATTTCAATTTATTTTACGAAGAAATATTGCCGTTTGTTCAAACTCTGCCGATTGTTATCTCGCAAAAGGAATTAATCTTCTCTAAACTTGTCTCTGGATTACAAATGAAAGCAAGATTCTGTCTGGAAGCCTTTCTCAGGTTTGCTATCTTCCAACTCATTCTTTAATCTTGGAATATATTTGCATGTGGATCAGTGTTATGGTTGGATAATGTTTATCAGGGACATCATCTTTGTAATCTCTGTGTAGAAATAAAGAAAGTTTTTCTTGCGGCAGGTTGTTGCTTTATCAAGAGATACTGGTTACTGACTGCTCAAATATTCAGCTTTCTGCTCAGTCTTGAGAATGACTTGGATGGTGATGAGCATATGATCAAAACATTCTTAGATCCATATATAGAGGCACTGATTAACAGCCTGCAATTTCTTTTCCTTGGGGATGTTTCGAAAAGGTAAGGGTTCTTGTATATTAATAGACCTGTTAGTTGTTTTTCTCTCTGTTCTACTCTCTCTCTAAAGAAAAAGTGTTAGTTAATGCTCAGGAAATCAGTCAAGTACCATGGAGAAAGAGAGATTAAGATTCTTAAACTGTTGTCTAATCACGTCCGATATGAATCTCATGTTATGAAGTATTTGGATGCATTTGCAATTGTAACAAACAATTAGTTGCGTCATCCTAAAGGCAAAATGCGTCAGCGATATGAATGCCGTCTCACCCACGGAAGTCAATGACCTTGACTACGAAACGATAATTAATGCTTATGCGAAGATTGATGAAGAGTTCTTTAGTAAATCCTCAGAGCAGCTGTAGCACATGATGATGATCATTCTCTCGCAGAGTTTATACAACATATCATCAGGAGACGTTACGTTAAAGGACTGCGCATGTAACCTCTTGTGCACTTTCATTGAGTTTTCAGCCTCCATACTTTACCAAGAGGCTTCAGTTAACTCTAAGATGGATGCTCGTGGCTCTCTCTTTTGCATTAGAGATTTAGAGATTCTCAGAAACGAGTTATTATGGTGCAGGAAGAGATACTACTGATACGCAAAATGGTAACAAAACTACCAGATGCTGAGAATCTTGGTGCATTCAGACCTTTATGCTCTAATAACGATGAAGTAGATTTAATTAAAAATATTTTCAGCCTTCAGGTTTGTTTTTACAATACGAGTCCTTCATAGTTTGTATTAGTGTTGTGGTTAGAATCAGAGTCGATATTTCTGTAACCACACAGGAACCAATGCAACATCTGATTTTTTTGTTGAGACCTTGGAGGATAGAGAAGTAATATATCTTATGATAGATGATCGAAACCCTAAGGATGACTGATTTCTATTTAATTTCTTGTAAGCACACTGTAGAGCAAAGGCAATTAGACGATTTGCGAAGTTGGTCAAAGATAACGGTTTGCAGGGAGCAGTGAGAAGACTTTTGGTCTTAACAAGATATTGTTGCTTGGAGATCAAGTTTCTTCTCCACCTTACAGAAAGAAAAGGAAAATGGGACATCCGCAAGAGACTTCTGGTGCTAAGTCATGTCCACATCTAATAACCGTGCTTTCTCTTGATTTATTGCACAAAGGACTGAAGGATATCCAACTCAACAATACTAATGAAGAGCTGGTGTTGAATGCTTGAGCTCTAAGTATAAAGATGTTGTGTCTTCATCTGTTAGATGTTGGCCATCGTTGCTAAGTATCTAGTGAGTTCCAGTAGTCCTCTTGTGCAGTCATGCCTTAAAGTTCTTAAAAGCTCTTCTCGGCATTGGGATTTTCAGTTTATCATTTGGGGAGTTGAAAAATGTTGATCTGGAATTGGAGCCGTCAGTTGCTTCTCTTTCACTTCTCAAGGCCATTGTGAGAGAGCTTGAAGTTCCAATGATATATGATATAGCAGATCAGGTTTTACAGTTAATGTCAACACATCAGAGTGATTCCACCCGCAAGATATGCAAAGAGTTTCTTCCTCTAGCTATAAACATTCAACAAGAATAGCAACAGTTTTTGACTTTCTTCAAGGGTTATCGAGGAATTCTCAGATCCTAATCTCGGCAAGCAGTCAGTTCTTGACAAGCAGTCTCAGAACTTGTTTCTTGTGTTTGCTCTGATGATCCTAAAGAATTGATACCCAAGATTTATGATGTGATTAAACTTCTGCCCGTAATTATCTTGCCTATTTATACGATAGTGCATATAATTTTTTTAATGTATGTAAATAATAGTCTTGAAATTCGGATGCGGGCAAAAATAAAAGTTCGGATGCTATCCCTAAATTTATTCTTTGATCACATCAGATTTTTTTTTTTTTTTTTTAATGTGTTTTATAAGTTTTCTCAGTGATTTTGGAATAACACTTTTGTAATATTTGCTTTTAACTTATAAACTAGTAGAGTACCCGCACGTTTGTACAATGTGATGTTGTGGTTTTGTGTAGAAAATTTAAACCCTAAATCCGAACCCGAGCAAAAAATCCTAATCAAAAAATTTAAAACCACAATTTTTTAATATGTCTAAACCCAAAAATCCGAAATCAAAAAATCCTGAAAACCCTGAACTGAACAAAAAAAATCTGGAAACATTTTCACCCGAAACCCGACCCAAATACCCTAATCAAAATTTTAAAATACTCAAACTTTTTAATATATCTAAACCCGAAAACCCAAAATCCAAAAAATCCGTAAAATCCTAAACTGAAAAAAAAACTCCAACCCAACCCGAACATAAATTTTCAAAGAAACCCGAACAATTTCTATATCTCTATATCTCTATAAAATTAGGTCTCAGATTTTCACCCAAACCCGAACTTGTCTATAAAAACCCAAAAATCCAAAAGCATATTCTTTCATTTGGTATTATCGTTAGATTATGTTATTTTTTATTTATTTATTTATTTATTTTTTTTTTTTTGCAGATTTTAAAGAGTTGAAAAACAAAAGTTTCTAAAACATCAATTTGTTTTAAGTTATTATTCTTGTATCCAAAAATTTTTTTTCCATTTATTCTTCTATCCAAATAACTTTTCTCTTGTTCTTGTATCAAACATTACAATGTACTAAATTGACCCTCATTAAACCTGTTGCCAAACACTTTCTCTTTATAATTAAATTGTTTTTTTGGTCATAAACTTTTCATGTACTTCTCAATTAATAATATAAAGATAAAAAGATCCCTCCTCATTTGATATTTGATGTTTCTTACGGAAAATACTCAAATAGTGATTTTGGCTACCTAACTAAAAAAGTCTTGTTTCCTTTATTATTGAAGTTATTCTTTTTTTTGTTGGTTCATATGTCTAAAAAAAAGAAGAATTATTTCCTTTCTTTTCAGTTATTTATTTTGGGTACATCAAAAAGCAGGCTTAAGTAGTTAGATACGCTTAATCTTTTGCAGTAAAAAGTTGGCTATTTTGGACACTAGTATTGAAACCCTGCGTATATGCGGGATTGTTTGCGATAATTTTTCCATTTGGTTTTATTTATATTAGTTAATTTAAAATATGATGGTTTCGTCATAACTTTTGGTCATATTTAGAGTTCATCCAACCACTCCTGCTAAATATATGATCAAAAAAAATTTCAATTTTATTTTATTAAGATGTTAATTCCACACTTCATCTCGAATTTTATCATTCTAAAATTTAAAATGCTTTAGATTATATAAATGCATTTGACGCGATGTTAGAATTTGTAAACATAGTCAAGTCAAGAATCATATTTGCACATGAAATATGGTATAAAATAATATGTATAACTTTTTGATATATCTGCTTTGTTCCGTTAGCGTTAATGATCATTGGTTATTTTCTATTATGCTAGTTTTGTAAATAGAAATTGTATTTTTGAAACAAACATATCACAATCCTTATATTTTCATGTTTTTCGTTACAATGCAATTTACATATAGAATAACTCAAATTCATATTTTTTTTTAAAAATACTCTAACTCTAATTTCTCAATAGCTTTATACTATTTTAATTAAATTGTATCCTATATTTTTTATAACTTATAAATAGATTATAACATTTTTAAGTAGGATAATTCTTTTATACAACTTTTTATTTATTCAAAAAGCTAAGAATATATATACTATTTCGATTTAAATATTTATTTAGTTCATATTTATTTTATTATTTAACTTTCTTTTAACTTTAAATATCAAATTATCACATACTTTATATTAATTAATTATTTTGTTTATGTATTTTTCTTAGTTTTATTTATGTGTAAGATAGTAATATATGTAAAAAAATATAAATAAACATATATTTAATAAATAGTGTAAATCTTATATATAATGAGAGGATAACTCTCTCCATATTTCTGCCACGTGGCAACTCTTTATTAAAAACTAAAACAACAATTGCAACTTAAGTCCTTCCACATTTTGTTTCTTACACAAAAACCCAATTAAACATTAGCTCTCTCACGCCGTCTCCTATACCTAACGCCGATACCGCCAAAACGCCGGATCTCTTCTTTCCGTCTTATTTCGACGGCGCGACACCGCAGGTGCCTCCTCAAACCACCTCAATCGTTGCCTCCGCCGATTTCTTCATACGCCAAAGCATCGCCAAAACAAGGCCTCCTAAATGGACAGTTCGCTTAACGGCGCCAACGAAGGTGTATTTCGATTCTCCGCCGTCTCAAAGTCTCCCTCAGAAAAAGGACCTGTAAACGGTCAACGCGCATCAGCCATCCACCACCTCCCGCCGACAATAGATTCCTTAAGGCGATCACTTTGCTACCCTGAACAAACTGGATCACCAGTCTCCACCGTCTTAGAAGACTCCCTCCAATGACACAGATGCATTCCCTCCAACCCCGGCCGGCTCCACTACTCAACCGGCGGTGTCTCGATCCAAAGATTCGACCGTCTCCGTTCGTCTCCATCCCATTCGAGACATTCTCGATTGCTACTTCGGACTTAGGGCTCCTCTCTTCCCAGCGGGATCCCTCCAAATCAGGTTACTCCACTGTAAAGCCCAAGACGTTTTACCTATTGTTCATGTCTGAGCCCATTTGTGATTTACAAAACGTCTCTCTTCGTTATGTTTTATGTCACGACCGTTACTTCCCTGTTTTTTTCATCAGACGAATTGGCTCCCCTGTAACGGCTTCCATTACAACGCATAGGAGCGGTGCCGGTTCGAGTCTGCGTAAGTTTATCAGCGATTTAAATAGCTTTATTAGGTTTCACTGCAATAAGGTTGTTCCAGAGACCTTCGCCACCGTCGGAGGAGTTGGGTTGTCGAGCAACGAGAGCGTGGATAGGGAAGATGGGACTGGTGGGGTTTTGGGTGAGGAGGGCTTGCCATTGAATGTCATCAAAGTTTAGATTTTGATGAGTGATACTGGTGGTGGTCACAGAGCTTATGCGGAAGCCATTAAAGCTGCTTTCTGTCAGGAGTATGGTGATGAGTACCAGGTTCGTCTTGACATCTCCTTTCATTTTATTTGGGTAGATTGATTACTTGTGGCTGGATTTCACTTTGAGACTCTTACAATTTGACATTGCGGCTACATTCAATTGGTTGTTTTCGATGCCCCAGCTGAGGAGTGTGAAGCTGACTCTGAATTACATTTATAGTTGTTGAAGTTAAACGATCAAATGCGTTGAAAGTCATGAATTTTAAGTAGTGTGAACCGTTGTTGATTGGTTTTGTACATCAAGAGTGATTGCGCAGGTGTTTATTACGGATTTGTGGACAGATCATACGCCCTGGCCGTTTAACCAGCTTCCCAGGAGCTATAATTTTCTGGTGAAACATGAAACTCTATGGAAAATGACTTACTATGGTACGGCTCCACGCGTTATTCACCAATCTATTTTTGCTGCAACTTCGACTTTTATTGCCAGGTGAGGCTCTTAAGGTCTATGATTTGGTTAGTCCATCGGGATTTAACGTCTTGTTTCCTAAGTCCTTGGCTTCTCTTATGGAGTTTTCTTCTTAATTTTGTCTAAACTTACAGGGAAATTGCGCAAGGGTTGATGAAGTATCAACCACACATTATAATAAGTGTTCATCCACTGATGCAACACGTCCCACTTTGTGTCTTAAGATCAAAGGGGTTGCTTGAGAAGATCGTCTTCACCACGGTTATTACAGACTTGAGCACTTGCCATCCCACGTGGTACTTAGTTTGTTTACCAAATCATTTACGCTTAGAGATTTCTGTGGGTCTTTTTTTGTAAAAAAGTAAAGTTACATGACGCTTTTTATGGTCAATTTGGGTGTGGGACTCCGGTATTCCAATTTTATGATCTGTTTTCCTGTTTTCTTTACTCAAAGTAATGTTATTTTTTTATGGATGAGAATCTTCCAGCTGTTTTGTTAATGGGCGGAGGAGAAGGAATGGGTCCAATCGAGGCAACGGCCACTTAGAGATGCTTTGTATGATGAGAAAGCAGTTGGTGAGGTTCTCATAATAAAGTAAAACCTCTATAAAATAATAATGTTGGGACTTTGAAAATTTATTATCTTATCGAGTTATTGTTTTATCGATAAAATAATAATAATTATTTTATAAAAATATTCTATAAAAAACAAGAAACTTTATAGAAATATATGTAAGTAGGTACACGTAAGGAATCAATTGTGGCTTCGAAAACTCTTCACAACTTTTGGCCCCAGAAATTGTTGATGCAATAAGAAAAATTCGAGATGAGCTCCAACGAGAATCCAACTTTCATAAAAGACAAACTACATTGGAGTCATATTTTACTAAATTGCCTTAGATATATATGCTTAGTTTTATAATTATTATCTTAGCCTATTGTTGGGACTATATTTTTACATAGGAGTTTCAAAAATATTATTGTCTTATCATCTTATCGCATTATGCTATTTTTTACATTGGCCCGAGTTGGGACCGGAGAAATTTATTATCTTATAGTGTTTATTGTTTTATCGAGTATTGTTTTATAGAGGTTCTACTATAAGTCATTTTTATTATCTTATAGTTAGTCGGAGTTAAAAGCTGTGATTCCTGCTTTTGAGAATTATTCTATCGTTCATGTTTTCACTTTAATGCTTCTGTTATTTTATTACAAAACGTCAAGGGCCATGAAGACTCTCGTCAATCAACATGGTCTTGATATTGAAGCTTTGAAGTCATCACGTCTTCCTCACGCTGGTGGTATACGGTGGTACCCAAATGGAAGATCTGGCTCTGCACATTTGGCTGGTATATACATCTCTTCTCTTTTGGTTGAGTTTAGAGTTTTGTCTATCATGTGGTTATCCTTGTGATGGTCTTATTATTTTGTTAAATTCTCAATCTCACGACAGGAGTGAAACAATGAATCAGAGAGATGCGAAGTCAAGTGCAAAGAGAAAGAGGGGTGAATCATCATTTTCTTGGGAGAAAGATACGGATAATTCTCAGATATTTGATACTCACGGGACAAGCTACAGTGGAGTTCTCAGTGACATGGGGGAACCAAAAGGAGCTTGCTTTGCTACACGAGAAGCTTCCTTTGATGTCGTGTTACCATATAAGCCGTGTAACATCTCGGCTCTTCGTAGGGATCGGAAGAGGAGAGTTGTTGCTTTCGAAAGACACTCGGCTTTTGTTGTTGACCACGTGGTTGCAACTGTTTGTCTTTGTAAGAAAAGTTCATTTCAATTGGATTATTACTCCTAACTCATAAGTAAAGCATGTTAACAGAACTTGGTATATATCAACGGAGAATAATCTTATTAAAAATAAAATAAAAATCTTCCAAATGCAGAACAATTCCTGGCTTTGTATAATCTTAGGTTATGAATATAAATCAAGCTTAAAATCATTATTCATAAATTTTTTTGTCACGATTAATTAATTTCACAAAATACCCATTCCATACACATTTCAAGTAAATTGTATGATAACTATATAAAAATTATACAATTTAATTTAATTAAACTGTCATCAATTGATGAAACTCATGAAAACTCCATTACAATCAATATCATAAAACTTTTATCATTGCTTCACACTCTCTGTGTACGTTCTTGACTTAGCCAACTTCATAAACATCTTTTGCAACTTCATAGAGAACAACATCTTATATAATCATTCTGAATATCTTAATATATACTTATTAAGTAGTTTATAATACACATTACCCGCGCATAACGTGGACCAAGCCCTAGTACAATTTAATCCTATACTATAAAAATTGCCCATCTCTCTAGATGACCGCCACGTCAGCACGGGAGAGATGGACACGTGGCTATCTCTCTGAATTTCTGTAATTAATTTTTGTTTTTCTTTTCTCTCCTTCTCACCTCCGACCTAATCGCTCTCTTCTCTCTCCTCGCCCGCTCCCTTCTTCTTCGCGAATCGGCGCCGCTTCTCCCCTCGCTCGATCTCGCCGGCATACTATTTCTCGCCAATTCGTCGGTATTCCCTTCCAATTTCCGACTTCCCAAATGTCAATTATCCGGATAAACACAGCGCTCCTGGGTTCCTCCGAGTCCACTACGCGGCTTAGGGCTTCTCTCCCTCATTCCTCTTCTCTCCCTCTTTCCGAGCGTTTTTCTTCTACTTGGCGTCTCTACTCCCTCCAACCATCACAACTGCTCAGGCTGCGACGATTTCAGACATATACCCCGTCGTTTACACAGATAAGTTTAACCGTCTCCATCTTCCTCGCTTACTACATTTGCATATCTCAATTGCCGCCTAAACCCGCCTTCTTTCTCAGGGTTAAGCGTTGTTATTCAAAATCAATATTCATGTTTTTAACTTTCTTTCAGACAGTTCATATCATCGCTCTCCGATTCTAATTTATATTCACTGCTACTTATAAGCTATCAATCGGTTTCTCAAAATTTATATTCACTCCAACTCAAGTTTTCCAATGCAGCTTTTTGAAGAATAGTCACTTTCCTTACTCTCCGCCTGATTCTAATTATTGTGCACTCGCCCTTCCAAAATGTAAAATCTGCCCAGTACAGGTGACAAACTCAATTCCTTCCTTTGCTTCCTCATACGTTTAAAAAACTGCCACTGTTCACACTCGCTGTTTATTCTGTTTATGATACGCTTCTCCGTCCATGAACAGGACATCTCGGATAAACTTGGACAACGTGTTACACCGGTACTGCGCCTGGATACAAATATGCAAATCAGTGAGTTCCCTTCCATTTAGGAGTCACGTTTTACCTCCCTGTTTTCTCTTCCCCGTTTTGTTTATACGTCTTTCAAAATCATCGTACACAGGCACTGAGAATTATAATACTCTGCACAGTGACAGCTCCAGTTAGTAATGATCCCACCCACCAGAGTCAGTTTAAAGAAAAAAAAGGGGTTCTGACTATTTCAACGGTTCAAATTGGATTGCGTCGCCCTTCAACCAACACAATTTTCAGCAAAGTTTGCTCCCTTATCTTCTCATCAACCGGCTGTTCTTCTCTCAAATTCAATATTTCCCTCTGCTTCGGGTTTATATAATCTTTCTCAGGAATGTGATTATCCTTTTTCGAATATCCTCTCTTCTTTCTCCGCAGCTCACCATCCACAGTTGTTGTACATATCTCCCAAGTACGGACGCCGTTATTTACCAAAACAATTCAGTATGTACTCCTCCGTGACTCTTTCTACATTCATATACTCTCTTTGCTATCATCTTTGGTGCAGATTTTAATGACTCTTTCTACATTCATTATAAATTGGAAGCTCTTTGGTGCAGATTTTAGTAAGTTTAGGATTTTGTCTTTGTCCTTGTCTTTGTGGTCGTCGTTGTGATGATGTCTGTATGGTGCGTTCCAAAACTAAGAGAAACGTGAAAAAGGAGAGAGATGAGAGAGATGATGAAGACAAAATTTATGGTGGCAGAGTCAGTTGTATAGACTTTTCCGTGGGGTTTAAGTTAAGTTAAGATGTAGGTTTGTTTGTTATGATGGTCTATTGGTTTGTGTCTGGTGAGAACAGATGAACATGAATAACGGTTTTGACTAACATCAGATCTATCTTCTGTCTCTTTCACCTTCTTAATCATGTTCATGTAAGCAAATCTTGAACCAGTTTTTTAGTAAATTATTCTACAAACAAGAAAGCGAGCACACTTAAAGGCTAAATTCAAAATCTTATTTAGATGCATAGAAAGTCTTAGACAAAAAAAAGAAGAAAGATGATTCGAAACATGGTACATAGACTCTTCTTATGTACTCTAATTTTTTAACATTGCAGAAATACACAAACAAAGTTTCATACATTTTGGCCTAAACCAAGATTCTTTCTTAACCTCTACGTCGCATCCTTTGGATCAGAGTCTCTTATGTATTGAGCAAGACTCTTCCTCTTGATTTTTTGAGCTACCTTTTACAAACATCTAATTTCATTTATGAGGTGATATCAAATGGTTCCTTTCTGCATATATTGAGATTTATCAGTGTGAAGTCTTACTTTTCTCTTGGAGTCTGCATCGTTGGAACTTTGCAGACGGAGGCTCAAGGTTCGTCTTTCTCTCCTTTCAATCGTATGTTTGCTTAGTGCAGAATTAGTAGAAAATGGTTATCAACGGAGTAAGTTGTGAGACAATCAAACATGTTGAGCAAGTTCTTTGGAGGATTTTTCGCTGTTAGATAGCAATGAGAAATTTTGGAATTTGAAAGAGACTAAGAAGATACTCCCTCTGTTTCAATATATAAGGTGTTTAAGGTTTTGGCACACAGATTAAGAACTCATTTAATTTTTGTACTTTTTGTAATAAAATATATTTTATCATCAATTCCAAAACATTTTAATCAATGAAAAAGAAATCTACAGAATATAAATAATTAAAAATAATAAAAACACATTTACTTTTGCACAATCCCTTATATTTTGAAACAAAAACAAAACTCTAAAACCCTTATATATTGAAACAGAGGGAGTAGCAAATACGTAGAAGCGGGAAGGAAAATAATGCATTTATGTGGGAGGGAATCGATGAGGGACGGAAACAGCTTTGTATCTCTACAACTCTGCAGCTTTCAAATATTTGGAACAATCTAAATTTAAGATTTATACGAGGCTAATCTCATATGCTTAATTATATATCATTTCAGCTTCATCTCAGATTATGTTTATATTATGAATGACATTATTTATATATATCACAATGTTTAACAAGAAATCAAAAACAACTAACGAACATGATAATGTTTGGCCATTAAAGACCTTTACTCTTTTTTAATCATAATTTTCTAACAAGAACTCAAATTTACAACATTCTATTGTTTTTTCTTTAGTTTTGGTCCGGGTTCGGTTCCATTTTTTTTGGGTTTTTCAAGTTTATTTTGGGTTCTCCGGTTTTTAAAAGTTTTTTCAGGTTCCAGGTTTTTCAGATATAGAGATATGAAAACCGTTAAAGTTTTTCAAAAATTTGGTTTGAATTCGGTTAGGAATTTCAGGAGGCATTCGAGTAAAAAAATAACATTCTTTTAAAATAACTATTTTAACATAAAATGAAAAAAAAAATGTATAAAAGTGACAAAATTATCCGCGCGGGCTTTAACCTAGTTTAAAAATAATAATTATAGTGGGGTTCATTATGTTCTGATGTGGATAGGCTAAATGGAGAGAAAACTCATAAGATATATTTTGACCAGTGTATTGAATTGTATCAGGAAGGGGGGAATGTGCATTAACGTTGATTTTGTTTCCCCCATTTTTATCAAATCTGAAAGGAAATAATAACAAGGAGATAAAATTGTTGTTAGACCAATGCCATATGTTTGTTGTCTCTAATCTCTATCCTTCGTATATCTTCATTTTCACCTCCTTTAGCTCACTTATACAGAATCTCACATCCTTTATTCTCTCGCTTTGTGTCTGAATCTCTTCTCTGTCTCGCCCACAAAACTCATTCACTTCATCACCGATTCCATCCATGGATACTTCACCACCATTGCTATCGTCAGATCTGGTCCAAATGTTGATTATATCAGCAAACTCCCTAACCATGTGTTGGTCAGGATCTTAATGAAAGTGCCCATTGAAAAGGCTATCCAGACAACTGTGTTGTCTAGTTGATGGGCGGGTGTTTGGACGCAACGTCAACGAGCAATCTCTGGCCATCGTTCCCGTTTCATTGCTGAATTGATAACCAAGGTTCTCTCTTTTTAATAGTTTTTTTATGGTTTTCAATCAATTATTTGGTGTGAAAAGATAATAAGATATTTTACCTCCAAAGATAATAAATAACATTTTTCGCGCTGTTTAATAAAAAATTATGATCAAAAATTCAAAATGAAAGTATAAATTGTTGACTGTATTAATAACATAGTTAATGATAATCTAGAAAATCATAATATCTTATATCTCGTTCGGTTTATCGAATTTAACAATTGATAAACTGTAGAAGTTTTTGTCACATATCTTAACTGTTTTCAAAAATTCCAATATTGTGCATGTGTGTTGTGTAGTTGTGTTCAATCACTAATCTTTTACTTCTTTTAGAGGTTATAAACGATCACAATAGTCATCTATAAAGCTGCGTATTCCATCATTTCTCATACTAATCCGACGTCGTTACGCTCGAAATTTGGATCCAATCAATAATTCATGTGAAACGCACAAAACGTCTCGGGCTTATAAGCTGTGGTGGTCGCCATTGGATAGATATATTGCGCTCAACCTGTACCGAAACATATTCTCCCATCTAGCCCTCAAAACACTCTTTCTATGTCGATATCTATATACAAAAGTTCATGCAATTCTATTTTGGTCCTGCCACGTGAGTAGAAGAAGTTGCCTCTAAATTCATCAATTCGCCATGTCAGCATTGTATTTATTAATTTTAATTTATTATATTTTTTCTTCTTATATTTTAATTTTTATGATCATTCATTAATATAATCATTAAATAATACAATAGTTTTTACAAGAATTTGAAAAGTCATTTTTATAAAAGAAAATAATATTATGTATAAATCTTAAAAAACTATTACATATTTAATAATAATAATAATAATAATAACAAGACGAAAAAAATAGAATCGAGAAGAGGGGAATTTTGTTTACTTCTTATGATATTAAGTGACGAAATGAGATCTAAAGGAACATAAAAGAACGGAATAGGACAAGACGTATATTTCGCCTACCTCTAATTATATTTAGGGGTGGAACGGAAAAAAACAAAAAAAAACATGATGAGAAAGGACAAGACAAAATGTTGGACGGACAAAATGAAAAGAAATGAAATGTGACGGGAATGGATGGGACGAGATGAAAAAGGAAATAATTGGACGGGAAGGGACAAGACGGGAATTTTGCCTACCCCTAATTATATTTAGAGACGAGACAGAGATAATACAAAATGAAAATGAACATAATAAGATATGATGGGACTGATGGGGCGGACAGAACGAACGGGATGTGAAAGAACATGACAAGATGAAAAGGAACGGAATGGGATATAATCTACCCCTAATTATATTTAGGGAACAAGACAATAATAAACAAAATGGAATGAATCATAATGGGATAGGATATGACTGAACGGGATGGAACATACAGGACGAACAAAACGGGAAAGAACGTACATGATGAAAATGAACGAAATGGGACGAGATGGAACAAGATGGTACAAAAAATTTGCCTAACTCTAATTATATTTGAATAATATGTGTATAATATCTTTGAAACAATATTAAATTTGCGTAAAACAATAAAACTAACACAACCCGCGTGTAGCGCGGGTCACCCCCAGTATATATAATTGTTTGTGTTTTTACCTTATCATTGCATGAAACGTTGTAGCTGATGTGACATATATCTTCGTCTGCAGCCCAATAATTGTTGGTAAGCTGGTGTACTCTAGGGGCAACAAGGACTAAGCTACATCTCCTCAGATAATATTCAACGGAGATGATATCTAGGAGAGGTGCAAACACTTCGATAGAATCAATATACATGCAAGCCAGATGCAAGATCTTTAGAATTTGCACATGCCTTCAACAATTGTCACAATCTCCCAATTCTCAATCTTTATCAAATATGTGCTGAGGAGGTTGGTGTGTTCAACACAGTCATTGCATCGTGCCCTTCTCTGAAGGCTCTGGTGCTAGACATCTTGTTGTACTAGCGTCTTCAGGGAAGGGAACGATGCAATGATTGTGTTGAACACACCAATCTCCTCAGCACATATTTGATAAAGGTTGAGAATTGGGAGATTGTGACAATTGTTGAAGGCATGTGCAGATTCTAAAGATCTTGCATCTGACTTGCACATATATTAAATCTATTGAAGTGTATACACCTCTTCTAGATATATATTATCTCTGTTGAATATTATTTGAGGAGATGTAACTTCGTCGTTGTTGCCCCTAGAGTACACTAGCTTACAAAAAATTGTTAGGCTCCAAACGAAGTTATATGTCACATCAGTTACAACGTTTCATGCAATGATAAGGTAAAAACACAAATAATATATATATATATATATATATATATATATATATATATATATAAAGCTCGATGCGCACGACGTGGCTACAATATGTATGATTTTTATAACTCACACGATCGTGACACCTGTCATTTTTTATGTTACAATTATTAAGATCTTGACATATGTCTTGGAAAAGAAAAGAAAAATAATAATAATTAAAAATATATTAAAAGAGAAAAAAATATTTTCCATATTAACACAGAAAAGTGTTCCATGTTTTAACGGAAAAATGTATTTTTGTATAAAAAGTTCCATATTTTAACGGAAAAAGTTAAAAGAAGTGGAAAAAAAACAAAAAGTAAGTGGAATAAAGGTATCATATTCTAACATAAAAAAAAGAAAACATATTTTTCCATTTCTTATTATTCTAAGATAAAAAGGATCTGTAACGGAAATAAATAAAGAAAAGTATTTTCTATGTCTTAACAAATAAAGAAAAAAAAAATATTTTCCATATTCTAACGGAAAAATGAATTTTTTTTTGCATGTCTCATATTCTAAGTTAAAAAGGTTAATGTAACGGAAAAAAGAAAAAACATTTTTGCAGGCTTTCTATTCTAAGATAAAAAAAGGTTTCATATTCTAACAGAAAAAAAGATATATATGTTGTAGAAGAAGAGAAGAATTGGTTGTATATTATTCCATGAGTAATGAGTCCTTTATATAAGGGTACAAGAGTAGTGATTACTTGGAATAGGTCCCTTATTAGTTTAACTAGACCACCACTCGTGATTATAATATAAAGAGTTTTTTTTAATAAAGATTAGTAAATATAGGTTGATTGAAAATAATTTTGTGTTTTTTAAGAATTTTTTTTTTTTCAATTTTCTACTTGCAACCGCAAATGTTCATGAAAATAGGTTTTTTATTTTGAGGGGTTTTGAGCAGTTTAAAATGGTAAAAAACATTTGTGGTAATTGTTGTTAAAATGACAATAACATTTATTCTGCTTTTGTGGGTGATGGTTGAAAAATTAATTCAACCCTCAAGATATTTCATTACAGAACAACCATATATTCAGTTAAAGTAATTAATATGTGAATGAAAATACTAATACAAATGCGTTTTTGGAGAGAAGTAGAACGATCTATGACATATATAGTCCACCTGAGCATCTTCTGAGCTGGAAAAAAATTTTCAAACTGAAGAATGAAGGTGAATTAGGGATACGATCAGCGTCAGAAATGAACAAAGCACTGTTGGCAAAAGCTGGATGGAGACTAATCCATGATGAGGATAGTCTATGGGCGAAAGTGTTACACAGTAAATACAACGTGAAGAATATCCATGATCCAAGCTGGTTGATAGCTTAAGGCACATGATCTTCGATTTGGAGGAGTGTGAGCGTGGGGCTGCGAGAAGTGGTTATTCTGGGTATAAGTAGGATTATTGGGGACAGGAAGTTAGTGAGGTTCTGGCAGGATAAGTGGTTGATTGATAAACACTGGGTGAAGTAACTACAATGGCCTTACCAAATGGCTTTAAGGATCTTTGAGTATGTGACTATTGGAGACATGGGACAAGGTGGCTAGTTGAGTGTATAGCACTGTTTGTTCCCTCCGCTCTGATTACAAATCTATGGGCCTTTGTTGTTTATAACGTCACAAGTGCTACCGATCGCTTTTCTTGGGGAGAGAGTTCAGATGGACAGTTTTTGGTAAGTTCTGCATTCCGTTCTCTGACACAGGATGACATGCAGCGACAAAATTTTGGGAACCTCTTTAACCGAGTTTGGAGTGTGGTGATACCCGAACGAGTCATGGCCTTTCTCTGGCTAGGAGTTAACCAAATCATCATGACTAATGTGAAAAGACAAAGAAGGCACTTGGAAACATCATGATTGTGTCAGGTTTGTAAGGGAGGAGATGAAACGATCATTCATATACTCCGGGATTTTCCTGCGATGGAGGGTGTCTGGAATCAATTGGTACCACGAGATAAGAGACATGAGGTCTTTGCTACATCCTTGCTGGAGTGGATTTATCTGGATCTTGGTGATAACAGAAATGTTGGGAACACTATATGGTCAACTCTCTTCGCTATGAATTTGTGGTGGAGATGGAAATGGAGGTGTATTAACGTCTTTCATGGCACAGGAAAGTATATGGACAGAGTTAAAATTGTCAAGGACCAGGCAACAGAGGTGACGTTAGCGCAAGAAGGAGGGACTTAAGAGGACCGTGAACACAGAGCGAGTAGAGAGACTAATACGAGGGACATATCCAGACCAAGGTTGGGTGAAGCTCAACACGGACGACACATCAAGAGGAAATCCTGTCATAGCGGCTTCAGGAGGAGTGATTCGTAATGCAAGTAGGTTGTGGTGTAGAAGCTTTGCGCTAAACATTGGAACATGCACAAGTCCATTGGCGGAGCTATGGGGTGTATATTATGGTTTGTTGATTGCGTGGGAGAGTAAGGCTCATAGAGTAGAAGTCGAGGTGGATTCAGAGATGGTGGTTGGTTTTCTTAAGACAAGGATCAATGAGGTGCATCCGCTATCGTTCATGGTCCGTGTGTGCCATGGCTTTATATCAACTTTATATCAAGAGACTGGAAGTCTTTATTTCTCATGTATATAGGGAAGCTAATTGCCTTGCGGACATATTAGCTAACTATGTGTTTTCTTTGTCATTGGGTTTTCACTCTTTTGATTCTGTTCCATATGTTCTTAATTCTTTGTTTTTAGAAAACTCTGTTGGGGTTTCAACCTCACGTAGAGTATGGTTGTAAGTTCTTATTACTTGAATAAATTGGGGGATTTATCCCCCTCATTCGACCAATCAAAGAAAGAAAAAAGTCCATGTGAAGTCTTGAACTATTCAAATGGGTTTTAGAAAAAGAAATATAGTGAACTTGTTTGGCTCTATTGTTGTTTCATATTTACAATTGGCTTTGGTATTTTTCAAATGTGTATCATTCAAGTTACCAATAAGATTTTTAATATAGATAACATAAATGTAAATCCTAAACATACATTTTTATTTTGTTTTATCTTGAAGAAAAAAATATTTATGACAGAAAAATAATACAATGATTTATGATGAAAGTGTGATATATTGTGTAGATGAAAATTTTTTAATTATGGAAAATATCTTACGTTTTGATAAAATAAAGATAAAAAAAAAAAATTACCGGCTGAGAAAACTCTGCACGGCCACCAACAATGGCGATTTGGTGCTAATCACGGTGACATAACGCGGCCATCTGCGTTCCGTCCACTATTCACGTGAGAATCAGAATAAGAAATTTGAATTACCACTGGAGAGTGTTAGCTCTCTATTCTTCTAGCCCCTCTCCTTGATGTCTTTGACTTCTTCCCCATCTTTGTCTCTCTCTTTCTCGGCGGCGTATCATAATATATATAATATGGAGAAGAAAAAAACTAGGGTTATGTTTTATAAAATGTAATGGGCCTTAAATATTTTACATTGCTCTGAGGTCCATATAGGTCCCATAATCATTAGACAATTTTCTATTAAATCATTGATTTTTTATTCTTATTATATTTACTAGTGAATGAACCCCGCAAGCATGGGTTGTTGTGAATTTTCCTTTGTAGTTTTTTTTGTTTTGTTGATTTGAATTATGATGATTTTGTGTTAAATTTCATTGGTTATGTTTTGAGTTAATCCAACCCACACTAAAAAAAATACATATGTCTTTTTTATTATTGAGATGTTAACTCTAATACTTAAATTTGGCTTTCTATTTCTAAATGTTTAACATATTTTAATATTTTGCTTGTTTAGTTCCATTAAACAAAAAGTTAGCATTTGACTCGGAAAGAATTACTAAATATGGTGTAGAATCATATTTTTATTTGTAATACGATAAAATACAGATATTTTTATGTGAATGGGGTTTGAGCATAATGTCAATTGATTCTTTTATACAATTTAGTTTTGTAAATTAAAATTTACTTTAAATCAGACATATCACAATTCTTAAAATTTTATAGTCTTGCTTATAATTTTCATTAGCTTTTACTATCTTAACTAATTTATATTCTTTATTTTATAGCTCGTAAATTACAATGTTTTTCAAAAGAAAATTCCACTATATAAATTTTGATTATCAGGTAACTGTATACTATTTCAAGTTAAATATATCATTAGTTTTTCTTCAAGTTACACAACAAATTTAATTAACTTTTAATATTTCTTTATCACATATTTTATATTTCTAAATAAATATTTGTGTATTTTCCTAATTTTTATGTTTTTAATTTGAATATATAGAAAGAAATATGAATAGACATATATTACACACAAAAAAACATGTATCAAATAAATATCTTAAATACAATTTATTTACTTTTTGCTGATTTGGACACCCTAGATGGAGAGAAAACTCCCTAACTATATATAATACTAGGGGTGACCCGCGCTTCGCGCGGGAATTGAAATTGTTGTGTTGATTTTATTATTTTTCATAAATTTAATTTAATTCTATGATTTATTATTATTTTAAAAATGTCATACACATATTAATCAAATATAATTAGGGTTACTCAAAAATTTCCGAAAATTAAATATAATTAAGTTTACGCAAAAATTTTGAACCATCATTTCTCATTCCTCCCATTTTGTTCCTTTTATCATGTCCGTTCTTTCCCGTCCCATTCGCCATGTCCGTATCGTCACGTGCAATCCCATCATGTCTGAGACTGTTCCATCCCGTTTTGTCCAGTCTCATCCCGTTCTTTCCGTTTTTTTCCGTCATGTCCCTAAATATAATTAGGGATATGCTAAATTCACTTTTTTCCGTTCCATTATGTTTCTTTTCATCCCGTCCTTTCCGTCATATCCATCCCGTCTAGTCCCATCCTGTCTCATTATGTTTTTTCCTGTCTTGTCTTGTCCCATCTTGGTCTTTTTGTTTCTTCTTGTCCCGTCTCTAAATATAATAAGAGGTAGGCAAAATTTACCTCCTATCCCGTTCTATTTCCCATCTCGTTCCTCCCTGTCCTATTTCCCTCCCCGTTCCTCCTCGTTCTGTTTTTTCCCGTCTCGTATTGCCCCATCCCTTTCTTCCCGTCTCGTTCTGCCTTGTCGGGTATAATTTTGGCCTCGTTATGTCCCGTCCTGTTTATTCCTTCTCGTTTCCGCCTTGTCCCATTTTGCACCGTCTCATTCATTCTCATCTCATTTTTCCTCATCATGTACATTTCCTTTCCGTCTCGTTCCTCCCGTCCTATTCATTCACATACCGTTTTGCCTTGTCTCGTTCATTTCTTTCCATTCTGCCTTATCTTGTTTCTTCATGTCTTGTTCCACCATGTCCCTTTCTTTTCTATCCCATTTTGCCTCGTCAAATTCATTTTCGACTCGTCTTGTTTCTTCCCGTCTCGTTATCATACAGTTTTGCGTCATTCCGTTCATTTTATTATTATTATTATTGTTAAATTATTAAAATCTATTTGATAAAACTAAAATTATTAAATTAGAATTTATTTAGATCAATATATAAAAATATTTTCTTATACAAAATGACTTTTCAAATTCTATTATGATTAAGTGATAGATGTAATAAATTATTAGAATTCATTGTTTAAAAGAGAGTTTGCTGACGTGGCGCTCCCAGAAGAGACCCCAACTGTGTTTTATATATATAGATATTTCTTTTACAAATTGATTCCCTTGTAAATAATTCATTAAATAAAATCAAATTTTAAACATTTTGTTGTTTCTACTTTATTTTTGACAAACGTAGACTCAGTCATTGTTATCAATACATTAATCTTAAATATATATACTAGATTAGACCCCGTGTATAGGCATGTTTATTTTAAGATTTTTGAAATAAATCACAAAAATATTAAAAAATCTTATCACTTTTAAAAATCAGTAATAGTATTAAAAACCCTATGATAAATCTCAAAATAAAAGATTAGTAATCTTTATACTTTTAATTATGATTGATATTTTTTTAATTCATGATATGAAAATAATGAATATGTTTTATTTTTATTTTTATCTAATATAAAAGACTTACTTGTGGCTAAATCTGATCGACTAACATAAAACTTTGATTATTCTGTCAAGTATTGTGTCACGGATGCACCTGTCACTGCACCTCTCAATATGAGAGAAGAGTGAAGAGATTACAACCGGTGGAAATGACATGTTGTTGTGTAATCTCCGATTGTGCTCCTTCCTAAACATATAGACAGCAGGCAAGTTACCCTTTTGAGTGTTAAGAAAAACATTGACTAAAGCTGTTAAGAGCTTAGCAGTTGTGGAACATATAGGAGGGTTGTACAAGACGACGTATCACCACGTTCCACACTTTCTCACAATGTGGAAAAAGGTGATCTCTTATTTCAGAATGGGTGTTGCAAGTACGACAGTGTGCAGTTGTGCAAACTCCCCAAGTACGACAGTGTGCAGTACGACAGTGCTCGCACTGGGAAGACGATCGAGAACGTAAAGGCTATCTTAAGAACATGGCCTTTAAAACAGAAAGCTTTAAAGCAAGAAGAGGTTGTGGCTGTAGGTCTAAGATTATTCCTAGTATGGCTCGTGCAGAAGGTCTTACTCATTGAAGAATCTGGTTTGGTGGCTTGTGACATTTAAGTTGTAAGATGTATACTAAACAAAAAATCATGACAATGGAAACCGCAAATTATTGGTAATTGTAGAGTTAGAACCAAACTAAAGCCTTACCTTTGATATAGGCAACAAACCTTACCTATATCAAGGGCAATGTCAAGATCTTAATAGTTGTAAAATTAAAATCGACATGTACACATGTCGTAATCTGATGAGTTATAAAAATCTTATGTGTCATAGCCACGCATAATTGTTTTTATTTTTCGTGGTTTCTTTTTATAAAAAAAACACATGTTTTTTTCTGATTTTTGGTTTTTTTTTCATAATGGGAATATGTTTCTTTTCCTTTTAATGGAATTAATTTTTTTTTAATTGTTTGTTTCATGCTTCTCTGATTTTTTTAGTTGGTTTTATATATTATTATATTTTTTTTAATCCATAGTACATGTCTGGATCTTAGTATTTTCATTATTAAAAAAAACACATGTCGCAATCTGTGAGTTCTAAAAATCCTACATCTCGCAATCGCACGCATTAATCTTTATATAATAAAAAATTCAAAAAACAATTATCGGATTTTCATATTTATTTTACCTATATTTAAGAGTAATCATATTTTGTTTAATAAATTTTCGTAATTTTTTTCAAAAATCTTTAGATAAACTCTGCGCATACGTAGAATCTTATAGTAAATATATATTGCATGGTATATTGTTATACGTTTGACTTTACTGACTTTTAATAATTGAAGAAGGAAGAAAACATTGGATATGAATTCATATTCAAGAAAAATCATACCTATTCTCTGCGGTTTAAATCTTTGTCTGTGAATGCGGATAAATCCCAAGGAGGTACATGCTACGAAAAGTCTTAACGGCATGGAACGGAGAAATAAGAGATCTTAAGATCTTCTCTAAGGTACATTCATTTTAAGCTTAGATTTTAGTAACATAGAGTTGATCAATTTTCTCTCTTTTATTTTATCACTTTTCCTTAGTATCTATTAAACTTGATACATGTTTATATGTTGTTCTTTAATTTTATTAATAGCATAATAATGTTCCTACGGAAGAAGGTGAATCTTCTGTTTTTGGAGCACAGCCTCAAAATTTGAATAAGAAAAGTTCATTTTTCAGTGCTGATTTCCGCGTGGAAGTTTTACGGTTGTTTAACTTCAGAAGTTCGAATAAAGAAGAATTCGAATTCGTTTCATTTCTAACACAAAGGAAAGCAAAAAAGAAGCTGATGATTAAGACGTTGTCGTCCCAACAAACAAAAAGTTGGAGATAGAAGCGGCAATGGCGAAACTAATCGAACTTTCAAAAGGTAACAAAGAACTCAGTATTGAATGTTTTTAATGAAATTTGGTATGGATTTAGTCGTTGGTTATATGAACTAAAAGGCAACATTTTATTTGTTTGAAGAAGACTATAGTTTCAACTTTAATGTTTTAATTTGGAGTTGTTGTTTTTTTTATGTTTGAATATTGAGATTTGTTTGCATGCGTTTGGATATTACGTTTTGTTCCATTGAGATATTGTCGTGGTCAATACTTTTTTATTTATTTAAAACATATATATACGAGGAACGGAATTGGCATATGAAAGCATTAGTGATCGTAAAATTCAAGATTTCACCGGAAGCACCACTTTCTCAAGCGCAGCAGTGACGTGCTACCTTTATCAACTCAATTATATACACACAAATCCATAGATACAGAGATGCTAACAGCTAAGACGGTAGTCAACCACACTGAATAACGTTAGATTTTGAAGTAACGATGCCGACTTTCATGGTCAATACCTTTTCAAAATAGTTGACGTACTTTTATTTAGAAGGAAAACAAAAATAATTGACGTACTTTTTGAAAGATAAAGTGTTTTGATTATACAAATTATAACATAATATTGTCTGAACAGACTATGTTTTGTGATATCAACACGATATCATTCACAGTTCACACTATACTGCTAACAAGAGTCATCATCACATTTGGGAGGTTCACGTAAATATTTTAAAGTTTAGTTGGTTTTGTTAGATACGCATTATCAAATCTATATGCATTTATTTTTGTTGCATATATAGAAAAATATGGTATGTTGGCTGTAAAAAAGTTGGCTTATTTTGCACATGTATTTTGTTTTGACCAGATTCGAAATTTAGTTCTGTACACTGTACACTATTTCAGAAGGAAATGCTTTAACGTTAAATTTTTTTCTTCCATTTTTATCTGATGTGAAAGGAAACAATAACGCCAGTCAAGATAGACTTGCTAGCTATCTCTATCCTTCTTATCTCTTCATTTTCACCTACCTTCGCTCACATCTTCTATATATATTCTCTAGCTCTGTATCCAATTCAAGATCATCTCTTCTCTTCATGTCTCTCCCATAAAAGCCCTTCACTTCACCATAGAGTCCATCCATGGATTCATCACTATCGTCAGATGCAAGAGGCAAACGGAGGCGCAACGATCTGGTCCAAAACGTTGATCGTATCAGCAAACTCCCTGACCATGTGTTGGTCGAGATCTTAGGGAAATTGTCGACTGAAGAGGCTATCCAGACAAGTATGTTGTCCACACGATGGGAGGGTGTCTGGAAGCAGATTCCTAATCTCAACTTCGACATGAAAAATACTAAACACTACAATGGGCAATCTCTAGCCCATCGTTCCGGTTTTATTGCTCAACTGATAACCAAGGTTCTCTCCTATTCCCTTTTTTTTCCATGGATTGTTAATGTGAAAAAATAATAATGATATTTTTGAACGTGAGTATAGACTGTTGAATGTATTGATATTATATAGTTAATGAGAATCTAGGAAATCGTAATCTCTTTCACTTTATTGAATTTAACAATTGATAAACTGTAGCTTCACATGCAAGATCTTTACGTAGAAGTCTCTATCGCATATCTTAATTGTTTTCTCATAAATTCTAGTGGTGTTTAATAATTAATTGTGTACTTCTTTTGAAGGTTATAAACAATCACGGTGGTGATCTAGAATGCTGCGAACTCCAGCATTTCCCATATCAATGCCAAGACGATACGCTCGAGACTTGGATCCGAACACTGATTCATGTGAAACGCACAAAAGATCTCTCACTTATAAACTGTACTGATCTCCGTTGGAGACCTAGTGTGCTTCACTTGCCTCCCAACACATTCTCCCATCCAACACTCACATCACTCTATCTACGTCGATACGATTTGGAAGCTGCACATGCCTTCAACAATTGTCGCAATCTCGTGGTTCTCAGCCTTTTAAAGATACGCGGTGGTGTTGGTGTGTTCAACGCAGTCATTGCATCGTGCCCTTCCCTTAAGGTGCTGCTGCTAGATATCGGGTGGTACAACGACGCCGGTTGTTTGAAGATTCAGAACAGCAACTTAAAGATCTTGCATCTGGTTTGCAATTATATTGAGTCTATTGAAGTGTTTGCACCTCTTCTAGATTTCTTCTCCGTTGACTTTCATGTTAGGAGATGTGACGTGATCCTTGTTGCCCCTAGACAACTCCAGCTGACCAAAACTTGTTGGGCTGCAGACCAACATATATCTTACATCAGCTACAACATCTCATGTGATGATCAGGTACAAACATAATCAGTTAAACACACACATATATATATATAATATGATATTATTACATTGTTTGACATATACTTTTCTTAATTGAAGGTGAAGGGAAACATTGAATCTGAATTCATAGTGAGCAAAATTGACGATTATTTGCCGTGGGTTAAATGTTTGGCCGTGAGTGTGGATTTAACAAATCCCAAGGAAGTTAACATGCTTCATAGAGTCTTGACTAAATGGGATAAATGGGGTCGAAAAATCAAAAATCTTAAGATCTTCTTCAAGGTACATTCATCATATATAAACTTCAATCTTAGCTACATCTAGTTAATCAATTTTCTCTCTTTTATCACTTTTCCTTAATATCTTCATTCCCTGATAGATGTTTATATATTTATATATATGTTCTTGTATATATACAGCAGAACAATGGCCCTAAGCAAGAAGGTGAATCTTCTATTCTGGAAGCACAGCAGAAAAAGTGGAATGGGAAAAGTTCGCTTTTCAGTATTGATATCCGTGTGGAAGCTGTGTGGCTGTATAACTTCAGTGGTTTAAACAAGGAAGAATTCGAGTTAGTTTCATCTCTAACACAAAGGAAAAGGAAAGCAACGAAGAAAGTGATGATTAAGACGTTGTCGATACCCGAAAACAAGAAGTTGGAGATAGAAGCAGCGATGGCTAAACTAATGAAACTTTCAAAAGGTAGGAAGAAATTCAGTGTTAACTTTTTCTAATAAGATTTGGTTCGGATTTAGCCGTTGGTTTGATGAACTAAAAGGCAACCTTTTATTTGTTTCAAGAAGACTATATGGTTTCAACTTTCCAGCTATGTTTGAATTTTGGTGTTTTTTTATGTTTGAATATTTGGGATCTGTTTGTGTTAATTTGAATTTTAATTATGATTTGTTCTGTTGAGTATTTGTCTTGGTCGGTATCTTTTCGGAAAGTTTACCTCCTTCTTGAAAGATAAAAGTATTTTGATACATACATGTTATCATTTACACTAGCTAAACGAAAATCAACATAACATTTGAGAAGTTCATGTAAGCTTTCATAAGTTTTTTCTTTCTTTAAGGTGGAACTTTACTAAATATTTTAAAGTCTTCCACCTGGTTAAACCCAATAAAACCGATTTTCACAGTCTGTTTTTTCCAAATTTTTAAAATTCGGGTAGTTCAAACCGAGCTATAGGTATCACGTAGCTCATCATCCGAAAGAACAGAGTTGGAAAAATTCTAAGTTCGAGCACCAGATTAACCTGCTTTTATTTTCGATTCAAAAATATTGTGGGTTTAGGTCAAAAATTTACGGGTTAAACAATAAAATGCAAATCTATGGAGCAGAAGAAGCGACAAGCCTAGGATCTCGACTGGATTCTATACCTTTCAAGCTGTATAGTGAATTCAATTTTTTTTCTCAAGTTCCAAACTTCCAATCACACTTTAACTCTCTAACATTTTGAAAAAAAACAGTTTTTAATTTTCTCATAGTCCATTTCTCTATATTTACTTCTTCTTTTAGGCAAACAGCCTACAGTTGTAACTTGTGAGGCAAACAGTTCCGAATTAGGAAACTTTCTCACGTTCGTTTCGTACCATCCAAATTGCATGTGCAAACAAACACATATTGAAGCTGAGATTAAAAGACAACTTTTCCAGTTCCTTTTTATGATTATCACGATGATATTGATAAGAACAAGAAACATTGAGAATAATTACGGTGGAGAGTCTGGAGACACATGTAGAATAAACATATAAATTAGTCTAGTATTGGAAAATGGTTTCCCAAAATATGAAAATACAATCAAGAAACAAGCTAATCTCACGTACAATTGGGATATGAATAATCAAGAAAATAGTTGCTAAAAAAATCTATATGAAACTCTTTGAGAACTGCTTAACCAAAGACAGATTTATTGGCTCTCTGAAACTATGTACGTACCTACCTAAACCCTAATACCCTATAACTTTGTGGTAAACAAAAACATAAGACCGAAATTTCTATAGATGAAATCCACACTGATATTTGTGAAATTCTGTCTATTACATGTTTCTTTGAGCTAAATTCCCTCTATTTAACTCTATCTTAGTTTTTTACATGATACCATGAGATTGATCCACGGAAATGCTTCAAACCTGGCTAGTGACCTCACATAAAAAGACTATCAAGGCTAGTGAAGCGTTAATCTCGTGGAGTGGGTTGATTAAAAATGTACAGATATAGAGTACCCTTTTACATATGCTTTGACTATCAACCTAAAGTCCATTACAAACCCATCATCCAAAGGTTTATCAAGTGCACAAGTCATCTCTCCAACATGCAAACTTGCAAGAAGTTGCTCAAACAAGACCATATAAATACTCTTTTGGATCTTGCTCATGCTGCTCTCACGATGAAAATTTTCCGTCTTGTTCCAGAGATTCGTGCAGTATTTCATCTAAAGCATAACTTCATAGGAAATGAAGAATTGGAGATGCGACATAAACATGAGTGTCTTTGGGCTTTTATGTCCTTTGTTTACTGCATTTTTGCTTTTCTATTTCAAATTTTGATGGCTAATGTTTCTGTTTTTCTTCTCAAGAGTGTTAAATTTCAGTAAATCAAGAGCTAGCAGGTGTTGAATGGACTGTGGAGTATGTAATCAGTGATTTATATCACCTTGGATATTTTTGAATTGTCACATTTTTTTTTTCTTTCTCCCAAATTGTGGATGTGATGACCCATAAAACTCATTAACACCGTTGACCAAAACCTATTCTAGTTAGCAGTTACAGCCTTATTATATGGCCATCATTTTCCAGTTTATTTATTTTTAAAGCAAACTTTATATTCCATGTAGGCTGTAAAGAATATGAAGGATGGTGAGAAAAAGCATACTAACTATTAATTCAATCTCTGAAGGATTGAGAACATAAAAGCTAATATCAAAAAACAAAAACTACATCGGTCAAAAAAGATATCAAAAACAAAAGCTACATATAACTCGAGCCTGTGGGAGAAAAGTAAATGAAAACTGTTTCACATAGCAATGTTTTCGAGTTAGTCAGATAAAAATGGATCCAAAAATGCTTAAGATCAATCTTTGATGATTTCTAACAGAGATCAAGAGATTGATCATCTACCAAATTTATTGCCCATAATCCTCCTTTTCTTGTTAGCCTTGTTCTTGGAAGCTAGCTTCAGTTTCCTCTTCGCGTTTCTCTCTGGGTTTACCACAGCCATAAGCTTCTCCTCTCGCTTCCTCTTCTCCCTTTTCGTCTCCATACTCTTTTTGATTTCTCCGTAAACTTGCACAAACATTTGGCTGCCTAACCTCTCGTCTCTTATACTGTCTCTCACCTCTTCCGCTAGCTGCTTCAGCTCATCTGAGATTACTTTCCCGGTAAATCCTTGGCAGACTTTGTACAACGGAAGCAGAATCTTAAAGGCGTATAAGCGACACTCTTCTTGATTCAACTGTGAGGCAAAGTCTTTATAGACGTTGAACACAACTCTCATCTGTAGAGACTCTGTATCAAATGCAATCTTCCCCATTCTTTTGAGCAAACTTCCAATCAATACATTTCTCACATCATCTTGGCCTTTCTCGCTGAAGTTGCCTGAAGTAAGAGCCAAGAAATCAGACCTTACTTTCCCTGAATCAAATACTCTAAAGGCTTCGAGGAACTCCGCTTGCTCAACACTGCCAAGACTAGACCAGTACTCATGATCTGATTTTCCAATCATTGAATGAAGACCAGAGACCGCAAAAACAATATTCTCTGTGACAATATCTTCTTCAGTGGCAACATTGTCTTTCTTGCCTTCTTCTGCTGTGGCATCATTTTTCTTGTTCACGACTGTACAGCGGCTCACCTTTAGCTTTAACTGGAAGCAAAGAGAAGCAGCTACCATGAAAAGGCTATTTAGCTTACCGAGAAGAGAATCAGCTACTAGTCCCTGAGGCTTATCCGCCATTTTCATAAAATAATAATTCAGGAGCCGGCAAGTTATAGTTTGCAACCATTCGTGTGGGTGCAACAACAGCTTAAAGACCATTTTCCAAACATCCTGAATCAAACAAGAAATAGAATAACGTTATTTCTTTAAAAAAAAAAGATAAAACATCAATTGCAATCATTTAACAACGTCTCAGAAACGAGAGAGCATTACCTCTAAATCTTTTTCAAAACATAAATCGGGAAACTGCTTGAGCATCTTCTCTAGCATAACCAGAGAGTAGTATGCTTCCTTCCACAAAGGAACACTGCCTTCCTCAATAGTATTTTGCAACTGTATAGAAGACTTCAAAATCGTTTTAGCTTCCTGCAACAATTTATTGCGGATATGCTTCGGAAATGCTTCCTTCCTGGCTTCGATGAATAATCCCAGTACCTGCATGTACGGCGTCAAACAAGTGAGTGAGAGTTCTCAACTGCTGCAAGAAAGCAACGCATATACAACAATAACAAATATTTGTGTCGATGTTACAAGCTATAAGAAGCAAAGTGAAGTTATAAATTAGTTTCCTACTTCCTAGTGATCTGAGATCTAAACTATTGTCAATACGAACATGCACCTTCAGAGCAATTTACCTGTGCTGCTTTAGCCTGTGAGTTTTCCTGCTTATACCAACCAAGACAGTGCTCAAGACTCGAATGATAATTACTCATGCGACCGATCAGATGTTTTATCACACTACAAATCTTAGGCAGCAATTCTTTAGCATCATCAGTTGCCAAACGAACAGCAAGAGCTAGAAACAAGTTTTGAGACTGCTTGTCAAGAACTGACTGCTTGCCGAGGTTAGGATTAGAGAATTTCTCGATAAACCCTTGAAGAAAGTCAAGAACTGCTTCTCTTCCAGATGAATGTTTATACCTGGAGGAAGAAAAATACAGTTACTATTTTATATCAAAGGATAAGACAGCCAAATTTCACAAAATCTTAGGGGTATTTGATACAGATACATACGTCAGATGATTCAGCAGAAAGTTAGACTGACTTTCAAGGCGTTTCTCAGAAAGTGTATCACTGACCAAAAATTCTAACAGTAACTCTCGGCAATTCTTTTGGATTGATTTATCCTGATGTGTTATCATCAACTTTGAAACCTGATCTGCAACATCATATACCTTCGGAAACACATGCTTTCTTTTCACAATGGCTTTGAGAAGTGAAAGAGAAGAATTCAATGATTCCACAGATGTATCCGATTCCAGATCAACAAACATGGGGAACTGAATCAACATTTTCAACTCCTCAGAAGATAAACTGAAATTCCCATTGCCAACAAGAGCTCTTATGAACTTAAGGCATGACTTCACAAGAGGACTACTGGAACTCACTTCAGACTTAGCAACGATGGTTAATACTTCGGTTTTCACTTTACCTGCTTCAGACTTGAGGGAAGGCAGTTGTAACCTTATCAATGAAGTGAAACATCTAACTGATGAAGACACAACATCTTCATACTTAGAGCTCAAGCAACCAACAAGTAGTTTGACAAAAGGATCCAACATCGACACCAGCTCTTTATTATTAGCATTGTTGGGTTGGATTTTCTTCAGTCTGTTGTGCAATAAGTCCAGAGCAAACACGGTTATTAGATGTGGACATGACTTAGCACCATTAGTCTCTTGCTTATGTCCCATTTTCCTTTTCTTTCTGGAAGGTTGAGAAGACACTTGATCTCCAAGACCGCTCTTGTTATTAATACCATCATCAACACGGTCATAAATGAAACAGAAAAGATCTCTTTGCTCAACAGATGGATTGCCTTCTACACCAGCTGCAATATGCTTTAACATCTCCTCCAGTTTTGATTTTAACTTTGAAGTCATATGCCCCTGCAGCTGCGCAGTGACTGGAGAGAGCAACTCCAACGCATGGCTTCTGAACGTTACGTTTTCAGCAATCAATTTCAGAATATCAAGTGACTTGCGTGCTATCGTTTCTTTCTTCTTCCTCGATGAATGTTTTCTATCATCTTTCTGTTCATCAGCACCTCCAAGGACATCGGCTTCCACCACACCAAGGAGCTCTTTCAAACAATGATCCAACTTCCAACCCGTAGGATTGGGCAGGCACTCCGATAAGATGTAGCTGACAGTGTACCCCAATACATGCACCTCAGATCCTTTTGTCAACAGAGCTGCTAGTTTTCTAACGATAAGTTGCAAGTAATCCTCCAACCCAAGTTCCTTCAAACAATCAGCCAGAGCCTTTCTAGCTTTATCACGTGTGCTCTCCTCCCGGTTCCTCAAGAACTTGGCAATTTTAGAAACTATAGAATCTATATTTGAGTCCATTATCTCTCTGGGAAGTAGCTTTAGAACCTTCACAGCAGCCACATAGCCTTTGACATGAACACTACCATCAGTTTGTTCAGAATCCATCAGCTTCCGTATCTTCGGCAACAAGGTTTTCTCAAGGCAAGTCCTAATCTCCTCATCCTCCAGTGCGTAACCATCTTTTGCAAAATGAAACTCATCCAAAATCGAGCAGACCAGACTCATCAGACGCTTTGTCATCCCGGTATGCTTCTTCATCTCACGGAAGCACCGATTCAAGAGAGCGTAGTATGGATTCCAACTCATATGAGCAGATACGGATGCAAGGGCTTCTGCGCATGCATCATGGACATTTTTACCTTTTCCATCTTTCCCATCAAGAAGCATGTTGAAAAAGACTGAGACAAAGAGTTTTCTCACTACTCCCTGCAACCCCAACAGAAAATTGGTCATAAGTCTAATGAAAGTACAAAAATCGTTTATTCAAAAATCTAAGAAAGTTCACCTCAGGCACAGGCACACTGCTATCTTTGATCATCTTCGCGAAACGTTTAGTTGCCTTTGCTCTACGCTGTGCCTACAAGACATTCGATAGAAAGTCATCTTCGTTAAGTTTCTATCATCTTTCATAAGCTATATGCTGCTTCCTCCTCTACAGGTTAAATTAAGGTCTCAACAATGGCTCTCTGATTCTCACCACAACACAAAAATACAAACTGAAAAGGATTCCATATGATAAAAATGACTTACCTGAATGCTAAATACGTTTTTAAAGAAATCCACTTCATTGTCTTCAGAGCATAAACGTCTGAATGCAGCAAGATTTCCGGAATCTGGAAGTGTTATCACCATTTTGCGTATCAAAAGAATCTCCCCCTGCATGCAGCAGAATAACTTAGATTCTTTAATGCAAAGAAGAAGCATTACAGTAAACTATCCATAAGCAACATTCACTAATTTGCTAGATATCGCACAAGGATCACTGTACCTTTCCACTAGAAATTCCTCTGTTTACTGCATCTCCAATGTGTTTCAAAACAAACTTATTCATAATCCACAATACACGATCTCCTGTCCAGCTTGCATCATCTTCTGAAACCTCTTTGCCAGTGTCAGAGTGAGCTGAAGCCTCTTGGCAAAGTATTGAGGCCGCAAATTCAACGAAAGAACACAGCAGGTTGCGTGCGCTATCAGTTAACGTAAGTTCTTCTGATGACATGTTGTATAAACTCTGTGAGAGGATGATCATCATGTGCTGCTCCGAGGATTTACTAAAGAACTCTGCATCAATCTTCGCATAAGCATCAGTTATAGTATCGTAGTCAAGGTCATCGACTTCCATGGGTGTGATGGCATTCATATCGCTGACGCATTTCGCCTGTAGGATGCGAAATGGTTTGTTACCATCGCAAATGCGAAAAAAGATACTAAAATAGCTCAGCTTCAATCAGGGATATGATACTTACCACTAGATCCAGAGAAACGTCGATTTTTGCAAGAGATCCAAGAAGGTCACAGATGCATAATCTAACGCCGAGTTCAGCGTCAACAAGTAGAGGAGAGACCGTCTTTATAATTTTGCTGGTACTCTCAATCCCAAGCAACGATGTGATCTCTTGAATAGCTAGCAAAGCCTCACGATGAACATCTGAAAAAAACAATGAGACACACTCTCACACACAAGAGACGTGAATATATTTATATAAATTCTTGCCAAGAAAAGAAAGGAGTAACCATACCAGAATCTTTCACACGTTTATCCAAGAAAGACAGCAAGACATCCAAAAACTTCATAACATGAGAGTCATCTCGGATGTGCTTAGTCAACAGTTTAAGAATCTTAATCTCTCTTTCTCCATGATACTTGACTGATTTCCTGGTCATAATTAACAGTTTTTCTATAAGAAAAACAAAAAAACAAAAAACCAGAGTAGAAACGAAGAAAGTAGTAACCAAGTCTGTTAATTTACAAGAACCTTACCTTTTCAAAATACCCCCACAGAAAAGAGAATGCAAGTTGTTAATCAGTGACCCTATGTATGGATCTAAGAATCCTTTGATCATATGGTCATCATCATTCAAGCCATTCTCAAGACTGAGCAGATTCTTTATGAAACTCAAGGCAGAAGACTTAATAGCTTCTGAAGCTGTGGTGACTGTTATAATTGAGAAAATGTCTAGAACAAGAGACTCCTCCCGACATAAGAAGGTGACAAGATTGCGGCTTTTGCTCATTGACAAGAAGCATGAGAACAATGAGCTTGGTTTCTCACTACTAGAACCCTCCTGCTTGAAATTCTTCATTAGCGGATTCACCGATGAAAAGAAGAGGTCCCAGAACTCAGAGCCAAGATCACAATCCTCGTACTTATCAAGAACATGAGCAATAATCTTCAGACATAAGGATCTCAACTCTTTAAAGTGTTTCGAAAAAGTGCCAGCCTATACAAAACCCAACAAAGTGTCAGACAACAAAACGGATCTAGCCTACATAAAAACGTTAGGGAAAGGGAGCAAACAACACCAATAACAATTTTTTACCTGGTTGTGATTTGTTGAAACAGTCTCTTTACCAATGTTCCTTTCTTCATCGATGTCTGGAGCATAGTTTACCAATAGCCGGACAACACATCCCATCAGAAAGTCTAGAAATGGTAAGACGTGGAATTCATCAAATACTTCAAGGATATGTTGGATGACATGAAGAAAACCAGATTTCTTCTCCCTGGATAAGGTTGAAATAGCATCAACGTTGAAGTATTTCAGGAAATTCGACTTCTGGAAATAATCCAGAGAACTTTTGCCTGAGCTCCAAAACAAGTCCATTGTTTCCTCTGATATGATGTTCAAAGGCTTCATCAACAATGTAAAGAACAAGGCAAGTTCATTAACATCCAGCTGAGATATAACGCAAAGAACAGCCTCCCGGTGACTAATACTTGTATGCTGACAACAAAAATAGAGAGATAAGTGTTAGCCTGTTAGGACCCAAATAGAAAACTACATTGGCAAGGTGACGTAAAATGCTTTTTAAATAGTATGTAATATGTACCTTACGTGAAGCTGAATTCTTTAATTTTGTAACTTTGGCATAAGGATCCTAATTACAAGAGAAACAAGATGAGATCTGTGAGCTTCTTCAATGTCTTTGGAAAAGTTCCAGTTCGTGAGCTCTTCTCTCAGTTCTTTTGGTTTGATTAAATTTCCCAAACGTTGGCGGTGAGGGAGCAAATAGTCATTCGACAACAGAAGGCAATCTAAGACATTCGTTTGTATTTCAGCATCATTGTCATCTAGGAACCTGAAAGAATGTTCAAAGAGCACAGAGATGTCAATGAAATTATCAGGAAGGAAACTCTTTTTTTTTTACTCCAAAATATTCAAAAGTACAGAAGGATTATCACCAACCTGTTCTGCAAAACATCGTTTACAAATTGACTAAAGCCTGACGACTTCGGATTCCTCATCAGTTTCAGCAAATTCAACCACTGTACAAGTAACTTCTTCCAGTCCTCTCCTTTACAAGCTCCACCATTGTATAACCCGACCCTGCAACATAGAGAAGAAAACACTTGATGTCAGCAAACGAACTAAAAACAACTCTTTAAGAAAAAATGATATATAGACAATGATTACCTCATAGGATTTTCGCTGTTGTATCCCAAAAATCTCAAGAACAAAGGATGAATGTCAGAAGCCTGAGACTGAGCAACAGTGGGAACTTTTTGCAATGTCTCGAGTAACAGAGACACTAGTGTTGCAGTAGGCGTGCCATCAGACGGCGGAAAGAGAAACGAATTAAAACGCTCCATCAGACCTGCAGATTGAAAAGACAAACTTCAGAATTTTAAAGGAGAGAAGATGGATAGATCAAAGAATAACAGAGAGATGCAAAATATTTGGAACTGAAATGGAAAGATCCAATTATATGACCTACCAGTATACTTCTGTGAGATGCTGTAGTTTTCACTCTCAGTATGATTGTGGAGTGCTTCAAGTTTTAGTTGGCACTGGCCCAAATAACGAACAAAATCATTCCACACCGTTCCTGTGTGCATCTTCATAAGTTCCGCAAGGCACTCAGATGCTCGTTCCCATATTTTGGAAAACCGATTATGAAATAGTCCTATCATTCCATTGAATACAAGAGGGACATATGCCTCATGCACCCTGCCGGCGGAGAGTTCCATATGTATTCTAGTAATCAAACTGTCCAACTTCATCTCAGTCGATACTCTGAGATCAGACTCTTCGACAGTGTGCAATAACTGAAGAACCTGGTAATTTGAAGGATTAACGTAGAGCGCAGAGGTAAACGTCACATAGTTGCTATTGCTAGTTAAAAAATTTGGTTTTAGGGGAAAAGGCTTATAAACTAGATAACAAAGGATGTCTACTCACATTTGCTTTAGGAAGAGACTCAGTTTTTAGTTTCTTCATCGGATGATGCTCTTCGGAAGAAAGATTAGAAGGCAAAGTCTCAAAATGGCACAAAATCCGTAGAGTCAGAAGACGGATGTCTTTGTTTGGGTGACGCAAATTTTCAGAAAATATGCCAAAAGCATGTTCAGCCTTATCTGCTTGAAGTTCTGGATATGCCTTAGGGCTATCATCATCAGCCGATGCAGGCCTGCAATATTAACACGGATCACAGATACATTCATGGAGATGTAACTCTGATTAGCCACCAAAAAGAAAAAATTACATATATATATATACAGACTCACCTGTACACAAAATCCAAATAGTCGGCCACAGGAGACAGCACTTGTACACATGACTTGTACTGTTTAGCAAGAGACAAGGCTTCTTCTAGATCACTGTGGTTATAGAGTTTATGACAAGAACTCAAAGCAGTACCAAGTAAGCTCTGCCACATCAACTCTGGAGCACTAAAAGTGTTTACTGAAATAGAATGTAGCAAGAAGTTATGATCAATTCCAAAAAAATAAGATCACAATCAAGATCAACTAGATTTCTATTAGCCAGCTTCCAATGAGAGATAAAATCATGCAATTAAGTAAGACTTACCAACTGAGATTGCCAAATGCTGTCTGAGAGTATTCTTGAGGCGAATCAGTAACGATGAATCCACTTTAAAATAAGGATAACAGTTGACAACTCCCCAAACGGTAGCCAACTCGGCCTCATCAATTTGAGCTAATCCAGTATCCTCTATATTCTTTTGAAACTTGTTAATATTCTCTTCCAAGAACTCATGAATTCTCACGTATTTGCTCTCAAATGTTTCACATTGTTGTTGTGTCTCACACAACGATAGTAACAGAGGCATAGCTTCCTCAGAAGAGCCCCAAATCATATTGTTGATTGCACTGCAAATATAAAATCTAGCCGATAAGACACGAAGGATAGGCAGTTTTCAAATAGAAAATAATGAAAAATAGAAAGTATGATGCGAGCCTTGCCTTAATATATTACTTGTAAAGGCTTTCACTATCAGTTGATCTTTTTGTAGCAACTCCCGCAAAAAAGTTAGAAAACTGAAACACAAACTGATCAATGTTAAGACACACAACAAAAAGCGACTTAACATTGAAAAGTACAAAACAGATAAACAGTCGACATATACCTTGAGCTCTTCAAGGCAAAAATGGGAGTCCATTGCAAAGCAATAGATTCCATTTCACTAACAGACATGGGTCTGTCGATGGTGCATAATATCAGCCGCAAAACTCCGTCGGTTACAGCAGATATGTTATCAGAGGAATCCATAAAAGTTGAAACTATTTGGCTCACGATTCCAATCAAAGAAGAGTAATCTGTGTAAAACATTGACAGTGATTTTAAAATTGGAAATACAGTCATGCAAATATACGTTTGCAATTAGAATTGCTTAATAACTCACCATGAACCTTGAGACCTTTCTTAATCCCAACAACTGAAGTAAGCACAGTCAAGAGTCGGCTTAAATGAATTGTGTTTCTGTTCGAGATTGCTTCCTTTATCTCGTCATACAAGCAACTCCATAGAACACTTAGTTCTTCTACTCTATAATCCTCACATAATCTCTGCAAATTTGAACTGACAACTTCTACAGTACTACCGGAACCTGCAACGAAATTCAAGATCCAAACATGATCAGAAGGAAGGAAACAATAATAAGAAAGCAGCTTCAGGATATGAATAACAAAACTTTAAAATTCTAACATCTCTTTTGAAAAAAGGACTTGCCTTGGGGAAAGGATAACGTTGAATCTTTCAGCAAGAACCTCAAAACCATCTCAGCTTTTGAATGGAGATTCGTCGTGGTACGTGTCATAACATAATATAGTAAAACACCTCCTCCAGCTCTATCCGGTTGATCTGCAACTTCAGAAAGAATCCTCTTGATCCCTGCACATGTTCAGGAGAAAAGAATTCCAGTTGGACTGTCCCTAACAACATAGATGAAAGTTATGAAATGACAAGCAATTCATCACCTATTTTAAGTTGATCAACCGGTGCATTCCTCAATAAAGATGACATTGATGCCGATGTAAGTTTGATGATGCAGTCATCGGGGTAATACCTCAGCTCCAATGTATCCCTTCATCAGAGAAAATTATATATCAAGCAAAATGAAATCTCTAAGATGAATAAACCCTGCACTATTATATTGAAACAGTATGGTACTGTCCTTAATGGAAGAAAACTATAATATTCACCATAGCAGAGATGTAGATGACCCAATAAGCAAAAGAAAGATTATGTGGCCAACAACAATTGTAACAAGACAAGAAAAGAAAAGAAACTAATCATCACTTTATTGGGCCAAGTCAATCTATCTAATAGTAACAGATAAACTTTTCGTTCTATAACCAAAAAGAAAACTAAAAGAAACCAAGAAAATACAAGAAGCTTCTCTACCACAAAATTGGATATCTGAGCAGAAATCATGAACTATAAACAAGAGAGCAAAATGGCAGAAACGGTAACAGGTTCGCCAATCACAATGACTTATTCATTAACTTTTCTTTAGATCCAACGCAGTAAAACATACACTCCTGATTAGATTGGAATTCTTTACATACCTGAGGATACCTTCAATGTCGCATATGAGATACTTCTGTAGGTGCATCATTATTTCACTCCATGATGAGAAAATCTAAAAAGGAAAGAAAAGGACCAGAATTTCAGCAAAAATAATACATAAGTTACGCATTTTCGTGAGTGTAGAATATGTTACAGAAAAGTACCAACCTGCACGATAATCTCTGGCTCTTTATGACCAAGCTTTTTTAGTAGAATTACTAAGGAGGTAACAATCCTTGGAACGAAGCTAGACAATAAAAAAATACAAAAGAAATAAGAACATAGACAAGAAATAATCAAAGAGACCGAAAAGTGAACTTTGAGTACTTGACCTCAAGAAGAAAGTCAAACAATTTGCCAAATATCAGTCAAGAAGGAAATAAAAAAACTTCCTAGTTTTCTAGCGCTTACACATGTACATGTGAGACAACAGTAATCAGAATTCAAGTTAGTGACCCTTTTGGGCCATATGATCCAAATATGGGAAACAAGCTGTCTATATCACTCTATGGATTTTCCAGAGTTCCATTAGTAAAATCCGTTGGACTTCCCAAAGCATTTACTTTACATTACTCTGCTCTATGGTACACACAATGTTTGGATAACTCTAACTAGATGGCTGCAACAGCATTGAGTATGACTTAAGAATTCTCATCCTAAGCAGTTAACCATATAATAGTATTGTGCAGCTGTAAAAAGAATAAGAAGTTTGGAAAATACTCACGGAATAAAGTCCTCCAAGAGATCTCTTGATAATGCAGCAATCAACCTGCGCGAGAAAAATGATGAGAAAGTAAATTCAAAGTTGTGTGGTTAGCAAAACTGCCTGAAAGTGAGTAAGCAGATAAGCATGAACAAAGATTATTTCCAACGATGACAATAAAGAACGAGTGGAAAATAGCAAACCTGAGAAAGGCTTCCAGAGAAAATCTTGCTTCCATTTGTAATCCAGAGACAAGTTTAGAGAAGATTAATTCTTTTTGCAAGATAACCAATGGCAGAGTTTGAACAAACGGTAACATTTCTTCATAAAACAGAATAAAATCTGCTGCCGTATTCAGCTCCTGCAATTTTAACCACCCAAATTTATTACCTCACTGAAGAAGAAGAAAAAAAATTAAAACTTTATGAAGAAAGTCTTTTATTAGCTAAAGAAAATAAGAAACATACCCTCAATTCTACGAGGCAATCCTTGAAAAATGTGGAGCCCTCTGAAGGCTCAGACTTCACCTTATCTAAGCTCCTAAAGACTTTGATTTCATTGTCATTCATTCTCCCATTGAAACTCTTAAACTGCAATCCGCAAATAACCGTAATTAGAGAGAAACGAAGGCAAAAGGGATAAACCCAAAGTCACTTGTCAGTGAAGCAGATAGAGAAGCCGTGCCTTATATCTATTACTTCCTTTGGATTCGTTGAGTGACTTCACAGCCCGAGAATCATTCAGAGTCGCCATGGTCACGGCCGAAACTGTTAGGGTTTTCGACAGCTCAATCGACGCCAACGATTCCGGTGCCAATTCCGGTGCTCCGTGTTTGGAATTTGAAGAAGCTCGCTTTTTGCTGGGATCAATTTGATAGAGAGAGAGAGTGCCGCGCAGAGGAGAAAAGGGTTTAACTTTTATTTCTCAAGATTTTATTTATAGTCTGTGTTTGGGTTTAAGCGTTAGCGAGTTGAAAACCCGTCTGAGTTTAACCGGATAATTCGGTTCGTAATCCGTTTGGGTAGAGAGGCTAATACCATCCGTTCTAGATGAAATCGATTTATAGTCAGTGTTTGGTATCACCGTTAATCTTCTTTTTCTATTATTAGCTGAGAAGTACATTCTAATGTTTGGATACAAGAAACTGTAGAGAAACATCTACAGTAGAAACTCTATAAATTAATAATGTCGGGATTTTGATATTTTATTAATTTATAAAGTTATTAATATATAGATTTTGACCAAAAATGTTTTTTTCAAAAAAATAAATTCAATAATAGTCTTTTAAGTTTTACTTCAAATGAAATAAGAATTTTCCTTTATACATATATTTCTTTTAACTTTTTTCTTTAGTTGTTTCTATATTTACTTTATTGTTTACATTTTCTAATACACCCTATATTGTTTTAAATTTCCTTTTTTCCTTTTATATTTTTATGTGTGAGAGATTCATATTTTAGTAGGTAGATATCTAGATAAAATATATATATATATATAAATAAGTTTTTATATGATAATTATTAATTTATTATATTATTGGGACCATATTTTACATAGGAGTTTAAAAAAAGTTATTATCTTATTATCTTATCGAATTGTGTCATATATTACACCGGCCCAACTTGGGACCGGAGAAATTTATTAATTTATCGTGTTTATTAATTTATAGAGTTTCTACTGTATTTGGATAGAAGAATAAATGGAAAAAATTGTCTCAGAGTATGTTATAACAAACTTATCTGTATGTTATACTGTCAAACCCCGTAAAACAACATATATGTATGTTATACTGTCAAAACATATTGAAGGCGGTTTGAGCAAGACTGCCTCAGAGTCAGTATATTGCATGAAAACATAACAAACTTTTATTTAAATAATTACCGTATCAATATTATAAAAACATTTACAAAAAACTTTTCATCCCGTGCTTCCCAAGCACGGGTCAGGATCTAGTTTTCTATTATTAACAGAAAGTTGTTTGGATATAAGAATAAGAGAAAAATCTATTTGGATAGAAGAATAAATGGAAAAAATTGTTTGGATACAAGAATAATAACTTAAAATAAACCGATGGTTTAGAAAACTTCCGTTTTCCATCTCTTAAAAATCTGCAAAAAAGAAAACTTAACATAATCTAACGATAATTCCAAATCAATAGAATATGCTTTTTGGATTTTCGGGTTTTTATAGACAAGTTCGGGTTTGGGTGAAAATCTGAGACATAATTTTATAGAGATATATATAGAGATATAGAAATTGTTCGGGTTTCTTTGAAAATTTCTGTTCGGGTTAGGTTCAATTTTTTTTTTCAGTTTAGGGTTTTCCGGATTTTTTAGATTTCTGGTTTTCGGGTTTAGATATATTAAAAAAATTGAGTATTTTAAAATTTTGATTAGGTATTGGGGTCGGGTTCCGGGTGAAAAAGTTTCCAGATTTTTTTTGTTCAGTCAGGGTTTTCGGGATTTTTTTGATTTCGGATTTTCATGTTTAGACCTATTAAAAAAGTTTGGGTTTTTAAATTTTTTGATTAGGGTTTTTTGTCGGGTTCGGATTTAGGGTTTAAATTTTCTACACAAAACAACAACGTCACACCGCACAAACGTGCGGGTACTCTACTAGTATAAAATATTTGGGTAGAGAGACGTAGTCCGTTTGTAATCCGTTCTAGTTGAAATCGAGTTGAAATCCGTCCCAAACACAGACTATCAACGGGTCGTAATCGAGTTGAAATCGGATAATTCGGTTTAATATCGGTTATGAGTGGTTGATGTGTTATGAGTGGTTGATGTGTCTGGAATAGCCCTGGGCATTTCGGGTTTTGGGACGGGAATTGACGGGTATGGAACGGGAATGGGAAATTTAGGAAACCAAATATGATTCCTGAAGCATTCCCTTATTATAATGGGACGGGAAACTACGGGAATGGGAAGGGAATGAGAATTTTGGGAATAAAAGAATAATACCCGAAGTCTTAACAAATCGGGAAAATTGAAGATAATATGAGAAATTACGGGAAAAATACGATAAAATATGGGAAAATACGGGAAATTATGGGAAAATTCGGGAAAATATGGGAAAAATTGGGATATTTAAGAAAAAATATCTTATTTTCAATTTTTTTAAACGGGAAAATCGGGAAATCCCTTACCCTTCCCTTACCGTTTGAATAAAATAAATATTTCCAAACGAGAAATTGCAAATTCCTATTCCCAAAACGTTCCGGAAATTTTAAACGGGTAAGGGTGGGAACGGGATTCCCGTCCCGAAATGCCCAGGACTAGTCTGGAAGACAACTAACCAATTAAAACCGAGGTCTATGGTTCCTAAGGTTTTGAAGTATGATTTTGAGGGGACTGAGATGTTTAACTTTCGATTCAGGGAGAAATAGGTTTAGAACTTTTTTTCCAGAGAGATTTAGCACGAGCCATTTGTTTGGGCTGCATCTAGTACGACACGATACTTATGGTGGGGAACTAGGTCGTCAACCCAAAATTTGACAACATAAACAGAAACAAAATTCAGTAAATCTATTTATTCTTTTCATGGATATAACTCTTTTTTCCATTGTTAAATCTTAAAGACTCCCATCCTACGTAATTATATCAAAGTTGGCCTTGCCTGGAACATACAAGTAGGTCTCCAACTTTCACTCTCCCACACTCTGATGGTTCCACAGAAACAGACCGCTTACGCACTGACTTTTTGACGTTCAACGACTCATCGTGTTGGCTGTCGTATCCAGAAAATTGTACACGTGCTTCCTCTTGGAGAACACTCTCAGTAAGTTCCAAGCAAATCAGCCATTAAACAAAGGAAAGAGAAGAACCTTACCTGTTCACCAGTGTCTAGAGTTCTATAACTTTGGAACTAATCCACGTCATACCTGAAAAGACCAAAGTTTGAGAAAATAAGCACAGATACAAAAGCACAAAGGTAGACCTTTATGTAAGAAAACAGAATATTCAATGCAAGGAAGATATTCTTACCATGTGCCGTTCTTCTCTAATTTAGCAACCATAGCCTGATCCATCAAATCAAATGCCTTACCTGTTTACAAAACCAAGGGAGATGATAAGCATTAATTTGAAAAATAAAAAGAAAAAAGGGCACACAAGAAAATCAAACCAACCCTTCTGTTTTTGAAGAGGCTTCCAGCATTTTCGACATTTCTGGCAGCAGTGAGCTTTGACAAGTCAAAAATCTCAAGAGGAAATGGCTTAACCTTGGATTCAGCTTGGTTTTGCTTCTTCAAATCCATAATATTAAATACCTTACCTTTTATCACCAATGTTTATAAACTAAGGGAGAGGATATGCATTAACTAGGAGAATCTAAAAAGGCAACAAGAAAAGGAAACTAACCCTTCTGTTTTTGAATAGAAGTATTATCAGCATTTCTGGCAGCACTGAAATTGACAAGTCAAGAATCTCAGGAGGAGATGGCATAGTCTTGGATTCGGCTTGGTTTTGATTCCTCAGATTCTCTAAAACCAACTCTCTACCTGAAAACCTCAAATCAAGATGAAGTTAGAGCTACTTTATTTGAATTAACTACTTGTATAGAATGTTAAAACGGGCTCATTTTCACATAAAATGCCCATTTAAGCCCGCTAATTCCAGGCCCGAATCAACATAACTTCTATGAAGAAAAGGAGACGTACTTTTTTCCGGTTATGGATGATTTGCCTCTCCGATTCACATAGCAACTTTGATTCCCCAAAGGAAAACTATATCCAGCTTGTAAATAAAATCACATATACAAAGAAACAAAGAAAAACAAACAAAGTTATAATCCCATGAATCCTCCTGTAACATAGACTTGTAAGAATATTTTTTATTTATAAGCAGATTTGTTAAATGATAAATTTCTGAATTAAAATCATTAAAGTAATTTACAGGACAAACACATGACAAATCATCCTATATAATTCAGAAGAAAATACCTAAATCTGTAGGCAACAGTTTGGCAGAAGTTTTGGTTGAGAGATTGATCACCTTAGTGTTTATACAGCTTCTCCATGTGTACAATTTGCGCAGAAGACAAGCATATATAACTAGGTTAGTAGGTTACACCCCATGAAAATCCTAACCTAAGATACGAAATATAGAAAAAAAACAAAGATACCTGGGCCAAAGTAAACTTGGTGCAAGAGGAAGAGGAGCCATCGGTAGCAGCATCCATTGTAGATGGTAGCTTATTTGGTACTCTGCTGCTGATGCCTTTGGAGTGTGTTCAGTGTGCTTTTAAATAATTGGAATGACAGTGATGAGATGGACCCAATATGAATACAAATCGTATATTTGGCCTTCTATATAGGCAACTCATCGCGGTTGCGACACCTAAGATACCCCATTATATAATCTTGCGTCAAGATCTTGTCACTATGTGCAAGATTTATATAGTGGGATATCTTAGGTGTCGCAATCGCGACGAGTTGCCTATATAGAAAATGCCAAATATAAGATTTGTATTCATTTTGGGTCCATCTCATCACTGTCATTTCAATTATTTAAAGGCACATTGAACACACTCCAAAGGCATCAGCAGCAGAGTAGCAAATAAGCTACCATCGACAATGGATGCTGCTACCGATGGCTCCTCTCTCTTGCACCAAGTTTACTTTGGCCAAGGTATCTTTGCTTTTTTCTCTATTTCGTTTTTTAGGTTAGGATTTTCATGAGTGTAACCTACTAACCTAGTTATGTATACTCGTCTTCTGCGCAGATTGTAGACATGGAGAAGCTGTATAAAGACTACGGTGATCAATCTCTCAACCAAAACTTCTGCCAAACTGTTGCCTGCAGTTTTAGATATATTCTTCTGAATTATATAGGTTTATCATGTGTATGTACTGTAAAGTACTTTAATGACTTTAATTAAGAAATTTATTATTTAACAGATCTGCTTCTAAATAAAATATATTTTTACAAGTCTATGGTTGAAGCATTTTCTGAGTTATAGGAGGATTCATGGGATTATAACTTTTTTTGTTTTTCTTTTTGTATATGTGATTTTATATATATACAAACAAAATCATTTATATAAGTTCATTAATTACTAGTTGGCATGGGTGTTTTCTTTAATGAATTAGGTTTCCGTATTTTTACATAAGAGTGTTTTTCCTTTTTAAATTAGGTTTTATTGAGTTGTATCAATACTTAGATAAGGCCTCCAAGAAAGTTTAGCCAACAAAGGTTCATAGCAGTTTGAAAAATCCAAGATTTAGAACAAATAAGAAAACATAATATTAAATGTAAGGAAAACAATATTACCATGCCTCGTCCCTTTCTGATTTAGCCTCAAAAGCCAGAGCTATAATACCCCTAATATGAAATGCCTCATCTGTTTATCACCAATGTCTAGAAACTGAGGCAGGGGATAGGCATTAACTAAGAGATTATAAAAGAGCACAAAAAAAGGAAACCAACCTTCCAGTTTTTGAACAGAGGTATTTTCAGCATTTTTGGCAGCACTGAGATTTGACAAGTCAAGAATCTCAGCAGGAGATGGCTTATCCTCGAGTCAGCTTGGTTTGGCTGCTTCAGCTTGAAACACCAACTCTCTTCCAACTCTCTTCCTGAAAACCTCAAATCAAGATAAAGTTAGAGCTGCTTTACTTGAATTAACGACTTGTATGCAGAAAAAGAGATGTACTTGTTTCCTGGTTACCGATGATATGCTTCTCTGAGTCACTGAGCAAGTATGATTCTCAAAAGGTAAACAATGGGAAAAAAGAGTTATATCCATGAAAAGAATAAACAGATTTACAGAAGAATAAAAAAAAAAATCTAATCCTTAGCAAAATATTTTACCAACAAACTTATAAAAAAAATTTATATTAAAATTTCAGAAGAATATTTATGAAGGTACTGATTGTTAAGGACTTTTGACTGTTAAAAATAAATTGAACTGTTACTGTCAAAATTGTCAAAACTGTAACTTTTAAATAAGGGCGATGACTGTAAAAAAGATTTAAAGCAACAGTTTTTGGCTTTTGCAAAACACCCATCGAATGTGAAGAAAAAAAGGGAAATGGGTTTGTGAGAAATTTTAGGGGGAAGTTAATGAATTTTAAGACTGTAAAATCATAAAAATATGATTGGGTAAAATTTGACTTTTAAAACTCTAGAAAATTCTAAAAACCTGTACAGCCGTGAAAGTCAATTTGCCAATCAGAGGCTAAGTGATTTTATTTAAAAAAAAAATCTACTAAAATTAAACAATAGATTTAAGAATTAAAATCACTATGTATTAATTTACGTGACTTGTGTTAGCTATTCTCTATCAAACCATGCAAAAGATATACGTCCAGTTATAATTTATAACAAATACCTAAAGCTGCAAACAAGGACTTGACAAAAGTCTCTGTTGTGAGACTCTGATCACCATACTCCTTGTACATACTCTCCATGTCTTCAATCTGCAGGAGCATATATTCAACAAGGTTATATACACCCAGTGAATCTATAATCTAAATAACAAAATAAAGATACCTCAGCAAAAGTAAAATCGTTGACACTGTTGGAAGAGGAACCATTAGTAGGAGGATCCATTGTCAGACTGTAGCTTATCTGCTAATTTGTTGTTGACTGCTAATGCTATTTGGGAGTGTGTTTTATAGTGTGCCCTAATTATTTAGAGTAATAGTGATGCAATGAGTTGGGCCCAAAATGAATACCAGTCTTCTATCAGGCCTTTTTCATATAAAACAAAAAAACACAACTACAAAACCAGTTTATCTATATCTCCATAAATTTAGTTCGGTGTGTTGTTTGGTTAAAAACTTAAAACAGTGTCTAGTAGAAAGAAAGGGAAATAAACAGTAAATCTATCAACGCAGTACGATTAAACCACACTATTCAAAAGAAAAAATTCATGAAAACATTTGGAATACTAAGAGCGTTGCATGTAAAAGTCACCAGTTAAACGCCAGAATGGCACCAAGAGTCCCCCCCAAACACTTCAGTGTTGAATACAAATAGATGTGGTTTTTGAGTATTAACAATGAAGCGTTAAAGGGAACTCATGGGGACATTTGACTCTCTTCTTCTAACTCTGTCCTGTAATAAAAACACTAGCTGCATATGCCTATTTATACATATCATTGCAAAGGGTCTATAATTCCTCTCCTTTTTGCCATTATGAGAACTATCATAAGAGGACCAGTAATGATATATTCGAATCATACAACCAAAGAACGTGCGGCAATTTGAAAGATGAATCGAGTCGAGATATTGGGCTTCGTTAGATATTTGACCGAATATTTATTTTGTCCCTAAATTGGCTTGAAATGTTTTTGAAACGACAGAAGTATTCTTTGCATGGCCTCTTCCTCTGATATGTCTTTTCTCTTTCTTTTTTTAATTGCCACTCACCACATCAGTGTTCTTAACAAGTATTCCCTATAGAGTGCTAACAATAAACAGCAGTGAACTACGTTAGTTATGTATCAGGCTATTTAATCTCCCATGCAATGCACAGCTAAACAATATTGATTTTGGGATTGTTAAAATTTCAGGTCGAATGTAAAAAGGTGGCATATCGTATAGACTTAATTGTTTATTTTGTGTGCATGTTTGCATCTATAGATGTTATATGTATGTTAGAATATTGTGGTCATATCCAAAAAAAAAGTAAACAAAATCAATGTTTTACTTATGCATCATTTACAAATTGTAGGTGAAGGAAACAAACGATTTGATGACATCATCTGTCTGACTTTCTATATTTCAGTGCAAAATCTTTGGTACATATATATCAGGTGACGCGCCACGTATGTGGCTAGTTAGTTTGTTTGGCTAGATGAGTATAGCTAGTTTTAAGTTTTTATATAAAGGACAATCGAACTTTATTAATCTTTTCTTTAATCAACGCAGGACGAAATGTCCAATAAATATCATTATCAGTAAGTTTGTCTCCAAACTAATAAAGTAAAAATTGAAGAGCAGGAGATCGTAGTGACGAAAAGCAAGAACCGTTATGGGCACTATAAGCATATAATATATTGAACAGAATCTATACGTGTATACATCCTTTCTATCTTGTGAAAAGCCGTAACGACTTTTCTTCAAATTCGTATTCTCTTCTACTCTTTCCTTTAACCCCAATTTGCGTCTATATTCAAAATGCTTTTTTTGGCCATCACTACGATTTCTCTCTCTATATATCCTTCTCTTTTGAGATATTGGGATTATCCTCTAAGCCTTTAACTATATATAGTGAAATTAATGGAGCTACTTCCATCTTCTCAAACCTCATCTCAACCTCTTGTACTCATATTTCCACCCATGAACGTACATGCAACACAAGAATCAATATTTTTGGTTGGATGTCTCCTAGAGTTCTTCTGAACACTTCATTGGGAATACAATTTCATTTTATGATGATTACCCACTGAAGTGTTTGGGGGAACTCCCGGACCCATTCAACGGATTTTCAACCTGTCAAGACGATCTTTTACATGGAGTGCATTTTCTTTAATTAGTCCATTTTGCCTTTTTTTATGCTTAAGTTTTAATTATTGTTTAAATGGCGTAAAGGTACATAGGTCGATGCAGGTATAAGAACACCTTGTGTAGAATTTGGCCCCAATTTCTTTAATTCTTTTGCAAATGTGTCGTTTTATTTTTCTGTGTTTTTTTGCTAACAAAAACACAGAAAAGTAAAAACTATTTCTCTCACTAGCATTCTTTACTAGCAAGTCTTTGATCAGTCTCGCCCAATGCTCGTGGTCCTTTACTCTTTAGGTGCATATATATCTCACTTTTATTATTCTGATTTTGGATGCTCGTTACGAATGAGAGAAATGGGGGTATCTATCTATCACAGTATAAGGTAAAATAGATTACTTTTATCTATGTATATATTAAATATATACTAACTGTAACTTGGATGGAGTATATATGTTACAACATTCGCCATGGAAAGTACATTGATGTTATTACTATTTACATGCAGAACTTATATACTAATAAAGAGATTGTGAAGTTAGCTTTTTGTAGGAATGAAGAACGATTTGCTGATATATCATGAAAAAATCCGTAAAGTTGGAAACATTTGTCAAGAATCAAGGCCTACTTGGAATACTAGAACTATAGGAGATTGTTGGTTGTTTTTCTCTAGTATATGACATATTAAGTCAGAGAACAATCTTTGTTTCAAACTTGGTCTTTTCATTTGTTTTGACTAATTAATCTAATATTTAGGACTAGGACCCATATCTCTTGTAACATGTATATAGCCATGATATCTTCCTTAACAGATCTTAATATTAACTCCTTATGATCAACACACTTGCTTTGTAATAAGAATGACTCTTTTATTGATAATGTTTAGAAACTAGCTCAAAACTAAACACCAAAGCTTGAATGAATGATTCTCACATCTCGACAAACAAACATATTTATAGGTAAAGCACAACATTGCTTTTCCTATTACAACTAGAATTAGCTACTCCTAATCCTAATGGGATTGTGACTAAGCTCTCCTTATCCTCATACAACTCAAGTCATCGAAGCTTATCCAACATTCCTATGGAAACAATAAGCTAGGTTTCAAATGGCAAACACAAATGTTATATTATGACATTTTCAGGAATAATTAATGGATTTAATATGAATGGAATAAAAGAAATAGATGAAGAATTTCATTTCTAATTATTCTCTTGCAAAATAGTTAAAAATTGCTTCTTTTAAAATATGTTCCTTAATTCTTTCAGTTTTTTTGGTTTTAATGTTAAGAAATTCTTTCAGTTGTCTGAGTGAAATGGATGAAACTATTTTTCCACGCTTTTCATCACAAATGGTGAAAATCTAGAGAAATACTTTATTTTAAGCTACTTTTGTTACAACTATTTCTGTCCTTAGACTATTCAGAAACTTTTAATGACGTTTGATTTCTGATTCGACACGTCTGAGAGAGAGGAGAGATAGAGTGCAGTCTAGAGCTAGAGAGGAGAAGGAATTTTTATACAGAAAATCTCAAGATATATACTCCCTCTGTCCCATATTATAAGCTGTTTTAGCATAATGAATCTGCAATTTTCTGGATGAATAGTATGTTACTAATAAAGTAATAAAAAGTGTTTCTAAATTCATATCAACTAGTAGAAGACTCGCGCAAATGCGCGGTGTGACATTGCGGTTTTTGTGAAGTAAATCTAAGGTGCTGATTGGTTCACCCGCTGCTACCCGCAAACGCTGCGTTTGTGGGTAGTAGCGGTTATTAGCGTTTGACAACAATCACCACAAATGCTTTATACCGCTTTAAACCGCTCAAGATCCCTCAACAACCCTCAAAATCAAAAGCTCCTTCCCAGCAGCGTTTGCGGTTGCGGGCGGTTGCGGGTGGATAATTAAAAAAAAAAAAAAAACACAAACTTATATAAAATCCGAAAATAAATAATAATTTTATTAAAAAATAAGATTCGGATAATAAAATCACAATATAAATAAAAAAATTAGTACTTTTAGTCAATATTCATTAAAATCATATCATACTTATATATTTATAAGTTCTACAAATCAAAATTCTCTTGATAAATATTCTTTTCATAGTAATACATATATATCTAATAAATAAAATTGTAATATAAATTTAATTTTCACATTAAATATATATTTTGAAAATAAAATCACATTTTTTATTTAAATTATAGAAATTAAAAAATAGACGTAAGTATTATACACATATTATTCTTTATAAAAAAATTATTTTTAATTATGTTGAACCATAAATTTAAAATTTTCATTATAATATAGTTTTGATATTTTTATAATTATATAATGTGTTTATATTATTAATTTATTGTTTAACCGCTATTGCATCCGCAAGTGAACCAGTCATAAGTATCCCGCAAACGCATCCATTTTCAATTGTTATGCCAGTCGTACAAACCGCTTAATAACGCTACTAATCACAACCGCCCGCTTCCGCAAACTCCCGCACCCGCAACCGCAGCGGTTAAACCAGTCAGGCCCTAAATCCTAAATCCGAGCTTGATCAAAAACCCTAATCAATTTTTTTTTAAAAACCCAAACCTTTTTAATATGTCTAAACCCGAAAACCCGAAATCTAAAAAAATCCCAAAAACCCTAAACCGAATAAAAAAACGTAAAACTTTTTCACCCGAACCCGACCTAAAAAACCCTAATAATTTTTTTTAAAATAGTCAAACTTTTTTAATATGTCTAAACCCGAAATCCAAAAGATCCGGAAAACTCTGAACTAAGCCCAGAAAAATTCGAACCCAAACCGAACATAAATTTTCAGAAAAAACCCAAACAGAAATCTACAATCTCTTTATTATTAATTGAGAAGTACATTGATAGTTTTCGGACAAAAAAACCAATCCATTTATAAAGAAAAAGTGTTTGGCAACAGGTTTAAGGAAGGTTAATTTAGTACATTGTAATGTTTGGATACAAGAATAAAAGAAAAATATATTTAGATAGAAGAATAAATGGAAAAAATTGTTTGGATACAAGAATAATAACTTAAAACAAACCGATGGTTTAGAAAACTTCGTTTTCCAGCTCTTAAAAATCTGCAAAAAAGAAAACTTAACATAATCTATCGATAATACCAAATCAATAGAATATGCTTTTTGGATTTTCGTATTTTTATAGACAAGTTCGGATTTGGTGAAAATCTGAGACCTAATTTTATAGAGATATAGAGATATAGAAATTGTTCGAGTTTTTTGAAAATTTCTGCTTGGGTTGGGTTCGAGTTTTTTTTTTCAGTTTAGAGTTTTCCGGATTTTTGGATTTCGGGTTTTCGGGTTTAGATATATTAAAAAAATTGAGTATTTTAAAATTTTGATTAGGGTATTTGAGTCGGGTTCCGGGTGAAAAAGTTTCCAGATTTTTTTTGTTCAGTTCAGGGTTTTCGGTATTTTTTTTATTTCGGATTTTTGGGTTAGACATATTAAAAAAGTTTGGGTTTTTAAATTTTTGATTAGAGTTTTTTGGTGGGATTCGAATTTAGGGTTTAAATTTTCTACACAAAACCACAACGTCACACCGCACAAACGTGCGGTACTCTACTAGTTTGATTTAAACTAGACGTATTTTTATTTCGCTATTGGAAATTTTGCAAATATCATTCGATCATAATCTATTAATTTGGTATTATGGATATATTATGTTAATTTTTCTTTTTTACAGATTTTTTAAATTCTGAAAAACGGAAGTTTTATAAATCATCGGTTTGTTTTAAGTTACTATTATTGTATCCAAACAAATTTTTTCCATTTATTCTTCTATCCAAATAGATTTTTCTCTTATTCTTATATCCAAACATTATAATGTACTTTTTCTTTCCATTTATTTTTTTATCCAGATTTATGTTTTTCTTATTCTTATATCCAAACATTAAAATGTACTTCTCAATTAATAATATAAAGATCTTTAATATATTATTAATTGAGAAGTACATTCTAATGTTTGGATACAAGAATTAGAGAAACATCTATTTGGATAGAAGAATAAATGGAAACAAAAGTTGTTTGGATATAAGAATAAGAGAAAAATCTATTTGGATAGAAGAATAAATGGAAAAAATTGTTTGGATACAAGAATAATAACTTAAAATAAACCGATGGTTTAGAAAACTTCCGTTTTCCATCTCTTAAAAATCTGCAAAAAAGAAAACTTAACATAATCTAACGATAATTCCAAATCAATAGAATATGCTTTTTGGATTTTCGGGTTTTTATAGACAAGTTCGGGTTTGGGTGAAAATCTGAGACATAATTTTATAGAGATATAGAAATTGTTCGGGTTTCTTTGAAAATTTCTGTTCGGGTTAGGTTCAATTTTTTTTTCAGTTTAGGGTTTTCCGGATTTTTTAGATTTCTGGTTTTCGGGTTTAGATATATTAAAAAAATTGAGTATTTTAAAATTTTGATTAGGTATTGGGGTCGGGTTCCGGGTGAAAAAGTTTCCAGATTTTTTTTGTTCAGTCAGGGTTTTCGGGATTTTTTTGATTTCGGATTTTCATGTTTAGACCTATTAAAAAAGTTTGGGTTTTTAAATTTTTTGATTAGGGTTTTTTGTCGGGTTCGGATTTAGGGTTTAAATTTTCTACACAAAACAACAACGTCACACCGCACAAACGTGCGGGTACTTCACTAGTTAGGTGAATTAAATCGATAAGCGGTATACGGTTCCATGCATTTCCATTAATAAGTCGGTTTGGTAACTTATCTTCTAGTTCTCATATACATCAATCATATTTTCTGTTCTGCGAGCCCACATTCTTTTCAAGACTCACAGGCCATGCGCATTGGTTAAGTGTGAACAAACGGGAACACAACATACAGATGCGAAAAACCGAGGAACAAAATTTGACTACTAATTCAACTGACATTATATAATATATATTGTTGTGTGGTCCACAAATTGAAAACCTAAGTAGGAATATGAATTATACCATAAACAAAATGTGGATTATGACAAATTGACAACATAAAACACATTTAGAAAAACATGAACGTGTCTCCGTAGTTACCTGTGATATAAGGAACTACAAAAACAGAGTACAAAGGAGGACTTCGGGGATGACAAGTGACAACTGACAAGTGACCACGAGGTCCACGACTAAAAACGTCCAGGAAAATAAAATATCAGACTTTGGGTCAATGAAAAGGGATTAATTAAGAACGTTGGAAGGAACATACTAAATTGAGATGTACAATGTTATTATGTGTTTCTATTTTTTAATGGCTGGACCAGCTAACAAAACTTACACCAAGTAATAATATCAATTTAAAACCTGAAAGTCTTTTCAGTTTTGTGGTTTATTAACAGAACCTAACCGAGACCAGACCAGACTGTTTGTAGTAAAATAGTAATGGTAACCATATGAGTTTTAATTAAGGTGTGTACTCAAATCACCTAGATATGGTTCGGCTTAATTCAACTTTTTTCGTGTAAGGTTGTAGATTCTAGAACAATTCAGTGGTGAAAATACAAGGAAATAAATACTGTAAATCTATCATCACAGTATGGTTAACCCACACAGTAAATCCGAATGAAAAAAAATATATATACATGAAAACATTTAGAGTCTAGAATAAGAGCTTACCGTTTCCAGCTTACCATTTCCATAAAAGAACCGATAGAGAGCGGTGCATGCAGAAGTCACCACTGTTAACGCCAGAATGGCACCAAGAGTCCCCCCAAACACTTCAGTGTTAAATACAATAACCGATCAAATGTGGTTTATGAGTATTAACAATGAAGCGTTAAAGGGAACTCATGGGGACATTTGACTCGATCTCTTCTTGTAGCTCTGTCCAGCTGATATAAAAAACACTAGCAGCTGCATGCCTTATTTATATATATCATTGCAAAGGCTTTTTTCATTAATTCTTCCTTTATCAATGAGAATATTATAATGGGACCAGGAATGATATATTCGTATCACTCAGTCGAAGAACGTGTGGAAATTGGAAGATGAATCGAGTCGAGATGTTGGGCTTCGTTAGAAATATGACCGAATATTTATTTTGTCCCTAAGTTGGCTTGAAATGTTTTTGAAACGTCACAGAAGTATTATTTGCATGGCCTCTTCCTATGATAGATATGTCTTTTCTCCTTTTCTCTTATAGCCACTCGCTACATGAGTGTTGTAAATAATATTCGCAATTGAATGTTCACGGTGAATTACGCAATCGTTAATGAAAGATGATCAGACCATTTAATCCACCATGCAATGCGGGTATGTAGTATAGATACTGTGTGATTGTAAGAAAACAGAATCTCTACATGTTTTAACATCCTTTCTATCTTGTGAAAAGCCACAAATAAAAAGCTTTTTTTTTTTTCAAAATTCTTATTCTCTTTTCTTCCTGAAACCCCAATTTGCGTCTATATTCATAATGCTTTTCTTGGCCATCATCTATAATCTCTCTAACTCCGTCTCTACATCTTCCTCTAAGCCTTTAACTATATATAGAGAAATGGAGCTACTTCTACCTTCTCAAACCTCATCTCAACTTCTTGTACTCATATTTCCACCCATGTATACGTGCAATGCTAATGTGTGTATAAAAGCAAGAATCAATATTTTTGGTTGGATGTCTCCTAGAGTTCCTCTGATCACTTCATTGGGAATGTAACTCTGCTTTCTGATAATTACCCACTGAAGTGTTTGGGGGAACTCCCGGACTCATTCAACGGATTTTAACCTGTCTAGGCGAGATTTCATATATATAGTGCACATTTTCGTCTTAATCCATCTTTTGTATTTTTTTTCAACGATTAAGATTTTGATAAGGTTTAAATGGCTTATAGAGGAGTAGAGGACAATGCATATAATCACATATTTGCTATTTGCTACGAATTTGAGTTTTCTAGTCTTGTAGAATTTTTTGTTGCAGTTTGTTTTTCTTTCTTTTCCAAATTTGTTGTTTGATCTCTACTTAAATAAACTAGTTAAGTCATATACTTTTTTTTTTTTTTTTTTTTTTTTTTTTGTAAATCAGTTAAGTCATATAGTTTCACCATGTAAAAAGTGACGCATTAACTATTATTATAAATCGCTGGTTTTTGGACACATGATTAGTCTAAATTTCAGCTTGGGATATCAGTTTTTGAGTTTGTAGGGATCAAACGTAACATCATTGACATAACCATCATTCCGTACATTGGTTACAATGAGAATCTAACTAGTTCGACTACACTCTGTCTAGTTTCAGTTTCGGTTTGGGTTTTGTTTGTTCACGACATAAATAGTTATATACTACTCAATTTAAATGGTTTGATGATGAATTAATGTTAACTATGCTAGCATTTCAGTTTCATAGACCCAAAACAGTATGCTTAAAGTTAGTTAGACGAGAAATGTGAAATGCAACACATAATTAATGTCCACGCTTTGCTTTCTTCATCCCCTTCTCCTCGGCGGCTTCCGAAAACCTGAGCCAACACACACAAATAAACAAGGTTACTGATGTTCTCTAGAGGAAGTGAGAGGAAGCACAAAATAACCCACTCTTTTTCATATGGAGGTAAGTCTATGAGAGCCTCAACGATTGCAGAGACTATCATCTTATTTATCTGTTTAAACACACATTGATAAAAACATTTTAGAGCCAAGAAGAAAACTTCGCTCAAAACAACCGGATATATTGTGCAACATAAGAATACCTCTAACTGGTCTTCTTTTGAATCATGATTTGGTGGAAGTAGACGATACTCTCTCTTCAAGCGTAAGCACTCGCCGACATTTTCAGGTGAGACAAACCCTTGCCCTACCTTTGTGCAAGACTTGAAGAAACAAGAGAAGTAATCACTACATGTTCAAATCCACTGAATTCTAAGCAAGAAGTAGACGAAAGAGTTAACCTTCAAATTTCTGACTTGATGAGGACAACCTGCAGGAACTAAGACAGCATCTCCAAGCTTCTGAGCAAAGGTCCATGGTACAATCCCTACACAGTACAGCCAACTGATACATTACCAAAACTGCAAGCAAAGATAATGTGGAAAGAAACAAAGAAAGAAAATGTGGTTTGTTATTGAGAAAAAATTCAGCATACCATATTCTTCTTTCAGGTTCCTCATATGATACCGTGTCAAGTAGAAACTCTGGTCATGTATTGGATGAACAACCTAAAAGAACAAGATGACCCAAGACAAGCAAAATCACACGAAATCTGTAATAAAAATACTGCATAATCTGTAACTTTTAGCAAGAGAAGTAATGTTTGTACCTGGGACACAGGGCAACAGTAGATATGTCTGAACTCCTTGTGATGTTTCTCGAGGTACTGTTCTAATTTCGGAACATCTTCTCTACGGAAAATATCCCAGAGAGCCCCTTCATCATCTTCGAATTCTTCACTAGTCTTTTCAAGAGTCTCCATCTTTTTCCCCTTATTAGCTTCTGAACAAAACAGCTCCCTGAGATCTTGTTTAGCAAGACTCTCTTTCAATCTATCTACTAGGTGTTGTCTCTTCTCCTCTCTAATAGGCACTTCACATACGTTCGTTAAAACATTCACCTAAAATAACCATAACAGCGACTGTTATATTAGAAAAGTAAAGGTAAATGACAACAAAACAAACAGATGTGTTGTGTCCTGAAAATATAGAACACTAGAAGATTTCTCAAGATGCGAACGTTAAGAATCCACAACTCGGACTTGCCCATAGTGTTGCATCTTGAGAAATATAATTTAGAGAATCATCCCCCAAATGTCTGAGAGATGACTAACCAGCAAAACTCAGCTTACCAAAGTGGAGTGAATGGAACCATAACAATGATAATGCTACAAATATATCACGTTTTCAAAACTGATGATGCAATATGACGATCCCAGAATCATAACAAAAAAAAAAAAAAAAACCGAACACGAGAAAAAACCATATGGGTACTAACCACATCAGACATGTCGCAATGGAGCTTAGTGACAGAATCTCCACGGCCAAGTTCTTGAGCAAATCCATAAGCAATGTACGTCTTTGGCCCCATGTTTGGCTTCAAGCAATTTTTGGGCAGTTTAACAGCAAGATTCAAAGGTCCATTACCCGGATGAGTGTACTGCTTCAAAGGCAAACTGCATAAGAACTCCTCACAATGACGTGGCGAGATTTCTTGGAAGGACTTAGATGGATGCAAATCTTTCAGTTTAAGAACTTTAGGCCAACCCATCAAATCATAATAGTGGCCTTTTGTATAACCGGTAAAGAATACATGCAGATTAACCAATCTCTGCATCCATTACATATCATCAGATAACCAAAAGCATAGTAGAAGTTAAAAATTCTGAAGAGAAAATAAGATAAAACTGACCTCAGAGAGGTCAAGACAATCAACAGTATTAACTTCTTTAAGTGTTTGTTTGGTGTGGCGTATCTGACGACAGGCACGATACATTACCATTGGTTCCCAGCTGAAACCAGATGTAGCTTCAAGCACGTTCCTCACAACCACAGGCTCACCTTTTACCCAGTGATGTTGAAAATGCTCTACACCATCTCCTTCAACATCACCTACACTTGGACTGTACAGATAATTGTCTTCTGAACCATCTCGACAAGCAGCCTTTAACAGTTTACAGTTGGCCATGTCAATACGACCTTCAGAGTCATAACAAGGGCACCGTTCCATAACCGTTTCAGGTAAATCGAAAAGCTTGTTGGCTTCAGCAGTTATTTCTACTGTCTTGACTAAATCAGATACCCAATCATCAGAAAGTATGTGTTTTAACTCCAAATCACCTCCACCACAATCACAAGTGATGCTTCCAGCTTCCTTTGCTTTCCAGAGAGATGAGAGCTTCACACGGTCTTTGCTATTTGCCTTATTATTCGTCTCTTTATATCCTCCTACTCCATGTGCATACTGTAAACCTCGGTTTATATAATTCCAAGACACATCCTCCTGACATGCCAGAAGCTGTCCATTTCGGATCTCGTGGCAACATGTAAGGCAGATATCATACGAACAGCTGGGGCAACTCCTATGAAGATCAAAGATTATGGTCTTGCAACTGTCGCTGTAAACCAAAAGAATTTGAGCAAGTTACTAAGAGCAAAATTTAAAAAAAAAAAAAAAAAACATGTTATTCATTGCAACGAAAATGTCAATACCAGTGTAGTCTTTCAACAGGTAAACAGCTACTAGCTTGGGGATTCACCTCTTCAAACTATAAACATTTTCTTGTTCCGTAAGATAAGTTGTAGATTCCAGTTTTGAAAAAGAATCCACTCGCTTTCAAAATTTGTTTGACAAAAAAAAAAGCAGATTTAATCAACAATATAATGAGATTATTATACAGAAACCAATCAAACTCGCTCAAGAACCAGTTACCAAAAAATGTGAATGGACTACAAGAGCAGAGAAAGTACCTAAAATCTCTGCCTCAATCTTCTTCTCTGCAATTTGTTCATCGTTTATTTCCTTCACATGCGGGGGAAGTATCCGCAAAATATACTTAGAACACTGAACTTTTTCATCCTTTCTGACCTTGAGGTCAGAAGTACGCTACATAGTAATAGAGTAATCATTATTATGCTCATAAATCAAAGTAAATCACAAAAAAATATTAACAAAGAGAGACATGAGAGAACTTACTTCCATTTTAGCATATACACGCAAGCACGCTATACAATTGCACGTATTACAGCAGAAAGGGCATTTCTTGGCAATATTTTCTTCTTCAACGTGAGGGTACCTAATGAAACAAGCATTTCAGTCTACTTGACAAATCCAAATAATCTTATACTCTAAAATGAAACTCAAATGGATGTAATTACAATCAGGAAGTGATGCTCAAAAAAGCTAAAACCTTTTGCCTTGATTTTGCTCAAACTCAAAACAATACGGAGTCTTTAAGGATGAAACCATCCCAAAGAAAATCTTAAAAAGCTAAAACCTTTTTACTTGATCTGTCAATGTTATGGTAAGGAAGAGCATACCAAGTCTGAAGGCATGGGATGCAATAACGCTTCCGCTTGCAATTCTGACATCGCACGACACGTCCTCTGTCACTCCGTTGACATTGATGACACATATTGGACTCAGCTTTTTTAGCGTTACCCTATAAACCCACGAGAAAGGTAAATCCCAGATTAGTGGACCAGGTCGGGTTTAAAACTACGATTAATGAGCAAAAGGAGAGCTTTTTACAGCTGACCTTTGTAAGTGGAACTTGAGCTTCGTCAGTCATGGGGCTTGTCTCTCTAATGCCTCTCCTAATTCCTAAATCAGACCAAACGCCTCCGTTCGCTTCTTCCAGTGAATCCTTCTTATCAGCGACTCTTGGAGCCTAAAACAGAAACTGAATCACGAAGAGCCCTGGACTCGGGAATTAGGGCAGATTCAAGGTTCCCCAAAGCTAAAGTCTGGACAAAAACCTCTTGATTTCGCAAAAACTGGGCTTTTGATTTCCCGCTCATTACTCATCGGTCATTACCTGCTGTTTTTCTTTCCTAATCACCGGTTCGGTTTATGTGGGTTTTCTGATAATGCAGGACCGGTTCAATCACAATATAAACCGACTCAAATTTGAAATACAACCGAAAGACATTTTCTATTTTATTTGTTACCTCCCTGATCATAATCGACTCAATTTGAAAATTTATTTTCTCCGAAATTTCTCATACTAGGGTAGCAAAAGTAGCATGTTTTGAGAGAATATTTTGTGTCCTTTGGTAGAGAGACATTTAATTTCTTAGCGCTCTTGTGGTAAATTATGGAGCGCCAAATTAGCAATATCTATCAATTGTGGTTTGAAATGATTGCTCTTATGGTTAATTATGGATTATCGGTACAACAGAGTGACAGACTATGCTTTCTCTTGTTTGATTACACTATGGTTCCCTTGGAGAAAGTAGCAAAAGAGTATTAAAGCTACAACAAAAGACAATGAGAATTATAGTAAAACGCATGTTTCACTTTCAACTCGTAGATCTTGTCCTTCTAAATTCTAATACGCTTTCGTTTCATCACCTTCTTTGCCTTTTGCGACTCTTTGGCTTCCGTAGACCTGAGCTCACACACACACACACACACACACACACAACATTTATTTCAGAGCCTAAATGATGTTTTCTAAAGGTAGTGAGAAGAAGAACAAACTCACTCTTTTTCACTTGGATCTAAATCTTTCAGAGCATTATCGATTGCAGAGACTATCATCTTCTTTATCTGTTAAGAGTGAAAAACAACATCTAGAGATAAATTTGAAAATTTCGCTCAAAACAACCAGAAATCAAGAACAACAACAACAAAAAGACTATACCTCTAAATTGTCTTCTTTTGAATCATGATTTGGTGGAAGTAGACGAAACTCTTTTTCCAAACGTAAACACTCCCCGACATTCTCAGGTGAGACAAAGCCTTGTCCTACCTTTATACAAGACTTCAAGAAACAAGATAACTACAATGATCAGTATATATGTTTCAAAAGCCGCTAAATCCTAAGCAAAAAAAAAGTTTACCTTCAAATTTCTGACTTGATGAGGACAACCTGCAGGGACTAAAACAGCATCTCCAAGCTTCTGAGCAAAGGTCCATGGTTCAATCCCTACACAATACAGCCCACTGATACCATTACCAAAACTGCAAGCAAAGATAATGTGGAAAGAAAGAAAGAAAAATTTAGCATACCATATTCTTCTTTCAGTTGTCTTATATGATACCGTGTCAAGTAGAAAGTCTGGTCATGTATTGGATGAACAACCTAAAAGAATAAGACGACTGAAGATAAGCAAAAACCCACAAAAACTGGATACAAGTAAGCATAACATATATATTCAATGTAACTCTCAGCAAGAGAAGATATATGCATACATGGGACAAGGGGCAACAGTAGATATGTCTGAACTCCTTGTGATGTTTCTCGAGGTACTGTTCTAACTTCGGAACATCTTCTCTGCGGAAAATGTCCCAGAGAGCCCCTGCATCATCGTCGAATTCTCCACTAGTCTTTTCATGAATCTCCATCTTTTTCTCATTGTTAGCTTCTGAACAAAACAGCTCCCTGAGATCTTGTTTAGCATGCCTCTCTTTCAGTTCATCTATTATGACTTGGCTCTCCTTACTAATGGGCACTTCACAAACGTGTGTTAAGACATTCACCTGAAATAACCAAAACAACAATTGATAAGAAAAGTTAAGGTAGCGACGGCTTATAACAAGACGTGTAAGTCATTATGGGTATGTATACCAAGAAAAACCATCCGAAGAATTGACAGAAGCATAACAAAGAAGGGTACTAACCACATCAGACATGTCGTAGTGGAGCTTAGTGACAGAATCTCCACGGCCAAATTCTTGAGCAAATCCATAAGCAATGTACGTCTTTGGCCCCATGTTTGGCTTCAAGCAATTTTCGGGCAATTTGACAGCGAGATTCAAAGGTCCATTAACCGGATGTGTGTACTGCTTCAAAGGCAAACTGCATAAGAACTCCTCATAATGGCGAGGCAAGTTTTCTCTAAAGGACGTAGATGGATGCCAATCTTTCAGCTTCAGAACGAGTGGCCAACCCATGCCATCATAATGGCCTTTTGTATAACCGGTAAAGAAACCACGAAGATTAACCAGTTTCTGCATCCATTACAAGCCATTACCAAAACGTACTTCACAGGCGTAGAAACTTATATTAAAAAAAGGACCATATGCATATGCCATCCACTATACTGAGGAAAAAAACTGACCTCACATAAGTCCAAACAATCAAGAGAATTAGCTTCTAGAAGTGTTTCATTGTTGTGGCGTATCTGACGGCAGGCACGATATATAACCATTGGTTCCCAGCTTAAACCAGATGTAGCTTCAAGCACATTCCTCACAACCACAGGCTCACCTTTTACCCAGTGATGTTGAAAATGCTCTAAACCATCTCGTTCAACATCACTTACACTTGGACAGTATAGGTAATTGTCTTCTGAACCATCTCGACAAGCAGCCTTTAACAATTTATAGTTGGCCATGTCAATATGACCTTCAGAGTCATAACAAGGACATGGTTCTATAACCGTTTCAGGTAAATCCAAAAGCTTGTTGGCTTCAGTAGCTACCAAATCAGATACCGAGTCATTAGGAAGTATGTGCTTTAACTCCAAATCACCACCACCACAATGACAAGCAATGCTTCCAGCTTCCTTTACTTTCCACATAGACGGGAGCTTCACACGGTCTTTGCTATTTGGCCTATCATTCCTCTTTTTATCAAAATATCCTACTCCTCCATGTAAATAACCTAAGCCTGGGTTTATATAATTCCAAGACACATCCTCCTGACGTGCCTGAAGCTTTCCATTGCGGATCTCGTGGCAACATGTAAGACAGATATCAGAATCACAGCTGGAGCAACTCCTATGAAGATCAAAGATTAAGGTCTTGCAACTGTCACTGTAAGCCAAAAGAATGGAAGCAAGATAAGTAACAAGTTACAAACAACATAATGATCTAAAAACTTGTCCTATTCATTGCAACAAAAATGTTAACATCAGGTAACAACAATAATTTACCAGTAGAGTCTTTCATCAGGTAAACTGTTAGCGCGTTGGGGATCCACCTCTTCAAACTCAAGACCTGTGATAATTAAAACAATGATAACTATAATTTTCAGATTCCAACTATGATAAAGAATTCACTCAGTTTTATATTTGTTTGGAATAGATGGGGATATGGTTCGACATTACAATGAAGATACTTACTTACAGATTACAAGTAATACCAAGAGATTCATACAGAAACCACTTATTGGAAAAAACATGAGAAGCGACTACAAAAACAGTAATTAACATTTAACCAGGAAGACCCTTTCAAGCATAACTAAAAGCAGGGAAATTACCTAAAATCTTTGCCTCAATTTTCTTCTCTGCAATCTGTTCTTCATTTATTTCCTTCACATGTGGGAGAAGCGTCCGCAAAATATACTTGGAACACTGAATCTTTTCATCAATGCTGACCTTAATGTCTGAATTAATCCCCTACATAGATAGCAGTATTGGAGTAATCTAATCATTATTCTCGGAAATTAAATTAAACTACAAAAAGATTGACAAAGAGAGATATGGTGGGCACGAGAAAACTTACTTTCAGTCTAGTATTTAGACGCAAGCATCTTATGCAGTTGCAAATATTACAGCAGAATGGGCATTTCTTGGCAATGTTTTCTTCTTCTATGCGAGGGTACCTAATGAAACAACCAATTCAGGCTTTTGCTCTGTACCAGCACAAACTAAACGAAGCGGGTCACTAGACCCCGAATGATCAAACACTAATGCAGTCTAGTTCTGCTCTTGGTTAAATGAAGTTATACAAGCCGTCTTAAAAAGCTAAACTTTTGCCTCGATTATTTTGAAAACAATACAAATTTTTTGTTTTTATTGATGAATTAAACCATCCCTAAAGAAAATTAAACTCTGAAACAAGAAAGCAAGTTTGTGGCTCAAATGTTATGGGGAAGAAGAGCATACCAAGCACTTAAGCATGGGATGCAATAGCGCTTCTTCTTGCAATTTTGACATCGCACGACACGCCCATTGTCGTTCCTTTGACATTGATGGCACATATTGGACTCAACTCTTTCAGCTTTGCCCTGTAAACCCCGAGAAAAAAAAAAAAAAAAAAATCAGTCTTAAATTACTTGACCGCACTCGCATGTAAACCTGGGATTGATGAGCATAAAGGAGAGATTTTTACAGAGAAAAACGCTGACCTTTTTGAATCGAACTTCTGCATCGATTTCAGCTTCGTCAGTCATGGGTTTGTCTCTGTAATGCCTCTCCTAAATCAGATGTAACGCCTTCGTTCGCGTCTTCCAGTTAATCCTTCTTATCGGCGACTCTTCGAGCCTAAAAGCAAAAATTGAATCACGAAGAACCCTAGACAAGGGGAATTAGGGCAGATTCAAGGCTCCCCAAAGGTAAAGTCTGGACAAAACCTCTTGATTTTATAGAACCTGGGGTTTTGATTTCCCGCTCATTACTCATCGGTCATTGCCTACTGTGTTTCTTTCCTAATCACCGGTTCGGTTTATGTGGTTTTTCCGATAATACAGAACCGCTTCAATAACAAAATAAACCGACTCAAATTTGAAATACTGTATAACCGTTAGGAGAATATACGTGTGTTGTCAAAATCCATTCTTTTTTTTTTGTTATCTCAAGAACTGTCTCGCTCATAATCGACTCAATTTTCTCCCAAATTGTATTTCAGCTCTTTCACAACCTTATTTTCTCCCAAATTTTATGTTCTTTCTTATTTCCTTCCAAGAATTCTCTTGATTCGACTCGACAAAACGGCAAATTCTGTTTAGATAAGTAATCGTTTCTATCTCTGTATAGATCATTGATACGCTTGCAGATTTCTAAGTTTTGTAAAATCTTTAATCGCCATTTCTAGGGTTTTCAAATTTTATTTTGAAACTTGATTGCACCTGAAACCGACGAACTTGTTGGGTTTCTCATTCATTATTGGGCTTTTAAAGTTTCGTATATTCTGTTGTACGCATTGCAATTTTGTTTTAGGGTTTCTACTTTTACTAATTGTCACGAATGCACAATTTATGCACAAAATGTTGCTGAGGTAAATTCTCTTTCCATATTGTCTTTAATTCGATATGCTAATGCAATGAAATTGTCTGGTCTTGTGGGATCATTAGTCACAATTCAATCGCTTGGTTAATTTTTTTTTTTTTTAAACCTTGCTGGATTGAAAAAGTAACAAGACATAGACAGCTTTGTAAAAACACTTGGTGGATTGAAAAAGTAACAAGACATAGACAGGTCCGTTAAAACACTTTCTGGATCGAAATGTCCCGTTACAACTTACAACACTTCATGGATTGAAAAAGTAACAAGACATAGACAGGTCTATTAAAACACTTGCTAGATTGAAACAGTAACAAGACATAGACAGGTCCATTAAAAGATGACAAGGCTTAGAAGTGATTTGTTGGATGGAAAAATGACCAACAACTTCAAAAATCAAAAGACTATGGGTTTTGTGTTCGGCTGGTTGGATGGAACAAACAACCCAATGCTGAAACAAGTGATTTGTTGGATGGAAAAAACGACCAACATCTTCAAAATACTACGAATCACAATGTGATTCTTTACTGTACCACATACAGCTAACACAAAGACTATGTGTCAAAAGCGAAAATTGATTCATGATATGAGCATTGATAGTAACAAGGTAAGTATGAGGCATTTACGTGAAAGGAAGGCTAACCAATTCTGATTTTTCTCAGGTATATGCTTAAGAAGGTGTTCAAATTGTTAGAGATTCTGAGGAGATTTCAAGTATAGCAGACTTCTATGACAGGTATATACTTATCAAACCTCTTTATGGCTGTAATTTCCTCGACTCTCAAAACTATTTGTTTGTTTTATCCACTAAATCATTTGGTGATCATTCTAAACATAGGAAATGACATTCATCTAATCTTAAAATTAAGGTTGGGGTTGTTGTATGAGCATTCTGCATCACGTCCTTGCTACTTTGCATATGTCCTCACAGTTCTCCATTATGCATCATGTCATTATAAACTTAGCAAATGACAACATTCATGTCATCTTATAATTAGTTTTGGCTGTTGTATGAGCAATCATCATTAATTTGTTTGTTTTATGAGCATTTTTGCATTATGCATCATGTCTATACAATTCTGCACTCTGCATTCTAAGTTTTTCAGGTCCTCACAATTCTCCATTATGCATCATGTCATTCCTGTAATCATATAATTGATTTTTGGTTGTTGTATGAGCATTCTGCATTAATTTTGGTTTGTCTGAGATTCTGCATTTTGCATATGTCCTCACAATTCTCCCATTATGCATCATGTCTTTGCAATCTTATAGTTAAATTTATGTCTGAGAAATTATGGCATTTTGCATCATGATTGATATACTTAATGATCAGTTGATCACTGTATTAGATTCTAGAAGTAGTACCTATTGACTTGAGTTTTCAATATATAGTGATCGAAAGTATATAGTCTATCATTGGTCTCTTAGTTGTACCGTAATGATGAATCTTAGAAATCTATAGAGTCACTGATTGTGTTCATTTATAATGTGCAATAGATCTTTCGTAATTTTTCTATGTTTTATTAATACTTCTATGATTGACATCAAAAATCAAGAACTTAGCAATATTTGAACTCCAGTTTTGTCATCTCCCTTTGTATGCATACGGCAATTTCGTCTGAAAACTTCTGAAACTTGGTTTCAGAAATCAGATCACCAAGTTCTCTCTTTTAGTCTTTTGTCAATTTTTTCGTTACAAGTGCTAAACTTTTCCACAGAAACCAAATAATTAAACTTATCAATCAATTTAAATATTTCTTAGCAGACAAAATTGTTAACACGATCCAAGACTTTGTTGGTTTTTTATTAAATAGTTGACAACTCATAACGAAGCTTTCACTACATCCTAAGCTCCTCTTTTCTTTAGGTGTGCTAAATTTATTCTGTGTCTAATATTCTGTTTGGGTTTTAGACTTTTAGGTATAGTTTGCTATAATAGTTGTTAGAGTTGGAAGTTCTTGGTGCTTAGTACAAAGGTTTATTATTATGTAGAAATACTAGCTTTGTATACTATAAAGGTTATGTTTCTTAGAAGCCGCACAAATGAATGCTAAACTTAGGATTAATCTTCAATAAATATTGTGCATTACGGCTGTTGTGTAAATTCAGCTATAACCTTTATAATATATATCTTGCACATGGTCTTGAATGTTAATCCTAAACTCTACCCAATTAAGCGTTCATCTATGTTTATGATTAATACATGTTATTCAAAGAGCTTTTTGTATATATTTGGATTATCTATACTTTTGAAGCTTCAAATAATGAATGTTTCAAAAGTTAGTTGTTCTATGTACTGGTTGCTGCGTAATCTTTGCTTTGAATTCATGGGCTACTTCACTAGTGGTTAGAGCATGGTCTATTATGCTTTCAAACGATTATAGAAACTATTTTGATTCAAATGGACTCTTTGAATGATCTATCATTTGATCACCATAATTTGAATGTAATGGTGGCGGTATGGTTTTTTGTATGTTTTAACTCCGTTTTGATATTATTGGTTGGTGAATATGTTTTATTATTGTGTTTTTACGTTTGGGAGATGTAGAACAAACTCTCTAATAACGTAATTAGATTCGTCACTTAGATTTGTCAATGTCTCTAATTATGTAGAAAGACGTAATTATTTTGATTTAAAAGCAAAAAGAAGCATAGACACAAAATAAAAGTAAAACATATGGTGAACATAAAAAGACGAGAGACCAAAAAAATTAGTCACATGATACGAATTTATCTACTTGACTCTAATTCTTTTGTTGATTCTCTCCACGTTAAAGAACTTGGAATTAGAGCGCATCTTCCTCTTCAGTTTCTTTTCTTCTTCTTCTTCAATCAACACTGTTTTCCCAAGTTGCGTTTCCTTTTTCTTTAACAATTTCTGAACGTTTGGTGAGACTTGATTAATCAGTATCATGATCATCACGCACGCTTAGAGAGGAGATGCTTTATCATGCGTTTCTATATATATATTGTCTTGAATTTTTAACCTTTGGTGTTTGAATTTGGCCTAGCAAAAGTCTGAACAATTAAGAAAATAAGTCCACATATATTGCATGTTTTCCGATGCAGGTTGCTGGACAACGTAGGTTGAATTTATTTTAAGGAAGTTCAAGTCATTTTTTTTTATTTTTGGGTGTAATTCCAGTCTTTTTTTTTGTTTAGTGGGTGTGATTCAAGTCATTTCCTTCAACGCGAGCGAATATAATAATTAGAAGAAAAGCAATCAACAGAAACGAAAATGTATACATACATAGATATGAGTTAAAAGTAAAAACAATAGTCGACGTATATAATCACGTAATATTCGAGTTTCGAGAGATGCATGTCTTACAGAAAAGGAGAAAAGAGAGAGAGAGAGAGAGAGAGAGAGAGAGAGAGAGAGAGAGAGAGAGAGAGAGAGAGAGAGAGAGAGAGAGAGAGAGATGAAATTCCTTAACTCGTTTCGATACGATTCTATATCTTTTCCAATTCCCTAATTAGCACCAGTTTACGTCCAGGTTCAGACCCCCTGCACCTCTCCTCACATCTTATTACCCCCCTTACCTCCATTATAAATACGAAGGCCACTCTTCCACTCTTTTCTCAAACTCTAAAGACAACTTTGAGTGTAATCTTTAATTCTTTCTTTGTTACATCTATATAAATAGTAGACTTTTATAATACCTTTCTAAAAATGTATATATAAAATGATAGTGCAACACTACCTCAATCAAGTATTCTCAAGAGTTCCTTCGAACACTTCATTGAAAAAACGTTATTCGATCATTAATTGATTTTTTTTTACTGAAGTGTTTGGAGGAACTCTAGATGATATTTGGTAATTTCAAGCTATTGATCAGTCATTGTCTAAATTAAAAGGTAATTCCTTTATTTTATTTATTTGCCAAGTTCGTTGTAACTACTTTAGTCATATGTAATATTTGAAAAGTTGGAATTTAGTAAGTTAACAAAACACAACTGGAGTAAGAAATTTGTTTTTAAGATGGAATTTTCCATTCAAAATTTTAATATCTTCGTTACAAGTTACTACCGAAAAAAAAAATTATATATTTGTGAATTATCACGACAAAAAAATTAGAATATCTCATAGACGTAGTACTTTGCTACAAATTAAAGATTCAATTTAGAAAGGTTAAGAACGGATCTATCATGCTCCAATCTAGCTTAAAAGGCAATACAAATTTTCATTTGATACTAGATAACTGCTAACTCCTTCAAGACGTATAATCACGTACATTCGAAATATTCTTTTTTTTTTTGGTAAAATAAATACGTAATATTCGAGATGTTCATGTAACATGTCTTGCAGAAAAGGAGAATTTCTTAACTCAATTCTATATTTCTCCAATCCCCTAAGCCCCAATTTACGTTCAGGTTCAGACATGCTGCATTCTCTTCACATCTTACCACCGTTCTACTACAAATACAAAGGCCACTCTTCCACTCTTATATCAAACTCTAAAGAAAAGTTTTCAATCTTTGATTATTTATTTGTTATGCCTTTATAGTACAAGTTTGTAATATCTCTAGAACTAGTGTATAAAATTACAATGAATTACCTTAATCAGATATTTATTAGGAGTCCCTTCGAACATTTCATTAAAAACGTTATTCCGTCAATAATTTTTTTTTACTGAAGTGTTTGGAGGACACTAATTATTTTCCAACTTCGTTTCTGTAATTACTTAAGTCATATGCCAAAATTACATGTCAAATATGTATGTAGGTTAGCTTTGGTACGAAGATAATTACATCCCTAAATTTTGGAAAGGGTTACAAAATGGATTAATTATAATATGACTTCTAAGCCCTAACTCCTTATCATATGAATACGTCCCTCACTTTGACAGAATAAAAATATTATGTTCAAAATACAAAACTCACACTAGGCCGGCGTGCATTCATCTAGCAACATGTTCTCAGAACTAGTAGTCTAAAATTTTCCGTCCATAAATTATTTTGCTACTTCATCTGACACGTTGACCTCTATGACGAGCTAGCACCGGAGTTACACCCGGAGCTCTAACTCTCCGTTTCTCCGACATGACAGGAGAGGAAGAAGATGTCAATGTTTTGGCCAAGTTTGAAGCAGAATTCGATTTCCACGTCGTCTCTAGCTCTTCAAGAGTAGATAAAACAACAGACATCATTGGTCTCAACTTAGCCTCTTGGTTAAGACATTGCAACGCAGTGTTAGCAGCCAAACAAGCTCCTTTGTGAGGATACTGTCCTTCAAGCTTTATGTCCATTATCCTAAACACTTTCCTTTTATCTCCTAAATAAGGTATTGCCCAATCCACCAGATTTCGTTCCACTCCTACTTTCGATTTGTCTACGGTCGGACGTCCCGACAGTAACTCGAGCAAGACCACACCGAAACTATAGACGTCGCTTTTGGCTGTCATTCGACCCGTGGAAACGTATTCAGGCGCTGCATAGCCTTGAGTGCCCATCACTTGGGTCGATACGTGTGTTCTGTCTCCTGTTGGTCCTTCTTTCGCCAATCCAAAATCAGACAACTTTGCATTGAAGTCCTGCGTAGGAATGGAATAAACAAAAATCAAATATGTGTACAACCTGATAAATATTATTTTTAAAACGATTTTGTTTATATAATGGAATAAATAAAAAATACATTAAAATTTCATTTCAATAAAAGACTATAAATATTTTTTTTTTACTTTCACTTTTTATAATATCGATAAAACTGAATAAGCTGAACTACCAAACTGCCTTCTGCATTTACGTACCATTGAACCTAAAAATTGATAAGATAGAAACTGACAAATGTTTAATTTTGCTTTTAAATCGTACCGTATCAAGTAGAATATTGGAGGCCTTGAAGTCTCGATATATGACTTGAGCATCGTGAAGGAAAGCAAGCCCTCTCGCCGCACTGATCGCCACTTTCATCCTTGTCCTCCACGGAATCGGCTCTGCGCCACCTACACCATATAACCAGCCCTCTAATTTAACTTTACATTTACGAATGAAATTTGTGAGTTTTTCTATAAGTTTGGGGCCCTCATTTTTTATAAATATGTTTTCTAACAACAAATATAGAAATAATATGAAATTTACAAAGGAATCAAGATAATTTGATCTTTACTTGTGGGACAAGCTAACTTACGTCTAAAGAGATGATTCTCTAAGCTTCCCTTGGGCATGTACTCGTATACCAAAAGCCGAATGAAATCACCCTTCAAGCAAAAGCCAATGAGTTTCACAAGATTCATATGGTGAAGTCTCCCTAGATAGTCAACCTCCGCCTGAAAAATCAACAACTCCTTTTAAATATTTATTTTGGTTATACCTATGGCTAAAGCTGATGATCCATATAGAAAAGAGCGCTTATGAGTAATGAGCTTACCAACCACTCCTTGTGGCCTTGAGGCACATCTGGTTTAAGCTTTTTGACAGCAACGACCATGCCTGATCCTGGTTTCGCAGGCGATAAAGTGCGTTCGTCGATCCATCCTTTGTAGACATAACCAAAACCGCCTTCACCGATAACACTATCTGGTCTGAAATTTCTAGTGGCTGTCTTTAGCTCGTTAAACGTAAAGGCCTTTAGCGTGGGAGATGCTAAGAGCTCTCCTTCACTTCTCGGTGTTGGAAGAGATGTGGAACTCATGTCATCGTTGTAAGATGACGATGGTATTGATATGCTTGAGCCCCGAGAAGATTGGCTAGGTTTGGCATAGATTCTTGAGGATCCTGATGATAAACACTTTATATAAATCAAAGATGTCTCAACACAATTGAGAGAGGAAAGAAGGTGTATTGGAACATACCACGATGAGGACTTTCTCTACTATCTATTTTTGCGGAAGAACCAAAGCAATTACCCATTAGAGAGAATCAGAGAAAGAAAAAATATAAAGTCATGCGCAACTTAAATCAAGGTATATATCGTGTTTGAGTAAAGCAACGGTGTGAGGCTTTGAATCTTGATGAGGGGAGAAGCAAAACAAATAGATCATAAAAAGAACATAAGGAAAATGGGTAGATGTAGAAACAGAGGATAGGGACATAGTAATATGAAAGGAAACAGACGAGAGAAAACAGAACATAAAAGACAAAATGAAAAGAATTGAGACGGTCTTTGAAAATGAACTTGGTCAAACAAAAACAAACGTGTGCACGACTTGTTGCTGTTTAGTCTAATTCAACTTATCCAAAATACAGTATATACTCAACTTTAACTCATAAACTTTGATTAGTGTATTTATGGAATAATGTTTGACGAAGCATTATCAGGCTGGATATTTACAAGGGATGGGCTAAACTAGATTATTTGGACTTGAGTTAGACCTACGTTAGTTTATTGTGTTCTTCTAACATATACATTTTTTTTCTTTTTTAAAACTTTAACTATAAAAAGAAAAAGAGATTAGAAAGATATTTAGATGAATTATGCTTTTTTTTGTTGAATTGAATGTAAAATTTATTCTAACTCAAAAACGTCCTTTTTACATCATGTGCATCGTAAGATAGAAAAGGCTTGAAAGGTGATTATGAAGAATTTGGAAACTTGTGGATTAGCATCGAGACCCAAACCAGGCTTGAAGCGCTCCTTCATCTTTTGTGTCTCCTAGTGATCTGATCGATGAGAGGCGATTCCGGACAACTTTGTCGATGAGCTGGATTAGTTGAGCTGGGGAGATCGGTTGCTCTCCGTGACGCCGTTTCGATAGCTGAATTATGCTATATTATATTAGTGTTAATATTTATTGAAGTTTAATGATATATGGGGTGCAATTGTTGACGATGGCATAGCAAAGCTACATGGCGTTTCCTCCAAGAACGCGGTGTTTCTCTTTTGCACCCAGCAAAAGCGTTGAAGAGAAGCTAGTCGACACACATAATTGTTCTTCTTCGTTGTTGTTTTAAAGTTTTTATTTTTTTTTATTTTCTTTGATTCATTCTTTTTCAGTATCTTATGTTTTGTTTTCTTCTTTGTCTTTACTCTTATTTGATTTCTTCTTCATTTTCATTCATCTTCGTCTTCCTCTTCTTTTTTTTCTCTTTTTTGTTTTGTTTTATTTGGTTTCTTCTCCTTTGTTCTTATTTTATTTTTCTTTTTAGATTGTCTTTATTTTTTTCTTTACTTTTCCTAATGGATGTAATTTTTTTTTTTAGAACCCTACTATGCACAACTTTATCTTTTGTTTATCTCATTAAGGCCCCATATACGTAACCAAATAAATTGGAGTAGTTAGAAACTAACATGTGAAAAATGTATTTGTTTAGATGGGGCCTTAATTGAAATGGAGAAATGAATGTGTCCGCGAGGAAAGAAGAATGAAAAAAATAATATATCTTAGTCTATCCTCTTGAGAGGATAAATATTGGGCTTTAATAAGCCTGATCCCATATGGTATGTTTTCCTCAAAGCTAGTAAACCCTACAACTCAATATGACCAAAACCTACCTGGCTACCTGGTTCAAACTTGATGATTCGGCCACGTTCTTTTGTGAATCTCTGCAATAGCGACACCGATCGAACAAAAGTGACAAGTAGAACTAACTTATAACTCAAGTATGTGGAGAAGTACACAATTGTCAGTGTGTTTTTTAGAAAAATATAAAGTTGTAGCCCGACCGAAGTCTGTTTTTAAAAGTGGTAACAAATAGAGAAAAGGAGAAACTTATATAATGAACTAGAAACAATCGAGTATTTGGCTTTGATTTACTTTAGTGCTTATGATTAGAAAACAGTCGCCAGTATGGATTACACCGACGATGCAATGCAAATGCATACAAAATGGTTTACTCCGAATGGTTTTGTGGAGATTTAGTCATTAGGAAGGATTTGATATGTATTTACGTACTCGCTAAATAAGAAGAGTCGTCGCCAAAGTCGGTTTGTAAAGTCCAACTTGGTCCCGGCATGTGTGTGTACTATTTTTTTGACCTTGACAAAAGAAAAAAAAAAAGACTTTCTTTTTTTGTTTACTAAGAAAAATACTATTAAAGTGTGTTGCAATGTGAAATGGCAACGAATGATCATTTGCCAACTCTTTAAACAAAGTCCAAAACATCGAACCACTATCCTCATGTCGTTGCCAGTCACATGCACCCAATCCCATCTCTCTTTTTCCTCTATTTCTTTTTTTTTTTTTTTCTAATTTTTCTTTGCTTTTTTTTTTTGGCAATTAAATATTTCATTCAACTTCAAACGACAAAGTTCACAGAACAAAGGAAAGCTAAAGCAGCTTTTGCGAAAGAATCTGCTACAAAGTTTTCAAATCTCGGAAGAAAATTAAACGATAAGGGAGAGAAGAGGGTAGCAAGGCTTCTAATGTCGTGTAGAATGCCTGCAATCTCAGAGATCTCCGACCCTGAAACCAGGGTTTTAATAAGGACATTGGAGTCCGATCGAATGTGGAGGCTGACAATTCCCGGCTGCTAGCGCTTCAGAAAGGGCTAACTTCAGAGCCAGAGCTTCAGCAATCAAGGCAGAAGCGACGAAAGGTCTACAAGAGGATCCCTGGGTTATCATTCGTCTGTCGGGATCTGAGATAATTCAGCCCATGCCTCCTCCTTGTGTGGATTGAATCCAAGCGCCGTCCACATTGCAAAGGAAAGTGGCATCTCTAGGTCGATCTGTAGGAAACCTTGGACTTTTTGGAGATTTCTCAATGGTCAAGTTTGCTGAATCCCATGACTTGGCATCTCGGAGAGCTTTCAGAAGAGTCTCTGCTTCCGAGAAGATCTTATTTTCGAATATAGCTTGATTTCTCGTTGTCCAGAGATTCCAGAGGATCCAAGAGTAGATTGGGGTACTCGAGATACCTGTCGGAGGCAGATTGATGCTTTTGTGAGCTTCGGTGAGGATTTGTTTGATATTTGTGGTCGTGGGGATGGAGGCAGGTCCTGTGAGAAGGGGAGCCAAGTTCCAGACCGATCTTGCAAAGGTGCAGTCAAGTAGGATGTGGCTGATGCTCTCTAGTCCTCCACATCGTTTGCAATGGAGGTCTGTGGTGATGCCTCGGTAGGCGAGAAGGTTTCCCACCGGTAAGGCTTGGTTAGCTGCTCTCCAGAGGAAGTGTTTAATTTTTGGAGCTGTTGGGACATTCCATATATTCTTGTACCAGTTGAAGTCCGAGGCCCGATAGGGTGAGCTCTGTGATGATAATAAGAGGTAACCAGATTTCGTCGTGTATTCTCCTGATTTATTAGCCAACTATACTAGCTTGTCTTGTGGTTTCCGAGCTGGGAATGAGCATGCGGATAGTGTCCTCATGATGAGGTAAGTGTAAGCGGATTGCTTGTAAGTCCCAATCATTGGAGATTGGATTTAGGAGGTCACTAACTTTTAGGTGGACATTGTCTTTGGTGGGTGGTCCAATAGGTCGTGAGCTCTGCGAGGTTGAGAGCCAATGGTCCCTCCATACACTCACTGCCTCTCCATTTCCAATGATCTATCCAAGACCTTGTTTGAGCACTTCCATGCCTGCAATGATACTTCGCCAGCCATGAGAAGAAGTTGGTTTAGCTTTACTCTCCATAAAGGAGCAATCAGAGCAGTATTTTCCAATGAGGACTTGAGCTAGAAGGGAGTCAGAGTTTTTTAAGATCCTCCAACTTAGTTTTGCTAAGAGTGCATCATTGAAAGTCTCCACTTCTCTGAACCCGAGACCTCCTTCTCCCTTTGGTTTTGTGAGCTTCTTCCATGCTATCCAAGAGATTTTTCTCTTATCCGGGGAACTATCCCACCAAAAGCGGGTGAGAATAGATTGGATGCGGTTGCAAAGTGATAGAGGTATTTTGAAGCATGACATCGTGTACGTAGGGAGGGCTAAGAGAACGGATTTGAGGAGAATTTTTTTCCCTGCTCTTGAGAGGAATCTCGTGGTCCAGCTGTGGGATCGTTGTCTGATTTTATCAACTAGGACTGTGAAGACGTCTCGTTTCCTTCTTCCAAAATTTTCAAGTACTCCGAGATACTTACCAACTCCTCCTTCTTTGGTTATGCCTAGTGAGAGTTTAACCCTTGCCTTAACCTCAGGTGGAGTTTTTGCTGAGAACGTAACGGTGGACTTATTAAGGTTGATGCATTGCCCTGAGCTTTGTTCATAGCGTGAGAGGATGGTGTTAAGGGTAAGGCAGTTGGCTTCATTTGTCTTACAGAAGAACATCGAATCATCTGCAAACAGCAGATGATTGATGAACGGGCTTCTTCTTGCTACCTGGAGTCCCTTGAGCTTTCCGGAGGCTTGAGCTTGTTTACACAGACCCGAAAGGACCTCTGTGCAGAGGATGAACAAGTAAGGCGAGAGTGGATCACCTTGTCTAAGCCCTCGTGAGGGAATTACTTTGCCTCTTGGTGCGCCATTTATAAGGAATGATTAAGAGACCGATGTAACACATTCCATAACCCAGTCTATTCAGATAGAGTGGAAACCGAGCTTCTGAAGGACTTTTTTGAGGAAGCCCCATTCTATGCGATCGTAAGCTTTGCTCATATCGGTCTTGACAGCCATGGAGCATCTCTTCGCTGCTTTAGATAGTTTGAGATAGTGCAGAGTTTCGTAGGTAATAAGGACGTTGTCCATGATTGCTCTTCCCGGCACGAAGGCAGATTGGTGTTTCGAGATAAGGTTCTCGAGCAGTGGTTGCATCCTGCGAGTCAGTATCTTGGCAATAATTTTGTACCTCACGTTGCACAAGGCAATAGGATGGAACTCTGCTGCTGTCTTTGGGGCTGAGGTCTTCGGGATGAGACACACATGAGTTTCGTTAAGGCGCTCGGCTAACTTTCTTTGTGTGAAGAAGCTTTTAACTTCATTGTAGATATCTGGGCCTAAAACATTCCAGAAAGACTGGTAAAAACGTGCTAAGAAGCCATCTGGGCCTGGAGCCTTTTCTGCGTTTATGGCATAGATGGCTTGTCTTTGCTTTATTTTAACTTTAGCTGCTAAATTAATTTTCAGACCACTAGGAAAAAATTACAAGGAATAATCCTTGTTCGGAGAATATAAGACTGAATGAAAATAGATATGATAGTATCAATTATAGCCTACAGCCTAATGCAATTGATTTCCCAATAATCGTCTTGCCTTTTCTTCTTTAAACACTCCAAAATCTGCTACTAAATATGCAAACAGTCTACAGTACTTATAGTCTATTTGTTAGTCGTTTCTTTTTTTTTTCACAATTGTTCCTCTCTTTACTTTTTCACAGATTATTGTATTCGCTTATTAACTCTTTCTTAAACACTACAAAATAAATTGTTTGCATACCTTAATTTTCAATCTAAAATGGGAGATTATTAACTCTACCTAGCTAGTTGATCTACTTTATGTAGTTTTTGACCGGCTTGTCAATTAGCAATGGTTCTCACCTAGTGATCGTACTTAATTAGGGAACTAATTAAACCTTCATGCACATGGCCGCATACCTAGCTAATCCTTTCTTTACAAGTAATTCTTAATTTGGTTAGAGTCATTAAAATATAATGTGTTTGATTTAAATAATTTTGCTGTTAAGAGGAGTGGAAATACGTGTTGGCATCTGTAGAACTGTCACTAAATATGCCAAAAAAAAAGAACAAAATTGTGTAAGAGAGAATATTTTAAGATCAATGCAGTAAGGTTGAAAATATTAGATTAATGAATTGCACATGATCCCATGAAGATTCTTCTATTAACTAATCAAAAATGGCGCATTTTACAAGCTTGATCTCCCTCGGCATTCTAGTTGTCAACGTCTAAATACGAAGATAATCATCTTGGCTTTCAGATTCTGTCGCTTTCTTGTTCCCCAATCAATATTTTAACCCATCCCGTAATTAAATTAATCATTAATGAAACTCTAATCTTTTTTTTTTGACAGCAATTAACATTTAAACTTTAATGACCTTTTCATTCTCCACTAGTTTTTCACTTTTTCCATGCAATTCCATTTTAACCCTATTTGTTTTTAAATTTGTAAATTGATGCTCTATACGTCACTCTTTTCACATTTGCTAAAAGTCTAAAACTGTGCTATATTTTTACAGTCTCAGTTAAATTTGTTACTCACGTAAAAACTATAGCTTGTCACTGAAACAATACCATCAAAGTGCGGAAAACATTGTTATGGGGACAGTAAACAAGTAATATCTCGTGATTATTCGTTATCTATTTTAAGATTATGTCCTTTTGGGAGGTGTTTTTACCCTATAAACTGATTTGTGACACATGCATAATTTTGTTTCATGGCAAATTCTTTTTTAAATCACCAAGCAACTAATGAAATAATCAACTGTTAGTCCCATCTATGACGTATAAATAAATAGTTTCTCCTTATTACTTTACATATTTATATGATGGCAAGCTTTTCAAAATAGGTTGGTGAATCCAAGTTAAGCTTCTTTCGGAAGCAATACACACGTCCGCATTTGGAAAAATGAAGTTAATCCTAGCAAAAGAACCGTCATGTCATAATTTGAAAAGTTACCAAAACGAAAAAAAAAATCAGAGATTCTTGCGTAAATATCTACCATAAAAAATACCGTGCCAAAAAAATACCATGTGTGATAATATTTTGAAACCATATTGATTGAAAACCTAATGAGCCCATCTTAAGAAACTATTACATGTTTACTAATCTCATTTTGATTTCGATGCAGAGAAGTTATGAATGGAAAAGCAATTAAAAACTCTTTCTTGAATCACCAAGCAACTAATGAAACGATCAACTGTTAGTCCCATCTATGACATATAAATAAAATGATCAAACGATCAACCAAATTAAAATTAACAGCGAATAATTGTATAACTCAAAAAACTAAAATCTTCGAAAATCACAACATCTCGTGCTTCTCAATATTAGACACAAGCAAACCAGTAAAGCGACACATATTTATGTTATATTATTCAGACGCTGATTTCGGTTTGATTTCGTTCTCTCGGGGTCAGAATCTAACTTCAAATAGTAACAATTTTTAACTCACCCAAATTTAACTTTAATAATCTCATATTTGTTTAATCTCATCCTTGGATAATCAAAATAACATTGATTCATCATTATATATCACAAACATGCATACTTTTTTTCATAATTGTATCAATAGTTAAAATGTTCTTTTAGAAATCACAACATCCCGTGCTTCCCAAGCACGGATCAAGACCTAGTTAACATTTAAACTTTAATGACCTCTTCATTCTCCACTAGTTTTTCACTTTTTTCCATGCAATTCCATTTTAACCCTGTTTGTCTTTAAAGTTGTAAATTGATGCTCTATACGTCATTCTTTTCACACTTGCTAAAAGTCTAAAACCGTGCTATACTTTTACAGTCTCAGTTAAATTTGTTACTCACGTAAAAACTATAGCTTGTCACTGAAACAATAACCATCAAAGTGCGGAAAACATTGTTATGGGGACAGTAAACAAGTAATGTCTCGTGATTATTCGTTATCTATTTTAAGATTATGTCCTTTTTGGAGGTGTTTTTACCCTATAAACTGATTTGTGACACATGCATAATTTTTTTTCATGGCAAATTCTTTTTTGTGGGTTTCTTCTTAGCGATTTCTAGATATGAGTTGTATGATATACAGACCACATGGCTCAGACTTTTTTTAGAGTCTAATCATTGGACCCATATGATTAATTATTATATAAAATGATAAATATAATCCTCTTTTTTCCATCTCATTAGTGTGACAAATTATTATTTTTGCTTATTTGGTGCATATAGATTCTTGAAACATGAAATTGGGATCGTCTTGATCACTTTAGAAACGAAAATTGTAAATAATATATGTAAGTGAAAAAATGTCGACCACATTTAATTGTAATTTTGTTGGTCAAGCCATGGCCAAAACCCAGAGTGGTCATCTATTCCACTGAACATGTTGCTGATACTGTTTTCTTCTTTCACCATTCTCTGTTCTGAGGAAGAGTTCTGAAAAAATTGCATCGTTGTAGTTGTCGGTGAAGACGGTGCATGGCCTCTGGCGAATATGGTGTTGATCTCCGGAGGTCTGATGTCGCCGGAGATGTTCTCACTTTTGTTACTACATGAACCTTCTGTTTCTTTGTTCAGATTGATTGGTTCTATTGGTTCTCTGCTTTTTAATGCCATTACCTAAAAGAACAAAAAAAAAACAAAAAAAAAAACAAAAAAAAAAAATATTTATACAAAGTGCATAGAATTTCGATTTAACGAAAACAAAAGTTTTCAATTTTTTATAATGAAATTCAAATTACAAGAAAAAAAAAGGCAGAGTATTAATGTGAAATAATAAAAAAAACAAAAAAAATCAATATTTATGGAATTTGGAAAAGAAAAAAGAAAAAACAGAGCAATTGTTGTGTTATGAAGTGTTTTCTTTTACCTGAGCTTGAAGCTTTTGGTTTTGAGTTTGAAGAATGTCGTTCTCATCTTTAAGACTCTCGAACTGACGCTTGAGCGCATCGTAGTCTCTCTCGAGCTGTTTGGTTTTAGATCGAGCCCTTCTGTTTTGGAACCAAATGGCGATTTGTCTAGGTTGTAATCCCAAGGCACGAGCTAGCTCTAGTTTTCGATCTGATTCGAGTTTGTTACCAAGCTCAAAGTTCTTTTCTAGCGTTTTCAGTTGCTCCATGTTCAATCTCCTCTTCTTCTCTCCAATCTTAGATCCATCGTCTGAAAATTCTTCCTCTCCGTTCATCTCTAAATTACAAAACCCTTCTATGTTGTTCGTCGTCATTGGAGATCTCTTACCTAGGAACCCTGAAAAACAAACAAACAGAGCAGATCATGATGAATGGACAGAAGTAGTAAAAACAAGAGAGGATTGAGAATTTGATGTACCATGGAAGTCTTGAGGTAGAGTGCAAGAAGGAAGAAGATGACCTTCTTCTTGTTCTTGGTGATGGTTATGGAGACTGAAATTCGCAGGGAAGAAAGCTAAGCCATTATTACAAGACATATCTCCTGTTGAGCCTTAGTCTTTGATCGTTTCTTCTTTAGTTATTTTCTGTTCAGAATTAGAAAAGGAACAAGAAAAGAAAGAAAAACTAAATAAAGAAGAAGAAGAATGATGATGGTGATTAGTGAAATGAATCAGCTTAGACTATACACCACTTATAGGCTAATAGCTAGGATACAATCATAGAAATATAGTTTTATTTTTATTATTTTGATGTGTATATAAAATAGGAGACTCGAATTCGGGAACAAGGAATCAACTTCTTCCAAGTGATCGGCTTTAGGTTTCTGGTTTCAACTTTTTTACCTATCTTTATGAAATCACGTTAATCTGTGCCATTTAATTTTGTCTTTTCCACTTGAAAATAAGTATTTTGTAAATATTGTCGGTTTCCAAATGGTTGGTGGAATCCAGTTTACTACTACCAAACTAACAGCTGTGAAAGATTAATAAAATATTTTGTAGTGCTGGTAGGATATACCACAAATCTATATTATGGGTGTGTAAATGAACAATGAATATTAACTAGAGTCTAGTTAAGTAGAAGTATATATATTGAACCACGTTTCTGTAAGTTAGACAAGTGATAAGAAGAATGCGTTTATCACAATCGTAATCGTCTACTCATTAGGATTTTCCTCTTCAATATAGACAAATTATTCTACGATGACACTTGTCTAGTTCTTTTTTTCAAGAATTATGAAAACACTAGCAAATCTGGTAGTGGTGGGTGAGTATATTTCTTTCCATGCAAAAGTTTAGAATTAAACAGAGAAATTTTTTTTTTACAAATGCCTAAGTTACCTTTACATGTCCAATGACAAATGATCTTAAAAAAAAAATGTCCATGTCTCCAGGCAAATGGCTACGACAAAAAAAACGAAGCCTAGTCAAGAATTGGGCCAAGGTTTTTTAAACATCATTGGGCTAAGGCTCATTAGTCGATGATGTTAGAGTTGATCGTAAAGATCAAATGTTAAGGGAGTCTTTGTCCATTTTTTAAAAATTAGATGGGTTTGTAGAATTTATGAAAACTCAAGCTATCAGATGTATGTATCGTAATTCGTAAGATACAAGTATACAACTCATATATGTAAGTTTCTTCTAATACTTTGGAACAAAAAAAAGATATTATCATTAAACACGTGTTACCATCTCATGAACGTGTATCGCATTATCACATTTCTTCATGACCATTTTATATTTTCCACATGTTTTTTGAATTTTTCTAAGAAAAGCTATGCACACCAACTGACTATCACGTAGTCTTTTGTGCTCCAAAATAGAAGAAATCAGTGACAACAAAAGAAAAAAGAAAAAAGATAATACATGACTATATTTAACTTTCAGACGCAATAATTTCTGCCTGTATATATCAAAATATATATGAACTTCTTGCATTCCGTATGAGTGCGAATATACCGTATGAGAAACTGCTCATCGTATTTTCGCAGAATAGGGAATTCATTTAATAAAGTTTTAAAACATGCAATTGTATAGATCGTTGATAGATGTGTGTTAAAATAAAATTTATCAAAAACAAAATGTGTGAAAATAAATTATCTATCAAATACACCACTCTATATCGTAATTATCGAGTCAATACGTGCTATAAAACACGTCGAATATTACACATTAATGGTCACATGCAAGATGATTTAAATAAAGTAGCACGACCATACCATAAACCATATGATAATATTTAAAATCAGATAATCCAAACTAAACGACCTCGAAAACATCGAGGTCTTCGTCTGTTTCTGTCATATTTTAAACAATTTAAATTCAATCACAACTTCTCCACGTTTTTATATTGTAGATACTTCTCCACGCAGAACTATGAACTATTTATTTGCATAAACATCAAGCATACACACATTTATATATATTTAAACAAATTAATATCAAAAACGAAACTTATAACATTTGCTCATTAGTAAAAAGGAAACGAACTGTGTCATTAATCATAAATATTAGAGGATCTCATGATACACAGGCTACTATACAGCCAGGTCTGGACCCTCACATACAAGTAAGTAAGATGCATACATACGTACATAAACCATATATTATATATAATATATGTGTTGGCCTAACAATGACCTGAAACCCTAGCTATATCATCATAATATATGAAGTAGAAGGAAACAAATACTCATAGTAATAAGATAAATTTGGAGGCGGGAATCGATGATTAATAGCTCTCAGATTAATTAATGAGGATTTTAATAATTAAGCAAGCTCCTGATGATGGCTGCTTCGGCACTGTTGTCATCCGTCGAGGCCAAGAGTTCCGACAAACGGTCACTGAGATCATCAACCTCTCTGTGTAAGTTCCTGATGTAGTTGCAAGTCTCTTGTAGTACCTTAGATGCTGACACCTGTCCATTTATATAATTACAAATGTTACTATTGATTAAAGTACGAAATAACGATCATTTAGATCCTCACAAAGAGTACGTGACAACATGTGCTACTGTTTTTTTCTTTCTTTGCAGAAAATTCATACTATATCTCTAAAAGTTAAATAGGAAAAAATAAATTCTCATCATTACCACTTCAATGTGCACAACGGTATAAACGGCCACTATTTAATAAATCCTATTTCTCATCTATATATAGAATTATGGTGAGTATATAGGTAGAGAAGAGTAATGGGGAGACATGGAGTTAAGGTACGTGGAAGTAGGAAGGGAACAAACTTAGTCCCACACCACCAACTTGTGAATTTAAATGCATAAGAAAACATTCAAGGAACAAAAAAGATATATGCATAAATGAGGCTGTGAATTAATGTTACTTTATCTACGGATAGTTAATTGTAGGCCACATGGTCTTTACACTATACGCCGTTGGATTTCACCATGCATATTAATTAGTTATATACTCTATGGTTCCTATTCATTTGAACTATCTAACGTCCATGTGCTAACTTAATTATTTATCATACAAACAAGGAACATATGTATGTATGTATGTGTCTGCAAGAAGTATAGATTTCAACACGGATTTTTGAAGTATATATATACGTACCTTGTCAGAACGGCGGCGGCGGAGTTCAGGGATGAGGTGTTGGAGCTTAGAAACAAGATCGGAAATCTGATCGTCAGAGATTCTTGAGCTCCCTGACTGTCTTGAACGTGATGATCTTCTGCTCGACATCTTCTTTCTTATTCTATTGTAGGTGTCTTTGTGTATATGTGTGTGGAGAGAGGGAAATATAGAGAGAAGAATGCAGGAAGGATAAGTAGTTAATGTGTCAGAGAGAGAGAGAATGAGAGTGGAGAAGAAGAAGATTGTGTGTTGAAGAGGGAGGAGCAAAGTGGATGTGTTTTTATAATGCAAATTTATGAAGACAGAGAGAGAGAGAGAACATGAATAAGAAGGAGAAGAAGTAGAAGTAGAAGAAGATGGAGAAGAGACAAGTGCATGGAGGGAGGGTGTGGGTTATGTTTCTTTAATAAGAGTGTTTTTAGCTTTCAGCCAATTATTATTATTATTTGTTCTCAGTTTTTTTTTTAATTATCGCTTAGTACAAAAAGATACTGTTTATTTTGGGTAAGCTTCTAAACTTACTTTCCTACGAGACCAACGTCTTGATTGTTACATGTGTAAAACCCAACCACGTCGTGTTTTTTTTTTCTTCGTATTTCTCACATCCCTGTTCTACTTGAACTTCTTTCTATCTAGCTATTCACATGGTGTAGTATCAACTCCAACTTAACAACCATAGTTGGAAATTCAAAGCTACATGTTCTTTCTCTCTCAATATTGAACACATGAGTAACCAATATATGGATAAGGCTTAATGCACGTAGATGTGGTGTTCCATATTATGTGCAAATATTTATTATTTCAGGCCACCAGACTTATTGATTGTTTATGCTAAAAAAAATTACCAAATGTTTTTTTTGTAGTTTATCTGATTTTGTGTTTGTGATAAAAATGTCGCCTAAATAGCCTCTTTGATTTAATGATTTTATATAGCCGAACATAATTTCATAAACCGACTCGTCCTGATGTCTTAGCAACTTGAATCAGATAGATTTTTTATTTATGTTTTTTTAAATAAAAAAAGCAATAATATATCCAATCCATATATATATGACCAAAGCCAAGGATGGAAACGGATCAAACCCTCTAAACCCATTTTCTAAGTATTTGACATTTCACCGTGGACTGATCCGCACTCTAAAATCAAAGTCAGTCCACGGTGAGTCTTCCAAACTCGGGCCAAGTAGAATTAACTCATTGCAACATTTTTGGCTATACGCATCTGAGTAGAATAAACAAATAAGAAAAAACAAAGATTTAAAATAAGAAGGGAAAGGGACGTAGAAAAGGAGAGAGGGCCATGAAACGAGAAGAGGGATCAAGTGGGGTTTTAAATGGCAAAATGTGTGTTTATCGCCAAACTAAACTGTCCCTCTTTGCCTTCTCTCTCTGTCAGTCTCACCATTGCATCCCCACGTTATATGTATTACTTCATTGTCCCTTTTTTTAATCACTTCTCTGTTCTTCTCTTTCTACCATTTTTTCTCATTTCAAACTCTTACATTTTTTTGTCGACCAAACTCTTAGATTTATTTATGGGAATCTCTATGGTTTTGGATCACATATAACTATATACGTTCTTCACACATGTGAGTTTTATGTAACTTCAAAATAACTGGAGAAAATGTATGATTGTATAATAATGTGTTTTACTTTTGAGCAAATATAATAATGTATATAAGTCTAAGAAAAACCCGGAATTTTTTCTTATTTTCTTACGGTAATTAATCTACATAATTTTAAGTTTTCTTATAATGTGGTGGTCGATATCATCAAAAGAGTGTAGGACATATGGTACAAGAAAAGACCAAAATATGTTGAAGGCAAAAATGGATCATGTTTGGACATTACACTTGACAACTCTGATTTTTCAAAAATACATTCCATAAACTTCCAATTTTCAATTTCGGTATCATATGGTAGATGTAGAGTGCGTTTTGATTTTCAATCATATTCGATTTTTTGAATTTTCGGTTTATCATGTAGCAGATGTTTGATTTAAATCGTCTTATATATTTATCATTAAATAAATAACTGAAATCCATATTAAATAAAACAATTAATTTATGTCTTAACCAATAAAATTAGTTACGTACATAGTAAATACTTAGCTTAACTAATGAAATAGGTAGTTTGCCGTATTAACTAGACTTGTCTTGGCTTAATTTGATTTTGGTTTGATATCAATTCAGTTTGAAAATTAGTATGCACATGTTTGGTTTGACAATAACCCCGAAGCTACAGAACACGGGACATATTACTTGCACCAAGAACTAAATCAACATATCTTGGCTTACTACGAAAAGAAACATCCAATTGGAAGCGACTATTTTGGTTCAGATTCGATTATACATTGATACACACATGTCACATGTAACCCAAAATTACATATTGACGATCACACATTTACTATAAGACAAAAAAAATATAGAAATTGGATATACATTAGACTATTTGATTCGTCCAAGTCAGAATTCAAACGAGACTTGAGGGTTTGATTGGAACAAGAAGCTTAAAGAATAATGCGGTTAATTCCGGCGGAGTGAATAGAACATGCATATGCTATTAATGAGACCTACCCTTACACACAGTCCGAGATCAGTAGCTTTCCTATTAATTAGGAACCACCCCATCTCTTAATTTTATGCCGTTTTTTCTGACTTTAATTACATCATTAAAACCCACAAATTTTAGTCCCTCTTTTTCTGTTTAAATTCGAAAAAAATATGCCTCGAACAAATATGAGCTACGAAAGTTACTTAACTGAGTACTACTAGCTAGGTGTAGTACCAAGCTACTTTTTTCTTACGACATGTGTAGTATTTCTAAATTGGTTATCAGTTTGAGGCAAACCCTAGACCGACCAATGTCAAGATTTTAATGAGAAAGATGCTTATCACGTCACAAGTAAATAGCTTCGGACATTTCATGGTATGGGTTAAAATGTTAAAAACGATTCGAGGAGCCACACATTGTTGACGGTCAAAGACATATAACGATAAAACCAACCCATCCCCGAGATTTTAAAACATGGCATGTGTTGTCTCGCAATCTCTGTTTTTTCTTTCACATTATTTTAATACATTTTACATTGTTGAAAGCATATATACATGTATATTCCAATATTCAATTACTTGCGGAACAGTAAGGACGATGTTCCAGAGATCTTCTGATTATTATTACTAAACAACGTTCTTGGAGTTCGGTTGACGCAGAAAATCTCCTTAATTTTGTTTAAATATTGTCAATAAACACATTAATTATTTGTACGTATACGTGTGTTTGTATGTGGCATCTTCCTGGCCTACATATAACTAGTTTGGATGTAGGTAGGATCTGCAGGATTCCTAAAGATCAAATCCGATTGCGTTCTATTTGTTAGTATAATTAGGTTAAATAAAATCTATAATAATAATTGATATCTCACAATGAAATGATTCGTATGGAACTTGAGTCTACGCCAACCACATGTACAAGGAAAAAAGAAGAAGTATTTTTTAACGTACATTCATAAAATCATATATTACAAGAATACAATTAAATTGATCTAAATGAGAAACTAATTATATTTTAAATCATTTAGTTTATGATCCGATGATACCAAATAGAAGTATGCAAAGAAATGTGTTGGAAAATTTTCGTCAAAGGGAAGAATAAAGCTTAATTGGTGCTATGTGTATTACTTTGATAAGTGTGATGCAGAGAAGCATTTGAAGTGAAGAGTACATTTGAACCTGACCCAAAACAGATATACTCATACCAAATTTTAACATTTGGTGATCTGAGCAAATATTAACATGTTTACAAATTTATCTGACCAATCCAAACATGAACATTTGTCCTAAACCCACAAGACTCTTACAAGAAATAGAAAAGGTAGGGTGTATATGAAGCCTCATGTGATGTTCTGCCACTGTTGTCCTCTCAAAAAAATCCAAATTTTGTACAAATTTCTTGATACGTTGATGTGTACACATTGCCATGTAATATTAATTGTTGGAATCAACTATGTATGAAATAAATAAATATATTTTTCAGAAAATAGAACAAGCTGGCCAAATAATATCTGAAGGTGTATAACTATATAAGTATAAGTGTATAACAATGTATTCATTTTGTACTCAGTCATAACTATTTTGCCAGTACTACTTATATTATAAAAAACAAAAATAAATAAAGAAAATGTTGTAGTTATTCAAATACTTGGAAACAAACAAGATAATTTGAAGCCATTCATGATACAAAACAAGCGACTAATATTCATCTTATGACTTTGACTTGCAATGACCCACACGATTACATTAACAAAATCCCATTCAATCCCCGAAGAAATAATATTGTACAAAAAATTAAGAAAATATCTTTGGTTGGTTTGACATATATAAAATAGTTTATCAAATTAATACACAGATTGTCATGAAACCACAATATGCTCTAAAGGTATATGTATCTACATTCCGACTGAATTAATATACGAGTGTAAGGTCCACCAAGAGAATCTGACTGAAAATTTCAAAGATCTCGAGCTTAGGGCAATAAGCTTTAGCAACTCGACCTGAATCTGTGTTTTTATATTTTCTTTGTGAGGAATCATTTTTCAATGTTATAAATGTACTCATAGTTGAGTTATGAGATTCATGATGAGAACATGTAAATTTACAGTAAGTCTTGGATATGTAGCTCTGTAGTCTCATTTTGCTTTTGAGAAATTTCCTTAAAATACCACTCTTTATGTGTTTTTTTTGTTTTTTTTTTGAAGTCCAAAAACTTTTACAAAGTGTTCCAAACTGATAGCGTACTTTGTAGAAGTTCAGGAAAACTTCTGATTGGTATTTTGGGAAAAGGGTTTTTTAAATGGTATACTTTTTTTTTTGTTCAACATTTTTAAATGGTATACTTAGAATGTAATTTGTATACCCTCTAATAAAGAAAAAGCAGCTATGTCAACACATCACAATCAAATGGTAAATTTCGTAAAAAGTATACAGTTTAAAAGTTTATGATATCTTGTATAGCAGTTTCAGACGACCTCTGAATATGCGAATTTTTATAACTTTTCCTTTTGAAAGTAAATTAATCAAAGTTGTTATTATTACTTACTATATCCTCACGTGGTTAGTTTCACTGATCATGTGAACAAGATAAAAAACCAGTTCACTCATAGATGTCGACACTGCAAATGCATTGGTAATGGAATCGATTTCGATGTGATTCTGATTGCAAAGTAGATAGCTAAATCAAATCACATGTCAGTTTAACAGATTTTATTTTAATATTTGTAAGAGACAATTGAATTGTATAAACCCTGGATATCAATATTTTTTGTAAGTTGCAACCAATGGGCTAAACAAGTACTGTGTGTGGGTCACCTAAAGTTGTCACACCAACACAACACTTTGTTTTAACTCCATTGGTCTTAAACTCTAATTAAACATCATATGACCCCTTCCTAAGTTTTTGGGTCTAATTTTGTTAAAGAACTCTTTATAATAAACCCTAAACAACAGACATAACTATCCATCTCCTTTAATGCACAAGAGGTAGTAATGTTTGGATTCTCAGACCAAAAACAAACAGTTGATATGAAAAAATTAAGAGGAAAGTGACAAAAATAGAGGAGAAGGAAGAGACAAAAGTCAACGAAAATGAAAAAGACTATTTGTGTGAATTGAGAGACATGCCTTGTTTTTTTGGAAATAGAAGCAGAGCACATGTGTTGTTGCTATTTGCTCCGGAGCTATTTTCACTATAATATGGTTCTCAGAACCTGGGATTTTGTCCCGGTTGAAATCAGATTTTTGCAGACCATAGAGGAAACAAACCATGATCAAATGTTTCTCACTGTTAAACTCAAAACTAATGAATCTGTCTTTTAACAATCAAAAGAAACAAAGATGTCTAGCTTTTCTTTAGTGTTCCCTGGCGTTTTTAGCCTCTGTTGAAAACAGTTCTTCTTAGTTAAGCAAAGGGTCTTTAAACGGGTTCACGGGAAGCATCTCATTTTCTGTCAAGAACACAAGGGACCATTAATGTTACGGTTCTCAATTCATTAAAAATGTTGAGCTGCTTTCTCATCAAACAAAAACCCTTATCTATAGACATTTCAAATCACCTGTCTTTCGACCTCTACAAAAGATGCTTGAAGCCTTCTTCTCAGGACAGATCTCTCCTCTTCGCAGCTCTCCATTTTAGTATCTAACCACAAGATTATAACCATTAAACCCATGTCAAAGGGATCTCTGCATATCTTTAATTCACAGCATCATTTTCACTTCATTATGATCCAAAACAGAATCTATCGTTCAAAAGGCTATAAAATCCAGAGTCATATCTCCTAGGACACATGAATGACCTGAGTTAAAAGCAATTTTCAGGCTACAGTCACATCTCTTTTATGGACTCTAGTTAAACCATAATTCAAGTGTTGTCCCATGTCAGCATCAAACGTCATGAGAAGGAAGTTATCAGATATATTTTAGCTAACAAACAAAATTGAGATTTGACTACATTTACCGTAATAGTATGTCGACAAAATCGTGATCCTCTCCGTCGGCTGCAAAGATTAAACCAAATCCGAATCAAATCCAAGCTATCTTGAAAGGATTAGTAAGTTGTGTCTTAGAGACATACATACCATTACAAAAATCCCCTCACGGCGAGTAGGAACTTCTTCAAGCTTCCTCAATGTCTCATCTCCTTTGGTAACTTTACCAAACACAGCATACTGTCGAACACCAACAACAATCTTAACATTAGACTCATCTTAGTAAAAATGAGATAACAAGTGGATAGTCAAGAATCTGACCTTGCCATCAAGATGAGGAGCATCACCAAGAAGCATCGAAAACGAAGATTGTGCACTGTTTGGATCATCATATCTACACAACCATGCAATTATCATAAAGACATGAACACACAATAAAATAAAGGACAAAAACCAAGAAGGAAAGATGTATTATTACCTTCCCATGGAGAGAGTACCTCTGACATGTTTGACATCACTGAACTCTCCAACAATTTTCTTCTCAGCTTCTTTCCTTTGCTCCTCATTCATTGGAGCTGATCTTCCACTCGCTACATCTGCAACTTGAGCAACAAAACCTTTATCAACCTGCAAAAAAAAAACGACTTTAACACTTAGCCCTCAGGAGAAATGCAAATCACATCAAAAAGATTGAGCCTTTTTTGAAGTCATGTACCCTGAAGATATGATTAGTGTTGTAGCCACCTAAACGAACAAGCTTGAAGATGTGATCCACTGTCTTTGGTGCAACCTTTGGATAGAATCCAAATTCGATATCCCCATAACTCGTCTGCACACACACCCATAACAAGAAATTTCAAATTAACATGAATTTGTTAAGGTAAAAAGATAATTGAAATCGCTGCAACACAAATTCTTAATTTTGATCACAGATACCACATGACGCATAATAGAAGTCGGAAACTACACAATGTAAGTTTGTTTTATCAAAAATCATAACTAATTTTGGTAGCAGAGAGAAGGAGAGATGTGAAATGGAACCTGGAAGACGACACGAGCCGATCCAAGCTCTGGTTCGGCTTTGACTACAGAAAGAAAGGCAACACACGCCAAACCCAAGATCAAGATTATCGCGTCTCCCATTTTGGCGCCGATCTGATCAAAAGAGTGTGTTAAAAACTTAAAGTCAACACCGGCAGTGAAAAAGTCGTCGGGGATTTCCCGTCGAAGACGATAACCGGCGTGTCGGTACTGAAGATATTTTGTTTTCTTTAGTTGGGCCCAATGTTTGTTTAACTAATGGGCCTTAAAACTATTATTTGTTGTTCAGCTAGAAATACATATTGCCTTTGATCTTCTCTTGTTACAAAGTCTAAATTTGATTACCATCAACATAGGCATTCATTAATGCTTATAGTAGAAACTCTATAAATTAATACTCGATAAATTAATAACTCAATAAATCAATAAAATTGTATGGTTCCAAATTAAGTTTTTGATCTAATAATCTCTCGATAAATTAATATTTCATTAAATTAATAAAATATCTTATGTCCGACATTATTAATTTATAGAATTTATACTGTATATAGTAATTTTCAAAAGGAGTGGTGAGTTTCCTAAAGAGTAACAAGAGATTTGGTTGTTTTTTTTTGTGTGGCAAATGGCAGTTATTCAACATTTTACGGTATGAAGCAGTGGTGGAGATAGCATTGTGGGACCTGGGTCAACTGACCCCCTGAATTTTTATTAAAACAAAAAATAACCACTATTTTCAACAGAAAATCTGATAAAATGTGATAAAACTTGCTTATTGACCCCTGTAATATATGGTTTATATCATTTTGACCCTTGTGAAATGATTTTCTACCTCCGCCACTAGTATGAAGTTGGCCAAATTCCTACTATGGTTTTTTTCAACCCAAATAGAATACGATCAGAATCACATCAAATTCGATTTCATTACCAAAGCATTTGCGGTGTCTACTTATACGAGTGAACTGTTTTTTTTATATTTCTTTGTTCACATGATCAGCGAAACTAACCACGTGAGTATAATAAAATGCATACGTATATAATGTTACTGCTAGGACATTAGATAATGGAGAGAATTTGGTAAAGAGCAATATAATATAATGTCCGTTTAATCCGAGTCTCGAGATGAAATGTGAAATGTTTATAAGTAGTAGAAACTCTATAAATTAATAACTCGATATATTAACAGAGTTTTCTGGTCCCAAACTAAGTTTTTGATACAAATGATCTCTTAATAAATTAATAACTCGCTAAATCAATAAAATATCTCAGTCCCAACAGTATTAAATTTATAGAGTTTCTACTATAACATACACATTGAGATCTTATATTGTAAATAAATTAAACCTTCTGCTCTCAGGATAGAAATTAAATGGTTGTACAATTAAAGGAATAAAAGTGGGTTAAACCATTTTGCATCAATATAATGTCTATTCTTGATCAGTGTCGATTTCGTAAGCGTAGAAGACGAATTTTGTTTTCCCATTATGTGCCATTGAACAGAAGACACATGTCAAGTTTGAAGACTAAATTCCAAATTCCTTACTAAACCAGCTGAAGTTCCGAATTCGAAACTTTCTTTTAGACACTAAAAGAAGGACAAAATTACTATATGATGTACAAATTAAGTGCATTACTTTAAACAGTGCCGACCCAATAACAAATTCTGCCTAAAGCAAAAAGTTTATGGCGCCCATTTAAAAAATACATTGTTATAAGAAAAACAAATTCCCCTTATGAAGGTTTGAACTCATTATATGTAACCAATTTGAAGAGATTTAGAAAACAGAGGTTTGGAGTTGAATGATAAATATTTTCTTAATTCATTTCAACTTAACTTTACAAAGATAAAGGAGGTCTCTTTATATAGAGAAACATTAGGAACTTCATTTAACCTAGACAGCTCATTGATAGCAAAGCGAATCTATTCTGCGTAGTTATTGCGTTCTCAGTCTTCTCTGCCTTGTACGGTTTCTCCTTTCTCTTTTTCTCTATATCAGCTTCAGTCTTTTGTCTTGACATTGCAGGAGACTGTTGCAGCTCTGATGGATTCATTTTGGGCTCAATTTGAATCTCTTTGGACCTCAACTCTTGCTGGGCTTGAGTCTTGTTCTGGTTAACTGCAACAGTGTCGTTTTGCTGAAGCAGAGTCTTATCAGCCCCTCTCAAACTTGGTGTAGGAGGCACATCCACAACCAGTTTGTATCTCAGAGACGTGAAGATAGCTACAGGAAAATATTTGGTGAAGATGTCTGCTATCTGAAGGTGTGAAGAGATGTGTTTAACCTCAAGTAATCCTAATGCCACTCGTTCTCTCACATAATGGTGATGAGTTTCAAAATGTTTCGACCGAGCATGGAAAGCAGGAGGGTTAAGAAGGGTTAAGAAGGGTTAACCACTGAACGATTAGTAACAACTAGTCGGGAGTGAAGTGGAACCCGGACCGAAACTGCAAACACAGATATTCTGGTCCAAGGAACACAAAGTGAAATAGTGTGTCCCCCTGTGTAGCCAAATGATGGAACAAACATAGGCTCTGCTTTCAGGGACACTATGGGCTTCTCGGAGATGAGGAGTTTGTACCATCGGAATGTTGGTTTCCCGGTTGGGGCTAGGGTTTATTATGAAACTCTCTCTTTACACACTCAGAGGGAAGAGAGAATTAAAATCTCATATGAAAATACCACTTATTCAATGTTTCGTATGTGTCATTACTATCAAGCCTTTGACACATAAACCTTGTTTTTTTGTCCGATGTTGGTTTGTCTCTTCTTCTCATGAGCAACTCGATCCTTTAGGCTTTTTTCACGTAGAGCTCGTTCTTTGACATGAGCCGGTACAACCACCTTCTTCTTCGATTTGCGAGTGCCCTTCTTTTGGCACACATCTGAAGTTTGAAGTTAGACCATTCTTGTAGAGGACTAAAATCTAAATTCCATATTCCTTAATAAATTTGCTGAAGTTCCAAATTCAAAAAGCATTGTGAAACTTTCTTTACACAAAAAGGAAGACTAAAATACCACATGAGGTACAAATTAAGTGCAGTACTTTCAAACATTTACCATATAGGCTTTGTTCTTAGGACCTATGTTGTCTTGCCTTTTCTTGGCACGGTGAAAGATACCGCCTATGCATGTTTCACCTTTTTTATTATAATATGCTCTGCCACAATTTCAAGATCAATAACCGCCACATCAAGACCGACATACACCACTTCAAGACTGAGAAACACCACTTCAAGACCGGGAGGCACTACTGCTTCACGGGAAGGCACCAACTTCAACCTACTTGGTGAAGAGCATATAGCTTTTTTCTCTTCAAGGTAACGATCTAACATCTAAATCGTGAGATATGCGGAGTCTACAAGCTTGATTGATTGAGCAAGCATCACTATGAAATTCACAAATCGTTTACCATAAGAGTTTATCAAGAAAAAAACTTACTATAATGTTATAGAAATCTATATATTTGTGTTTCTCAATGCAGACATTAATTTTTATTTGCATCCAGTTTTATTTATCGGAGATTAATTTGGGCCTTATGACTAATATGGGTCTCTTGGATCTCGGCTATATATAGAATACATTATAGGGTCTTGTGTCTTGCATAACAATCTATCGATAGCTTCTTTCCACAAGAGATGGAAAAGGAAAGAGGTTTTTGAAGTTTGACCTACATCGATATATCCTTGTTTGAAACTTGAGACAGTGGCAATGATGATATCCAAACTTCCAAGGGATTTTGTGGAAGAGATTCTCTCTAGGGTTCCAATGAAGTCTATGAGATTAGCAGTGCGATCTACTTGTAAAGAGTTAAACTCTTTATCTAGAGATCAGAGCTTTGTAAATAAGCACACTGGCAAAACAGCAGCATCAGCAAGAGAAAGACAGTTTGTGATGATCAATTATGATTGTTTGTTATAACGGATGTGAGAAGAAGCAGTAAAAGTAAAGAACACGACACAGAATTAACGTGGTTCACCAACGATGTGTTGGTTACATCCACGGGCAAAGGAGACTGATTTATTGATGGAGGCAGAAAGTTTCAGAATACATCAACATTAGGATAACGAAGTTACTTATAGGAAAGACCTAGAAACCCTAATAGTATGTGAGTTGGGCTTCCACACTGAAGCCCATGTAGACATCACGAACTGACCACTGTGCGGCCCGTATGCGCCTTCTCTGCAGCCTTACGTAACTTCCAGGATGTATCATCACGCAGACTGCAGCTTCATCATGTAGCATCACGCAGAGTCGCAGACTGTAGCTTCAGTGTGTAGGAACACACAGAGTCGCAAACTGTAGCTTCAGTATATAGCATCACACAGAGTCGCAGACTGTAGCTTCAGTGTATAGCATCACACAGAGTCGCAGACTGTAGCTTCAGTGTGTAACATCATGGCTGATCAAAGAGTATGTACACATCACCGCCTACTCAACCAATATGCATACATTGACAGATTCAAGGCACATCAACAAATCTCCACCTTGACTTGAATCCTCATTACAACAACAGATGTACCAAATGCACTGTTATAGTGCCCGATGTACCGAACTTCTCATTTGCCTCAGACGTAGCAGTTTCATCCTTACGATCAGGATGTCTCAGATTCATATGCACTCTTACTGTGCCGGATGTATCAGATGCACGCTTACTGTGCTAGACATCTCTTTGCAGACGAGACACTTCTTCAGACCAGACGCTCCACCTAGAGCCAAGCGCTTTCTTCCCTTTGAAAAACAGATGCTCCCACCGGAGCCACACGCTCAATGCGGAACCAAAATGCTCTCACTAGAGCCGAATGTTCTATCAGACTTCAGAAATTCAGATGCAGAACCAGACATTCTCACTAGAGACGGATGCTTTTTCCAGAGCCAATTGTTTCTCCTGAAGCCATATGCTTCATTCAACGTCAGACGCTCTTTCCAGAGCCATATGCTTCTCCTAAAGCCAGACATTCCTTCTGGAGCCAGATGCTTCCTCTGAAGCCAGACGCTCCTTCTGGAGCCAGATGCTTCCTCCGAAGCCAGACGCTCCTTCTGGAACCAGATGCTCCCTTCGGAGCTAGAAGCTCATTCGAGCGAGACGCTTCTTCACCTTGAAGACCAACTTGTAAGTTGTAGTTTTGCTTCGTACTGGTGGTGTGACTGGAACCCATGTTTGATTCTCTTCAAGGGACTCAATCTCGTCTCCAATTGCAGCTAGCCATTTGTCAGCTTCTAAACGTGGAACATCTTCTCTATATGTGGTTGTTGAACCTTGCAACAAGTACAATGTACCATGTAGGATACCCTTCAACATCACATCAGAATCTTTGAAGATATTCAGAACACCATCTCCGCCAGAGTACTTGAAGCCTCTACTATCAAGCAAACTTAGTGATATCAAATTCATTGACATCGATGGGACATGCCTAACTTCCTTCAATGTGCAGAATTTACCATCATGTGTCCTGATCTTGATGGAACCAATCCCAGCAACCTTGCATGCATCATTGTTAGCCATTTTGATGCTATCACTCTCTACATGCTCGTATGTGGAGAACCATTCTCTCCGTGGACACATATGACAGGATGCTCCTGTGTCTAGAACCCATGCATCAGATTGATGTGTGTCTCCAGCAGCAACAAGAGCAATATCTTCCTCAGACATGTTGTCACCTTCAGCTACAGCTGCAAACTCAGATTGCTTCTTCTTCTTCTTTGGACAATCTGATTTCCAATGTCCAATCTCCTTACAGTAGTTACATACATCATCTGGTTTGGGACCCTTTGAAGAAAACTTCTTGTTATCTCTTCTATGTCCTCTACCCCCACTGACAAACAGTCCAGCAGCTTGATTGTATGTATCTGTACCAGATGCTTGATGGCGCAATTCCCTGCTGTGAAGTGACGATCTGACTTCTTCCAGCGTTATAGTATCCTTACCATTTATGAATGACTGCACATAGTGCTCATAAGATAACGGTAGGGATACTAACAGAAGTAAAGCAGCATCCTCATCCTCCACCTTAACATCGATATTACGCAATTCTAGTAATAGCGTTTCAGCTGATCTAAGTGATCCCTGAGTTGCGTACCTTCATCCATTCTTAGAGCGAACAGACGTTGCTTCAGAAGCAGCTTATTCGTTAGAGATTTTGTCATGTACAACGACTCTAACTTCCCCCACAGACCAGCAGCAGTTGTTTCACTAGAAACCTCGATGATGACATCGTCTGCAAGACATAGCAAAATCGTTGCGTGTGCCTTCTCCTCCAGACTCGTCATCGCAGCAGCATCGCCCTTGTCTTTCAACAGCGCCACCCACAAGCCTTGTTGCTTCAGCAACGCTTGCATCTTGATCTGCCAGAGACTGAAACTGTTTCTCCCTGTGAACTTGTCGATGCTCATACTGTACCCAGACATCTTCTCACCAGATGCGGAAACCCTAGAACCTGGCTCTGATACCAGTTTGTTATAACGGATGCGAGAAGAAGCAGTAAAAGTAAAGAACACGACACAGAATTAACGTGGTTCACCAACGATGTGTTGGTTACATCCACGGGCAAAGGAGACTGATTTATTGATGGAGGCAGAAAGTTTCAGAATACATCAACATTAGGATAACGAAGTTACTTATAGGAAAGACCTAGAAACCCTAATAGTATGTGAGTTGGGCTTCCACACTGAAGCCCATGTAGACATCACGAACTGACCACTGTGCGGCCCGTATGCGCCTTCTCTGCAGCCTTACGTAACTTCCAGGATGTATCATCACGCAGACTGCAGCTTCATCATGTAGCATCACGCAGAGTCGCAGACTGTAGCTTCAGTGTGTAGGAACACACAGAGTCGCAGACTGTAGCTTCAGTATATAGCATCACACAGAGTCGCAGACTGTAGCTTCAGTGTGTAGCATCACACAGAGTCGCAGACTGTAGCTTCAGTGTATAGCATCACACAGAGTCGCAGACTGTAGCTTCAGTGTGTAACATCATGGCTGATCAAAGAGCATGTACACATCACCGCCTACTCAACCAATATGCATACATTGACAGATTCAAGGCACATCAACAGTAGGGTTTGTTTGATTGGCGTCAACCTCTTTGAAACTCACAACAACAACAACAACAACTTTTACCTATCCATAAACCGTAAAGGTATACTTATTAACCGAGAAACTACAGATCAAGTTTTCAATATTTCTCGAGTCTTCCACTGCGACGGTTTATTGTTATGTGTGTTGAAATACGTCAATAATAGACTTATGGTTTGGAATCCGTATTGCGGGAAAATAAGATTGATCAAACGCCGAAAAGATGAGTCCAGATTAGAGAGTTATGCTCTCGGATATGACAAATCCTCGGATAGCCACAAAATATTGAGGTTTTATCGTAGTGACCACGAAATCTATGATTTGAGCTCTAGTTCTTGGAGGGTTCTTGATATCAGTCTATAGTGGAATATAGAGTATGGTAAAATTTACGTGTCATTGAAGGGAAATACTTACTGGTATGCTAGAGATACGGAATATCAAGAATGTTTCTTATTGTGTTTTGATTTTTCAAGAGAGAGATTTGGACCGCGTCTGTTTCTGCCTAGGTCCATCGACTCCATCTTTAAAGACAGTGTGCTTCTATCTACGGTTAGAGAAGAGCAGCTTGTGGTGTTAATGCAGCGGTGGTCTACACTTGAGATGGAGATTTGGGTTACAAATAAGATAGAGCCTGATGCCGTGTCGTGGACCAAGTTTTTTAAAGTTGATATGAAGCCACACGCTAACTTTTCAGGGTTTAAGAGTTTCTTCATCGAGGAGGATAAGAAAATAGCTGTGGTTTTTGGTGAGGAAGGCAAGAAGACGTTTAAAACTTGCATCATTGGAGAGAATGGTTATTCCAAAGAGTGGATCTCAGAAAATCTGCAGATATACGACTTCGCCAATTTGAGTGCTCTTATGTTCCAACTTGCGTGCAAATCAAGTAACATTGTTATTTTATTTTTGCTCTTATGTTCTTTGAACAAGATTTGCCAATTCAATATTAGTTTCTTGCTCATCTCTTATATATGATAAAAAGTTAACTAAGAGAACATGCGTCGAGCTTATTATTAGTGGAAGACGATAAACGAAATCGGACTGAAGACTTTTCTTTTTCTTTGGTTAGACCTAATGTTTGTTAAACTGAGGCCTAAAGCCTATTTCTTACAAGCACTTTGGGTAGACCTAATGTTTGTTAAAATGAGGCCAAAAATCTATTTCTTATAGGCTATTGCTTGCTGAGATTGAGTAAGGCCCATAATCTTACGTCCATGTAGCTTAGAAGCAAGCCCTTGTGCAATGTTTCTTCATATATTGACTTGTGCATGGAAATCTAATTATACGATTAGGGATGGAACAGATCACATATTCTAGGGTATCAAAATTCGGCTTTGCGTTTATCGAAGGTAAACTAACTATCGAGATCCAGATCCAAGAATTATGATATGTGAAATTACTATATCTTGATTTTAAATATTGAATCTCGAAATTTTGATTTTGGATATCCGTTAACATGTAATTTGTAATTTAGTAACAATTCAAATTTGATATGCATTTGGTCTGGCTGACCGGAAAAAAAATTCATGTGATCGCGCACAGTAAACCGCCAACTATAAATAATATGATCAAAACTGAAGCAACTTTTATTTTCTCACTAGCTAGTACAACTTAAAATAAATTTATTTATAACACCATCATAAATTTGTAATACTTGTAAGAACAAGAAACAATAATAAATATATAAATAAATAAAAAAACCTGGATTTTTTTTCACCTGGCAATTATTCGAATTTGGTTTGGGTGTTGACAACCATGGTAAAGACTAAAAGGGCTTTAGGCCTTGGAGGGTGGAATAAAGGTGATTCGTTTGCCAAAGTGGATCAATTGCATATAAGATCTCCATTCAAGAGAAAAGAGAAACTATGTGTGTTTTATTATAAAAGTAATATTAAAAAAATATGATTCCCAAGTGTTCCAAAAAATGTGAAGAAAAGTAGTGAACCATCTGTAACAGTAGAAACGCAGTATCTTATCTTTGAGATAAATAGCGTATCATACTGCGTATGATTCATCTAGTTATTTATTTTATTTATTTTTCTTCAAAAAAATGTTTTTAAAACTGTGACCTTTGCAATTTTAAATTATTTCAATTTTATATTCTATATATTAAGGTTTTGTAGTATTTTAAATATACCAATTTGGGAGTGGTTTAACTTTATCTGCATATACTGTACACAATTTTTCTAAAATAATACAGTGATTAAATAATAAAATATTACATTTTGTATTACATTAAATAATACAGTGATTAAATAATAATATATATTAAATTTTCTAAAATAAATAAAACATAACATTTTGGATTATCTATATATACTACTGATAAATTTAGTGTCTAAATAATTTTTATATTTATATTTATTTCATGTTATTGTGTTTTTAATTTAAAATTTAGAAATAACTTAATTTGTATAATTATAATAATGATTTTTTATTTCATATAATTATTATAAATATGTTCAGTGTTTTGGACCGCTTTATATCTGCATTTTCCATTCAAACATTTTTTTGAACCGTTGGAACCACTAAATCCGCTTGATCCGCTCAATTCGCTCGATCCGCTAGTTCCGCTTTTGTCACGCTCAATCCGCTTAATCCGCAACACTTAATCCGCTTTCTCTATTCGAAGCCTTAGTGTGACGGCGTGTGGGTGTTTGATGAATTGAAATTTGAGCAAAACATTTGTTCGTCCTCTACTTCGTGTGTGTGTGTTTTTGGAATTTGGGTCAGGGCAAATTCATGCTCTGATTTTAGGTTTCAGTTACATCAATCAACATCCAGAGTTAATGCTCCCTCGAGGAACACGATTCCCGACATATCCATGGTGCAACGGCAACAGATCGATTTCGAAAAGCTAAAACAAATAAATAATCAAAACTGTTTTCTTTATACAATTAATTCGATCCAACCTTATCTTTCAATTTTAAGATGCATACAAGCCCACGAAGTAACATTTCTAAATTATAGGGTACTTACTTCTATTAGGAAATGTCTACTCTTTAACCAGACGAGTAATATCAATAGAACACGTCTTTCTAAAATATGATTTTATAAAGAAATCATATTTAGAACTTGATTTTTCCGTTTACGTGTAAAGTATATTATGAAAATGACGTCTAATACCGAGCCTTCTTTATTGTCTACATTTGTTTTCAGATATTAATTTTTTTTTTGGTTAAAAAAAAAGATATTTATTCATGTTACATACTTATTAGTTACATACTATCATATCTTATAGGATAAGATCGATTTCGATAGTTAGTATTTAACTATTTATTCATGTTATTAACTTGCTAGAAGATATGCGTCATCAGAGAAACTAAACCAAATACTACAAAATAAACTTTCTTGCATGTTAGAGAATATATTTTTGTAAAACAAATGTCCTTTCGTGTAAGAAATTAGTAGATTCACAATGACGACGCTTAAAAAAGGAAGCATTAATTAGTACATGTAATATAGTTTGGTTATTGCTTTATGGGTATAGTTACAGACTAGATACATGCAACCATGAATCCTGAAACTAGTTTAGGTTTAAGCTAACAAATTTTAGTATAGTACAATACTATAGGTCCAGCTGGAACTTTATAATTAAGAAGTGAACGTCGACATGATGATTGTACATTTTCAGCAAGTTATAACTTATAAGATTGTTGTTTGAATTTATGGAGCTTGCAGAAATGTAACAAAAGTTATAGTCCAGTTATATAAAAGATTTATAATGTATTAGTCTAGTAATAATATGTTAAATGAGTGAAGGGCACATAATATTTTTATTAAGATTCCCACCTTTCTTCTCTACTCAATGGGGTTTCCCACTCATCCTCCAAGCTTTCTGATTTTCTAGAACCTCTCATATTCGTCATTACATTATGCTTTTTACATTTTTGTTATCTTGTATGTGTGTATATGTGTATGTATATATATTTATGTACGTGTGTATTTATATAAGTGTGTCAGTGTGTGGTAACAATGATTTGCTGTTTCTGACTTTCTGTGTTAAGCATCCGAGAGAACATACAAATATGTGGAGCAGTCTGTGACGTGGGTATATTGATAAAAACATGTGAGTTGAATAAGAAGAGAACCAAAGGCGTGGCACGTAACATTATGTATCAGTTTATCTCCATTGTTATTTACATATCCGATTGTATAAACATTTGGTTACTTCTTAATTGTCCTACAATTACCGCCAAAAATAAACCACAAGTCCTAACATCGTACGTTTCACCAGACTTTAGAATAAATATATCAAAGGCGATGCGTATACCATTGCTTTATACTAGTTAGTGAGGACAAATATAGATAAGCATTGCTTCTTACTTCTCATCTTTCATTAATTCTCCACAGTCCACACCACCACCACACGTCTGAACTCTGAACTCTTTATTTCATTTTTAATATTAACCACATCCATTTTACATGCATATACCTTTACTTACTTTTATTTTATATATATATATATATATAATTCTTATTAAATAATGCATATTGTCCATTAGATTCAGTCATTCAGATAAGCAAATTATTAGATATGAGTGGTTGGAAAAAAGGATAAGAGTATTGGTGGTAAAACCTGTGGGGCGAAAAATAAGATATGCTTACCGTTGGAACAATGAGAGAGAAGTCATTTATGGTGGTTAACTATAGTTTTTAAGTTTCTATTATAAAGCAAAATTTGTTGGTGTTCTGTACATATATAAAAAGTTAATAGGATTGATTTACATGTATTGAACGTGGTTGTAATACCATTTGTTCCCCTTGAATGTAGTTTCGGTACGAATCGGACTATTACTAACTCAGATCAACACTGTTGATATTATTGATTATTCTTCGTCTTTATATATGAAGAAAGATGACATTATCTATTAACTATCGTTTTGTCATGTATATCTCATACTACTTTTACTATTTTTGTAAGAAATGTTAGTGGTTTATTTCCTTGCATTTTTTTCCTAAATAATTATAGGGTCGAAAGAGATGGGGGCCATCACCAACTTAAGCGTCGAGTCTAATCCAGTCAGATGCTGAGTCAGACATGTGACTAAACCAAGGGTCTCATTTTTTGAATTTTTGACTTCTTCTTCTTTTTTGGACAAGTTTTCCTCAATTTCGTATTCAGTTTCTCTTTTTTCATGCTTCCTAAATAACCATTAATATTGTTCAAATTTGTCATTATAGCTTTTCACTCCCATGCGTGTTGAAACAAGTAAGCAATTTCCTAGTTTTGTAAAAACGCTGAATTCTGTTTATGTACAAAATGACATCCATTGTTTTGTATTCATCGATTTAAAGTGAAGACGTACGTGAACACACTTTTATTTGTGATAAAGGAAGTCGTTGTTGTTATCTTTTTGCTTGTCCAAGATAAAATTCTCCTCTTTTTGTCTACATCATAGTTGTTACTAACATGTAATGTGATCCTTATTTTTTTTTAAGTTATCGAAGGCCCCTTTAACCCAAAAGAATAAAAATAGCTCGTGATAATATATTATATTTTTTCAACATTTGGAACAATGAAAGTAAGAAATAGTTGATATAACAAAGGGATTTAACAAAAATAATATTGGAATTTATTACATAATTTGGAATGTGAAATATTATCGTTGAATATGGGTTAAAGAAGACATGTAATAATTCTGGTTTTGATTTTTGAACATCTAATAAGAATTTAAAGTTGACCCAAGAAAAAAAAAAACACATGCAATATACTGTGTGGACTAAAATCCGTGTTTATTGAAAACTATTATACCATATACTTTAAATAAAAAGAAATTCATCAATAAGCATGATGAGTACATATTGAAATTTAGTCAAATCATCGGAAGATTTCAACATGGAAAAACAGTGTTTTACAATCTAATCAAACCATTGATCAACGATGTATGAGTTGCCAACAGAAAGTCAACGGTTAGGTGTAAAACGATCATCGTCACGACTCTATGACCAATCGTTAATTACTTGGGTCCATACAATAACATCATCATACATTACATCCCGCTGTATTCAAATACCAAACGTCCCTCAAATATTATAAGTGGGCCCAGAGAATCAGGTGTATGGTACTCTCCTCCGTAGGCTATTCCAGCCGGTGCTTAGCCGGCTGCTAACTAAATGGAGTCAAAAAAGTTTTTTCAAGAACTGACGAAGTCAGGCTTGTGAAGGGGGGAGACGACACGTGTCGAACCGGGTCTTTATTTTCTTACCGTGAAAGTTGGCGGCTCCGTCGCAGAACCGCCGGGAAAACAACAACCATCCGGTCATTACGCTTTCTTTATTCGTCCTTATCCAGTTTAAATCCTTTTTATTTTTCTTTCACTCTTTTTACAGCAGTTAATTCAATAAAAAATTCATCAACATTCTTGGCACCACCATGTCCCAAGAAAGGAAAGAGTACGATTGCAATTTACAATCTACTTTTTGATGATAATATATATAAAAAAAAGTTATGATGAAAACTGAAAGTAAAAAAAAAGTTAATATTGTACTTAATTTTTAAACAGTAGTTGTACGATTGAAGCAATATCGTGGTTAGATTAAAGGTATTGGATATTTGGATTACAGAATAATATAAAAAAATGTGCACTAACACTCAGAATTTTTTTTGTCTACAAAGGCCATTTGCTTCTTCTGATTTGCAGAGGAGCTTAAGCCTTAAGGTATAGACAGATGGAAAGATAGAGAGAGAACATTAGTTAATTAAATCCTTCAAACATAACCAAATCTTAAGCTTTTAATTATTTTTTTTTCTTTTCTTCTCATTATCCAATCTATCAGCAAAGTCTTCTTCTTCTGTTTCATTTCTCCATCTTGTTTCTTTCTTACGGGAATGTTATATTCTAAAGTTGGAATTTTGAAATATAATTTCGATTGGACTTCACTGGACTCAGATTTCCGCAAATGGAATCTACTTTGAGCTTCTTCTGGATTAAAAGCTCGGATCCAATCTGAACAAGGAACCAGTTTCAGTTTCTTACTGATTCCGACAAGATGTTCGAAGGTCGACCTCGAGATTCTTGTCTGGTTTCAACGCTTTTCACCATGCCAAGCAACAAAGAAACCAAATGGAGCTTTTTGATTTCTGGGAAACGCCCTTTCCTCAACAACAACGACGACGAGAGCGATCTTCATAACCACCACAAGAAGAAGATTCACAAGCTCACCGATTTCTTAAATCGTAACAGAGGAGACGATGTCGACGACTGTTCCGCCGCCGCGAGCGACGACGGAGAAAACGGATCTTCAGATTCGGGAACGCTAATCCCAGGGATGAACAAAGACGACTCAATCACCTGTTTGATTCGTTGCTCTCGAGCCGATTACTGCTCCATCGCTTCGGTGAATCGGAGCCTACGCGCTCTGATTCGAAGCGGAGAGATTTACAGGCTCAGGAGGTTACAAGGGACGCTCGAGCATTGGGTTTACTTCTCGTGCCATCTCAACGAATGGGAAGCTTTTGATCCGAGATCGAAGCGGTGGATGCATTTGCCGAGCATGCCGCAGAACGAGTGTTTCAGGTACGCAGACAAAGAGTCTCTCGCTGTCGGAACAGATTTGCTTGTGTTCGGTTGGGAAGTGAGCTCCTATGTAATCTATAGATACAGTCTCTTGACTAACTCTTGGTCTACCGGGAAGAGCATGAACATGCCTAGATGCTTGTTTGGCTCCGCTAGCTACGGCGAGATCGCGGTTTTAGCCGGCGGTTGCGATTCTTCCGGTAGGATTCTCGACACGGCGGAGATGTATAACTACGAGGACCAGACTTGGTCGGTGTTGCCGGGGATGAACAAGCGGAGGAAGATGTGTTCCGGCGTGTTTATGGATGGGAAGTTTTATGTGATCGGTGGGATTGGTGTTGGGGAAGGTAACGAGCCTAAAGTTTTGACTTGTGGTGAAGAGTTTGATTTGAAGACTAGTAAATGGAGAGAGATCCCGGAGATGTCGCCGCCGCGGTCGTCGTCGAACCAAAACGGGAACGGAATGTCTGCGGCGGCCATGGCGCCACCGCTGGTGGCGGTGGTGGATGATCAGCTTTACGCGGCGGATCATGCGGGGATGGCGGTGAGGAGGTATGATAAGGAGAGGAGAGTTTGGAGGAAAGTTGGGAACTTGCCTGAGCAGGCGGGTTCGATGAACGGTTGGGGTTTAGCGTTTAGGGCTTGTGGGGATCGGGTTGTGGTGATCGGTGGACCTAAGGCTCCCGGTGAAGGGTTCATTGAGCTTAACTCATGGGTTCCGAGTGATGCTGCACCGGAGTGGCATTTACTTGGCAAGAAACAGTCGGTTAATTTCGTTTACAACTGTGCCGTTATGAGCTGCTAAAGAAGTGAGAAACAAAACCGTTTGTTGTTTGCATAGAGAAATGTTGTTGGATTTAACATGGTATAAAAACACAGGCTTATTTATTAGTTATTAATAAAATAAAAAATTGGAGGAGATCATTGTTCTTGTTACTTATTGTAATTGTGTAGCTTTATGTTTCATGTTTGATCTAATGAACTCTTATGTTTTGATCTTACACTTCAATGATCCAAGATTTTTATTTTCATTCATTTTATCTCTTGAATATTTCTCTTGCTCTTGACTGTTAAGGATTCTAAAGTTTTGATTCTTGTACGCAATTACAGCTTAAAGCGATTTTTAAGTGGGGAACTTTTGTTATATCATCACATCTTTAATTTGCAGTAAACAGAGTAGACCACTAAAACATTGCTAGTTGGATTTGTCGTTTAGTGCCTTCATTGCTCATTGATTGCCAATTTATTAATAAGCTAATTAGGAGGGAAAAAGAAGAGAAAACAGGAAAGTTATTGATTCAATCGAGTACTTTAAGTCTAAAGTCTGAGAAGAATTTATTCACATTCACCAGCAGCTGCATCGACTCTAAAAGCATATTTATTCGGGTCGAATCTTCAACTATTTGATTATGCTAAAGTACTCATGTATATATGAAAAAAAAGTTTAGCCTATCTTTTAAATATTAATATATTATCTTTCAGTTTTATGAGATAAAATGTTTTGGCAGGAGGATCATATTCGAGTAGAAGTTTGATTTGATGAAATGACAATTTTTTTATTTGATGACCACTGCAAAAATTTCTTTTGGTGCAGTGGGAAAAATTGAGCCCATGATTGAGGCATCAAAAGGTAAAGCAAGTGTTTAGTGTTGGTGGAGGCTTAGGCTAGTAGCCCATTTTGGCATTTTCATTATAATAACATACTTAAATCTGTTATTCTATCGTCTAATACAACTGTTAAATCCAATAGAAATGAGATTACTTTTGTTGATTCCCTAATGTTTCTTCCACTAATGCAACACTAGGTTAAAAAGGTGAAATTAAAATAACGAATAATATTTGATTTGCTTATTGTTTGTAATATTATTCTCAAAATGTCATTGCCTCCACTGACCACTCTAAAGTAAAACACCATTTCCAGATTCGAAACTATAGATAAGTACACTTTTGAGTTCAAAACTACAAAACAAAAATTTAGGAAATAGCAATTGTTATTTTTTTAACTAAATTGAAGATCAATTTCTTCTTTTAATCACTTTTATTCATATGATAATTTCAACCCCTTCTCTGTAACACTGTTATTTTCATGATTTATAGATTGGGCCACTTAAAAGCCCATATCAATAACAATTCGAAAATACATCCGTTAGAAAAAAACCTTTTACAAGACGGAATAAAATAGGGGAAATACATCATTCGTTGGATCAAATTATTTCCTCAGTTTCTCGTTAAACATTTTCTCTCCCAAATTCCCTTTTTTTTGGGTTTTCTCTCGATCAATTTTTGACGAATTGCACAACGGAAACCATCCTTTAGACTCTAAGATCGCTAAGGTTTTCTGTTTCTCTAGATTGCGAATTTAATTTTAGGATTTTAGGCTATAGTTATCTTCATTTGATTCCGCATAAAAACTGATACGATCCGTTGATTTATTCCTCTTCCCCTTCGCGATAATGTTTTAGGGTTTTATGTCTCTTCTTCGTTCTCAAATAACTTCTTAGCGAGTATGTTTAAGGGTTTTTTAAATCTCTTAATCGTTACTCAATTAACTTTTTCGGGATCGGTTGGGTTTATTCCGCTTCCCCTTCGCGATGATCTATTAGGGTTTTTAATTTTCCAAATTGCTTTCAAATAACTGATCTTGTGTAGTGATCATAAATCTACCCGAAACTGTACTCATCAGGCGTTTACATGAGTGCTTTAGAGATTTCTTGTCAATTCAATCTTCAAGTTTGGCTATACTATGGTTCTTATTGTGCGAGAGATCTCTTTGTGTCAGGTGCTAATAAGTTTCTTCTTAATCGACAGAGATGCAACATTGGCACATAAAGCTGAAGCCTTGGAGTTGTTAAGGCGGTTATAGAAGAAAACTCATCTACTAGAAATTTGCAGGTTTGATACATGCCCTCACACAATTGTAAAGTTGAGAATGTGTTGTGTTGTTTCCTTTATGTAATTTCCTGTGATTTTTAGATGAACGGAGCCTCTAGGAAGACTAGCTTCATGATCCCTTCTCAAGAGCAAAGGTGTCCTTCATGATCCCTTCTTTGTCTTTTGATTTAACTTTTCCATATCTGGTGAACTTCTGGAAAACTGCTTTGAATATGAATTTTGGTAATTGGTACTATGAGTGCAAGTATAGTTTTGAACTAGCATCATTTGGGTGAGAAACTTTGAGATGGTTGTGTATTAGTTATGTGCCAAGATTTTGACGGAAGCAGCAAGTTGTATTGTTTGTAGACATTTCTTCTGGGTTTTGACAGCAAAACAGTTTTCGAACTGATTATTTTCATGGAATATGTGTATTTAATTGTCATCAGCTCTTTTAGCCAACTTATTTGGCTGTTTCCATATGTGCAGAGGAAGGAATCTGCTTAGCATACTTCGATTCAGCCTGCACAAAGGAAGCTAAATCAGTGGTTTGCAATAAAACCATATGAACGGCAGAAAACAGGTTAGCTCTTTTACTTGTTATTTTTTTGGTTTTGTGTTCTTGTTTTAACAACAAAGGTCCTCTTTTTATAAAACTCAAAAGCCTTTTGGCTTTGGTTATGCTTTATCCGAGATTTTCAAAGCCTTTACGCTTTGGTTGTGGTTTTATCAAAGTTCCAAACCCAAACGATCATTGGCAGACGCTAAATTAATAGTGTTTTGTCAGATTCTTGTTTGGGAACAATGTCCCGTTTGATTGGTTGGTAGTGCATGTCTAAGGAAAGGGAAAGTCAGGGGATGGAAAATAAAACACAGAGCTTGAAAGTCTTTTAGAGAAAGACTATGGGTTTTGCTGCGTTGGTTGGAAGGGAAACATGACCGATGGCTTAAAGTCTAAGGACTATAAACTGTTACATACCCACGGCTTGAGAAAAGTAGTGAATCCGTTACATACCCTCGGCTTAAAAGTCTTTAGTCAAAAGACTTAACGGATTCACTACTTTACTACTACCCACGGCTTGAGAAAAGTAGTGAATCACGGCTTATAAAAGTCTTAAGACAAAGACTGAACGGATTCACTACTTTATTACACCCACGGCTTATAATAGTCTTAAGACTATAAAAACTGAGAATGTCCCGTTTGATTGGTGGGTAGTGCATGCACAAAGGATGGTAAGGAATGGAAAATAAATCTATGGGTTGGTTGGTAGTGCATGCTTGAATGTCTTTAGCGAAAGACTATGAGTTGGACTTGTTGGATGGGAATTATGACCGATGGCTTAGAGAGTCTGAGGACTATAAAAAAAGGTTTGACGTGTTACTTGAACCCACGGCTTGAGAAAAGTAGTGAATCCGTTAGTACCCACGGCTTATAAAAGTCTTTAGACAAAGACTTAACGGATTCACTACTTTACTACTACCCACGGCTTATAAAAAGTATTTAAGAAAAACTCTTAAGGCAAAGACTTTTACTTGAAAAGGGGTTCTTTGCTTTACTTGTACCCACGGCTGATAACAAAGTCGAAAGGCAAAGACCCTTTACTTGTACCCACGGCTTAAGAAAAGGCAAAGTCTAGAGACATAGACTATAAACCAAAAAAGTAAGTCTTAAACATGACCACAAGGCTTACATAAGTCTTAAAAGCAGAGACTATAAACAAGGGAAAAGCCATCAGACAACAAACGATCAATGGCTGGAAAGTCTGTAAAGACGGAGACTGTGGGTTGTTGGATGGAAAAAATGACCCAATGCTTAAAGAAGTCTTAAGCTAGTACCCACGGCGTGAAAAAAGTCTTTAGAAAAAGATTGGATCCGTTTTTGGATTTGCTGGATCCATCAGTCTAGACATAGACTATGAACCAAAACAGATTCCTTAAACAAGGCTGAAAAACAGAAACACAAGGATTAAAAGAGGAGAGCCATTAGACAACAAACGATCAAAGGCTGGAAATGTTTCGAAAAGACAGACTATGGGAAGAGATTCTCGATGGAAAAATGAACAAATGCTTAAAGAAGTCTTACATGGCTTATACAAGTCTTAAGGCAAAGAACTGAAAAGGATTCTTAGCTTTACTATTACCCACGGCTTAGAATGAGTCTTAGGGAAAAGACTGTGAACAGAGAAAAGTTCTTTAAGAGAATGACTTGGAGAATGAGTCTTAGTAACCCACGGCTTAAAAAGAGTAATAGTCTTAAGACAAAGACTTAAGACTAGTAGTGAATCCGTGTACCCTCGGCTTATAAAAGTCTTTAGACAAAGACTTAACGATTCACTACTTTACTACTACCCACGGCTTATAAAAAGTCTCAGGACTTGGATGGTGAAAGAGACTAACGGATTAAAAAAGTCTTTAAGAAAGAGTCTTAAGGCAAAGACCTTTACATGAAAAGGGATTCTTTGCTTTACTTGTACCCACGGCTAAGAAAAAGTCTAAAAGGCAAAGACCCTTTACTTCTACACACAGCTTATAAAAGTTGAGAATGTGTTGTGTTGTTTCCTTTATGTAATTTCCTGTGATTTTTAGATGAACGGAGCCTCTAGGAAGACTAGCTTCATGATCCCTTCTCAAGAGCAAAGGTGTCCTTCATGATCCCTTCTTTGTCTTTTGATTTAACTTTTCCATATCTGGTGAACTTCTGGAAAACTGCTTTGAATATGAATTTTGGTAATTGGTACTATGAGTGCAAGTATAGTTTTGAACTAGCATCATTTGGGTGAGAAACTTTGAGATGGTTGTGTATTAGTTATGTGCCAAGATTTTGACGGAAGCAGCAAGTTGTATTGTTTGTAGACATTTCTTCTGGGTTTTGACAGCAAAACAGTTTTCGAACTGATTATTTTCATGGAATATGTGTATTTAATTGTCATCAGC